AGCACACATGCAATCCACCCACACCCTCACCCACACCCACACCGATCATGGCACGCAGGCTATCCTCACACCGATCATGGCACGCAGGCTATCCTCACACCGATCATGGCACGCAGGCTATCCTCACACCGATCATGGCACGCACGCTATCCTCACACCGATCATGGCACGCACGCTATCCTCACACCGATCATGGCACGCACGCTATCCTCACACCGATCATGGCACGCCCGCTATCCTCACACCGATCATGGCACGCAGGCTATCCTCACACCGATCATGGCACGCAGGCTATCCTCACACCGATCATCGAACCATCTACATCTACTTCCGTAGTCGTAAATTTATCCAACGAAAAATTCAACCCCGATGAGATTCCAGTCTTATGCAGGGGCCTCGCCTTCTGCCCAACTCCTAAACGCATTAATCGTGGCCAGGTGTTGGATGACCTTGAGAATACTTCCGTCGCCTCTCAGGTGGGCAATTGACATACGATGACAAGCAATTCCATTCTCAGATGGGCAATTAACATATGATGGCAAGCCATTCAGACCTCTGAGTGCCTGGATACCTCGAAAGGAGCGTGACAAGAACCTCAGGCGCATAGCTCGTGTATAGTCAGCATAGTCCGATCACCACGCCAGCAAATAGCCGTCATACGTACTACATAGTCGAAATAGGCAAAATGTCAGCTATGAGGTTGCCCATGGTACATGGTCACCACACCACAGATATGCTCTAGCACACAGTCACCACACCACAGATATGCTCTGGCACATTCTCACCACACCACAGATATGCTCTGGCACATTCTCACCACACCACAGATATGCTCTGGCACACAGTCACCACAGTACAGATATGCTCTGGTACATTCTCACCACACCACAAATGTGCGAGCTACGCCCCTGAGTATTGACGTGTTCATCAAACAGGTACATAGGGATGTTGAGTGTGAATCTATCTTTTTGCATCTCTTGTGCTGGATGGCTGGCTTGCTGTTGCTATGCAGGTGATCTTCAAGAAGGTTACCGCTGCTGTGGTTCCAACAGACGGTGGTGGTAGTGGGGAGGTGACTGAGGAGGATGAAGTCTCTGTTGTCATTCAGCCGCTACGCTTCAACATTGACCAGGTAAGGTGATGAGAACTGTTCAACATTGACCAGGTAAGGTGATGAGAACTGTTGAACATGCGCTTACCTGCCATTGATGTGTGCGGGACAACAACAACAACACATGCACCACACTGGTGTTGTTGCGCTCAACGAAGCATGGCTCCAGATTAAAAATCCGAATCATAAATTCACTCTCATCGCCTTGATAAGCAGCAGAGTTGTCTGTTTGGTGGACAGTGTGAAATAAGTACAACACGACACAACACGACAGCAACAAGAGTTTAAGGTATTAATGTCGGGTGACCAGGCATGACCAGTACTGGTACAAGGAGATGAGAGGATGATTATATGTTTTGATTGTGCTTGGTGTGGCTTGTTGTCGTTGTCACTCTTACCGTCACTTGTTGTTGCTGGTGTTGCTGGTGTTGCTGGTGTTCCTGGTGTTGCTGGTGCTGTTTGTGAATGTCGTTTCTCATATTGCCGTCACTTGTTGTTCTTTCTACAGGACTGCATGATGTTCATCAAAGACTTTTTCGACTACCTAAGTGCAAGTGCTGATCAAGGTATGCAACCTAGTGCCCTAGTGCTGTGTGTTGTGTTTCTCGTCTATGGCCTGCTGTTCATGCTTGCTGTTCATGCTTGCTGTTCATGCTTGCTGTAGGCTATTGCTGTTCATTAGTGGTGAAACGAATATTCGAACATTCGTTCGGTTTGTCACATTCGAATATTCGTTAAGTCACATTCGAGTATTCGTTACGTCACTTCGAATGCAGTGCCTGTACATACATGCACGCCGAACACGGTACAGTGCAGTGCGTAAAGCCTGCCTGTTACTTTGTACTGCATGCATGCACATGTATGTCCTTACTGGACTGCCAATGGTGTACATAACATTTATGAACTTCGAAGTAGCCTTATGTGGCAGTATAATTTACGTGGCACTACCGTTTGTCATACCTAATAAATTGACAATATCCATCAAATGACTGAGAGGAGGGCATGTGATGTCATCTGTGTTACCAAAAGAATATTCGTTCATTCGTTCGTTAAGCTGAAGAATATTCGACTAGTAGGTTTTGACATTCGTTTCACCACTACTGTTCATGCTTGCTGTTCGTGCTTGCTGTTCATGCTTGCTGTTCATGCTTGCTGTTCATGCTTGCTGTTTATGCTTGCTGTTCATGCTTGCTGTAGGCTATTGCTGTAGGCTATTGCTGTAGGCTATTGCTGTAGGCTATTGCTGTAGGATATTGCTGTTGGGTCTTGCTGTAGGCTATTGCTGTAGGCTATTGCTGTAGGCTATTGCTGTAGGCTATTGCTGTAGGCTATTGCTGTAGGCTATTGCTGTAGGCTATTGCTGTAGGCTATTGCTGTAGGCTATTGCTGTATTGCTGTAGGCTATTGCTGTATTGCTGTAGGCTATTGCTGTATTGCTGTAGGCTATTGCTGTATTGCTGTAGGCTATTGCTGTAGGCTATTGCTGTAGGATATTGCTGTTGGGTCTTGCTGTAGGATATTGCTATAGGCCACACCCAGTAGTTTACCTACCCTACATTCGGTGCATCCCTCTACGCAAGTTTTGGACCAATGGATGAAAGCTTAAAAATCACCCCCTGCCCCATCAGGGTCTGATCCTGCTGGGGACTAACTGTTCCTGGGGGAAAGTCATGATGATGATGCAGATATCCGTTTTGGGTTGAACAGTTGTTCCTGGGCCGGGCAAGTCACAAGTCACAGTACTACATGTAGTGCCTAGCGTTATACACAGAGGGGGGGGGGGTGTAGCTCGTGCATCTGTGGTGTGGTGACCATGTACCATGGGCAACCTTATAGCTGACATTTTGCCTATTTTGCCTATGTAGTACGTATGACGGTTATTTGCTGGTGTGGTGATCGGACTATGCTGACTATACACGAGCTATGCGCCTGATTCATGTAGCACAGTTGTTCTGCGTGTGATTCTACCTACACACATTGCCAGGTACAGGCAATGATGCTGCAGTCAGATCTCGGAGCGGTAGCACTGCGTCGGCAAGCGGTACACCACCGAGAGCTCGGCGTAGTCATGAAAGTTCTCCGCAGTCGTCCGCGTCTGGTGAGGCGGCGGCAATGGCGCACCGTGCAGCGCTGATCCGTGATGCTGCCAATGCTACAGCTGCTGCTGCTGCTGCTCCTGCTACTGCCAAGAGACAAGAAGGCACGGCGAGTTTATCACGCACAACATCCTCAACAGGTCTGCCAAGACAGCCATCCAGCCGCAGGATCAAGAAATTTACACTCGCGCCGACGTATGTTATGGTTGATTATGATGGCAACCGATCGGGAAAGACAGGTGTAAGCTGATGTGCCTTGTTTGCTGGGCATGTCTATGCCTCTCTCTCTCTCTCTCTCTCTCTCTCTCTCTCTCTCTCTCTCTCTCTCTCTCTCTCTCTCTCTCTCTCTCTCTCTCTCTCTCTCTCTCTCTCTCTCTCTCTCTCTCTCTCTCTCTCTCTCTCTCTCTCTCTCTCTCTCTCTCTCTCTCTCTCTCTCTCTCTGTCTGTCTGTCTGTCTTTTTCTCTCACGCGCGCACACACACACCTACATACACACACACGCGCGCGCACACACACACACACACACACACACACACACACACACACACACACACACACATGGTATTAGTTTGAAGCACCAATACCTAGTGTAATAGTTGGGCACTGTTGTCAACTTGTCTAACTTGTCTAACTTGCATACAGTGAGATGCAGCCGTTCACTGTCTGCTGTGTGTTCTACTGTACATGTATTTTACTGTGTTCACTGTCTGCTGTGTGTTCTACTGTGTTCTACTGTGTTCTACTGTATTCTACTGTATTCTACTGTGTTCTACTGTATTCTACTGTATTCTACTGTGTTCTACTGTGTTCTACTGTGTTCTACTGTGTTCTACTGTATTCTACTGTGTTCTACTGTGTTCTACTGTATTCTACTGTGTTCTACTGTGTTCTACTGTATTCTACTGTATTCTACTGTGTTCTACTGTGTTCTACTGTGTTCTACTGTGTTCTACTGTGTTCTACTGTGTTCTACTGTATTCTACTGTATTCTACTGTATTCTACTGTGTTCTACTGTGTTCTACTGTGTTCTACTGTGTTCTACTGTGTTCTACTGTGTTCTACTGTATTCTACTGTATTCTACTGTATTCTACTGTGTTCTACTGTGTTCTACTGTGTTCTACTGTATTCTACTGTATTCTACTGTGTTCTACTGTGTTCTACTGTGTTCTACTGTGTTCTACTGTATTGCAGAGTGCTACAAGCTTTGTCCTTTCTCTCGCTGAGCTTAACAAGGCCAAGATTGTTATCCCTGCCCAAAAGCATGAATCGTAAGTGAAGTCCAACCGGTGAAAACGTCCGCCAGTGCTGCCACAATCACCATTGCTGACGCTTAAACAGCTTGCGTTCACGCTGTCTGCTGTTCTTGCATTCAGTTGCAGCTGGAGAATTAATTGAATTTTTTGCTGAGAGAGGGATACAGTAGCCTAGCGCCTCCTGTATTGCCACTTCACTCTGGGAGTATGGTCCTGTCCTGTCCTGTGCGGCCCAAGTGGCTGATTTCACTGTCCACAGCTGTACATGTATTTTGACTGGAAAGTGCAATTTTCATTGCCCTCCGAGGTAGCTTCCAGCGAGGTCCATCTGTTTTCATGTGTGTGTTCTCTCTGTGTTCTCCATGTTCTCTGTTGTCATGTGTTTGTTCTGTGTGTCCTGTTTGTTCTGTGTGATTGGTTCAGAGTGACTGATTACAATGAGTTGGTGCAGTCGGTGCTGAAATGGATCCACGCCGACATTGTGCGTAACCAGGTGCCAGGCATTGTCGCTCACATCAGCCTGTTGCATCAATTCAGGCAGCTGTGTAAGTTGTGTCTGCTGGTGTCTGTGTGCATGCGCCGTTGTAATGTAAATGATGCTGTACCTGGGGAAGACAGCTCGTAACACGCGCACACACACACGCGCGCACATGCATACACATGCACACACACACACGCACGCACGCACACACACACACACACTGCCCGGCACAAAGGACGACTCCATTGGATTCAACTGGACCTAGGATATGTTTTCAAAGGTTTCAAAGGGAGATGGTCACTGGCAATGTAGCGGCGGGAAACTGAAACACAACATGCAGGCGGACAACCTGACTACAACCATAACCCGGTTGGCAGAGTCTCGGTCTTGCGATCATTTGAACCTTATGGGGAAAAAACCCCGGTTAGGACCCTCTTTATTCTAGGGGGTGGGTGACTTTGGAATTTTTTTCTTTTATGTTGATGTTGTGTTGTTGTCGTGGTGGTGTAAAAATTCCAAAGTCACCCACCCTCTAGAATAAAGATGGTCCTAACCGGGGGGTTTTTCCCCATAAGGTTCAAATGGTCGCAAGACCGAGACTCTGCCAACAACCGGGTCATGGTTGTAGTCAGGAGCACTGTGCATCCTTGCCTTGTAACATGCTCTGTTGAAATTGAAAACATATTAAACTATCAAGCAAGGCGCCTATATAAAAGGTACAACAGTTGTAGTCAAAACCCAGTATTGGAAAGAACACGAAAGTGGAATAGCAAAAGGTGCATACTGTTGGGTACTGCTGGATCAATACGGCTGTTGGCATGCACTCGCTATTACAGACCAGTGGAGAGCACTCAACATTGTAGAGGATTCATGGAGTGCTGGGCTACCGAATCAGACATATGATAATCATGTGTAGGATAGTCCACGCACTAGTCGCAGCCCATGAAATGGGCGGAGTGTGGTCAGCCCATATGATAGTATGTATGACAGTCCACCATGCCATGTACTGCCCTACTGACTCTGGGTGGTTCCTGCCACCAGCCAGTCCATACATCCTGAGTTCTACTACTGCTGCCATCAATGCTTTCAACAAGCTCAACAGCTCAACAGGTTGGCTGTGTCTAAAGGCTGGTGTCAGTTGTGAAGTAAGGGTCTGTCTATCATCGCCTACCTCTGACACCACCCATTGACTGCTCTCCAGAAGGTGCAAAATGACCAGCCTCCGCCGCCGGCCTGGGCCTTTGGTTGGGGAGCTGTTCTTGTACAACAACTGCTTTTATCTTTGCTGCACGTGTGTGTGTGTGTGTGTGTGTGTGTTTGTACATGTGAGCGTGTGCATGTGTGTGTGTGTGCGTGTGCGTGTGCGTGTGTGTGTGTGTGTGTGTGTGTGTATACATGTGCACGTGTGAATGTGTATGCGTGCATGTGTATGCGTGCATGTGTGCATGTGTGCGGGTGGATGTGTGTGCATGTGTGCGTATTGGTGTTCGGCTGTGCAGTTCAAGGTGTCTATGATCTGCTGCTGATGCCGATTCAGCAGTACAAGCGCGATGGCCGTATCCTAATGGGACTTCAGCGCGGTGCTTCCTCATTCACCCTGCTGACATTTGTCTCCACCATGGAACTATCAAGTCGTTTTATGCAGTCGGTACAGGTAAGGAGTGCATTCACAGAAATAGGATGAGATAGAAGAAAACACAAGGGGAACGAGTTATGAAGCGACTATCCATGACTGCAACAAGGTAATGCGCACTCAGAAAGTGCGATATCAGGGCACGGACACTGACAAGCTACTGAGACATTCACCGTCCTTAATAGATAGTGGATAGTTCCTTCATAACTCGTTCCCTTGTGTAATTGAAATCTTGAATTTGTTATAATTTATGACTATCCTCTTCAGACTGGATCTATAATATTTAACGGAACAGGGTCTGGGTCGGAAAAGTCAAGGTATCTATGCTCATAGTTTTGGCTACGCCAGAAAGATGTTCCGGCGAGATCAGCTTGCCTCTGTAGTGAGATGGAGTCCTTGCATGCGTCTGTGCGTGCGTGCACGAGCACCCGCATGCGTGCGTGTGTATCTTCTCTTTCTCATTCTCCTCTTTCATTATCGTCGTTGGTTGCCAACAGCCAGTGCATGTCGGAGCATATGATGTGATGTGATGTGTGTGCGAGACACAGAGGAAGTGAAAAGGGCAGGAAAAGAACAAATATGAAAATAGTCGGCATGGTGTAGGGCAGGCTAAAAAAAAAAAAAAAAATTCACGGTTCGCGTGAGACTCGGCCAAAGGCCCAGTTTTCCGCATCCGCAGGAACGCCACCACCCTCTTGGATCAAGGCGCAGATGCAGCTCCTAAGCGGTGGGAGGTGAGTAGATCAGACCCACCACAAAGTGGTCAAAGACCGGAATCCCATTCACTGCATCCAGCAGCAGGCTAAATAACTAGTAAATAGTGGCGGTCAACTCTTTGACCAACTCTTCAGCCTTCCAAGCTGTTAAATGGTGCAAACACAGCACACGTTGCTATGGCTTCTGCTGTAGCATCGCTATCGTCGCCTCCGTGCAACTTCAGATAGTATTTGGGCCTGCTGCCATCAGGCTCGGCTGCTTGAAGGTGCTCCATAGTACCTTCCACCTTTGTTGGACTCAGGGCCCATATACTTTAGTTGAGCAATAGGCTACTTCCGTATTGATCTACTCTTTTAAAAGAAAGTTAGTGCTCGCAATGTTCAAGCTCGTGCTCTTTTTTTTCGTTGACTTGATACTTGACTCAAAGTCAACTGATGGGGGTTGAATTCCTGTAACACCGTGTACACGTACTAGAGAAGGGAGCAGTGCTTATTTGCAGGTTTGCCGAGTCGAAGGTTCAATACTCAATAGACTTCTTGTATGCTCTCTGGATGGCAGCTGTGACTTATGAGTCACTCAAGTGTCAAGTCAAGTCGGCGGGAAAAGTGCGAACTCAAGCGCTGCGAACAACCAATTTTTTTAATCATAATTATGGTGTCGCTAATTTGCCGACTAACTCTTGTGTATTTAGGTCAATTATGTGAGTTGTTGTATACTTTATTTATAGTGGGAATCAAAACAGGCATACGCCTACTAACAAGGCCTACGCCTACACGAGGTCCACTGTGACTGAATGTTAGCAACCCACACTAGTATCAAGTATTGCGCCACTGGGGGTAAGGGTAAATGCAGTTGAATCCCGGGACGGATACCTTTTACCCCGCAATCATGTCTATGCACCTTGTTCTCACCCAATACTGCGGTGTGATGAGCAGAAATCTTCTATATTGTCAATGCCCTGGAAATCGTGATGTCTCTGGTACGTTAAGGACACCTACCAGTTTACTATCTCTCAATACTGCTGGTCTACCAACTGATTCCATGGATCGCTTCAATACTATAAACTGAGGATTCGGGTTTCGGCTGAAGCTTCAACAAATTTCCAGGACTGGCAGTACACTCTTCCTGGCCAGAAAAGCCGAGAGAGCAGAGTCTTTGCATCTGGGGAAGCAACCATAATTCTTGCAGATGATCCAGACGCAAACACCTTAACAGAGATCAATTTCACTGTGTTCCCGATGGCGCTGCTTCTCTTTGTCACGAACTTAGTTAATTGGTCTTCTGTCGTGGCTTCCTTCAAGTTGCCAACAAACAGGACTTTCTTCTTGGGCATGCGTTGCTTCTTTGACGATACCAGTAGCCAAGAGTCATCCTCCTCATTCATTTCTGGTACCTGTACGAGAGCTTCAGCGTGGTGGCTGGCAGCAGCCTGGGCGCTTTGCTGCACGTGGTCTAGGGCAGTCCCGTCAGCAGAGCAACAAGAGCTTGCAGGCGCTGGTGGTGCCGTACTTCCGACCGTACCCGAACTCTTCATCTGGTGCGTCTGGTTGCTTGAGCTGGAGTTTGAACTTGAGGTGTGTACGGTACTTTGGCCTCGTCGTTTCATCGGGGTTGAGGGTGGCGGGCCCTTGGCTGTAATGGCGGACTTCTTTTCAAGGGAGACACGAACCTCCTCCTTCAACTCCACGATTTGGGCAGACAGCTCATCTAAGCGTCGTAGGAGGCACCTCTCCTGGTCTCTCGACTCACTGACAAAAGTTGTCAAAGTCTGCAGCAAGCTGGCCACATTTTGCTCAATACCAGGCAGAGAGCAGAGCAGTTTTGTCGGCTCGCCCATGGCAAAAAAAAGAAAGACTACGACTACGGGCACCACACTACTACTGCTACCTATTACACTGAACTACTACAACCACTGCTAAGACCCTACCGGTACCTCCAGACCGGCCTGGTGCCGACTGGGCTATCAAAAAGACGAAAATCTACGAGCTGAAAAAACGCTACCCTCACTCATGCATGCAAAAAAATCGAAAATGACTATGTCCTGTTAGCCGGCTCTTTGCACGTCTAGAGAACGGCGGCAGTCTTTTCTGAGGGAACACTAGAGAGGACGTGACTTCTTCTGTCAAGTAAACTGTCCACCATTGAACGGATGCTGCACTTATGTCGGTGCGCTGTTCACTGCAAGCAAGGTACACTAATCAACGAGACGATCAGTTTTGCAACTTTACCCCTAGTGCAAGACTGAGTATTCTGTTTGAAGGCAGGACATTGGAACGTACATAACGTAAATCTGGACTATGAGAGTAGTAGACGGCAATGCATGAAACTCGATTTTTCGTACATGTCCACTCTTGAGAAGCGGTAGCCTTTCACTACTCCTCGAAAAGAAGACACTTTTTCTGCTGGCCTATTACCGTCACTTGTCGTCTCAGACAAGTCTGACAAGCAGTCTGTTATATCCACTGGATCGTCACCGAGCAGAGCGCTTTGCGGACGTTCCAAACCCAGTGCCGGATGTCAGCTGCAGCTTGCAGCTTGTGCTCTGCAGTCAGGTCATCTAGAAGGTGATGCTGCTCTGCAGGGTCTGGCAGTCACATGTTCACTGGCTAGGGGGGGGGTCATAGTGTGGCCTAACACACGACGGTGTTTCTTCTTCCCATACTCTTCCTTCTCAAGCACTACGTTCCTAATCCGTGATGGCGCCACATTGCTCCGACATGGCTTGTTCCATTGCTGGAGCTTACTGGGGCAAGCCAGGCTGTTTTCTTCTCGCAAGCCCAGGTGAACAAATTCCTCCAGAGCATATTGAAGAGCAGCAATGTGGTTGCAGCAGCTGGTCAAGCCTGCAGGACATACGCAGTGTGCAGTGCGCACGTCACCGTTGGTCTTGAGGCATAACGTCACTCGGTATATTTTGCTTTTTGTCATTGAAGGCAGGACATTGGAACGTACATAACAGAAATCTGGACTAGACGGCAATGCGTGAAACTCATGTTTTGCACAATCCACTCCTCACCAAGTAATAGCCTTCTGTGAAATTTGACTCAGTGGAACAAGAACACTTCAAAGCTGTCAGAGTCCTTTCCTAGTGTTCAGTTGCGGTCTTGTGTCTGGCCAGTGGCCACTACTTCACAGATCGTCTGGTCTTGTGTCTGGCCAGTGGCCACTACTTGGCAGATCTTCTGTCTTGTGTCTGGCCAGTGGCCATTGGCCACTACTTGGCAGATCTTCTGTCTTGTGTCTGGCCAGTGGCCACTACTTGGCAGATCTTCTGGTCCAGCTGATCAGCTGCCTGGAAATCCCATATCAAATATCTCAGGCTCGGCAAACCTTTCGGAAATTTGGGTTGCACAGCTCTCCCGCAACCCTAGTAAAGTTGCTGTTCGACCTGCTTCGGTCTCTAACTAGACCAGCATAGTCAGAACTTCTTGAATCGTTACCCGTCTCCAGAGCATGCGACTTACGGAAACTGCGCCTGCAACATTCCGGCGAGCTGAGGCTACTGTCGCCTCCTGTGCCGCTCCCAATAGTTGTGTGTGCACATGCGTGTGTGTATTTATGTGTGCATATCTGTGTGTCTGCGTGCCTGTGTGTCTGTTTTTGTGTGTATGTGTGTGTATATGTGTGTGTATGTGTGTACACATGTCTGCGTGATGGCGTGCCCGTGTGTCTCTGTGTGTGCGCGCTGCTTGCAGGTGCTGGCTGAGACCATGTATGACGTTGTCACACCGTCAGCTGTTCAGGAGTTGGAGAGGCAGCCTGGAGAGTTCCGAGCTCACCGTAATGCTGCCCAGCCAGCCGACCTCAGAGAGGCGGTGGTCAGTGCAGCTACCGAACTCCGCACGGTCAGTTGTTTAGACACAGCTAATACTACTGTTTGTAAAGCCTATCCTCTGCCTGCCAGGCATGCTGCCACTGCACTCGAAACAGGTCTTGAAAGAAATGTGGGCCATTCCAAGCAAGATCGCGTCTTTGGGGCTTAATAATATTTCACGAGAATCAGCATTGACGTATATTTGACTGCTTGCTCACTATTAGGACAACACTAAAATTTCTTCGTAATAACCCTACTTTGCCCCCAAGACACGATTTTGCTGACAACTTCCCATGTGCTTTAGCTACAGACAGTAGACAGTAGCAGTGATGTACACTGGCGTTGCCCTTAGAAACCGTTAACGTCCAGTCGGTGTTTTTAGAGTGAGTGGTTAATGGCATGCTTTTGGGTTTGCTGCGGTTTTCGTATGCGATTTGAGGAAAGTAAGTGTTTCTCTCCGTGTGGAAGGTCGCACATTTCCTGCGGATGCGTTAGGACCATACACCTGTATACAGTAGCAGTAGCCAACCATGTTCCTTTGCTGGTGTGTGTGTCGCTGGGTGCGTATTACGTTCGTGGCGTTTCAGGGCTTTGTGGACAGTGCTCAGAACTTCATAAGTGCCGCTCAGACGGAGTACCGTGCCAAGGGAACGTCCGGAGCAGTAGGCGGTGCTGTTCGCCAGATTGCCAGCTCCACGCTACGGCCAGTGGTGAGCAGTGCCAAGGCTGCCAACACCATGCTGCAGGGGGCCAGGAACCACGTCTTGCCGGACGAGTTCCGTGAATCTGAGGATAAGTACCGCCGTACGGCCGATTAGGACGACATCCCCGCTGTCTTGGTGGTGCTGGTGGTGCTGATGGACTCCCCTATCCACTACTGAGTGCCCCATACTGATAAGGTGTGTCTGTGACTTCTGATTACTCTCAGCGGATTGCTCCTGCTACTGACTACTGACTACTGATCACTCTCAGCTGAATGTCCGGAAACAGCACCAGTGCTTTTCAATGTGCCATTTTTATACATTAATTTTTACGTTTGGTTGGGTACGGATACGGCCACTCGCGAAACAACAAGACATGGTGTGACTGCCACTTGTCCCAGGGCCATGTACATATACCAAGGTACTGCCCGGTACTACACATTCTTACCAACCCTACTCCCCGGCAGGTCACAGACAACTGCCAAGCGTTCATGTAAATATTCATTAGCCCCAGCATGGCGGTGGTGCATTATCCTAGCTAACTTATCGAGTTCCTGGCGCCACCCCTGTGTACATAGACCAGGCCTGCTCTCTGGTGCTGTCAGTGTACATAAGCCAGACCAAATGCACAGTCTGGGGATTCTCTTCATTCTTATCGCCCCGTGCATTGTGCATTGTATTGTGTGTGCAACCGTTAGTACTTACCAACATGTTGAAAAGATATCCGCCGCCTTGCCGTAGGAAACGAATAAACCAAAAACAAAATGACGACGCTATGCAGCGTCACACTGCTGCTGTACACGCGTAGCGTAAATAGATCGATCGTTTAGGCTATTCTGTGTTCTTTACTCGCGATATTGCTGCCAATAGATTGCTGGCCGCCATTATTCGTTTTGCCATCATCTGTACTAGCGTTCTCTATCGCTGTCTCTCTATCTATCGCTCTCTCTCTCTCTTTTTAACCAACTCACTCTCAGCATGGCTTGTTTGCATTGACCACAGGAGCTTTTGATATACTGTCCGCATACCGTTTATGTACCATTTTATGACTAGATTTGATCTTTCTGAAAAGTACTCTATTCTACAAACAATATCAAGTCTATCTTTTCTCTCTCTCTCTCTCTCTCTCTCTCTTTCTCTCTTTCTCTGTCACAATATTTGTGAATATAGATAGCAATTGGCCTCTGCTGCTTGCTTGTATAGGTGCATTCTGTGTTTACTGTCCCCTGAATGCCTGAATGTTGACTGCGTGCTGGCATTTCGTCATCCATTCTTTCGTTGAGCACCGCGGCGTATTGCTGGTGTGTCTGATTGTTGTAGGCACCGCGCTCTCCCCAAGTTCTTTAGCAACGTCCCTTGTGGAGTTGAAGCTGTGCTGGCCACTGGTTTGTTTAGCGTCCTCTTTTTACTAGTATTGTTAGTGGTTGTCGTGCAGTGCAGTACTGTATTGGTTTTGTTTCTCCCCAGCTCAAACACTCATCTTTCTTCTTCACTTTGCTCGAACTTGAGTTGTTGATGTTATACCAAAAGCGCCTATGGTCATAACTAACATAATTATGCTGTTGAGAGCTTGCTTTGATACCTGCTATTGTGTGTGTGTGGCTATTACTCTTTTTTTTACTTCCGCTCTTTTCGATTACCGTTAACAATACGCTTGTGAATACAATTGTTTTTAAAAATTCGACTCCGTTTGCTGCTTTGATAGCTGTGGGCGTTATCACTGTTATGTGCTGCGAGCTACTAGTACTGCAAGTGCTGCAAGTACTGCAAGTGCTGCAAGTACTGCAAGTGCCCTTATTTTCTCTGGCAGGTAATTCCTGGTACCCTTGGGCAGGCGCGTAGCCGCAACCGCCGTTGGAGGTGGTCTGGTTGGACGGGGGTCTGGGGGTGTCCCCCGGGAAAACATCGAAATTAGGGTGCAAAATCCTGCATTCTGCAATTTCTGGGCGAAAAAGTGGTCCGGCCAAAGCCGAAGCCGGACCGGCTACTACGCCCCTGTTGGGTCGCTTGTTTTAGGCAGTGCAGTGGCTCAGTTTCAATGCATTCATAGAACTTCGCACAGCCCTTGTGGATTTCATTGGGGAAATATACTGATGGCCAACATGTCACTCATACTTCGAAGTAGGAGTCATACATTTTAAAAAAAGTAAATTATCGTGGCCGTTCCCAAAGGGAACTCACGACGGCCGCTAACACCCGATAAACCCTAGCGGCAGATGCAGCGCCTAACGGTGGGGGTGAGTGGATAAGTCTCACAACCACTGGCACAAGTGCCGAAAACGACCCCATTAGCTGCATCCATGTACATGTACCCCTTACATAGCCCACTTGGAAATCGAGCAGGGCAGCCGCGGCTCATGCAAACGAACTGAATTAGATGGGAGGGCAATTAGCCTATCAATAGCACCACCAATTGTCCCCGCGATGGTGCCTCATTTTATACATGATGCGTTTAGAATAATGATTGCAGTAATGGGGAGGGGAGGAGGTACAAATCACTGGAGGTAACACTATGTTACCAATAGAGCGGCGGAAACCTGTCGGAAACGCATTTCAGTCGATGACAAGCCAGGAAAGTGTCCTGCCGCACTGCGTGATATACATTGGATACTCAATTATTATTTTTGGATGTGCACAGGTGTTCTTTGTTGGGCTCGTGATCATTTTATGTCACTTTTAGAAGTTTGAGATTCCTAAACTAAACTGGTTGGTTTGCATGTGCCTGCGTTTGTTCATGTCACTATGTTAGTATGTACACAACAGAACAACAAGGACAATCAAGGCTTGTTTGCTGCTACTTTAAGTTTCATGCTCACGCAATCATCAGGCAACACGTATGTATATTATTATTTTTTTATTTTATTTGAATTCGCAAGTGCACACGGGCTACAAACCCAATTACATGTACATGTACATGGAAGGGAATGTGATAATGGGGTTAAAGAAAGGGTTAAAGAAAGGGCTAAAGAAAGGGCTAAAGAAAGGGCTAAAGAAAGGGGTGTAGGAAGGAGGAGGAAGGTAGCAAAGGAACAGGGAGGACAATTCAGGAGCAGCACTAACCATGTTCACCGTGGTCACCGTGTCAGTGTGTCTGCTGCGTTACGGCGTGTGCGCTGTTGATGGCGACGCCCAGTCAAACAAAGCGGGAGATCACAATCGGAACACGGATACCGGGATGGAGACTTAGAGTGGCATATGTCACGAAGGACACTAGCTGTACGGCTGTAGCTTGGTCATCGAGTAGTTTTACAGTACTGTCTGCCTGTCTCTACATAGTATTAACCGGCTTCATTGACATTCCACCTTCTCAGGCTTCTGTCAAGTGTCAGCAGTGCACAACGCCTGCTGTGACAGGGAGTCGACTCCCTGTAACCCTAGTCTAGATCCGATATCCCTGCCCACAGCAGTACAGGCTACAGCCCACAGGCCTCAGCCTACAGACCAGTACCAGAGTACGGTCAGTACAGACTACAGTTATGACATGCGCATATCGCATATCGCATATCATCATTCACACGTAAGTGTTGCTGTGTGGTTATGACCATGATGACGCCTCCGCGATTGATCCGCGAGCAGTCGGACCTGCCCATGTTTCCACCCACTAACTAATACTTCAGTGAGTCAGTGAGTGTAGCCCAGGCCCGTAGGCAGGTCATAACTAATATATAGCCGTATGACATACTTCATCCTCCGAGGAGATGCATCGATGGTCCGGTCCATGCCCAAGTCTATCCATGGCCATGGTCCGCAAGATCGTACGCCAGGGTCACTTGGCCCGGTGTCAGAGGGCCTATACACTAGGCCATATGTAGGCATTACATACTGAGGGCCTAGGGCGGACTCAGATGCTCACGATCACCGCCCCACGAGCACGTCAACACAATCATGGTGAAGTCCCATTCAGTTCGATCGCTTCTTGTAAAGTAAGTAGTAATAAAAGTTCGAACGACTGGTCCTGGATTTTGACTGTGGAGTACTACGAGTGTGGGTTGCGCGCGGTTTAGCAAAAAAAAACGTCCACTGTCACTGACATGACGTGTCTACAATCCTGGCCTAGCGAAGTGTCGCGAAATGAATGCTGATCCGCCAGGAACTTTTCATTCGAAATTTCAGAGGTGCAGCAAGTAAATAGTTAGCTCATCCGAACTCCTCAAAGTTGTGGGCGCTTGTAGATGTTGATTCGGAGACTGACCAACTTACTTGAGAAAAAGGGCTGTGTGACTGCGCATCCTCCTTTATGTTTTAGTCTGACTATTCGACGCGCGAAGACTGCTGATGCGTATCGATCTTGGATGAACAGGTCTGAGAGCTTGTCCACCCACTTATTTCGACAAACACCGCGTACCGGTGCATGAGTGCAAGCTGCTGTTCGTGGCGACGAAACGGGCGGGATCGGAGGCTGCTTGTTGATTTGCTATCAATATTGTGTATCAGCTGGGCCGCAAAGCAATACCTGGCGCTGAGCGATGTGACGCTTGCCACCCGCACTTGTTCAAGTCGTCGGCCATCGGCATCGCCGAAACCGCTAGCGCTACTGCTCGTTTGCATGACTATTTGAATCGAGGATAACCGATATCAACATGGTTGTCTGTGACCGAAGATTGCTGATTGGCATGAAGCTCCTTACCCGACATTTCACCATGCAAGGTAAGATCAGAACCATAGATCTACGTATATACATGACTGTATTGTCAGCTAACAATACAGTCATGCAGTTGCATTGGGTACATGACCATTGTGGTAATGGTGTACTGTACACAATAAACGCTGGTGCATGCCAGTGCAGGATGAGAATATGCACAATCCAGCGTGCCAAGTCTGATCTTCTGCTATAATTATTATACATCGTGCTGCACTTTACAGACTTGAACTAATTCCCGCCCCCTGCCGGAAAACCAGCTGGGATGCGACACGGTGTGGGGGGGGGGATCAACGGTACAGTCTACAATACCTGTGTACATGACGACTCGTGATGACTGACACATGCACCTCTTGGGTGACGTTTTCATGTGTGTCCCCCATCCGCAGGCTGGGCAACAGCTGTGCTTCTACTGGTTGCCATGGCAAAGATGGCTGCTGCTAATGACACAGGCGGCGGCTTCATACGTAAGTCGGGGTTCACAGGCACTTCTTGACCGGGTGCCGTTTTGGACGGTTCGAACTGGGGAAGGGTTGTTGGAATACTAAGCAGGGGCGTCGGAAGGTATTTTAGTGTGGTACCGTCAGTCAGCCATCCGAAGTACAAGTTACTCGTGTGGGACGGGTGGCTGAGCCAAAAAATTCGGAAATTTTAGAGCCCAGATGAGTGTATTTTATTGATTCACGCGGTGTCTGGGGCGAAAAGTGGTACGGTCAATACTGTAGTGACCGTACCGTGTCCGACGCCCCTGCTGCTAAGAAATTATCATCGGTACAACATCTCCAAGCAGAACTGTATGTTGATTGAGTAACCGTGATTACTACCCTAGCTAGGTGGACCTGCACTGGCCGTGGATACATTGTTGACTATCCGGGAGGGTGGGGGGGGGGGGGGGAGTGGGGTGGGGCGGGGGGGGGGGAGTGGGGTGGGGCGGGGGGGGGGGGAGTGGGGTGGGGCGGGGGGGGGGAGTGGGGTGGGGCGGGGGGGGGGGAGTGGGGTGGGGCGGGGGGGGGGGAGTGGGGTGGGGCGGGGGGGGGGGGGGGCATGAGACCACTAACACATGTAACAGTAGCACAGTATGCATGGGACATGAACGCTGACTCTCTTCATCTTGGTGTTGTTGCAGCAACTCCACCACCCACAACTCTACCACCCACAACTCTACCACCCACAACAACAGCCCCAGCAACGACATCCGACACCCTTGGTGAAGCTATGGGTAAGTCAGAAATGTCCATGCCAGTTGTTACGGAGGTAGCCTCAATTGAAGTATTATTCGTTCTCGTTGTTCTGCTTCTTTGAATGTTGCTGAACAGTTTTCCTCTCCATGCTCTGCTAAATCGTTGCCTGTACGCGCCACGTCTAGCGCCTTGTTTCTACGCTAGCACTTAGCACCTTATTCGTCATCACGCGCTCTTCTTATCTACATGTATGTGCTAAGTGTTGGTGTAGAGGCAAGGTGTTAGATGTGGCCGCCGCTCTTGCTATATAGTTCATTGGAGCGAAGGCACAGTTGTTGTTTTTTCCAGAGTTCTGCTTGTGATGGTATTCTTCTGAATGGTCATCGAAGTAAATCTGAGTATGGTTCAAGACAGTTTGTTTGTTTGTATTCCTTATTTAGAGTGGGAAGTCCAAAACAGGCCCTAGCCTAATAACAATGGTCCCACTAAGTAGTTGCCTTTCGAGAGTATCTCTGGGTTTATGAGCCACTGCCCAGTCAATCGGCTCCGAGCAGTGTGAAATTTAGTACATTACTATGTGCAAGTATTTGTGGTGGGTCTGATCTACTCACCTCCCACCGCTTTAGGAGCTGCATCTGCGCCTTGATCCACACAGGGTGGTGGTGTCCCTACGGATGCCTTGATCCACACAGGGTGGTGGTGTCCCTACGGATGCCTTGATCCACACAGGGTGGTGGTGTCCCTACGGATGCCTTGATCCACACAGGGTGGTAGTAGTAGTAGTATTTATTATTTGACTAGGGGAGTCCCAACAGGCATGGCCTTGTTACAGGGAACCCTAGGTGAATCTTTGTGAGGTGAGCAAAAGTACCAGCAGATTGTGCCTGACGACAGTTTGGAGGAAGAGTGTTCCACCGACCTGCCGCCAGAAAAGAAACTGAGCGTGGTGGTGTCCCTACGGATGCCTTGATCCACACAGGGTGGTGGTGTCCCTACGGATGCCTTGATCCACACAGGGTGGTGGTGTCCCTACGGATGCCTTGATCCACACAGGGTGGTGGTGTCCCTACGGATGCCTTGATCCACACAGGGTGGTGGTGTCCCTACGGATGCCTTGATCCACACAGGGTGGTGGTGTCCCTACGGATGCCTTGATCCACACAGGGTGGTGGTGTCCCTACGGATGCCTTGATCCACACAGGGTGGTGGTGTCCCTACGGATGCCTTGATCCACACAGGGTGGTGGTGTCCCTACGGATGCCTTGATCCACACAGGGTGGTGGTGTCCCTACGGATGCCTTGATCCACACAGGGTGTGCAGCAGTGAGTCAGTCAAGTGTCAAGTCGTCGGCGGAATAGCGCGAGCTCCAGTGTGGGAGCAAACCCATTCCTAAACAAAATCATCGCCGAAGTCGCAACCTCTATTTCGTATCATAATGTGTGTGTGTGTGTGTGTGTGTGTGTGTGTGTTTATGTTTGTGTGTGTGTGTGTGTGTGTGTGTGTGTGTGTGTGTGTGTGTGTGTGTGTGTGTGTGTGTGTGAAAAAAAGGAAAAATAGGGATTCACTGGCCAGAAAAAGCCACTTCAATCAGCTGTGTGGTGGATACCAGGCTAAAATCAGTGGCAGTCAATTCATCAGCCTTGCAAGCTGTCGAATGGTGTAATCCCAGCACAAGTTGCTATGTCTAACATAGTGTTCGCTATCATCACTTCCGCGATGGGCATGTCTGAGGTCTGAGGTATGTGTGTGTGTGTGACTGTGTGTGTGTGTGTGTGTGTGTGTGTGTGTGTGTGTGTGTGTGTGTGTGTGTGTGTGTGTGTGTGTGTGTGTGTGTGTGTGTGTGTGTGTCAATGACTCAATGTATGTGTATGTGTGCAGATAACAGCGACACTTGCATCACGGCACAGCATTTCTTAGCGGTTGCCAACGCCAACTGGACCTCTAATAATACCTTTCAAAACGGAGTGACCGACTCCTTCTCTAAAGGCGTATATATCCTGTACTGGTGTGTCAAAGGGTATCATAGAGTTGACGGTGATCTGGTTAGAACCTGCTTGGGAGGAGGTGGTGGTCTGAACAATGAGAGTGTTGTTCGAAACTCATCATTACTATGGTCTGGAAGTGAACCCGTCTGTGAAGGTAAGGTTCGCACACACACACACACACACACACACACACACACACACACACACACACACACACACACACACACACACACAATGCCGATTTATCGTACAACGGGCTTATCAATAGTTATTATTCTACCCACTTACGGTAACATCCACGGGCCATGCAAGAGATGGGGACGGAGCGATAGGCAAACAGATGGACGCTTCACAACTGCAGAGCTTCTGCCTAATAGAAGTACAGACATCAAACAGGCAGACAGACAAACAGACAGAGCGAGAGAGAAATCCGGTGCCCGTTATCAAGCTTTAAAAGCGCTAAATTAATTACCATTAGCTTAGTTGCTTACTCCATCGGTGTCCATGTCCATTGATCCATCCCATCCCAAGATGAGGCTGCCACCAGGCATGGTACTGGTGTATGCCTGCTAGCTGAAAGGTTGATGATGAATCAGCATAGTTGAGCCTTAGCCTTAAGCAGGAGGGTGCAATGTGCACTGGATCAGCAGCTGCATGGAACTCAGTGAGCGGGTTCAACCATTAGCATGTTGCATTGCACAAGTGTTTTAAAATGTACTTCCATTGCACTCACACGGAGTTCAATGGGCAGGCAAATGAGACAAGAAACCCGGAGAGTGGACATCTTAAATGCAGGACAGTGGTGTAAAGTAGCCGTCAATAAATAACGGCACTTCGAAATAGACAGATCATACGGGAAGAAACCACGGTGTCTATTATCACACTACAAGCACTGGATGCAGAGCATAGAGTACAATGTGGTAGTGTGCACGAGAGGTGTAAGTGTGGTGCTGCAAGCCTATATTAGAGTGATATGAAGCATGGACAGAAGGGGGTAGTAACAGCACTGACGACATGACGTGCGGAGATGTCACCCAATGCCTGAGAAGGCAACGAGAGAAGTACTTGCTGGATTCTATCTTGCCAAGAGCCTCGTATTGACTGTGTTGCGTTGGCAAGCTCTATGTGAGCGAAAACTTCAAGATTAGCTTCTTGATAGGCTGCTCATCGGTTGGTTCTAACTATACTTGCACTGTACTGGTAGCAAACACCATATCTATTAGAGGCATATCCGGAAGATCAGGCCAGCAGCAGTGTGTTTGCCATTCCGCTGTAAATCGTCACCTTTGGTTCTGTGTGTGTCAACGTCCTACCTTGATGGCTGGTTTTAACACCCGCTCCCAACACACTGGCATTGGCTCCGATCCCTGGCCATGTGTACTACATGATGCTGTGACTGATACGTATCACCTTGGACAGCCAGATGACTACCATCACCAGCAGGGACGCCGTGACATGTTGTAGAGCTGACACCGACCCAGTTAGCGCCTGTACCATGTGTTTGAGGTGTGAAGCACTGAGCTCACCCGACACTGAGGCCTGCTGCTCACCACTGTAGGAAGTAGCTAAAATCCCACCTGGCGCCGTAGGTGAGCGCTCCGTTGCAATGCCTTCACCGCGTTTGTGATTATCGCATTCCTGCTATCAGCTACAATACATGCAATAGTGATTTCTAACCACTGCGGCCCCGTGTTGATACATTTCAGAGCCAAGCTAAACTGTGAAACACTCTCACCTGAGTATGCTCGCCAGCATTAGCCCATTTCCAAGCTGTATAACAGCTCTACTTTTTCCAATTCAGGCTTATTGTCATCTAGCAACACCTCCTGTGGCTGCAGTAATTTCTGGATTATTCGAACTAGACCGCCGGGTGTGAGCTTGACCAGCAGACCAGCAGACAGCCTTCATCTCCACCAAACACCATCAGTTGTCATCCTCTTGTTCCAGTTCCAGCTGCTTTCTGCCTGCACTGTTTGAGCTCTGACCGCATAGGTGTTCCTGGTGTTCTCTGCTCCCTGTCTGCGACTGGACACCATAGGAACGCTATATGGGAGGCCGCAGTGGAATGGACACCTGTGTTGAGACGTACACCTGTGTTGAGCCGTCACGCTATCCTAATTTGGCTACACGACTGAAGGAACTAGAGTTTGAAGAGCTGCTGGACAACAGCTTCTGGCAGTCTCGTGTCCCGAGTCGCCTTGAGCGACTTCTCCTGTATTCAGTACACAGTCAGAATATCACGCAAATCCAGGAATTGCTGGAGGTGGGTGCAGATGTCAACCATCGTGTCAGCTGTTATCGTGGTATAGGCAGTACGTACCTACATTGTGCTATTGGCCGAGGGTATGGCAACGTGGTCGAGACATTACTCAAGTGTGGCAAGAACGTCGACTTGACAATGACCGATGAACGCAATCACACAGCCTGCTACTCTGCCTACTTGATGGGGCATTTGGAGATTGTCAACCTGTTTCCCGTCAACACCATCTACACGGATGTTATCAGTGTGGTATCGACTTCTCCGTACGCGTACACCCACATCGACCTGTCTGCACCTTCCACCAATGTCTCTCCATCCCAGGAGTCTTGTCAGCCACACGTTGACGAGCCGGAAACCGACTACAGCGACTTAGCTGACCTGGAAGAGGCGGTGAATTCATTCTTCCGTGTGCACAGCTTGCATGATCTGGCTAAGCAGGGCTATGTGGATCAGATGGAGGATGTGCTCCGGGATGGGGACGACAATGGTAACTTCTGTGAAGTTCACCAAAGAGATGGGGACAACTTGACAGCATTGCATCATGCCGTGCGGAATGGTCGCACCGCTGCTGCACAGCTTCTCATCAAGCACGGAGCGGACCTCAGCCAGCAGGACCCGAGCGGCATTAGCACTCTGGCCATGGCGGTGCGTAAACACTGTAACTCGATGATTACCCTGCTCAGCGATACGTGTCAGGAAACAGACTATCTACTGGATGGTATCCACGAGGCTGCCTTCACTGGATATGCCCCCGCAATACGCATCATATCAGCAAAGAAGTCGTTAGACGTGAACTTCCGCCCGTACTCCTCACAGCCCGATGAGTCATCACCACCGGTCGGACACACACTGCTATCTATATCTGTTCACTATGGCAACAACGATGTCATGGTTGAACTGCTGAAGGCCGGCGGGGACCCTAACCGTATTGTTAACCACTACAACCTCAGCATTGTACACTTGGCTCTCAGAGAAACTATTGAAATTGGCTATCTACTGCGCTACAAGCCACGGCTGAATACCATCGAGGATAGCACAGGCGGCACAGCATTGCATCGCTTTGCTCGCTGGAACCGACTGCAATCCGCCGTGGCACTTGTGTATGCTGGCGCCGATCTGAGCGTGCGGGATCGCCAGGGCATGACGCCAGCACAGGTGGCCGACCAAGAAGGTCTGCATCGTTTCTCGGAGGCCATGCATGACCTGCAGTACAAGCTGCAGGAGATGTGTTTACGGTCAGTGCGGTCCCGCCTGCCAGCGGACCTTACCGAGGAGATGCTGGACAAACTACCTCTTACCCCGCTGATCAAGCTACGTCTCATGTACTTAAATGAGTGACTGACACCCGGGTACCGGACTGGCTGATGAATCTCTAGGACAAACCATGGACATGACACCACTGGTTTGTGACTCACAACACATACACTCATGACCAACTTCTGACCCCAAACCGAACAGTAATGACTTCTGATACTTCTGACAGCTTATATCACTGATTTGTGTCCTTGAGTGAACCGGACGGATAACTACTTAATCTGCAACATTTTTTCTGCAAACGGAAATGCTCAAGATGAGGAGAGTTCTTCTAAATACTTGCCTCAGGAACTGATACCACTGTACTTGTTATCGCCGATCTAAATGTGGCCTTCCATTTTCGCCCTACTTTATCGAGTTGCATTGTTTTACCGATTCAAGCACATTTTTCTCTGCTCCCTTTTTTAATGAACACCCATCCTATCTCATTTCCCACCATTTATATTCCTTTCATTTTTCCAGTTGTATGCTCGAGTTGTTTTAGAATGCCCCCTGAAATGGCTAAAGAAAAGAAATGCAAGTTAACAACACGTAATCTTGGCTAGCCGGGGATGCCCCGGGGCTTATCCAGGGTCATTGTGCTATCCTGAAGTGTCCACTAGAGTACTTTGTGGCTTGTGCACTAATCTGGGGACCACATTATCGTGTCCCCAGAGTGTGCACAATTCATCCACAGCATATCGGGTACCGGTTTCTCCCATGGGGCACCCAGCCCATCCCGGTTGGCCTACGTGCTCCTCCCTGGTGTTGCAGCACAGTACCGTGTGTGTTATAGTGTATACATGGTGTGTAAGGACATTTCGTCATGCAGTAGGCTCATGTCAGGCATTGTTTGCCGCCCTCGTTGTTGAGGTGTTTGGGCCGCTAGTCACCGGCACTCTGGAATGGTGAGTGCCCACTAGGCAACAAGCGGGCGTTAGCATCACATGTTCATGTGTGTACACCAACACGTGATGACATGGACCTGTAGCTGGTTGTGGAGTACCCTGCCCCGCAGGCTGCCCTGCCCTGCCTTTCCCACTTAGACTGGTCTAGGTGTGCTGTTCACATTTTGGCAGAAACTGCAGCTACATGAACTGTTAAGTAAGGCCGGGTGGTCTGTACGTACTAACTGTGATGGGTAGGCGGGCTGCATGAGAGACAGTGATGCCACGGTAGACTGGAATCACACCAGGGAGTAGTATTTTACGACTCCCTGAGTCACACAGAGGTGCCCCAAGTAGAGACGTCACACAGAGGTCCCGGCAATGATTGACAAGTCACACAGAGGTGCCCGGGTCGTTGAGAAGTCACACACAGGCCAGTGCCCGGGTTGCGAAGTCGCAACAGTGTTGCATATCACGTCGGCATTGTTGCATATCACGTCGGCATTGTGATATTAAGTAATTCACTCCTCAGGTAGGACATGCAGAGCATATACTACATGTGATCCGCATCAGCGCATCACGGCTGCACACTCGACACATTGTATATCGATTTACCGCTACACTCGGAGCCATGACTGAGTATGGTATTCCACAGAGCCATGACTGAGTATGGTATTCCACGGTGGCTAATAACTCAGATGAGAGTTAGCACCTTCACTATACTCTTGGAGCAGAACTACAGAATTGTAGTATATCCACCGAACCAATGCAGGGTCATCCTCCAGTCCTAAAGTAGGCGATGTAGGTCACAACTGAGGAATTTTCAAGGTAGACATTCCTTGGCCAGTAGCCTTTTAAGGCAAAAACTTTAAAAAAAGTTTTGACCTCTGGGGAGAACTTGCAAAACTGTTGTTTTCATCCATCGTGTCTTTGCTGGTGTGTGGCGTGTTGTGATGCACACACGGTTTGTGATGTGATGTGCTCTGCTGTCCTGCTCTAGATATTGATGAATGTGTGAATGGCACCCATGACTGTCATGACAACGCTACCTGCACTAATACCCCAGGACACTGGGTGTGTACATGTGACAGTGGTACCAACGGCCCTGGGCAGGTCTGCTACCGTAAGTCAATCACACCAGATGTGGATAGAGCCTTCAAGATTGAACCCCTGGGTTATAAGTTATAACCCCCACTCTCCGGCTTACTTGGATAAGAGACTTGCAATCAGACAGGACAAGTGTCCAGGGTACAGCTCAGCTCTGTCAGTCTCCTGCTTACTGAGACTATTCTTGTGTGCAGGAGTTGTAAAATAATGACTTATGAAACGTATTTGCGTGGTATATCATGTAGCGTGCAACACTGCGACTGCACTGCACTGCACTGCACTGCACACTGTGTCACCCAAGTGTGCAGTGCAGTATACTGTAGATCTACATGTACCTGATTATACTGTTTGGTTGGCAGCTGGCCTCAGTACGAATGTGTATGATATGCATGATTGTGTTTGCAATGGCATGTCTTGCTCTTTCTGACTGCAATGATGATGGAAAAAAGCCAGAATTATTATCAGAAGATGTGTTTCATGTGGTTCGGTGCCCATGTCTGCACAGTGCATACCTACATGTGACGTATATGCCTGTGCACGTACCTACTGTGCATTTTTTATGTATGCGCTTGTACCGACCGTGCACTTTTCTTGCATGTGCCTGTACCGTGGCTTCTGTGTGAATGTTGTGGACTAATATAGCACCTTTCCCCTTATGTTCTGTTGTCACATCTGCAGCCGACTGTCCCCGCGCTCTGACTGTGGCACATGCAAGCACTAGCGTTGGTCCACTCCAATCAGTGGAGCTCAACGCCACCCTGACTAATGTGTCCATCACATGTGACATGGGCTATGAGCTTAACCAGACCGTCGCTGCCACTACTCAATGCAGTGCTGCAGGTGACTGGACACCGGTTCCCGTGTGCAGTCGAGTTAACTGTGGTGTGCCGCGGGATGAGAGCGGTGCACACGTGACTTCACTGGCCAACGGGCAGATCAACGGCACGGCGCACGTCTTTGAGAGCGTAGTGCGCTACTCTTGCAACCCGGGCTATGTTCTTCAGGGCGATACGTCGCTGACGTGTTTGTCCAGTTCCGCCTGGTCTTCGGTGACACCGATGTGCATGGCAGACTGTGGTGCTTACACGTACACACCATTGCACGGTGGTCTAGTGCTGCTCAACGATAGTTCAACGTTACAGGACTCTCTAATAGAGCTACGCTGTGACACTGGCTACACTCTATCCGGTGAGTCTGAAGCACGGTGTGGCAACAACACACAGTGGCAACCGGACCTGAACAGCTCCCTCTGTCAGATTGTCGACTGCAATGAGCCCACTGTACCGCAGTTTGCAGAGCTGCAGATGCCGACTGCAGCAACTACCTACAATACTACACGGCGCATCCGCTGCATGGATGGTTACACTCTGGTTGGTATGGGTGAAACCACATGCTCGGCGCTGGGCGCATGGATGCCCGACCTAAACAACTCGTCTCGTTGTGATCCCGTCGATTGTAAAGCACCAGTTAACCCTGCTAATGGTCTGACATCCCTGGACAGCGGCACACAGACAACTTTGTTTTCCACGGCCACGATCACCTGTTACACAGGGTATACACTAAACGGTGCCAATCTAACACAATGTGAAACATCAGCCATGTGGTCACCCCAACCCAACGCTACAAAGTGCGAGCCTGCCATCTGCGGAGCACTTCCATCGCTTAGCAACGGAACGATTGCGGGAACCCAATATACTTTTGGTGAGACACTCGTATTCACCTGTGACAGTGGGTTTCAGCTCTTGGGGAAGAATTCGACCGTGTGCCAGGCAGATGGTGCATGGTCTTCGTCTGTTTCCACGTGTGAAGCAGTCGATTGCCAAGACCCGGGCACTCCTCTCAATGGCACAAGGCTGGGCGATATATTCACCTTTCCTTCAGCCGTGGAGTATTCCTGTGATTTTGGCTTGATTGTGTCTGGTAGTGGACGAGCTACTTGCCTCCCTGATGCTACATGGTCGTCTCCTGTCCCTGTGTGCGAGCTGGTAGATTGTGGAAACCCGACCAGTCCTGCTAACGGACTATCATCCCTGTCGGTGGCTAGTGAAACGACTCTGTTTGCTGAAGCCACGATTGCCTGCACTAGTGGCTATGTGCTGAGGAGTGGTGCTAATATTACACAGTGTGCACACGCAGGGCTGTGGCTTCCAGACCCTAATGCTACACGATGTGAGCCTATCGACTGTGGAGCGCTCCCAGCCCTGAGCAATGGATCAATATCCGGAACTTCATTCACTTTCCAGAAGGCACTGACATTCGCCTGCGACAGTGGCTTTTACCTTATCGGGGAAAATACGGCAATCTGTGAGGCGGATGGAACATGGTCGTCCTCTCAGCCGACATGTGAACCGGTCGATTGCAAAGACCCAGGTACACCTCTGAATGGGTCCAGGACGGGTGACGTGTTCACGTACCCTGCCACATTAGTGTACTCCTGTGATACTGGTCATAACATATCCGGCAATGGAACGCTGTCTTGCCTTTCCTCTGCATTGTGGTCATCTGCTGCACCAACGTGTGATCCAGTTGACTGCAAAGACCCAGGAACACCGATGAATGGCTCAAGAATGGGGAATGTGTTCATGTATCCTTCAGCAGTGGACTATTCCTGTAACAGTGGCTTCAATCTGTCTGGTACCGCAAGAGTTTCTTGCCTTCACACTGCCGCGTGGTCATCTCCTCTCCCAACTTGTGAACCGGTCAATTGCAAAGATCCAGGGACACCTCTGAATGGGTCCAGGGCGGGTGACTTGTTCACGTACCCTGCCATAGTAGTGTTCTCCTGTGATACTGGTCATAACATATCCGGCAATGGAACACTGTCTTGCCTTTCCTCTGCATTGTGGTCGTCTCCTGCACCAACGTGTGATCCAGTTGACTGCAAAGACCCAGGAACACCGATGAATGGCTCAAGAATGGGGAATGTGTTAACGTATCCTTCAGCAGTGGACTATTCCTGTAACAGTGGCTTCAATCTGTCTGGTAGCGCAAGAGTGTCTTGCCTTCACACTGCTGCGTGGTCGTCTCCTCTCCCAACATGTGAACCGGTCGATTGCAAAGATCCAGGTACACCTCTGAACGGGTCCAGGACAGGTGACGTGTTCACATACCCTGCCACAGTGGTGTACTCCTGTGATATCGGTCATAATATATCCGGCAATGCAACGCTGTCTTGCTTATCATCTGCCTCATGGTCGTCCTCTATTCCTACATGCAAACCAGTGGATTGCCGAGATCCAGGTACTCCCGTGAACGGAACAAGAACCGGCAATGTATTTACATACCAATCAGCGTTGGACTACACCTGTGACTCGGGCTATGACCTGTCTGGTGATGCTAGACTGGCTTGCTTGTCCTCTGCCCAATGGTCATCTTCTGTACCGACATGTCAGATTGTCAGCTGTGGTTCGATCCCTGCCCCTGCAGGCTCCAAGTTCCGATTTGGCGTGCATGGCATGACCTACTTGAGCAATGTCAGCATTGCATGTGTTGATGGCTATGTATTGTCAGGCCAGCGTCATGCTACCTGCCCGGCTAGTGGCCATTGGGATGTGGATTTCAACAGCACTCGCTGCAATCCGGTCAGCTGCGGTGTGCCTCCACTGTTGAGCAATGGCTTGTATGCTGGTCCAATAAGCTACACCTTTGGGGATCAGCTTACGGCTGTGTGTGATCGTGGTCATACGGTGGCAGGCTTGACAAACATATCGTGTTTGTCGAACAAGACCTGGTCCAATGCCTCTTGGTCTGGTGTGCAGCCAGCATGCCAGCCAGTCAACTGCGGGACATTACCAGCGGAGCCTGCGTTTGGTACTCGCACTGGCAACACGTCCACGTACACATCTCCAGCCCTGAAATTCTCATGTAGTCCTGGTTATATCCTTTATGGGAATAACACAATAGTGTGCCTGGCAAGCGGAAATTGGTCATCGCCCGCGCCACACTGCCGTGTGCGAGACTGCGGCCCGCTGGTGCTCAACACGACCGGAGTGCTGGTGTTGAGTGGTGGAGCCACAACGTACGGTGAAACACTGGAGTTTAGATGTGCTACCGGCTACTACATATCCGCTGGTGATAGCGAGAGGCAATGCTCAGCAGATGGGATGTGGAACGGCATTGCTCTGGAATGTTCCCGTGAGTACGATACTTGTATACAGTGGTGCGGATATATAGCGGTGTTATTTGCCAGCATACCCGGGGTTGGTGATTGAACTTCCAGTACCGATGTCATTGATTGTTCTTCTTGAAATTGCTGACTTTCAAATAACTGCGGTACGGCATACATAGGATCATGATACCGGTAAATGTGTTGTATTGGCAATACATGTATATAAAGTACTGAACGGATGTTAGAGGTAGTTGCTTGCACTCAATAGTTGGTTTCTTGCCATGATAGATGTTGCAGCAGAGCTCTTGGCTATTCAATAGATTTGAAGTTCCTCTCCCAACCACCGCCACCGCCACTACACATTGCGTCCTAATTGAATCGCACATCGTTTGTACACCATATTCACTGTGCACGCCGCGAGCACACTCATCCTCACTCTAGTGGTTGTGGTGCATGCAAGATGAGTGCAGACTGTATGGGATACAATGTAGTGGTGCTGTTGGTGCTGGTGCTGGTGGTGCTGGTGCTGGTGCTGGTGGCGGTGGTGGTGGGGTGGTGCTGGTGATGCTGCTGGTGCTGGTGCAGCGGGGAGTCTCTCTATATTTCCATGATTTACTTCGAAGTACGTCTCATCACGAGCACAGTGTACTGTATTGACCCGTGGAGAGCAGCTCACCAGGGACATGCTACACCAGGGACTTGCTACACCAGGGACATGCTACACCAGGGACATGCTACACCAGGGACATGCTGGGAAATTATAGCGCCAGTTGTCAAGCATCTTCCCCTCAAGCCAGTGCCGGAATTGTCAAGCATCTTCCCCTCAAGCCAGTGCCGGAATTGTCAAGCATGTGCATTACACAGTTCAGATCATTCATGCATTGTATTACCATGGTTACTCCATGTCACACAATACTCAGTTTCCCTGGTAACTTATGCCGGTCTATGCCTGTCTGCCTGTCTGCCTGCCTGTCTGCCTGTCTGCCTGCTGCAGCTATTGTCTGTACGTCAACGGAAGTGAAGAACGCAGATGTGAAGGTGTTTGATATGGGACAGGTCTTGGAGGTGCAGTGCAACACGGGCTATTTGCCAAGAGAGAAACAGTCTCACAGCTGTGTCAGCGACGGTGATCCACGCAGTGACTCTGCACACTGGCATCCAGCAGTCACCGACTGCAGTATCGTTGAATGTAGCAAGTTAGAAATCCCGCCAAACGTCGTCATAACCAATAATGACACTGGTATTGTGTTCAACAGCAGGTACTCATTTGAGTGTGCCAGTGGCTATCAATTTGATGGAGAACCAGAGCTCATTATCCGCTGCCTGGCCTCGGGAAACTGGAGTGGTCCTGCTCTGCAATGTCAGGGTATGTACATGTAACTGTCCTTGTTGTTTTCTTTGCTGGGTACAGCCAGGGATTGCTGGGTACACTGGGTACACTGGGTACAGCCAGGGATTGCTGGGTACAGGGATTGCTGGGTACAGGGATTGCTGGGTACAGGGATTGCTGGGTACAGGGATTGCTGGGTACAGGGATTGCTGGGTACAGGGATTGCTGGGTACAGGGATTGCTGGGTACAGGGATTGCTGGGTACAGGGATTGCTGGGTACAGGGATTGCTGGGTACACAGGGATTGCTGGGTACAGGGATTGCTGGGTACAGGGATTGCTGGGTAGTACAGGGATTGCTGGGTACAGGGATTGCTGGGTACAGGGATTGCTGGGTACAGGGATTGCTGGGTACAGGGATTGCTGGGTAGTACAGGGATTGCTGGGTACAGGGATTGCTGGGTACAGGGATTGCTGGGTACAGGGATTGCTGGGTACAGGGATTGCTGGGTACAGGGATTGCTGGGTACAGGGATTGCTGGGTACAGGGATTGCTGGGTAGTACAGGGATTGCTGGGTACAGCCAGGGATTGCTGGGTACAGGGATTGCTGGGTACAGGGATTGCTGGGTAGTACAGGGATTGCTGGGTACAGGGATTGCTGGGTACAGGGATTGCTGGGTACAGGGATTGCTGGGTACAGGGATTGCTGGGTAGTACAGGGATTGCTGGGTACAGCCAGGGATTGCTGGGTACAGGGATTGCTGGGTACAGGGATTGCTGGGTAGTACAGGGATTGCTGGGTACAGCCAGGGATTGCTGGGTACAGGGATTGCTGGGTACAGGGATTGCTGGGTACAGGGATTGCTGGGTAGTACAGGGATTGCATGCTGGGTACAGCCAGGGATTGCTGGGTACAGGGATTGCTGGGTACAGGGATTGCTGGGACAGGGATTGCTGGGTACAGGGATTGCTGGGTACAGGGATTGCTGGGTACAGGGATTGCTGGGTACAGGGGTTGCTGGGTACAGGGGTTGCTGGGTACAGGGATTGCTGGGTACAGGGATTGCTGGGTAGTACAGGGATTGCTGGGTAGTACAGGGATTGCTGGGTACAGGGATTGCTGGGTACAGGGATTGCTGGGTACAGGGATTGCAGTAATCAATTAACAGCTTGTAATCATTCACCTGTTTGAACTGATTGTGTACCTCCATTTCCATATTTTCATGATTTTACTTCGAAGTAGTATTGCATGCCACTATGGAATTATAGTATGGACCCCCCCCCCCCCCTCCCCGTTATCCATGCCATGCATTATAGTATGGATGGCCGTTATCCATGCCATGCATTATAGTATGGATGACCGTTATCCATGCCATGCATTATAGTATGGATGGCCGTTATCCATGCCATGCATTATAGTATGGATGGCCGTTATCCATGCCATGCATTATAGTATGGATGGCCGTTATCCATGCCATGCATTATAGTATGGATGGCCGTTATCCATGCCATGCATTATAGTATGGATGGCCGTTATCCATGCCATGCATTATAGTATGGATGACCGTTATCCATGCCATGCATTATAGTATGGATGGCCGTTATCCATGCCATGCATTATAGTATGGATGACCGTTATCCATGCCATGCATTATAGTATGGATGGCCGTTATCCATGCCATGCATTATAGTATGGATGGCCGTTATCCATGCCATGCATTATAGTATGGATGGCCGTTATCCATGCCATGCATTATAGTATGGATGGCCGTTATCCATGCCATGCATTATAGTATGGATGGCCGTTATCCATGCCATGCATGGCACCTCTTGCTGGAGAATGTCACAGGAAGGTAGTGTGCCAAGTTCTCCTCTGCCTTACTTCACATCTGACTTCATACTCTTGTCCAACATAACATTGGTATGCCTGTGTGTGCTTTCTGGCATTTCTTTTTTGCTCTGTGCCTACACTACACCTAACGATGATGTCATCTTCTTGTGCTATGCCACAACCATGACATCATTACTATGTCGGACAATGCAGAAGCTGTAAGTGCATGGATTGTCCAGCACTACAATCATACTTATCATCAACAGTTGAACGCAATGCATTGAGTTGTGTGTACAACAGTTTGTAAACCATTCATCCGACAGAACAACAGGTGAAAAAATTAAGACTGTGACAATGCTTTTATGAATAACTCTTCACTTCTCCAACTCCGAGAAAAAGAACAATACCATAATTATCGTGTATTCATACGTTTGGCGGTGTATATGCTACTTGGAAGACATAGCTGTCTAGTTTTGCCAGGCTAAGCATGTTCACAACAGCACGTCAATGTAATCAGACTGTGCGAGCAGCTTTTGCTGAACTTCTCATTTCAGTATCGGCATAGGCTTAGCCATGCAGATGACTTGTAATGACGTGACATGCGCCGATATCATCTATTTGTCTGCCCTGTGCTGGTATTAGGTGAAGGAAACTGGTGATGACTTTCCACTGTGGGTTCTTGCCATTATCATTCCCTTGCTTCTGCTACTACTGCTGATCATACTGCTGTGTTTGATACGGCGCAGGGTACGTACTGCATGTGATATAGGACATCTCAGTTGTGTCTTGCCAGTGTGTCAGTATGCTAGTGTGTTACAGCAGCACTAGGTATAATTATCAGTTCTGGTCCTGCTGCTGCTGATACATGTACATAACACTATAGAGTATACTGAAGTAGGCTTCGTGTACTTGTAGCAGAATTTACTGACAAAGAACTCCTGCGTGGAGTACTGCTAAGTTGTATTCCGAAATTTGATTCTCTATCGAGATCCATGCCTGGCGATAAGTCACTGATGGAGGTGGGATAAGGGAGAGAAACAACCAGTCTTATGCTCTTACACCAAATGAGACACATGATAAGACCACCTTAGATACATCAGATTGTATTCTTCTGAAGGTCTGTACAGCCGGATTGGCCAAGAACAGTTCAAGTGCAGATGCCAGCTGATCATGTTGATTCGCCAACACACTGCCCATCTCAACTGACTTACAAAATGCTGGTGTGTAGACTCTAGACTAATACTAGCGACGAGGAAGCAACAGACTCTCTAACAATACAGGTGTGTATAAATCTGGTTCACTTCTATTGTCTGTAGGAACAGCGCAAAAAGGAACAGCGAGCTGCGGCTGAGGAGCCGAAAGTTGGAACGGTGGAGACGTTTACGAGAAAACCATCGGTCATCGAGCGATTCCGTTCCCGCCAGTCCTCGTCATCGTCGTCATCATCTGCTCTTCCCTCACCCGGCATGGAAATGGACCCGGTCGTCACTGGTGGCACGGCTATTGGTGTTGAGCTGGATAAGACGGAACAGGCAGAGACATCAACAGCAGCGGCGGCAGTGGCGGTGGTGGTGGTGCCGAATCCAGCCAGCACAGAAGGCAGTGATAGAAACTCCATGACAGTGCGCGAGCTGCCCGAAGAACTGGAGGTGAGCGAGTGCGGTGCCGTGTGAGTCAGTGGGTGTCAGTGTGAGTCAGTGGGTGTCAGTGGGTGTCAGTGGGTGTCAGTGTGAGTCAGTGTGAGTCAGTGGGTGTCAGTGGGTGTGAGTCAGTGGGTGTCAGTGGGTGTGAGTCAGTGGGTGTCAGATGGGAAGCATTGATTGACTTGTACAATGTACAACATTAAAGAGGGTCATACAGAAAACAAAATAACTGTGAATCATCAGAAAGGGAAAGAGAGAAAAGGTAGAGCAATCCGTCGATGCCCACTTACTAGTTACTACAAGAAACATGGCTTAGGCCACACCAAGTTTTTTCATTGTTTCTCGTCACCGCGCGCGTACCTTTCTTGAGGATTGGACCAAAAAAAATCTCGCGTCCCGGTAAACACGCATAAAAAGGCGTTGTAAAAGTACGCGCGGCGTCAAATCTGGAGTGCAGTGCTAGTGCACGAACCGAAGGACGACTTTTGCACCGTGTATGTACGCATACCGGTAGTTCAAGTACCACCCCTTGTATAATAACTTTGGTTTGCTTTCTTTCCTATTTAAATAACATGCAACACTGGACTTCCTCACCAGAGGCCGGTGCAGGAGCCTGGTTTTCTGGCTGTATGTTGCAATTGACTGTCACGCGTGGTGTATAGTCTGATTTTAGGTCATAAATTGGGCCTTTGTAGTGTAAATAGCAGTTTTTGTTTTTCAAACCCTATTTTGTTTTTTTTCCGCCCGCCCGCGTTCCTTTTGAGATTTTCAGGTGACGAGAAACTCGGCAATGAAATAACTTGGTGTGGCCTTACTTCAAATAAATAGAAATCACGTCTCACTGTCAGTGTGCATGTCTATGCTGGTGATGTGCCTGTGATCTATGCTGGTGATGTGCCTGTGATCTATGCTGGTGATGTGCCTGTGATCTATGCTGGTGATGTGCCTGTGATCTATGCTGGTGATGTGCCTGTGTTGATCAGATCCTGAGCAATCCTCTTCACGGCCCTGCGTTGGTGATCTTCTCGGACAACTATGAAACCGTTCTTGACGAGTTCAGGGTGAGTTGCAGGTCTCATGTACACTGTATGTACTTACCAGCTGTTTCTGATTGCTAAGCAATACTCATGTGTGTGTGTGTGTGTGTGTGTGTGTGTGTGTGTGTGTGTGTGTGTGTGTGTGTGTGTGTGTTGCGGCGTATAGTTTGACAACACTATTGACATGACCACTCAGCTGGTTGCATGCCATTCACTAGCCTCGGTCTAATGAGCCATTCTCAGTCCATGTCTGGTTCTGCTGTGCTTTGAATGTTACCATGGTGACGTTGCTGCAGACAATTCCGCTGAACATGGCCCCGGAGTCGGACATCCCGCCCGGTGTTCTCTACAAGAACAGGTTCCGCAACGTTCTGCCCAACGCACACACCCGTGTGCCATTGCCGCTGCTCTACAGCGAACCGCACAGTGACTTCATCAACGCAAACTTTGTGCGCGTAAGTACAGGCATGCGGTGTCACCATGCCAACTCAGTATTTTTTATCTTTTTTATTGTATTTTTTCACGAGTTTGTTGCCTCAACAGTACAATGTACAGCTTCAAATCTGTACACAGTCTGCTGCATGGCTGATAGCAGGCTCAGCGTGACTGCACACTGCACACATAGTGTGTTAGACTGGCAAACCGCCGGGCCACAGTGACCGGGTGACCGAGATGAAGCTGTGGCTGGCTCAGCGGCACCGGCCGGGTGTGCATCCGAGTACACCGCATGAGTCACAGTGATTCTCTTCTGGGCCCCATGGTACAGTGTTTCCTGGCACTGCATCGTTGACTACACTACCCATTACAAACTTCTAGCGGGAGGCTGACCTACTGGGAGTACTTGAGTCCGTAGGTCGGTGACCCGGCAGTATCCTGTGCAGGACATGGAGCATAACCATGGCCGCTGACTGACTTGAGCATATCTATCATGATGTTCTCGGAGCATCTGTTTGCAAGCTTACTTATACCTATAGCGGCCCTTGGCCCAGTGAATGAGTGAATGATTGTGGAACTGATTATGAGTGGTAAGGCTTGCGATACCTGCTACAGTACTATAGTCGTGTATATCCGCATCTATTGCGTTGGTTTGACATATGAAACCATTCTGTTGTTGTTGGCTGTCTGATAGGGTTACGGCCAAGCTCCTCGCAAGTACATTGCCACACAGGGACCGCTGATGGGCACCATGGGTGACTTCTGGCGCATGGTTTGGAAATACGACGTGTCAGTCATCGTGATGCTGACTGGACTGGTGGAGAATGGAAAGGTAAGTTGGTGGGACGGTGTCTCCGGCGCTGGGGTTGGAGCACGGTATAGCTGTGGCTGACCTTGGTATGCGGTTTCCGACTGAGTCACTGAGTGGAGCTCAGAGCAAACCTTCCTGCTGTACATCTACCTGGAAAAAGAAGAACTTACACGAGCGGCTATGATACACGTTGGCCGGTTTTGTGTGTGATGTACATGTGTATATATGCGGGTGTCTTCTCTAGCAAGTTAAACTGTCAGTGAATGCTACAATTCTCAGCATGAGCTCCTACAGCTGTGTGCATCCCATCTAGACTACTGTTGCCAAGACTGGTAGTATTTCCTTCTTTGATGGATATCTATAATTATGGTCTACCAACGAGGGCCACTTGTGTGCATGAAATGAATGTGTGTCTGTCTTTCTGTGCCTGTGTCTGTGTCTGTTTGTATGTATATGTGTGTATGTGTGTGTGTGTATGTCTGTGTGCGTGTGCGCGTGCGTGCGTCATGGTGTGTGTGTGTGTGTGTGTGTGTGTGTGTGTGTGCGTGTGTGTGTGTGTGTGTGTATTGCAGAACAAGTGTAGCAGCTACTGGCCACAGGAAGGTGGGCAGACAATGGTGATAAATGACTTGCTGATAACATGCCAGTCTACAGATGTGTTGGACGTCTACACTCTCACCACCCTGACCATATTCCATTCCAAGGTGAGATGCAACTACAGTACAAGTCTGCTACTGAGTGTTACAGACGCACTTTCGCGTTATCACTATGCAAATAGTTCTTTCTGAGTCATCTACAGCAGCTACTGTTGGTGGTGGTGGTGGTGGTGGCGGCGGTGGTGTGGTTGTCGTTGTTGCTTGCTTGCTCAGCCGGGTGGGTTTGCAAGGCCGCTGAGCTAGCAGGGTCACTGGAGGATGGCAGATAGTGGCGCAGTCCGAGCACTCTATAATCTCTCCGGGTGTTTGTGATGCAATCTGCATTGCTCGAGCAGTTGTGTTTGAGCTGCCGGTAGCTAACTGCCTTGGTGCACATGTATCCCAATTGTCCACTGTGTGCTGCTGCAGAGCAACACAACGCACGAAGTCAAACATTACTTCTTCTCTTCTTGGCCCGACCACGGGGTCCCGAACGAGCCCGACATGCTGACATTTGTACGCGCTGTCTCTCCAGCCATGCGCTGGTCAAAGGCACCCACCGTGGTCCACTGCAGGTTAGTTCTTTCTCACACCTCACATTAGCCGTAACCAGTGCAGGGTTGGCTACAGGCAGCCATATTACAAGAACTATGCTTCTCCGACGGGTTTTTTTTCCAGATATTCAGCCTGTGAGAAGCGTCCATACATGTAGCTTCATGCATGACAATACATGTACAAACAACATTGACTATAATGTTAACTGCTAAAGGGCTAGGCCAGGCATGGGTGTTGTTATTGTTGCTTGCTTCTAGGTTGTAACCTATAGAGGTTGTGCCACTACATCCGGGATGATTTGAGATGCTTTGTAAGGAGTTGTAAAGCTGCAGCGCAGTGGTTTACTTGTGCTGGTTTTGCCGTACAAACTAGCATACGGTGTGTATGGATTGCCACCCGGCCGGGTACTCAGTACTCATTCCGCCCACTCTCTACAAGTCACAGCACTCTGCGGGGTAACTTTTGTTTTACTGCAGTAGGAATGGTAATGGTAGGAGTGGGGAGTGTGAAGTATTCAATGGGTATCATCTGTTGTTACTGTACGCTAACTGCATAATACATGGACATGTATCATCAACCACCGCATCACAACTGCGCTCTCCAGCCAGCCTCGGCACGTTGCCACAGCACACCATTATCAGGAAAGCGACACATCTGTTGGTACTCAGTTCCTTCACACAGCGCTGGAGAGCGCCGCTGGAGAGCGCCGCTGCCGAGCGCAGTTAGGGTATGGTAGTTGGTGATAAATCTGTTCAGTGCCAAATGCTGCCTCTTACCCTTTATTTAACATGTGCATGATTGTACTCGATTGTACACTATGCCACAGTGCTGGAATAGGCCGCACGGGTGCCTTCATCACTGTGGACACCGCCATGCAAGAACTGCTCACGAGTGGAACGTGCGACGTCCTGAAGATTGTGGCCACGGCGCGAGAGGACCGAGGCGGTCTGGTGCAAAACCAGGGACAGTATCTGTTCGTGTATAGGGTAAGCAACAGCTTGTGAACTGTCTATGTTATTTGTATGCTGACTGTCCATGTTATTTGTATGCTGACTGTCTGCTGTATCAGCGCTTGCATGTGCTAAGATCATCTCGCTCCGTTACTGGCTGTGCGCGGATGCTTGTATACTTATACTGTAGGGAATCTGCTGGTCTATGCCTCCGAGTCACCTGTTGAAATGTTGGCCACTTGAACCCTGTGTACACATCCAGTGGGTGAGCAATGACTGACAAATTCCAACAGACTACTATCCATGCTGAAGGCTGTACAGACTACTATCCATGCTGAGGGCTGTACAGACTACATGTACTACATGCTACAGTCAACATACAGATCACATCCAAACGAAGTACCAGTATAACTCAGGGACTACTTCTTTGATCTGTGATCATGCCATCAGACGATGTCGTGGCTGGCTGTGCTCGGTCTGACTCTCTCTCTCTCTCTCTCTCTCTCTCTCTCTCTCTCTCTCTCTCTCTCTCTCTCTCTCTCTCTCTCTCTCTCTCTCTCTCTCTCTCTCTCTCTCTCTCTCCTCTCTCTCTCTCCCTCCCTCTCCCTCTCCCTCTCCCTCTCCCTCTCCTCTCTCTCTCTCTCTCTCTCTCTCTCTCTCTCTCTCTCTCTCTCTCTCTCTCTCTCTCTCTCTTTCTTTCTCTATGTTATGTTTGTGGGCTGTGCCGCAGGTGTTAGGCCGCTTCATCAAGCGCATGCAAGGCGAAGTACCGGAGGAGGACGAAGCCAGCTTCTCTTCAGAGATCGACATCACGGTGACTGCTCCCAACGGCACCGTATTCGACAGCCACGCAGTGCGGCGTATGAGCACTGTACAGCGTGCCCTCAGCGCCAGCCAAGCCAACGACCAGGTGGCTGCTGCTATCACCATGGCTGCCTCCAGTGAGCTGAACCTACATCAGCTGGACCAACAGGAGAAGGACAAGCCCGCCGGCAATGCTGAAGAGAACGTCACTCCTAACAATAGCGACGCCACTGATGGAGCAGTGCCTGCTGTTACGCATGTAGCTGATAAATTCAACAACGCTGTTGATCAGCAAGCTCTCCACGCCAATAGTCTTCCTGCACCACGCAAGAACAGCAATATAGATCTGGCCAACGAGCATCAAGTCACTCGTATCAAAAGTACATTTGAGTCCAGTCGCGGCGGCGGTCCGCGTGACAGCAGTAACCTCACCTACGTCAACCAAACTCATGAAGACGTGGTGTTACGTGCACCCCCGCCCAAGCCGCATGCAGCACCGCCTGTAGCGCCCAGAGCCCCGGCTCCCAATCCTCCGAAAGATGCTAACGATGTGTCCCTGTCAGCTCCTGCCGGCACGTCCACATCAGACTTAAACAGTGCATCGGCCACACTTGTCTCACAGATCGACAAGGTACTGGCTGACCTAGACAGTGGACTAGACGATTTCACAAGTGATGTTGCGTTGGCCTGATATATAGCCTGGTGATACTAACCCGAACACTGCAGGCCTGGTCAGTCATCACACGGTGGCAGTATGCTAAGTCGCACTGGCTATCTGGGCTAATCGAGAACAGCCACAGCCACCGCAACAGCCATCGCTGGTCTGATGTCCTCACAAAAAGCTGGCACACATCGACAGATTTTACCCAGTGTGCGGCGTAGTGTGCCATTGAGCGATTGAAACCGACCATGACTTCTAATGATGCCTTTTATCCTAGTGCGTGCTTACAAAACAGAGAACAAGTGCCAGTCAAGATGCCGGCCCCTTCTGCATGTCATACTTATTCTGCAACTGAGTTGAAGCTTTATCATGCCCCCCCCCCCCCCCTCCAAACACACACCACACACACACACACACACACACACACACACACACACACACACACACACACACACACACATGTGCGAGCGTAATCTAGTAGGTGTAAAAATATCATATTTTATGTTCACAGCTCCCCTGCAGGACGCACACAAAGCACAATATACCGCCGGTATGCCCGGATATACTGTTTCATAGCATTGCACGACTACTACTGTACTAGTATGTCTACTAGTAGTATGTGTACTAGTACAGCTGAACAGTGCACTATTCCCATGACAATGCCTTGAGAGGTTTAGTTCTTGACCATGTCCTCCACACTAACCTTTCTCGAAGACTGTTTTGTTTGTTGTTGGCAGATCTTAGTTGCTGCAGAAAATACATGAAACCATATAGGCATCGTTTTTAATTGTGTTTTTCTACAAAAATTATTTTTTATTACAGTTTTGAATACACAATGGCGACTCTAGTCGAGCGGCCCGGGGATCTGAAGCATGCAGCGTACTCCTAAATCTCAGAACAATTGAACCAGGGCGGACATGTATTGTGTACTACTCCCAGTCAGTACCTCTCAATGCACTCAGTCTGCCTACCTAGCGGTGTGGCATAGCTTGTACCACCACCACCAATAGACAACCACCTGGAGATGATTCTGAGGACTGTTGACTGTTGACCAGTGCATTTCTGATCCTAGCGTACTCATAATTATATTGACTCATACCTTTTGTATTATTTCGGCAATGCACAACAGACAGACTTCATGAATCACTCATATCCAGCACTTGCCAGCGCTGCTGACCTGGGGCCCCTTTCCAGCATTGCAGTCATGTGCACCAGAGTCAGTATTCAGCAGAGAAACCGTTCCTGAAATGGCATTGCTCTCCCACGCATGCAGACGTCCAGAGTAAAACATTCTTACACCATACACACACACCGACCGTTCACATCACCCAGATCAAACCGTTCCCAGGAGATGTAGCAGGAAACAAGTATGCAGACGCACGCGTAGGAATATAGCGAAAATATTCTTGGTATCTTTATCCATATCGGATAGAAGGATAGCTTTACGTCAACCAGCAAAGCACACACGCCACGCTTCAACAGCACGGTACACCGATAAGTAACTACAGGAGGTACCGTGGCCGTGATGGACAGGCGGCCTGAGCACGAACAAACAAACACCTATGTGTGACACAACCAATATGACACTCTACTCAACAAACACACCAGCTGTCGTATGACAAAGATAAATTCACAGTGTGTTTCGTGTCAAAGCCCGAGAACATTTTCCATGTCTTTTTTCAATACTATTGACAAGGGGGATGAGCAAAATCCAGCACGCCAAGACTTTGAGTAAAGCGAATTTCATGACTTCGTTTGATGAGGTAAATTAAAAGCTCGGGCACAACAGCACTGGGATAAACATCACTCAACGTCCAATGTTAAAACTGCACTGAAACCCAACCAGTAGATTCGGTCAAGCCAGCTGGCATGCACACAATAGTAAGAAGAACAGCTGCCGTGCTCCAAGCACACGCAAAGCAGCAGCAGCAGCACACCAAGCACACAAGGTAACAGTGCCTGCTGCACACAGTACAGCAATTCAATGATGCAGCGGCCGCTTTCGCCTGCGGTCTAGCTCCGGTGGCAATCCCCAGGTCAGCTGTTCCTATAGGCGGTTGACTATGCTCCTTCCGACCATCACCAACCCCAACACCCCTAGAGAACAAATGGCTGCCCACTTGAAGATAGGATATGTCAGCGTGTAGGCAAAATGGAAACGAAACCCTCGCTGTAGCCAACAAGACACAATGATAACCAGGAGGAAAAGAATGCATTATTTCAAATTTTTATTTATTTATTCGCAACCAAAAGGGGCAAAAATTAATGTTCTATTTTCGACATGTACAATGAAATGAAAATGGGCAGAATAGACCAGGAAACTGCAAACAATTAGTCACAGCTCCACGGTACGGTACTATGGATCGGATCCGCATACTGTTAGTCACACTACAAATACAACGCACTTACTCTATACTACATCTACCATTATTACAGTGTTACCAAGTGCCCCAGTCTGCCCCCATGCGTACTGCCCAGTGCCATTTTGCAGAATTTTGCAAAGTTTTCCGTACTCGTTTTTCAGGTCAACATTTTGACTGATTTAGTGTAATTTGGAACAAAAAACGATACTGTGCAACTTTTCAAGCTACAGAGTTCACTTGTGAAGCCTACGAATTCAGTACAATTTTCAACTTCACCAGGTCATAACTTCGGTCTACTTCGCTTGATTTTCACAATCTAGGGCTTGTTGGAAAGCTCTTGGCAGGAGCAACGCCAGGATGCCAAGCTCCATGATGAAGCCGTCACAAATCAGGCGCGGTAACCGTAGTAGGCCTTGGCGGATAATGCCGGCAGAAAAATTGGCAGAATTCGGTACTTTTTCTGGTAAGTCTCATGCATGTTTGGTATGTGGATAAAGAAATGGAGCAGAATTCGAGGAATTGCCCGCCATAAGGTTTGTATGGTTCTGCCAATTTCGGTGCAAAAAAAGCAGAATCTGCCATCTTTTCGATGTGGATAAAGAAATGGAGCAGAATTCGAGGAATTGCCCGCCATAAGGTTTGTATGGTTCTGCCAATTTCGGTGCAAAAAAAGCAGAATCTGCCATCTTTTCGAGCATTATCCGCCAAGGCCTAGCGGTAACACAGCAAAGTCGTCTCCAAGGCTAATACGCAAGCAAATTCGTCCCAGCAAAAAGGGATTTCCCCACAAATGGCGAAGAGATCGATCAAAAATTTGATTTTTGCCGAGGTAACTTTTTAAGAATACCTGAATACGGCGCACGATATCTCTGGAATCCGACATCGTTACGCTTCAGCGATTGTTGCATTGGATAGCTTGGAGTTGTTGCTACCACGTAGACCCTTCGATTATTGAATTCGCGAAGAAACGATGGAGTTACGAAGGTATTAGCAATCGTTCATATACATGATCGTTTGCGGGATATTCGATTGAAATCCGTACTGCGGACAAAACTTCGTTTTTCCGTAAAAATACGGACAAATACGGGCGGTTGGCAACACTGTTATTATTGAAAGATTCATTGGTCCAGTCTTTGATGATATACATAGTGGAAGACACTAATCGTGCCACTAGGGTGGAAAGCGCAAAGATCGACCTTTGACCTTCAAACCACAGTGCAAAGGTTGACCTTTGATTTGCAAACACCCTTTGCTCCTCAATTCTAGCAAGATTGGAGCCTATGGTCAGTATGAGGACTTTAAATTTGAAAAAGAAAGAAATAGCTGTGACCGCACCACCAAAGGAGTACGGGTGACAGCTGAATTTCACACTTATCCTGTTGGCATCATACACATGAAATATTCCTGTTTAACCATCCAAAGTGTTGGAGTAAGTGCATCTCAAATCATCTTTGGATATTTCATGATCACAGAGACATGTTCAACTATGTTGTTGGTTGACACTTGACAACATGTAACAAGGTGGAGGACCACCGTGTTCGGAAACAGTGACCTTTCTACAACTATCCACCGTTGGTAGAGCTCCGGTCTTGTGACCATCTGAACCGTATGGGTGTTAGACCCGGTCCTGACCCTCTCTACATTTGTAGGGGAGTTGTCTTAGACTTCTTGTTGTTGTACCGTAAGTCGTGTACTCTTTGTTCGCTCCTTGATGTCTTCTTGATACTCAGTCCTCATAAACTTAGTGGCTTTGTTCTGAATTGTTTATCTGATACCATGATTGTACAAACTAGTGTTGACACAAGGAAGAAAATGTTGAAAACCTGCATTTGAAGTTTTTTTTAACCCATAACACCTGGACATGCTAGTCCGAATAACCGAGATCCCAGTCCGGGTAAATAAGGATCAACTGAACATCATATACATGTATGGTAATGCTTCAAGACGGGCTTTTCTGTGCGTGTAGTACACAATACTTGGCCAGCCGTACACGCATGTGCAGTTGCAATGAATGACTCTTCTCCAGCAACATCCCTAACATGAAGATACCGTATTTTCCGGAGTATAGTGCGCACCTTTGTATAACGCGCATCCCCAATCTTCATTGGGGGTTCGCACTTCAATCTGCATTGAAGTACATGCATTTCATATTCGGAGCATAGTGCGCACCTGCGATTTAGGGCCTAAAATAGCACATAATTATAAAGTGCGCACTATACTCCGGAAAATACGGTAACGGCATAGGCTTTGTACAAATGATCATCAAAGGACTGGTAGTTGATGCCATGTGGCATGTGATACCGGTAATACCAATCAGCACTCCCTGATACCGGCAATCGGGTGCTACCATGGCATAAGCCAGCGAATATTCCCTGAGCTTTCATTTCTCCAACAGATACCATACACGCACAACAGCAAAAACCATAAACTACGGAACATACTGCGAAGTATTATTACTTTTTATCCGCTTTAGAGCGGCTGCATAACGCATCGCTCGCTACTTTTCGTAGTTGGCGCACTCTGGCGCTAGAGCGAAGAGCTATACTGTGATGCCACTTTTTGCCGTGGCTGTTGGTTCGGCTTACTTGTAGCTGTGATGATCAGTGGCCGAAGCAGCTAGCTGCCAGTGTCTATAGCATTGAACACATCTATAAGTTGTCTACATGTACTTTCACTCACCCATCCGTCGTTCTCTTTGATCCATTGGCCAAGTTCCTCGTGCATGAACTCTGCTGTCCATAACGTCAACTGTTCTATGCAGTGTGGCAAATCCGGATCGTCCAGGACGAGTTTCCTTTTCCCTTTTCTGCCAGGGCCGCTGCCACTACTGCTACTGTTATCCAGGCAGTACTCGCAAAGGGATCCAGTGAATGCAATCAAGAGCACGATTCTTCCCCAGTTGACTTTGGCCAGGAATAACTCTTTGGCAACATCTCTAAACGTGGCGTATAGCGTCTCTTTAGTCACCGACAGCTTCTCGCACATCAAGGAGAGTTCTCGTTCGTGTTCGCTTCGCACGTGAGAAACAATGACAGAGACGCTCTTCTCATATCGAGTCACAGGTTCAGTGTATTCTCCTATGAACTCCTCTCGGTAGCCCTTTACGTTGCGAAGTTGTGACGCGACGCACGACCTGACAATGTTCAAAATCTGGACAAATTCTGGATCGTCATGCTGTGAGCTGCTGGCATCAACTTTGAGTGCTGTCGACGCCATTAGTAACGTCCAGCGATCTAGAGAGCAGGTAGAACTGCATGACAATCCATCTTCCTTGATAAGACCCATTCGATCATTCAAATCACCCCCGTCACCAGAGCATTGTGATTAGTAGCTGTAGAGAGAACTCCGACTCAACAACTCGACTTTCAAGTTGAACTACGGTCTTCCTCATTGGCCGACAATTTCTCCGGTTAGAAATCAGCACTTTATCTCAGTGAAGATATGGAGACAGTCTAGTTTGCGGCATGCACAGTATTTTCTACCAAGCTTGCAAGTAGAATGATGTAAATCTACGAGACTGCTTGGATTACGAAAGGAATTTTGCAAGCTGGGCATCTTCTTCCAAACCGCTGCCCAGCATTATTATTGTTGATCCCGTCGGCCGTCGTCGGCGTCGCGCCCGCGGATATCCGATTGTCATCGATCGAGTGTAGAAGTAAGTTCGACGGTATACGTGCGCGTGCACTTGGCCGTGATGTAGCCGATACCGTTGCGTCGCCGGTAGGACGCGGTAGCGCCCGCAGATATCGATCGTTCGTTGCACAAGATCTGCCGTGTATGCTAGCGCGAAATCACCAGCGCGCTAGCGCTGCAGCCGATCTCCGAGCTACGAAAATTTTGCCTTGTTCACACTTTTTGAAGCTCCCTTTGTCAGAAAGAAGACGAGTGTTGTCATGTAACTGTTTGTTTCTCGACTGAGTTCGCTTCAGTTCAGGTGGTGTGACGATCAGACCTTGTTGCAATCTACTTCCCTTCGTCGTTTGTTTTGGCCTGTGAGCTGAACAAAGGGATCCGATGCTGTTCAGTCTTCGCCCTTGGATTGTATAATTTTCAGATTGTGAAACTCCGAGCATTGATTATTTATTTTTGCTGGTTTTGAATCGGGCCACACTTGCTGGATTTGCGTGAGCACCTAAAAGATGGCGACGGGTGCTAACACTACTCCGTTGGGACTCAACCCTATCCTTGCCGCTAGACAAGCTGCTGCAGCCATCCCTGCCCTTCAGAATAGACAGCCCTCAATGCTACCTCAAACTCAGCTTCTGCCACAGCAGCAGCAGCCTCAGCAAGTAACGCAGCAGCAGCAGCAGCAGCCGGCACAGCAGACTCCCCAGAAGCATAGCACTTTGGATACATCAAGTCGACAGGCTCTAACTGCCCATATTGAGGCTGCTAAAAGAGCAGCGGAAGGTGAGAAAGGCTAACGTTAGTGTGTAGCCATAGTTGAGTGTACATGTGCCATGCCAGACATATCCAACACCAATCCCATAGCAACAGCATATACAGTACCTTCGGCATGCAATAGAGAGGTTCCGCATAATGTAATTTACGTTAGTAAAAACGTAGTCGATCTACGGAAAGTCTTACGTAAACTGCATGCGGATCTGTGTTCCGCCATATGAAGTTTTCAAATCACGTAGCTGCCCTTGGCAACTCCGCCTGGGCAGTGTACGACCGGATCGACCTGGGGAGCGGGTCATAGATTTGTACCCCAATCCACTTACGGAGCACCTATGTTATCAGAGCCCTATCTACGTACTCTCCGTAGACAACTTTTCGTAGTGGAGTGCAAACTCGCGAATTCACGGGTTTTTCCCGCCCACTAGCGTAAAGTTGCTCAACTTTACGTAGTGCGGAACCTCTCTACATGATAAGTATTGGCAAATCAATATCCCAACCATCTGAACACCTGTTAATTCCATACGGGCTGTAGCAAGAAGGGAACTCAGACGCACACACTCTGAGTACATGTAGTTACAAATAAACTGCTCAAAGATTGCTGGTTGCTCAGTCGAAAGCCTCCATTTCTCGTGAATTTGTTCAAGGCGCATGGGCTGCGGGAAATAGAAGTACATGGTTGGAACCTGTACTTTGTAACATCATTATTGAAAGGAACACCTTGTCCATTCAATTTTCTTAGAGCTCATGTTTCTAAACACAACTACTACAGTATATACAATGTCATGTAGCTGTTGGTGATGCAGATGTGTCTGTATCTGTGTGTGTGTGTGTGTGTGTGTGTGTGCGCGCGCGTGTGCGCGCGTGTGTATGTCTGCGTGTGCATATGCGATGTGTGTGTGCGTGCGCGCATATGTTTATGTGTGTTTGTCCGCGTGTGTGTGTGTGTGTGTGTGTGTGCGTGCACGTGTGTTTATGTGTGTTTGCCCATGTGTGCGTGTGTGGGTGTTGTGCTACAGCTGTCACATCACATCTCCCCAAGCGCAGGAAGACCCGTTGGGGCAATGAATCAGAAAAGAGCACCGCTGTGCCTACGCAGCTTCCATCTCACCTGTCTGAAGAGGAACAGAAGAAGTATCTCAGTATGTTATGTCATGCATTGTAGTAACACACACCGCATCAGCATGCTTTATGCGTTATAGTCTGACTTTGAGAATTGTTTTCATTGATACCAAATTCATCTTCATCTCTGGGTGCTGCGCTGATGAGTCCGCGAGGACTAAGCTGCAATGTCTGTAGATTGAGTGGCTGTACATATGTACATAAATTATACTGTTGAGTGGGTATCGACATTCCCGTTTTGTAGCCTAGTCCTCGGGTACCAGTATCCGATATAAGCCAGCATTCCCATACTTTGACCGAAGTTAAAGTGACGTGTTGTTAATAATTTAATATGCCCCGGATCCTGCAATCTACACCTGACTCTGCTCACGTGGCATAGAAACTGGATGCATGGTGTTGTCTTGCATCAGTCCTATTCCACCCACCGCATTTTCTGGGGTCAGTGCTGCACGTTTTGCATGGATATCGGATCGGAATCACCCCTTTGGCTTGTACCTCGAATAGTCATTTCATACAAACAAATGCTGGAATGTGCTGCAAGAGCGGGTGCGGGGGGGGGGGGGGGGGTGCAGCTCTTCCCCAGAAATACGGCAATAGAGTGCGCACATGGAGAGACAGTAAAGTCAGCAGAAGTAATGAAAATGCCATTTTTCCTAATCCAATGGATTTTACTGCCATCCAATGGAGAGAAATTTTGCCAGCATTAAAAATATCGTCATTCACATGTTTCGTATTTCTGATCTTTTCATCTCGTTCAGTTCACATTCGCATCGAGGAGCTGAATAAAATGCTTCGCGCTGGCGACTATGGCATTCCCGAACGACAGGAAAACCGTTCGCCGTCTCCAGAGCCGTTCTATGATCACAAGGGAGTACGACTGAACACACGCGAGTCTCGCATGAAGAAGCGCATGGAAGAGGAGCGCCATAAGCTGATCCAGGACGCCATTCAGTTGAATCCGGACTACAAGCCACCCTCAGACTACAAGTAAGTCATTGAAAACTGTGCGTGATTGAGTCTGCTCAGTGTGTTTGCCATGAGAACATATATTGTCGGTTGGAGTCAAGTCCGTTAGTTGGTAGTTGGGTAAGCAATCTAGTGTCCATGCTTCATAGGGTTAATGCTCTTGTACAGAACAAAGCAGTGCTGTAATAATAGTACTGATTGATGGTGAAGTAAAGTGATGGCGTGGACACAGAGCAGATAAGGAAATCTCTCAGATATTGCCCACCAATTCAAGCAATAATAGTTCAGCCAGCACGAAAATTGTGTACGTACGTGTACACTGTAGTAGCCTTATCATTAGTGTAGGGTAGGTGCGTTGATATCGGTACACCTGCGAATTAAAAGCAGCAATAGGCCGCCAAAGGTATGAAGGCAGTTGTTGTCCAGCTAGGCATTGTGATTACGTGACTGTAGTGAGTGGTGGTGTATTCTCGTACCAGTACTCTGTGCTGTCATTTCCATGGACACTAACACCACTGTGTTGTGAGTTTGCCTGTTCAGCAGCTGCCAAGATCCCTCCAGTCAACACCCACACACACACACACACACGCAGACAAAGACATACTAACGTGGCACAGTTTGTTTGATTTACAGGACTGAAATAAACCCCTGTGCAGCAGCTCAAAGCAAGACTTCACATCCGCTGAATGTCTTCATTTGTCCTTGTTCCTTTGCAGCCAACTAACCCACTAATATGGCATGCCGTTGTGTTGTTCTAGTGTTGCTGACTAGGTCCGTGGTACCACTGCACTGTAAACGATGTCAGCGATGGCATCGCACACATGGGTGAAAACACTGAAAAGGTTTTTAAAAGAAACCGAGTTATTAGTACATGGTCCGTGTGTGTTCGGGTTTAGTTTTAGTCCTCTGGGTTCTATTTTTCACACGTAGCCGAAGTGAAATGTATTATACTACATGTGTAACTTTAAGTTATGTGTGGTTGCAGCAAGTGAAATCTGGGCCGGTGTGCACCGCTGGCAACACCAAGGGTTACTCAGCCTTGCGATGTTCGGTGCTCTCTCTCTCTCTCTCTCTCTCTCTCTCTCTCTCTCTCTCTCTCTCTCTCTCTCTCTCTCTCTCTCTCTCTCTCTCTCTCTCTCTCCCTCTCAAGCACGCGTGCATGTTTTCGCATTAGTTTGCAGCTGTGAAAGTGTACATCGGTCCGGATCTCGCCCGTCACAATTGTAGATAGTGAGAGATCGAAATAGTTGCTAGGTATTGCCTTTGGCTGGTCTTTAACGTTACTGCTTTCAATTGGAGTCCAAGATTAGTTTCTTCTCGCTCTTGTGAGTGCTGTCAAAGTAGAGAATTTGTTCCAAATGTGCTCCATTCGAAAGGAAATCTCCGTATAGTGATCGATTTTCGATTAAAGCTGATGAGATGTGTGAGGGGGGGGAGGTTGAAAAAGGTTATAATTCCTGTCACTGAGTCAACTACCTTTGATGAGGTATGCTTGGCTTTTGTATGTGTATCCTCTGTTTGTGTGCAATCGTGTTCTACTGTTTTCAATAAATAATGTGTACATGGCTCTTGAAATGGCTATGGTGGCTGGAGAGTGTAGACTGTAGCGTGTCCCAATCTCATATAACCAGCCATACTAATGCAATGTGCAGAGTGTGTATCACTCTCAGCCTGAGCCCATGCGCCAGTGTGTTGCCTGCTGCATGCCGCTTGTGTGTAGTGTAGGATGATGTGGACATATTGCGACTAACCGAGCACAGTATGCACATGCGTGAGGCGGTAGACAGATGATCTGTTTGCCTGGTAACTCTCTGTGCATCTCCTATTCCTGTGTGTTGACATACCCGGACGTGGTACTATTTGCACTGAGAAAGGAGCATTCAGGCGGTGCTGCTGCCGTTGTTCAGCCGGCTATAATGAAGGTTTGTCCAGTTGTTGTCTCCTTGAGCACACCCCCAGCGTCCTCCTTTCTTTGACTGTCGCATGGCCACTAGGCGTTTGTCACAGTCAGTGCTCTGCTCCTCTTCTGCTGTCCGTCTTCCCCTGTCCCCCTTGCACTCGTTCCTTGTTGCCACATGTGCTAATCCTGTCTGTGCTGTGCGTGCGTGCGTTCTGCTGTCTTCTCTCTTCTCTTTTCTCTTTTTTGTGTCTTCTCACGGTTGTGGCTCTCCTGTCCCTCGTATAATAGGCCACCGCAGATCAGAATTCAAGATCGAGTGTCCATACCGCAGGATGAAAACCCGCACATCAATTTCATTGGCCTGATCATTGGGCCCCGGTAAGCGTTCTGATCGCACTGCAGCACAGTCCAGCTGCAGTCTGCAGTACTTGTGTAGTAGTAGCCACCTACAGCTGCTGGACTTGTGTGATGGGTACTGAATCAGAATTGTATTTTTTCACTATGCCTTTAAAGATAGTGGCAGCAAGGAGTGACTGGGGTGCCATATCTTACACCGGTTTTCACCCTCGCCCCTGTACTGAATGACCTGTTGTGCAATTTCTAGGTGGATAATATCCCGGATTTTGCCCAAGAAAAAGTCAATCCATCTATTGCTCTCTATTTCTCTTTTTCTCTCTCGTGCGCTCTTTCTATTTTTCTCTCTCCCCTCTCTCTCCCTCTATTCCTCACTCACTCACTTTCTGCTTACCCCTGTTCTGCCTTCTACAGTGGCAACACTCTAAAGAAGCTAGAGAAAGATGTAAGTATGGTCATTGCATGTAGTGTTTTGTGTGCTCTCGCCTTCTCTCTGTGCGTCGCATCATGTACTGGTCTGCAAAGTTGGTTTTGACTCGGGCCCAGGGGAATGACTTCGGCAGTGGTCTGTGCGAAGGGGTGACGGGAGGGACAGTGTCATCTACTTTGTGAGCCATGCTTGCAGACATCTATGCTGCTGTGGGACAGACTTTCGCCGAGTGTTCCTGTGTGGAGACATCGCAAGTCCCATGTCTCCACACTCACAGCGAACCCCGGACGAGGTCGGTTGGGGGAGACATAATTATATTAACGGAGACAACGAGGGGAGGCAGGGCGACGAAAAACTTCATGATGATGGAAGAGAGAGAGAGAGAGAGAGAGAGAGAGAGAGAGAGAGAGAGAGAGAGAGAGAGAGAGAGAGAGAGAGAGAGAGAGAAGATAAATGGCCTGAATAGCTATGGCAATATGGTCGTGCAAGCAGCTACCCAGGCCAACGGGACAAGAGTAGTCATACGGGGAACGCAGGAAGCTGCGGGGTGCAGGTCAGCTGGGGAACGGATGTACGAGGAAATGTACGGGAGACGAGGGCCTAACACATGTGTCATGTCATGCATATTACATGCTGTGTTTGTGTGTGTGCGTACGTGTGTGCTGTGCGGACCATCTGTTCTGCAGACGAACACTAAGGTCATGATACGTGGCAAGGGCTCCGTCAAGGAAGGAAAGGTTAGTTAGTGTATGGTGTATATGCAGTGAGTGCAAGCGCACATGAGTTCTTTATTGTCTGGTATATTTCTTACTGTGGCTGTTAGTGCTGTTGCTGATGGTTAGCATGTGGATTTGCTTCATGGTAGTCTCCTTTCACTGATCTTATCACAGGGGTGTCGCAGCTGGTCCGGCTAAAGCCGGACCACTTTTTTTTCACAATGCCAAAAGTGCCCAGAATACAGGATTTTGCACCCTTAAAGGCGAGACCAAAATAAAATCGAGATTCCCGGGCAGGACCCATGTGAAATTGGTGCGGGCGAGCGAAATTTTATTTTTTATTTTTTTCCCATGTACATGTATGTACATGACTATGTGTGCATGCCATGTTGAACTTTTTCTACAGCATTTTCCGGTAATTTTTTATTCAATTTTTTTACAGACAACAGGTACGCGGTTTCCCCGTTCAATTTTTCTATATTTCGGCCAACGATGGCCCTGATCTGTACATCAGGGAGTCGTATACAAGCTCGGGTTTGTGTGACTCCACGTCACAGATCTACTCACACCATCAGTAGTGTACATGCATAAAACATGTACATCCTTCAAAGCGGTGAACCCCTTGATAGGCGACAAGCCTCTGGGTCATCCTAATAAAGATAATATCTTTATTAGGATGACCCAGAGGCTTGTTATTATTATTATTATTAACTGTTCAAAAAATTGGCTTTGGCTCGATTTTGGTGCGGGAGGGCCCGGGAATCTCTATTTTGTTTTGGTCTCGCCTAATTTCAAAATTTTCCCGGGGGACACCCCGCACCCCCCACAACCGGACCACCTCCAAAGGGAGTCTTACGCGCGCCTGTAGCAGTGTTTTATTTTGCTCTTTTCTTTGTTTCTTGTAGACACCCAGGCCTGGTGTTAAGCCAGACAATGCTGAAGATGAAGAACTCCATGCACTTGTGACTGGCCAGACTTGTGAGTCAGTGAAGAAGTGTGTTGACAAAGTAAGTTGTGATGGTTAGTGGGTGTGCTACATACTGTGACTGACACACACACTCTCTCTCCTCTGTCCTTTGTCTCTCTCTCTCTCTCTCTCTCTCTCTCTCTCTCTCTCTCTGTCCTTTGTCTCTCTCTCTCTCTCTCTCTCTCTCTCTCTCTCTCTCTCTCTCTCTCTCTCTCTCTCTCTTCTTAGAACATTAGCTATCTTCGTTTGCTGCCTGTGTGATATGTATTATTCAGTGTATCAAGCACACTACATGTGTACTGCATATCCACTGCATCACTGAGTTGATAGATGTGTGTTCCATTCCACTATTCTTGTCTGATGTGACCGTGCCCTTTGTGCACTTGTCTTGATTGCAGATCAAAGATGTCATTCGTCAAGGTGTTGACGCACCCGAGGGTCAGAGCGATCTCAAGCGACTTCAGCTTCTTGAGCTGGCAGCACTGAATGGAACTTTGCGTGCTGATGAAGTGGCAAGGTTGGTCAGAGTTCCTCAGTGTAGAGCAGTGTGATCTTGTTGTCGATAGATGCAGTTGTGGCGAATGGAGTATGGTGTGTTGCAACTTGCTTATGCTTCTTCACATGTGTGCTGGTGTGCGTTGTGTTGCCTTGTGGTTGTGTAGTTTCCAGCGGTGCACAAACTAGAATGCATGTCATTGGGCTTTGAGTGCTGAGCTTGGCACGAATGTTGTACTTTGTGTGTATATGTGTGCTGTGCAGATGCCGTAACTGTGGTGCCACCAGCCACAAGACCTGGGAGTGCCCTGAGCAGACCAACTTCACCAACGAGGTGATGTGTGCAGAGTGTGGAGGTCGCGGCCACGTCGCTAAGGACTGTATCGTCAAGAAGCCACAACCAGAGTAAGTGACTGGTCGGGGGGGGGGCTGCCTTCTGCTGTCGTGGATGCATTGCGTTTTACAGTGAGGGTTTGTTTATAATCCACAGCTCATACAATACCTGCGCAGATGATGTTGTGAATGCAGAATGTATTTGTTTTTACATGCAAACCACAATAGGCTGGAGCTGAATCCTGTCAAAGTCACTTCACTTCAGTAGTTGACCTGCTGTGTCCTTGTTTGACTCTATTGGTCATTTCTGTGTGTACGTACGTGTGGTTGCTGCCTCCAGGGACAAATCTAACATCATCATACCGCAGCACAACAGTTTAGTAGAAGCTGCTCCGCCGAGTAGCTACCTTACTGGTGGCCGTGGCAAGGTGGATGCCGAGGTGAGCATACTTGAGCAATCAAGTCTAAACTGGTATAGACCCGTTGGGTACATGTGTGCTGTGCTGTGATCCGCTCGTCAGCACATTCATTGTGCCATGTTTGTGATTGTGTATGGCGTTGCATGGCTCAGGTTCTGTCCCGACCAGTATGGTCAAGTACTGGTACCAAGACTTAGTGTTTGCTTTATCTGCTCAATACACTAATGCGACTGCCGCCATGTATGGCATGTTTGTTGTTGATATTGTTGCGGATGTTGCTGCTGCTGCTTTTGTTATTGTTTCAAATCTTTATTCTCACGATTGTTGTTTTTCAAATCTTTATTCTCACGAGTGTTGTTGTTATTGTTGTTGTTGTTGCTGCTGCTGTACCTCTTCTGCAGTATCAATCCTTCATGGCCGAGCTAACAGGCAAGCCTGCTGCACCAGGCAACAACAGCAGCGGTAGGAATCAACATCAGCCACCACCAGGAGGACATGGAGGATATGGTGGCCGGGGCAATGTGCCACCACCTCAAGGACTGGTATGCTCTAAGTTTAATATGTACTGAACATGACTGTACTTCAATATAGTCACCGCACATTAGTAATTAGTAGAATGCGGAGTGTATTGCCGCACTTTTGACAGGCAAGCCCGAGCTACTGGGTTTTTAGTCACTTTTTACTGAGTCAAAAAGCAAACATTGCAAATCGAATGTACTCTTACATGTCATACCAAGAGTACATAACCCCCCCAGAGTGTGCAACGCCTGATCCAGCTCTGCATAGGGTCTTGGTCGAGCGGAATCGGATCTTTGCGTCATAATACCGTACACATCTGAGGGGAACCCGGGGAGTCGCGGGTGCTCTTGGATAAAAAACAATGGTACCCTGCCTCGAGACCGGCCTTGCGCTGGTATGAAGTGTACGCATGACATCAGAAGATCCGATTCCGCTCGACCAAGACCCTATGCGGAGCTGGATCGGCGTTGCACACTCTGTGGGTTATGTACTCTTGGTCATACTTGTGCAGCTCATGCATATTCTTTATGAAGAAACTGTGGGATATGTTGTTGTTATTGTCTTATTTTATTTTACTTCGTTATGGGCACAGGATATCAGCATTGCGCTCTTTGTTTTCCTCTCTCTCAGTTCGGTCTCTCTTTTTCTGTGTGTCCCTCTATCACTTCTGTTTGTGTGAGTTCAGACTGGTCGTGATAACACTGGTGGTATTACGGTGTATGATCATTCCAAATCCGGTCCAATGCCGTGGAACAAGCCTGCAGGTGCACGTCCGCATGCTGGTAAGCTCTAGAGTGGAAGGAAGGCTTGCAGTGCAGCCTAGTTCCATGTCTGTACGAGTTGCAACTTTTTATCTTTTCATCATCTCCCCTCCCTGGCCTTGGTTACTAGTGGGTGATATGCCCTCAAAGCGCTAATATCCGGTGACCTTCGTGGAATTCCGTCAGTCATTAAAAAACGTGATGCATTGGTTTGAGTGTCTTCCGCATGTCATTGTATTTCTATAAGAGAGACAGAGAAAGAGAAAGACATGGGGAGAACTAATTGGTTGTTCTCATTTGTTTTCACACTCAATGGCGTTGTTTAGCTGCCAACAATCCACCGTGGGCACCGAACAGTTCGTCGGCCGGCCAGGTTTCAACCCCGTCATCATCGGTCTCGTCCACTATGCAGTCTAGCCATGGGGGTCCTGCACCACCAGGTGTCACTGTACCGCCTGGCACTAACCCCATGCCACGGCACAGTAGCTTGATGCAGCAGCCGCCACCAATGTCTATGGCACCACCGCACGGAGCTGCACCACCACCTCCCGGTAAGACATGGTCATGTTTCCCTGCTTTTCTAGTGTGGGTGTGAAGGGGTGTGTGAGTGTGTGTATGCGTGCGTGCGTGTGCATGTCTGTGTGTGGGTGTTTCTGCACCGCATCACACTAGGCTTGTTGTCACTGGTGTTGTCTGACTAGATCACAACTTGCTCACTACCAATGCTGTCTTTCTATGGAATCCTGGGGAGCAGATGGACTCACGTAACTTACTGGACTTGAATTCCAGCCGATTTTTCGTTGGTTCATTGTGTACTGAATTCTTCCTCTCTCCACGGAATCCGGGGGATTCGGGCACTGGGTTTGAATTCCAGCGTGTGTGGTTTTGCTTGTTCATCGTACACTAACTTCTGTGTTAGGTGTTTTGTTTGGGTGCACACAGGCAGGTAGTGATTGTACGGAGTCCCGTCGAAGTGTCCTTTGCATACTATCATTGTAAATGCCGAGAGATTGCCTTGTGTGCTGTGTTGTGTAGGAGTTATGCAGCCGATGGGTCAGCAGTATTCTCAGATGGGCCAGCCACCACCGCCTGGGAGTACGTCTGTACCCCCATGGCAACAAGGTACTTACGCTGTGTGCTAACGTGTGCTTGTGAGCCTCAGCTTTTTTTGTTTGGTCATCATGTTAAGTTGCATCAATGCGACTTATAAAGAAAATCGTTCTTGTTCTGAATCTGCGTTTATATTTGAGGGTTCCCGTATCCGTTCCTTGCTATATTGAGGTTCAAACATTGGAATAATGGGAATACCAGGCAAAATAGCAACATCTGGTACCTTTCCACTGGAACAGTAGTAAAACCTGAGGGACCCCTCATTTTTTTGTCAAGGAACGATTTATGAAGACATTATTGACATGTCCACAGAATTTGAATAGAATATTACATTGATGAGCGTTGCATCACTTTTGCACGCCGCATAATGACGCTAAAGACTATACTGTGCGTGTGTGTGCCTGTATGTCGGTGTGCCTGTGTGTGTGTGTGTGTGTGTGTGTGTGTGTGTGTGTGTGTGTGTGTGTGTGTGTGTGTGTGTGTGTGTGTGTGTGTGTGTGTGTCTGTCTGTGTGTGCATGTGTGTGCATGTGTGTGCATGTGTGCCTACATGCGTCCGGCAATGATATCACTGTTCAGCAGCAGCACCAGCACCATGGCAGCAGCAACAACAACAGCAGCAGCCACCATCGCTCATGGGTATGGCACCTCCAGGCACTGGCGGATACGGTATGGCCATGCAGCCTCCTCCACCAATGGGTCCGCCAGGAGTGGTACCACCTGGTGTCAACCCACCTCCTCCCGGCACACAGCCTCCACCATGGGTAAGTCAAATGTAGGACACCTTTCATTTCATTATTCGTCTGCTTCAGTGTGCTTGCCAAGGAGTTTTCATCGCAGTGCTGGAAGTTATGATCGTATGAAGTACGTACTGAGTCCCAAGTGTTGACAGGATATAAAACCCTGAGATGGAAGACTGCAGCGAAGGCAGCAATTTTTTATGGCTTTTCCGAGGGTGAAGCATGCGTTTTCTTAACCTAGAGCAGTGTTTACTATTGATGCAGCAAATGGCAATTTTCTTTGAACGAATATTCTCTTGAATATTGCCTTGGCGAATGAACGCAAAATTATTCTTCTGGTGTGGCTCGCTCACTGCACTATATCCCTTATGTACGTTGCATACTGAATCTCATCGTTTGAATATTGCATAACCAATAGACTAGCGAGCAAGCAGATTTGAAGAAAAAGAGCGGCGCCTTGCCATAGCACGGGTGCAGCTAGGCTGCTTGGCAGTACCGCTAAATGACAGTAACAGTGTCCGACCATGATACACATAGTAACGCTGTAGTGTTTTTCCTCTTTGTGCCCCGGTCTGTGCAGGCAAGTGGACCACCAAGATAACCAACTTGCCTCCTCACTCCGTCGTTGTTTTCCCTTTCTTCTCCCCAAAGTCCTATTCTTTCACGTCTCTTGTCTCGTTCTTGTTGTTGTTCACTGGTTATGCTATCGTGTTGTCTATCACCATGACATAGTTATGGCCATACTAAGCGGGTGATTGTAAAGTCTCCAATACCATTATCATCAGTCTGCTGCTGCTCTGCCTACCCTGTTTGCTCTGCTGTCATCTTGTTGTTATTGCTGTGTGACTGCTCTCAGTGCTCTGTGACTGCATGTTGTCCAGTTGCTGGGTGGCACTCAGCACCACACTCTCACTTTGTGATTGAGGTGTCTTGCTCAAGCCTCGCCAAGTATTAACGGTCTTGCTCTTTTCTCTGCATTCACACTAGCTGTTGTATATCACGTGGAGTCACTTGCTGAGGCGCTGTGAGTTGTCTCTTATACAGTGGCACCAGCCCAGACCCAGGCCTGCTTCCGCTTCTTATTCATTCTCGAAGTACTGATAATTATTTCATTTTAATTAACTGCTACCACGAGGCAGCTCATCGTGTGTGTGTGTACGTGTGTGTGTGTGTGTGTGTGTGTGTGTGTGTGTGTGTACGTGCATGTTGTTGTGCATGCTGTTGGGTGCCTCCGGCTGAAGGGTGCATATTGTTTGGGCCAAGAGGTGGGATTGGAGGAAAAGACGTGTCTGTATACCGTACTGGTATCCCTAACGGTTATTCGTGGGAGATTGTACTTGGACACAGCAGTGCATGCATGCTTCTGGCATCTACCCTGCACGCTCTCAGTTCCTTTATCTGTGCACTGAGCAAAATTCAAGTTGTCCCGATTTATACTTCGTTTCGCGCAAGGGAAACGCGTTGCGCCTGGGAGTGGTAAAGTGCCATATTTCAGGACTCCCTGCTTCGCACGATGTGCCAAATAAGTTGAGCTCAACTGTTCGCCGTGTAATTATTTGCTACTCCCTGATATACAATTTGCTTGCTTGAAAGCGCGGGTTTCACGACTTCCTGGTGGGCCCAGACGGAGTTTGTGGGCAATTCTTCTGGAAAAATGTTTGAAGAATTGAAAACGGAGATTGCCCGTAAAATAATTGCACAATCGACTTCAAGACTCAATTTCATCAAGAGCCAAACAAGATTTAGATTATTTCACCAAAATATCACGCACTGTGAATCACCTAGGTCCTTGCATGTTGGGTGAATTGAACCCTGGCAATTATGCGCTCATAACCGGCCGGGCGCCCCGGGCCTAAACAAGTGTGCGATTTTTTATAGAAAAGAGATGGTTGGTTATGCGGGAAATGGGTAAACTACCCGTTTTTGCAGAGCAAAGTGGCAACATGGAGAAAAACATCGGGTTTAATTATAGTGCCAGATATATGTGCAGCAAAATATCGACGATTTTTGCAGCAACATTTTGTGTGCTGGCTACAGACAGTATTATATACGCGAAGTACGCGGTACGGGCCTACATGTACATACTCCCGGTCTGGTCCTATATTTTTTTCCTGTGGCTGCAGACAGCCTCCTCAAATCTAACAAAAGTAACAGGTCGTCAACGACAATAGCACTGTAGCTGTATCAAGTTCTTGAGTCGAGCGTACATCATTACATGGTGTATCCCTAGGCCCTCTGTCACTCTCAACGAGTCCTTGACTCCTCCGTCAAGTCAGAATGGCGCATGTGTCTAGCTTTGTGAAAGAGTACCTGTAGTCTTTTGCTGCAAGCTATTTTACGTACAGAAGTGTCGTGTTGAGTATCTCTACTACATGTACTCTTCTGGATCACTCACACCACCTTTTAGCTATTGAGATATTGTTGAAGGTAACCATGAGCCAACAATTTGGAAGTGGGTTTGGCCAATTTACGGGTCAGCCTGGAAATGCTAGCTTTCAGGTACGATCTTTCTTTCTGTGTATTTAAATGTTCCAGTGTTTCTCCTAGCTGTTACTTGCATCGATGTGTAGTTCCACTAAATGGGAATATAGTTGAGGTACTGCTGTCTTCAGATTTTGATCTGCACAACTATCACCAGCAATTTTATTCCACTATGGAGCGGTTGTTTCAAATGGACAGTAGTTAGTTCCAGCCACATGAACTCTGATATGTGTAGTCCAAAACTGCACATGAAATTCAAACTTGTAAATTCTGTAGTAGGTATAATACACGAATTCATATCCAAGTTAATGCTGGGTGCTTTTTGAAAACATGGAAAATTGTTTTCTTGAAGTTCAGTCATGTACTTGGTGTTACACCACACCACCATTTGCATCTGCTATAGTCGATAGCAGCGTTCACTGCATCAGCCGGCAAGTTGACATTGGCTGCAGCCAGCAGCCGGAGCACGTCTTTGAGCCATGTTTTGGATTTGTGGACTGAGCGTATTCGCTGTCAAGAGTTTCATTGTCTGTGCACTCGCAAGACTGTGTAGCTCTTTCTTTGCCCTGTAGTTCACTGCATCAGGCGGCAAGTTGACATTGGCTGCTGCCAGCAGCCGGAGCACGTCTTTGAGCCATGTTTTGGATTTGTGGACTGAGCGTATTCGCTGTCAAGAGTTTCATTGTCTGTGCACTCGCAAGACTGTGTAGCTCTTTCTTTGCCCTGTAGCAACCGATCACCAGTCTGGGGGGGGGGGGGGGGGGGGACTCGAAGGTAGCAATGCCTGTACCTATGGTGAAGTAAAACAAAGATAACAAAACTCCTTCTCGACTAGATCCTGGATCTCCCTGGTATTTTATGTACATGTACATGTTTGTCGAAAGCCATTTCTGCTGACAAGGCCGTATCAATGCTGCGGCTATAGAACGTCAACCAGTAACTCATCAGCACTTGCTTTGTTTGTGTTGCTCAACCACAGGGCAATACTGCACAAGGTGGCTACATGCAGGCGTCTGGAGCTGGTGGGATAGCCGGGGGTCCAGCTGGGTTTTCCGCTGGACAGCAAATGGGGTTCATGTCAGGGTCTCAGGCGCAGCAGCAAGTGCCTCAGCAAGGCCAGTTTGGTGCTCCTCAGGGCTTTGCCGGACAGCAGCAGGCGCAACAACAGCAGCCTGGAGGATTCGGTACTTTCCAGCAGCATGGTGCTGGTGGTGGATATCCAAACCAAGCCCAGCAGCAGTTTGGACAGCAACAACAGCAGCAGCCCCAGCAATTCGGACAGCAGCAGCCCCAACAATTCGGACAGCAGCAGCCCCAACAATTTGGGCAGCAGCAGCCCCAGCAATTCGGGCAGCAACAGCAGCAGCCCCAGCAATTTGGACAGCAGCAGCAACAAGCCCAACAATTTGGACAGCAGCAGCAGCAACCTCAGCAATTTGGACAGCAGCCGCAACAGCACCAACAATTTGGACAGCCACAGCAACAGCAGCAACAACAATTCCAACAGCAGCAACAGCAGCAGCAACAACAGAGGCAGCAAGAGCTTGCGCAGCAAAAACGACTTGAGGCACAGCGCAAAGAAGCTGAGGAGATGGAGAAGCAGCGTAAATTCCGTGAGCAGCAAGCAAAGCTGAAGCGTGTTGGTGCTAAAGGAGCTAGTCAGAGTGGTGTTAATCTAGATAGCTTTATGGCACAATCATCAATGATGCTCCCATCGGCCGGAAGTAAACCTTCGCCAAAGACGCAACCTGCCAAGCCACAAGCGCCTGCAGGTATGTCCTGTTTGTATTGCTAATGTACGGTTGCGCTAGGTAAAATCCAACCGCAAGTGCATATATATGTGGCACCCTCGACTTGCACGGCCCTTGACACTCCGGAAGTGGCTCGGATACTGCTGTACGTTCACATGTACACATACAGCGATGTAATTGGAACGGGTCCATGGCGCTAGCTTTGTGCTTTGGGTTGGATTTCGCCTATCGCAAATGTAGATGGAGATGGAGTGAGTGTGTGCGTGAGTGAGAAATTGATTATCCTCGATTTGGGTAGAGAGTCTGCAATGAGTTATCTACGGATTGGTTTTCAGTACTTTTCAGGTACTTTTCACCCCGTCCACACTGTACATAGACTGAATGTGTGAGTCTTGACTCCTGACTAAACACTATCTGTGCTGATTTTTTCTCCTGCTGTTCTTAATTTTTGTGAACAGAGCCGGCCAAACCGAAGCCAGTGGAAAGCAAACCAGGTCAGTCGTTGCTCTTCTTTGTCTCTGGCTGCTGTTTGTCATTGCTGTGTATGTACTGACATCTGTGCAGTCTCTGGCTGCTGTACCGAGTTATGGCTGATTGATAGCATAGATAATCTTCTGGTATTGTGTAGCCGGTGGTAACGTGGACGTGCGAAATTTACGTTTAACTTTATTGTTTTTTTTTCAAATACAAACTGTTGAATGTGTTGTTTGGTTTGCATTGCACAGTTGACTACTCGGCCTTTGCTGATACGTTTGGTGGTGACCAACCTGAAGATGAGTTCCAATCATTCCAGCAGGCTCCTAGCACCGCGGGATTTGCTAGTGCGACGTCGTCCTCAGACAGCCCCTTGCTTGCCCATACGAACGCAGCCTCAGACTGGAGCACTGGCAATGCGGGAGTCAGTGCTGCTGCTGCGCCTGCAGCAAGTAGCACCATGCCTGGTGCAGGAATAAGCCAGCCGACATCATCGTCATTTTCAATGAACAATACTGCCTTTCCAACATCATCCACGGTGCCGCAGTCGGGCTTAAGTGGGAGCACCGCAGCAGCGACTTTGAATACGAGCTCTGGTTTCCCTTCTGCTAATATGTCATCACTCATGTCGGGTCCGTCTACAGGCGCTCCTCTTTCAGCGCCATCCTCTGACTCCTCCGGCGTGCTGAGATCTAGTGGTCAAGCCAGTGCTCCCATGCCATCACTGATGGACGAGAGAGGCATGCCAGCGCCTATGATGAGCCAGGGCAGTGCTCAGGTGCCTCCTTCGTCTACGCTCATGTCGAGTCAGCCGCACCAGAGCTCAACAACAGCCGCTGCAGCGCCGGCATCATCATCAGTGCCCATGGGCTCCACGCCGGCCAATGCTTCAAATGCATCCTCGGATTCCGGCCGAAAATCCATTCTTCCGTCGTGGTGCCGTGAGCTGCACTTAGCGCCTACTCTTTACCAGCAGATATTCCTGAAGTGCTGTCCCAAAGGGCAGACCAGTGTCGATACACATCTCATCTACCCGATCCTGACAGCGTCCGGTCTGTCGCGCAACATCCTCAAGGAGATCTGGTCCGCATCTAATCGTATGTCGCCGGGCAAGCTGAACCGCATTGAGCTCTACATAGCCCTTGGTCTGGTGGCGCTGGCTCAGGTGAGTGGAATTCAGCACTATTCCTGCTTTGTGTGTAGAGTACAGGTAACATGCTCTGAAGTCTTACTTGAACTGGTGTGTTACTCCAAAGCTGAACGAATTACACAACAAATCTACATGATTGTATGGTACAAGAGGCTGCTATGACTGTGCTCAATGCGTTCACCGCAGACCCTGTACTTGTACTTGTAGGTCTTATGCGGGTACGTGCAACGTTCAATCCACTGTAAAAAGTAAAGTAAATTATCGTATCCGTTCCCGAAGGGAACTCACGACGGCCGCTAACACCCGATAAACCCTAGCGGCAGATGCAGCGCCTAACGGTGGGGGTGAGTGGGTAAGTCTCACAACCACTGGCACAAGTGCCGAAAGCGACCCCATTAGCTGCATCCATTGTACTTCAAGTAATACTGGACTACTGGTGCATGTATCGCCAATCCCCAGTCTGTTCCAGTATTGTAGCTAAGACTTCTGGTATACAGTTACCTGTCAAATGGCAATATGTCATATAAACAAGGCTTCACCCACTCACCACCATGGACTTACCCATACGTAGACTCATGCATAGGTCACATGTGATGACCAGCAGTAGATGGCTTGGATACTTGCTTCAGTGTACGTACATTGACTACACATGCCTTGTAGCTGCCTGTTTCTGTGGATACTGGCAATACGACAATTTGTACTGTAGCCACTGTAGGTACTCATAATGTTGGTTAGGATGAGCATTCTGGCTTGTTGCTCACCTCTCCTGCCAGTACATTGCGCTGTACATGTACTACTGCCAGTGGCTTGTTTTGATGATGACTAATCACTACTCATGTCATGTTACTGGCGTGTGTGTGTGCGCGCGCGTGTGCATGCGTGCGTGTGTTGACCTCCTGCCCGTATGCTTCATACGTATTAGAATGGAGAGACCAACTTGACAGTAGCGACGCTATCAAATCGTGTCGATCCTCCCATCCCGGTGCTAAGTAATGTTGAGCTACCTAACCTACCGGCTCATCTTCGTGCCCAGGTTAGCCGAACTGCTCATGCTGTATCTCATCCTGTGTTCGGATATATGCATGGCAAATGGGAATACTGCTGACTTGTCTAATACTTCAGCAGTGTGAATGTACCGGTACATGTACGAGGCAGAATGTAGCACAGTCCTAGTACAGTATGATAGACTGCATGTTCACTGCACTTAGTTTTGAAGCACAGAGTACTGTAAACTGCCTAATATTCGCCACGGACTAATGTTCGCTATTTTCGCGAGAAGAGCGTAACGCGAATATTAACCAGCGTGAAATCAAGCTTCAACAGTGGGTGTATGTAGGTGGCCCCGTTGTTTCGCGAACTTTTGCCATCGCAAACTTGCTGGTTCTAAGAAATCGCGAAAATTTAGTGACGCGAATATTGGGCGGTTTACAGTATGTACTATGTATGTATTTGTGTACAGTACAAGTGCCTGTGATGCTATCAGTACAAGTGCCTGTGATGCTTGTGGACTCATTGTGTTCAAGTATCACTCACTGAGTCTGTGTACAGGTATTGCTCACTATGTACAAGTGTGAAATCCCGAGCTTTAGAAATCGATGTCTCGTTCTATTCTTGTTTGTGTGATCTTGCTTGACGTGCTTTAGCCACCATCGGCAACACCATCCACAACATCAACACCATCTCCCATGCCACCATTCTCTTCTTCTGCTATGCCCAGCAGCTCAGGCTCGTTTACACCAGGTATGTCCTACTGTCAATGTGTACAGATATTTAGTGCTTGCTTCTAATTGGTCCTTTATATCTTATGCAATGTTGCCACAGCCAAGTACACGTACATGAGTACATGTACATGTACTCGGAAGTAGTGTGCATGGTGTTATCCTGTTGTGGATTCATGGGTAGATTACTGTTAGCTACTGTGGTACTATCCAACACATGCTGGTTGTACAGTCAACTTCGCTAATAACGACTGCGGGTATAACGACCATTCGCGAATAACGACAGACTTTCCATGCCCAGAGCATAGTCCATACTACATGTAGCTGCATACATGTAGTGAGACTTCGGGTATAACGACACTTTGCGAATAAGGACACTTTTCTGATGCCCGGCTGAGTGTCGTTATACGCAAAGTCGACTGTATGTATGTGTGTGTGTGCACGCGTGCGCGCGCACGTGCATGTGTGTGTGTCTGCATGTGCGTGTGTGCATGTGCACTCTCAATATGTGTTTACAGACAACGCATCATTGGGACCGTCGTCTATAAATGATAGCCGGCGAGGAACATTGGCAGCTCTTGCTGAACAAGTACCCCAGTAAGTGATCATTCTCTGTCGGTTGGAGATTTTGGAATATGTTATGTCAGTACCTTTCAGGGTTACTGGTGGTGATAGTGGACAGTGCTTGAGTGTAGGTTGTACATGTAGGTGATTGGTGGGTATGCGAAACACCCATGCAACAACACTCCCTGGCACTTAGTGTTGTGGGTCGGAAAGTATCAATTTGAGGGGAGGAGGGCTCAGTACAGGGTATTTCATCTATTTCTACGCATCTCTTTCGCCGGTGTGTAGTGAGGTTGCAGTGGCATTGGCAGCCATGTTTATCCCCCGTGTGTGTGTGTGGGTGGGTGGGTGTACATTTCATTTCTCTCCAGATCCCAGCCATCTCTCGGTCCTCTCAATGACCCGATGGGCCTTGGCTCCTCTGCATCAGCAGCACTGCCCATGTCGTCGACTGGGTCTGCATTTAGCACTGGAATGCAGCCAACGGCAGCATCATCTGCGACAGCTAACACCGATCCGTATGCTGCTCTCAGTGGCTCGTTGGCTACGAGTTCCTACTCTTCTCAGTCACAGCAGCAGCAACCGCAGGCACCAATAACTGCAACAGCAACAAGTTCTGGTGGTGACTTTGGTGACTTTAGTTCATTCAACAGTGCACCGTCTCAAACTGCTCCGGTCACCAACACTAGCAGTGGTAATATGTTTGCTAATTCCTCCGCAAGCACCACGTTCCCGGCTGCCCTTAGTAGTAGCAATAACAATACCATACTACCCCCAGCTTCATCTACTTCTCTATCCTCAGCAACAGAGCCGATGTCTAGTTTTGCAAGCATGCCAATGGCTGGTGGGAGCACTGCACCGGTATCAGCTGCACCTGCTGCATTGGCCTTGAGCAACAACTCCAACACAAAGTACAGCGCTCTCAGCGGCCTGGCAGCAGACTCATCCGCTTCTACGCCCGCTACTGAAGCACCGTCCGGCAGTATGGGCCTGACGTCGCTCACCAGTTCTGCTGACTTTGCAGCGGACTTCAGCTCAGCACCAATGTCCACAATGCCGACTCTCGCTGAGCCTGCCGCATCGTCATCATCTGGTGCTGCCAGTGACAAATACAGTGTGTTCACGGCACTGTCCGGCGACACTTCTGCTGGCAGCGAGGAACTCTCGAGTCTTACATCAAACCACCAGATGAATCAAGCCAAACCTGATGCCTCTGATGATGGTGATAAATATGGTGCCTTCGGCGGCTTGCAATCATCAGGCAGTGTTGCAGCTGGGTCATCTGATCAGCTGGGTGAAATGAGTGGTATCACTGGGGGCAGTAGCAAGTATGGAGGTTTTAGCAAGCTGTGTTCTGTAGCCTCTGATAGCAGTATTGCATCTGCCTCCTACTCAGGAGGACTACTGGGCTCAGCTTCTGATCAGAAAGCAGATCCTGGCATCGCTGGTGACAAGTATAGTGCTTTGAGTAGTGTGTCGCGTGCCCCGTCCGACGCCAGTATTGGAGGTGTGCCGTCGTCAATGACGGAGAAGACCGGCAGTTCAATGTCCTTCTTCAGCAAGAAGTCCTCCGCCTACAGTGGCCTAGCTACGGTGGCGTCTGAAGCTAGCATCCCACCGCTTGATGGTGGGGACAGTGCTGGAACGACGACAGCAGCAGCCACTGCTGATAAGTATGGTGCGTTTAGCCAGCAGTCAGCAGTTCGTAGCAACATGCCTATGAAGCCCTGTGATTCTTCACTGTCCGGCATGACGGAGAGTAGGTCACTGCTGGCTGCAAGTGACAGTCTACCAACACCAGATGATAATGGAGGTGCTGGCTTTGGTGACTTCAATTCCATCAACATCACGTCCTCACAATCCCACAAGCCCATGTCCACGGCAAGTACCTTCGGCCAACTTTCACCCTTGACCCGACAGGAATCCTCAGCCACAGTAACCAGTTCCACGCTTCTAGCCAACCCTGATGACCCTGCTGATGAGTTTGGCGGATTTGCGGGTGCTGCTGGTGCCCAGTCTGTCCAACAGAACAGCAACACGGGCATGGATGGCTTTGGCGACTTCGCCACGTTTGAAAGCACAGCGCCAGCTGCCAGGGCACCTGATCAATTGTCTGTGACAAGCAGTGGTGCCAGTGCAAGCAGTGGCTTTGCTCCGCGACGAGCGACTGCCGAGAAGCTTGAAGACAGATTTGCCAGCCTGACAGGCTTCACGATGGATGGAGAGGATGTAAGACCATCACCAAAGATTCAAAACAAGGCCCTCAAAGCCGCCTTGACGCCCTCTATGTCCACTAGCAGCAGCACTCCTCTCGTTGCCAGACCTGTTGACTACAGCTCCCTGTCGCTGGTTAGTAGCACTGGAGGTTTTAGGTGCATGTGTGGGTGTATGTCTCTCTCTCTCTCTCTCTCTCTCTCTCTCTCTCTCTCTCTCTCTCTCTCTCTCTCTCTTCAGTAGTATGAAGTTGAACTTACTTTTCTGTAAGAGACTACCGTTCTCTACATCCAAGCAGATATTATTTATTTTCATTTTTTACAATATAGAAAAGAAAAAGGACCAAGGAACTGCAAGACTAGTTACGCTATACTGTCCACTAACACCACCAGTTACTTTACAATCAGCTCATGTGATAGCATTGCACGACACTGACTAACTGTACTGACATTCTACACTACCTGGCTAACAGCTCTAGCACATCTTGGATGCACACTCCAACAGCCTTCCAACTTGGAAGGTTCTAAGTTACAATTATGATAACATAAGAAGGGAAGGCGAGCGCAACCAAGACAAGCACGAGCTGAAAGTCTCAGCTGTTAATTTTTTATGCCATATTTTCCCTCAATAAATGTGCACATCTCCAATACTAGTACATGTTGAGTATGGATCACAAAGTATAACGAATATTTTCTCCAATAGTAGTACAGTGTACATGTCAGAATGGCCTGACGGGCATTACTGGGGCACAGGCACATGTACCAGGATCCACCTTACTGTGTTTTTCATACCTGTTATCATCTTTTGAATCTTTCTACACTGTTCAGTACCCTAGTTGGAGTGTAAATTTGTACAGATGTCTGCAGTCTTTCAGATCATTATTATGAGTGGTGTGATGCCCATGATAGGCGATCAATCTTGCCAGAATCAATAAAAGTACACGGTTCCTACACTACAGTAGAGGTCTGACCACCTTTGGAGAAAAAAACGAACTGCACATTTATTGGGGATAATACGGTAATCATTTCCTGTGAAGTGGCTGATGGCTTGATACTAGTAGGCCAGCAGTCATGTGCACATTCAGCGTCTGTACGAGGACATGACATAATCACGATTGCATCATGAAACCAGACTCCCAGGTACCCAGTAGTATCTCATGTGAACTGATATTGCTTTGTATGTTTTGGTGCGTTTACGCCGCCGGCTCTGATCTTCTCTAGGACGATGATGTCCACACGAAGGAGTGGAAACGCTGTCTTCAGGCTTGCCAGCAGCTTCTCAACACTGCGCTGACACTACTAGCCAATGTCAGCGGCGCTGAAGACATGTGTGCACTGGCAGAGTCTAAGAAAGGCGGTGATTATATTGCAGGTAGGTTGAGTGCGGACATGGCTGTGTTTGCAGTACAAGTACCAGGATGCACCGGACTGTTTCATTACCTCTCTTTCTGCTCATAGCAGAGCTAAGATTGTTTGAGATGCATTGGTAACTAGTTTGTAGTTGGTTCCAAGTGTTCCTGCTTTTTTTGGTAATTTGATCATTGATGAGCAGCTCACTGATACTTGGCCCTGGATCATGATCATTCTGTATGTACACCTCAAGCTCTGTTGACAAGCCTCGTCGAGATCTTTGTGAAGCCCAGCATCTACTTTGCAATAATCGACATTGTGTTCATGATCTTTCTGTCGGTGTCTGTGTGCCTGTGTGTATCGGCATGTGTTCATACGCTTTCTGTTGTTGTTTTCCGTGTGCCTGTGTGTTCAGCTGTTATTGAAGTGTACCGTGTTTATCTGCGAGTAGTCGCTTCAGGTGAGTGACCAATGTCTACGTTACTTGGTATGTTCAGTGCTGGGAGAGCTCTGTGCACTGGCGAGATGTTTCTACAGTGAGACCTGCCAAAGCCGTCCGCTCAAGGGACCTAACAGATGTTATCCCCGTGTGCAGGTGGTCTTCTTACCCAGGGTCATTTGACTGGAAAGAACATCATCCTTTTCCTAGTTGTACACTAGACGAGCAAGACTTTGTAGGGCTTCCACCCGTCTTCGGGTTTGAGACCATCGTCTCACTTCAAATACACTGCATACATACCTTTTTCTGCCGGTTTTCTCTACCGAAATTACCGATGTCTCCCCTTATGTCTCCACTACAGGAATACTTGTACATGGGTAATGGATATGAGTATGCTGGGATCAACAATACACGGTTCCAACACTTTACATAGCCAACCTCAAATATCTGTGTAGGGTACTCCCAGTACAAACTCCAAGTACGTCATTGCGCAGTGCGTGTGCTAATATACATAGAGTTACACTAGTGGTGAAACGAATATACCGAATGTTCGAATATTCGTTCGGTTTGACACATTCGAACGAATATTTCTCATGGCAAATATTCGTTAACCCGGTATGCAGAATCAACCGGGCGACTTCAAACTTTCGTAACTTCGTGAATACTTGACCGAATCGCTTCATTGAAAGATCTATCGGCATTAGCAAACTCTCAGCTGTTGTTTAGAAGCCACCCGAACGCAATCCGAGGTCCTGGAGGGGAGGTATGGCGCTCGAACGAAAATCACGTCTCAAGCTGTTTTTTGAGCCTGTGAAAGGCACTTCAGCTGGGTTTTTTTGTGAAAATGACCTAGAAATGATGGAGAAAATATATGCCTTCGTTCGTCATGCCTAATAATAGTGACAATATCCAATAAAATGACTGAGAGGAGGGCATGTGATGTCATCCGTGTTAACGAAAGAATGTTCGTTCGTTCGTTAAGCCGAAGAATATTCGGCTACTGGGTTTTGATATTCGTTTCACCACTAAGTTACACCGAAAATAGCACTGCATGCTATACACTAATACTAAAAATGGACTGTGTTTATATGTATTTGTATTGCTCTTTTGCTGCTTACACAGCATCCAACGCTGTCACACTACCTGACCAGAGCATGAGCCACATCAACACTGCATGGGCATCGATTGCATCCAGAGTTGCGGGCACTTGCTTGGAAGTGAGTAACTGCGAGCTATTGTACATGACTACTGTGTTACGAAAAGTATAGACCCCAAGACAGAGTGTGCAACTCCACCTGCATTATCTAGTGGGTTTGCCCATGTCTGTAGGATTTTCACATGTCTAGTGTTTGCACATGTCTATAGGGTTTGCTGGTGTCTATAGGGTTTGCTCGTGTCTATAGGGTTTGTTCATGTCTATAGGGTTTGCTGGTGTCTATAGGGTTTACTGGTGTCTATAGGGTTTGCTCTTGTCTATTGGAGTTGCTCATGTCTATAGGGTTTACTGGCGTCTATAGGGTTTGCTGGTGTCTATAGGGTTTGCTGGTGTCTATAGGGTTTGCTCGGGTCTATGGGGCTGTCTATAGGGTTTGCTCTTGTCTATAGGGTTTGCTGGTGTCTATAGGGTTTGCTCATGTCTACAGGGTTTGCTCATGTCTGTCTATGGGGTTTGCCCATGTCTACCAGTATAGGGTTTGCTCATGTCTATAGGGTTTGCTCATATATATCGGATTTGCTTTTAATAAAGCTCGCATCGTGTTACAGTAGACCAGTTTTACCAATCTGATCGCCAATCTCCATGCTTGTTCAATTTCGAGGTGTCTCCGTCTAATACATTGTGCTGTGTTGTTTTCTGTGTGAATTGCTACTGCAGCCCAAAGAGGACACCGTTTCGCTCAGTCAGTTACGAGCTACTCCCAAGTGTGCGGACATTGAGCGCTCGTGCGGCGTGTGTCTGCTCAAGGTACCCGAGGAAAACGCTCCCTCGTCATTGAGTGGCGTTGGCACAACCGCCGACGTGACTCGCTTGTTCACGGAGACGGCCATCCAGCGCGATCCCAACGCAGCACGTCTGCAGTTTGGCAAGCGCTGGTACCACGCAACCTGCGCCAATTTCTGGTGCAACTGCGTAGAGCGAACGCTACCCAACTTGCCGTTGCTCTCACAGCTCCTCTAGCTGCAGCGCTTGCTGTAGATTAGGTCTGTAGTGTTGTTTGTAGCAAATTTCAATTTTTTAAATCTATCCCTCTCAAATCTCGTCCCGTTATTCCCCGCACCCGTTGCTCTATCGGTTTAAAACATGAAACTCACATTAGCGCTTTTATTATTATTATTTAAAACTTTATGATTCTGCTATTCTGCTATTCTCACCCCCGAGCCTGGGAATAGACGCTGCTAACTGCCATCGTACTGCGATAGACATGGCATTAGCTGTCATGCGCTGCCACACATTGAGCTGTATGCTATCACAAGATGGCTGTGCTTTTACTGAAAACACTGCTACACACTGTACATAATGGTGTGCCGTTGTCGCAGTCGGCTTGTATCCGTGCTTGCCAGGGAGTAACGACGTTACGTTACTACTACTTCCTGGTGCTTGCTGATTACTGACTGGTTGATCCAGGGGTTGCAGTGTACAGCTTGCATGCCACTCACGGCAACGTCCCACATGTACTCTTCTTGCTCATGATCTATCTTATATGGAACACTTGCCGGCTGCATGCTTCATCGGTACGATGATACTGAAAAACATTCAGTCAAGTGTGATGTTGTTTGTTGACGTCGCAGGTTAACCGGTTGTCTTGTCGATAATTTTTCTGTGCAATTCAACTAAAATGAGGATTATTTGTAATTTTGAGATATGCTCTTTTTCTATTCATGTATCTAAACGCTGGCTCCAAGTAAATACATGTACTTGTAATTCATTTTGCTTCACCTCGAACTATGGTGTATGTGAGTAACGTATTGTGTTGTCGCTGTGATGAGGAGGAGGAGGGTGGATCTTCTTCACACACTCTGACCCATGCGAACGTCCATGTTCCTACTTTGTAGACACTACCGTCAGTGCATGGGTTTGTAGAAGCTACGTGTAGCTCAGGGATCATCTGTAGGGTCTGGCTGTTGTAAGATAAACAAAAGGACGACTTCCTGAGATCCAACATTCATTGCCATCATCATATTTTTGGTATCGGTATGAGTTCATTTTGATACAATGATCACGTCATGCTGAGCAGTCACGTGGCCTGCACTCTAGGCGTTTTCAAGGCTGTTGGCCCGGGCCTGTTGCTGGTTTTCAAGGCACTTTTCGAATTCAGCTGTGGAGATCTACTGTCATCATGGTCATCATGATGATGAAAGATTTGTGTTGTGACACGATCGATGACTGACGCTGATATCCGACATCGCGGAGGATTTGTTCAAAGAGATGTAAATACGTATGTGGATGAAGGGAGTTCCTCGTCAAAGGCAGGTCATTGACGATGGTGTACTATTTACGTCCCTGAAATCCAGCGGTTTAGATGCATCCTGAATCTCCTATTGGAAGGTCTGGATGTTAGCTTTATTCATGCTCTTCACCGGCGAATAATTAGCTGGCAAGATTGGAAAGAGAGTGGATTTCCTGTGGTGTCAAGTGTGCGTGCAGTTCTTCAATCGGGTACAATGACTTCTGTATACCTGTACGTCCCAAATGTAATTGGTGAGTTTATGAAGTTCATGAGAATTGAAATGTCCAGTTCCATACAGAGAAGAGAGGCTACATGACACATAGATTACAACAGTCTTTCAACAATTCTACAGTATCTAAAGTCACACGGGCTCAGCTGCAGTGAGACGCTTCCCACGGTTGCAGCTGCAGTGGTTTTAAAACTGGCCTGAGAGTTGACGCAGGGAGTGCACACATGCACACACGCACGCACAAGCGGAAACACAGTTACGATTTGAAGGGCGGTGGACCCTGGCTACACCTGACCAGACGTACTACGTCACTTTGTGATGTCGAATGGTATCAGGAATAACTGCAAGTATATGTGTGGATCGGGTGGCGCTCTCTGGCTAGTACACCCGCACATGTGTGTGTATGTGTGTGTGTGTGTGTGTGTGTGTGTGTGTGTGTGTGTGTGTATGTGCAGCCGTGCAGGCGTTTGATAGAGCTATAGGAGAGAGTTGAAGCTCAATGGGTCACCAAGTCGGAAATGTTGTTCTGTACCATACTTAGAAGTGTTGAAGATAAGACTTTAAAAATGGCACATATAGTGCTGTAATCGAAAGTGGCGGGGAGGGGGGAGGGGGGTATAGCCAAAGGATGTAATGTGCATTTTATTTTTTTTAAATTGTGCGTGTTTCTGTGATTCAGGTTACATTCGTCTGTTGCTCATAGTGGCATCATGGTACGTATGGGACAGCGCGCCAGTGTTGTTCGTAGTCCTGTACAGCACGTCAGCACTGCTCGATGCTCTGGACGGCATCGCAGCGCGCCGTCTCAATCAGATATCGGGATTCGGTGCGTGGCTGGACGTCGTCGTTGATAACATCGGTCGCACGATGATCTGGTCGTGCCTGGCGCCGTGGGGCTGGATGGTGGCCGTTCTCGAATGGTGTACGTTCTCTTGCACCCACAACAACGGCGCACACTGGAGGGATTCGTTTGACAACGCGCCCGCCTGGGTGAAGGCCGTCATGGCGAATGGTCAGTGACCGCTGCTACTCTGCTGTGTTCTCACTAGTCGTCAATGCCATGCAATGCAGACCTGCTTGATATGGGCAATACTGATCTTGTTCACCACAACACACTACTCATCTTGATGCTGGTATACTGGTAACACACGTAGACAATGTACTTATCTACTGTAGTATTTGTACTCTATCTCATTGTGTGTACAGTGCTGTGGTCTACGATATAGGTCGTGTGAAAATCAGGCTAATTATTCTATTGTATTGTCGTCGTGTTGTTTTCCCGCTGTACTGTACAGGTTTCAGGACACCTGTTGGCTTTCTAGTCATCGCCGGCCTGCACGTCTTCCCAATAGTTCACTATGGTATGGAGAGAGGCATGTTGGCTTGGCTTAATCCGGTATTACAACCAGCGAGGGTCCTGCTCGCCATTGGCAGGATTGTTTGTGCGGCTACAGAGGTTAGTACGTCATTGCAGTGTGCGTGCCGCTCAGCAAATTGATAAGTAGATCCAGTAATAGGGTCTTGCACAGTACGTACTTCTGCTTGAAAGGAGAGAGCATGCCTCATTGCGGGTCCTCACTTTGCTGTTGTCTTGCTGCAACGTCGCGTGACTACATTGTAATGGGTGAGTAGCTGCAACACCACCTGACTTTGCCAGGCAGTGCAGCTGCTCACCCATTACCCATTACCGACGGTAGTCACTCACCTGTACCTTGTACTTGTAGTGAATCTGTGTGTGTGTGTGTGTGTGTGTGTGTGTGTGTGTGTGTATATGTATATATGTGTGTATGTGTGTGTGTGTGCGTGTGTATATGTGTTTGTGTGTGTGCGTGTACATGCGTGTGTGTATGTGCGTGTGCGCTCGTTCTTGTTGACAGTGCTGGTGTATTGTGGAGCATATTCGTCATCTGGATCCAGCACCAGCGGCGGTGGCGGAGAACTCACCCGCCTCTTGAGACAACTGCTCAGTCACTGAGTGTACTCCTGCACAGGTCTTACATCATGGCCGCCTGCCCCTCCGTGCCTCTTGCACTATTCCAGTGTGAAACCATAGATTAGCCAGGACTGAGGTGAAGAGATGCGCTGTGTGCTTGCCCATAGCCTGTGAGTCATTAGCAGGTGAGTGTCTGCTATGGTTGTGCAGTGCTGCAAGAGGATCATGTTATCAATGTACATGTCATGTACATACTTGTGCTACTGGCCTGGATCATGTGACCAATGTACATACTTGTACTGCTGGATGCCCTGAGACAAGGCAGTGCTGAGTGATCTCCATCGCACTGTGATGCAGGCTGCTGCTAGTCACAGCACTGCCAGGCAGAGCGGGCTGTGAAGTGCTGTAACATGTAGCTAATTACTTACCAGCCAGTTATGGGTGGATGGCTGAGCACACTGCACTCATCACTGTCATCCGCCCCCGATGAGAATGTGAATGCGGCAGCAAGCTGGATCGTATGCCAACATTGTGGTACACAGTCAGTGCGTAGCTGGTTGTGTCCTGCCGTAGTCTACACACGGCACCAAGAGTGTATGAGCTTGCGTACTCTTGAGAACACTCAGGCAGAATTACTGTTGATACAAACAATTTAAAAAATACTTGAAATAAGAAATTATTGCAGGCACAGCTGTCATGAAGCTGACTAGTGATGTTCCAGGTGACTTCCCAGGTGATTCCTGAAAGGTCAACAAAGAACCGCTGATTTTATTCTTCTTTGTCAACAACACGACATAGTATATACTGTATAGTCTTTGCTAATACTGGCTTGAACACTGTTCGCTAAGCCAATCAGTTGCTACTCACATCCCTCACCCTGTGACTGACCACTGTACAAATAGAAGTTTCTGTGCGTACTCTCGCCAGGAGCAAGTTTTTACTTCAAGTATTTGGAATATTTTAATCGTGGAGAAAGTGCTGTTATTTCAAGCACTGAGCCTACTCCATTCTATTGGAAGTCTGTAATTTTTATTTTAGTTGTGTCCTAGAATAGGTAGGTCATTTTTCAATAGGCGATTGTGTGAAAATGAATTATGCCATCATGCCGCTGCCAATTTTTACTACTTTTTTAAAGTAAATCTTGCAGCAGATTTAAATGATTTAATATGTTCAGCTGGTATTGTTGTTTGTTTGTTTGTATTCTTTATTTAGAGTGGGAAGTCCAAAACAGGCCCTAGCCTATAACAATGGTCCCACTAGTGAGGGAATGCTGTACATCTGTGCATAAGGATCAGTGAGTGTAACAGCAACTAGTAGGAAAAGAAAAGAGAGAAGAAAAACGACTCAAAACAGGAGTTGCGACTTGCATAGGGAGAAAATTACGTAAAGAGCAGTGCATACAGCATTTGTAAAAAAGGCTTATTTATCTGGTAAGCAAAAAGGCAAGAGCCATTGACTTAAAGCGATTGCGTTTTCTTTCTTGCCTGACCGCAGCGGGGAGCTGGTTCCATAAGATGGTCCCAGCATAGGTAACACGTTTGGCAAGATATTATGCAGTTGGGCTGGCTGGGACAATCAGTAAATTGCTGTGCCCACCACGAGTTTGAGTGAAATCACTGCGGCTGAAAAAGTTAGCGAACAACATGCTGATGTTAGAGGAGTCATGGAGACAACGCCAGATAAAAACCAGAAGGTGCATGTTGGCGTATGTGGTCAATGTTTGGATGTTCATGCGTGTAAGAATATTGCTTGTGGGTGTCCCGGGAGGTACCCGACATACTGCGCGTACAGCACGATTGAAGAACCCATTAAGCTGTCGACTTTGATACGCCGTGAGAAATGGTAAGTAAGCAGAAGCGGCATACATAAAGTGTGATAAAATGAAAGAACGAAAAAAGACTATTTTTTTGGGGGGGGGGGGGGTGGCGGTATGGAGGGGAGAGAGGGGGGGGGGGGGGGCTTTGGACAAAGTTGCTGATGTACAGTGCTGGCAACTGAAATCCGACCCCCGGGTGGCGTGCTGTGCCGCCCCGGGGGTCGGATTTCAGTTGCCAGCACTGTAGTTCAGCTTTCTTTTACTTCAGCACTATGACTGTTACTATGCGTATCCTTGACGGCGGAGAGTTGTTGCATAGCATCTCAGATCTTCTTATCGGTTGTTCTCGTACTGTAAACTAAGCGAATGCTACATGTACCAGTAATGTTGTGCTAACACAACATTCCACCCACACCTCAACACTTGTCTGAAGCAGATTAGGATTTAGCTATCATCATTAATTTTATGACCCGGAGTATACAATGTGAGGAGGGGGGGGGGGGTTGTAAGTAAAGTTGCTTTGTAATACTAATAGGATGGATGCAGTGAATGGGTTCTTCGGTCTTTGACCGTCTTTGGTGGGTCTGATCTCCTCACCTCCCACCGTTCTAGGAGCTGCATCTGCGCCATGATCCTTGAAGGGTGGTGGCGTTCCTACGGATGCGGAAACTGACTCGGCCTCTAGCCGAGTCTGACGCGAACCGTGATTTTTAATCATTTTTTGTAATAATAATAATCTTTGTAACTGGGCGTACCCCGTATAGCTGATAGTGTCGCTAGTGAACATGTGAAATGCTCACACACGGATGCCATGACCTCTGATCCGATCTACGCCTTGCTCGGAAGTGAGACGATTGAAGGCGCTCATGTTGCTCATGACGCTGGGCATGACCAGGGGTAGGGAGTCCATGGCTCTGTCTGACCATGTCTCACCAGTTGCAAAGCTGCAGTTCGGACGGCGGCATCCGGATACCCAGGCACACTGTAGTGTAGGGCCTGGTAATGCAGCACCGCGGGCGTTGCAACCCCGGGCTGTAGATAGGAGGGTCCCTGGTCCAGGCTATTCTTTGTTATGAACTCCTTCTGGTGGCCAGGCATTGGTCGGAGTCTTTTGATAGTAGCGGATGTTGCATTAGAGTGAGACTTGAGTTGTTGAGACTAAGACTGAGCACAGTGAGCATGGTGAGGGTGACTGATGATCAGAGCAAGAACCTGGCACAGTGGCAGGATCTAGGACGGGCATAGGATAGGAATGTCCTGGTAGCTATGGTAACGCAACAGTGTCTCCGAGCTCCAGCGCTCTTGAGTCTTGGCGTTCTTTTCGCCGGGAAACCTCCAAACTGTTTCTTCTCCATGCTGCAGAGCTACAAAGTAGCTACCGGTACCTACACACCAGTACTGCAGTAGTTCCATTCTGGATTTGTTGTCGAGGAGAAAGCTTTTTGTTTGTAAAACCCACCAGGTGCATAGCACTCACTGTACACCAGGTACACGTGTGCCAGCGACAACTACCGGTAATCGTTACTTGACCGGTCCGTGACCAGTGGTGACAAGTAATTAGTTAGTTGGACCACTAGGCCACTGCGGACTAGGGCGTCGCATCCCTCGCATCGGACGGGTCATATACCCGGGTAGATGATCTACCGGGTATGTTCTGAGCTATTCGTTTGTCCCGTCGATCTGACCGTCAAACGACACGTAAGTCGTTTGTGACCGGATTTGTTGTCGATCCACAATTATTAATTTTGTAGGTCACTACGTAAACGTCGCTTGTGTTGATCATGCAAGTCATCAATCCAGTGTTTGAGCATGTCGAAGAAGCGGATCCGTCTTCGCTATCTTTACCGCGAAGCTGTTGCCTGTCGCCTGTTGCGCTGGGTGCAGGGACCAAGGCGGAAGTACCTGCATCGTGTATCCGGGGTACTTGGACAGAGCGCTAGAGCGGTGAGTGTATGCCTAGGCAATCTTCTTTGTTTGTTGTGATTGTACATTGCATTCGTCACAGTGTATTGCTATGAAAAGTTAGAATAGAGTCGTCGACGCCGACGACCACAACAACAACAACAAGCTCACGCTCCGAAGAATGCATTGCCGAAGTACAACACAGACTGAAATCCCAGAACTTTTCAACGGTTTCCTCTGTTTTCTTTTTTGGTGACCTACTGTAGAGAAGGAAGCAGAGCCATGAATTCATTATCAAAGTTAATGTTGAAAACGCCTCCAACACACGCTCAGCATTTCCCTTGTGCACATTATTTATTATTACCTGCATGTACGCGTTGGAGTCAACCATGCAAGCATGATCCACAACTTCGCTTATGCTGAACATGATAAACAGGACTATGACAGGGGAAAAAATGAGCTAGAACGATGATAATAATAATAATTATGATAACTATAATAGTATATGCAATGTAGCTCATTGGTATTGAAGATATGTCATTTATGAATATGTCTATAATTATGAATATTGCAGCCTGAGTGATAATGATAGTGCTATTTCCTGAGTTTGACTTTGGTTGAGTTGGGTAACTCCGCTCTTCTTCCTCGCTCACCGGAGGAATTGTAGTCTCCTCGCGCAACTGGGGAGCAGTTTTCATTGGACATTAGTGACGGGACAATGCAACGGGAATCAATGGTACGAGCTGATGAACGAACGCTTTACGGAGGAAAAGAAAAAACTTGCTGTCGGAACTTTCAATGTGCGGGGCCTCATGTCGGCCGTCAAGAGGAACTCCTTGTGTCGAGACCTCTCTTTCTACGGCATAGACGTCTGCACCCTTCAAGAAACCAAGTTACCTGCAGGGCTTGACGAGCAGCGAAACGGCTAAAGAGGGAATGGAGCAGAGTGTTAGAGCACGCGGACGGCCAGTGTCAGTGTGGAGTCGCGACTTGCAGCTGTTCGGCTTGTTGGTCACCCGGAGCTCCGTCAACGCGGGCATAGAGCTAATGCGAGCGTGTGGCCGAGGTTGCGCTGACTAGTTGGCGGCGGCTAGCCGAGCTTGACGACTTGTGCACATACTAATACTTATTGGGAGCATACAGACATGTAGAGAGGTTTGTCATTGAGCGCTTTCGCAGCAACCGTGCTTACCTGTACTTGTATGTGTGGGTGTTTGCCGGTAGGGAACACCAACAACCTAGCACTCGCAAGAGAATAAACAAACAAGCCAGGTGGGCTGAGGACCATGCGAACATGTTGAAAACGAGATGTACCCAAAACGACGAGTGTAAGAACACCGAAAGAGTTGGAGGCAGCCTTGAGTTGGAGATGTCAGCATGTCGCCAGTGGGTAGCTGCACTCATGCTTGCCAATCTGGGCGGTCCAGGACCGGGCACTACCCATATTAAACTTGAAATGTGCGTATCTCTGAATGGCATGCACTTCAATGGGGAAGGGCCAGAAATTGGACAGCATATGGCATCACTTGTCCGCAACATTAACCTGATAATATTTCCACTAAAACTCACACAGGGTTGCCCAGCAGGCCGAGGTTCCCGTAAAACATCGAGGTCCGGATAAGAGAGATATACGCCACCACCCTTCAAGGATCAAGGCGCAGATGCAGCTCCTAAAGCTTTGGGAGGTGAGTAGATCAGCTCACCAGCAAGTGGTCAAAGACCGAAAATCCCATTCAATCTTTCGATCAAGCACAGGGGAAAATCCACAGGGGAAAATCCGTGGTAGAAGTAGGACTGGAGTTGTACTGGAGGTGAACCACTCCAAACTTCATAGCCAGTGTACATGTATACCTCGAGCTCAATCAGAGAGACCAATGAGCTTGCATGACAGTAGACCTTGCGAATCCTACTTGAGCCCAGGGCAACAACGCAAGGAATGGTGTCTTCTAATGATTGTTTTTGTCCAAATCAGCCACAGCAAGCTATGTGCAGGGAGCTGAGATGCCATATCTCTGCCAATCCTGTCGCTTTCTGCTACCGGCTTATTCTAGTTGAATTATACTGATGATGCACATGTTGATCCATTCCCTGATAATGTCTACAGAGGGAAACATTTGGAATTAAGTGAATTGAATGAATGAGATAATTTGGTGCAGTGAGAGACTGAGAGAAGTTGGAGGCATTTTCTTTAAAAAAAAGATTTACCAGAAGCATTGTAGACAAATAGTTTTAAACATTCCTTCCCCGGGCACCCCAAGTCTTTGTCGTTGATAGCACAGCGTGCTAAGACCCGAGAGCGCAGATCGCTTAGAAAAGGAAAGGTAACTGCTCTAGACTCCTGACAGCACATGGTGCCATCTTCCCCCGGTGTAGCTAGTGCCACTGCCGTAGACCTTGGCTATGCATCTCTGTGCTGTTGATTATTGAATCGGCTAACAACGGCCTGATGCTCAGATCATGTCATGATTGGACACGGCCTGTCATAACCTCATGACTTCTCTTGTCATCTGATATCGGTCATCAGGTGTTCCGCTGATGGACACACCTCCACTGCATCAGCCTCAGAATAACAACTAGGGCAGTGAGGGGCATGGCTGTATCAATTCGTAACTTGTTCCATAGAGCTACTAATGATCTCAGTCGCAGTTTGAGAGTGTTTGTAAGTTAGTTTAGGAGCACATCCTCGCCCAGCCATTGGAGTTTGTGCTGTTGGAGGCATTGGATGGCTGACTAAGGAGAGTAAGGATGAGCATCTTCACCAAGACGGGCAGCCCTGGCTGGATAGGTTCAGTCAGTATGTCCAGCTGGCTGGTAGCTCTTGTCATCGTCGTCTGTTTCTTGGTGACCCGAGCTGCACACAGTCGACATGTAGGTCAGGAACAAGTGCAGAGAGCTAGCCAGGACAGTGTTGCTGATGCTGATGCTCTGACTCAATACTATGTGTCAAGTAAGCATGCTGTATTGACCAGAATGCACCAGTTCTAAGTTGAACCAGGGAGTTGTACAACTCCCCTGTTGACTGTACATTGTGACCTTATCTGGGTGTTCTACAGGGGTCATTCATTTGTTAATCCAACACCACAGCACTAGTGCCACAACCCGAACATATCGTATTACACTCTGATATGCATGGGGTGTTATTTTCCTGTGCCCATCTTTCTCATTCACTACCTACTGAACAGCCAGTGGCAGTGACAGCGGTGATGGAAGTCAGGCACATCCATTCCGTACCGTGACACGTGCACAGACGGCCGTGCAAGCATTTAAGAAAGCACACAGCGGTCATGTGCCTGCTCCAGGTGTTGTTGTAAATGTGGCCAGCGGTACTTATGAGTTCTCAGATGCACCGCTGCAGTTCACTAGTGAGGACTCCGGAGAAGCAGGAGCTATTGTAACGTGAGTAGTACACCAATTTAACAATTTAGATGAATCTGTGTACTACATTTGTAAAGTGCTCAACGTGCACTTTTTAAATTCATCTTTTCATTGGTGTGTGTTGGGTTTGTGATGTGCTCGTTTCGTCTGTTTGTGATGCTTTCTGAAGTGCACTGGTGAGGATGCGTGCTGCTCATTTCATGCTCGGAACAAATATGTTAATACGTGTTTGTGTGCATTTGTATCATGGCCCTGCATACAAATGCCTGTGCACATGACTGACTGTACATCTCTCCTTACAGTTACCGGGGTTCGGATACCGGTGCTGTAGTGCTGTCCGGTGGTAAGGCAATCCCCACATCTAGCTGGCAGTTTCACTCCTCTGTATCAGTACAGGCCAATGCTGATAGTGCTGGTGATGCTAGTGTGCATGGCAAACTACATACTGGTGATGCCCAGTACCATCGTCATCACGAGGATTCCAATGATCCACGATCTATCATTGAAGTGACGGGTATATCAGGCGCCGAGCATCCCTGGCTGCACGCTGAACCGGAGAAAGCCAAGCTGGACATGCATAGTCCACATCATGTGTCCAAGCGGCATGTCAATGGACCAACGGTCGATGTTATGAAGGTATGGACAGCTGCACTGGATACAACACTCTGTACTTTTATCACTCCGCTGTTTCAACCTAAGAAGGTCGAAACAGCTAGTTGGCTGGAGATCCAGTATCATCCTTCTTACTTATCCAGCACTGTATTGGATCCATTCTACTTATCACTGTATTGGACGTTTTGGTATTGTTAGGATACACCCGATACACCCCCGTGTGAATGCCTGTGTCTGTGTGTCTGTGTGTCTGTGTGTTTACTACGGTCTATGTATGTGTGTCTCTGTCTGTATGTCTATGTATGTGTGTCGCTGTCTGCACCACGTGGGCAGGTGGATCTGACAAAGCTGAACATCACTAACTATGGAGATCTCAGCTCTGGTGAGCTCGGAGACTGTGCCAATGACAAACTGGAGGCATTCTACTCTGGAGAGGTATGTTCAGTTTGCAGTTTGCACACACATTTGTGCATGCGCATATATAGCATGACATCACATTCAGAGGATGCATGATCATCAGCATATAGCAATGACATCACAAACAGAGGATGCATGATCATCAGACTAGGTGTGAGCAGTAGTTGTTCCATGTTCGTTAACAGGGCTTAGCCGCGGCACACGCCAAGCCACCATTATCATGCAGGATTCCTTTTGATTCATGGGTTCAGCACTGCATGCGTACTGTACATGTGCGTTCTCTTTACTCGATTTTTCTCCATGTAATGCGACAGCCTCTTGTCCTCGCACGCTATCCTGACATTGGTAGCGATGGCAAACCTCAGTTCATGAATATTGCCAAGGTCATCAACAGCAGCAACCAGTTCCAGTATAACAATTCAAGGCAAGTGTCAGTGCCGGTTGTTTGGTTGTCTTTGCTTGCCAGTACAGTAGGTGAACCTGGTTTGAGCAACCACCTGCTTTAAGCAATCACCTTGTTTCAGCAACCACCTCGTTTATGCAGCCTCCTCGTTTCATTAGGCACCTGACCACTATTCTCTGGTACCAAGTAGTGAGTAGACGTGTGTAGAGTGTGCACGGGTCACCCTGGTTGTAGAGACCAGCTGTGTTCAGAGGCCGTGATAAGCTGGTCGATTGGTTGGCCTCTGGAACAAGGTATTACCTACCTGTGTGTGTGCGTACACGAAGACAGAAACCGTGTTGGTGAATGTAGCCAGAACTTGCAAGCTGATTGCTGATACATTGGACTTATTTAACCCCAGGCCATTATGTTAACCCTTTGACGCCCATAGTACGGATCCGTACCAGTGTACAGTGCATACTTTTCAAAGCGCAACTTGGCATAACTCGGCTGTCCCTTGACCAAATCGGACAATCGAAAGGGCTATCGACATTAGAATTGTCTCAGCTATCGGCTCGAAAAAACCCGAAAGCGATCCGAGTTCGGAGAGCGGAGATACGAGACTCGAACTAAATTCGCTCAGCAGAGTCAACTCGAGCGCGTGCATTTTGAACTCGTTTTTAGGGGTTTTCCCTGACTCGCGGCACACGCAGCTACAGATAGTTCACGTCATCGCAACGGCATGTTTCTCAGCTCTCCAGTAAAAAAATTGAGCGATCTGCGATGCCATTTGTTGAAATGGCAGAGAATTTGAAATGGGCGCTCGCAATGCTGGCTTTGGAGCGCCGTATCGCGCTGCGGCGCTGGTTCTGTGGATCGAGTGATGTATTGCTGGCTATCGCTGTGTTCCTATGGCCAAGAGCTTTCCAGAAAGCCCAAGATCACCAAAATCGGCCAAAGGACACCAACATTACGACCAGATAAGTACCTGGGCTCGCGTCTGCAGTGCATTTCTTGAAATAATTGTGGGCCCTAAAGGGTTAATAGAAGAAGCGACTACAATCAACTTCGCTCATAACGACTGCGGATATATCGACAATTCGCGAATAGCACCAGAATTTCCATGCCCAGAGCAAAGTCCATACTACCTGTATACATATAAGGACACTTTTCTGATGCCCTGCCGAGTGTCGTTATACGCGAAGTTGACTGTACACATGCCAGCTGAAGGTGATGAAGCGACTACAAATGTTATCAGCTGATGATAGTGTTTTTGGATTGCAATACTGTACTGCTATAGGCTATCTGCAGTGAAGAATGCTAGTTCAATGTGGCTACACGGCTACTGGGGGCAAGACTGGGCCGATAACTACGTACGTGTTGTCAAACTCGACGGCGCCGCATCCACTGTCACCACGGATACCAAGACACCACCGGTGTATGGTAAGGTTGAGAGAATATGTGTGTGTGTGTGTGATATCCTGGTTAAGGAGCTGTTCTGTTTGGCCCGGGTTAGAGTACATACTTCAAAGCAGTGTAATCCAAGTTGTCAGACCATCTGCCTGTGTGTGACGTCTGTTACTGTTCGCTGCAGGCTTTCACAAGACTGCACGATTCTACGCTTTGAATACGCTGGAGTTCCTCGACTCTCCTGGTGAGGTGAGTGGCAAGCACTGCACATTGGCTTTATCGCAAGGCATGCAGGCGGTATTGAGTACCCTCTATAGTGCTGCAAGTATATGTATTGGCTTAGCAGTGATTTGTGTTTGCCGGCGGTGCATGTCCACGGGCATTGCGTCATGGGTCTAGCCTGTGTCATCTGCTAAGCTCCTAGCCATTGTCATCGATTCTGTAGAAGTACAAAGTTTCGTTTGGAATTAACTTTCGCTATTCGTTAGGGGGCACGAGATAACGAAAGTTTGTAAACTGAAGTGACCCCTTCTGAACGAGACGGGTGACAGACCTCGACCAAAAACGAAATTTAGTACGTCACAAACCTGCTGGTGGAGTGATCTAACGAAAGCTTTCGTGAACGAAAATTTGTGCTTATACAGTAGGTTGGACCACATTGGACTTATACAGTATGTTGGACCACATTCGACTCGTTCATAAACTGTACAACTATGTGATGATGACAATGCATACTCTCATCTTGCTTCCTATCTCTACAGTATTATCTTGACCGAGGCGCCGGAGTTCTCTACTTTGCCTTGCCCGCTGATGCACCTGTGAATGGCGAGGTTAGTTGTAGCGGCTCTTGCATGCTCTACCTACCTGGTGGGCACATCAAACTGGTAGTCCACTTAACCGTTAACTGTGTGTGCAGACAGCTGTCCTGGAAGTAAAGGATGACGATTATCTAAATTAAAACGTTTCCGTGAAGATAAGAATGATATAAACGCAATGGATAGGGTGAGTTGCTCATGGTTTTGTACTCAGTGCGCAACTCACCCTATTCATTGCGTTAATTATTTAAATTGTTCCCATTGGCCTTTACCTTCAAAGAATGTGTTCATGGATACGGTAGCTTTGCTGAGTTCTCTTCTCTCAGTTGTATCCTTGTCCAGTAGCAGTTATTCAAAAACATGCTGGGCAATGCACTGTCTCTACCGTCCTGGTATGATACGGACTGCTTTCGTGTGAGCCTCGGCATGGGGGGGGGGGGGGGGGGTAAGGCAATGGCAAAAGCCAGAAGTGGACAGGATAAGTATTTTGATCCATGGACGACGACACGCGTGTGTGGGTATGGGTGTGTGTGTGTGTGTGTGTGTGTGTGTGTGTGTGTGTGTGTGTGTGTGTGTGTGTGTGTGTGTCCCATATGGTGCAGTGGTATGTGCAGCGATTTCCAATCGATAGGTTGCGGGTTCGATTCCCGACGATTATGGTCACACACGTCTTTCTTCTCTTTCTCAGACTCTTCCTGACTTTTCTTTCATTCTCCTGGGTGGTTACCAACAGCCAGTGTATGCCGGAGTATGTGGTGTGGTGTGTGTGTAGAAAAAGAAAAAAAAAGAAAAAAAGAAAAAAAATGGAAAAATGAAAAATAGGGATTCGCTGGCCAGAAAAAGTCACTTCAAACAGCTGTGTGGTGGATACCAGGCTAAAAATAGTGGCGGTCAATTCATCAGCCTTGCAAGCTGTTGAATGGTGTAATCCCAGCACAAGTTGCTATGTCTAAAACATAGCTGTTCGCTATCATCGCTCCCGCGATGGGCATGTCTGAGGTCTGAGGTCTGAGGTGTGTGTGTGTGTGTGTGTGTGTGTGTGTGTGTGTGTGTGTCAGGCTGCGTGCTCCATCTTCCTCTCTGATGCCCCTCCGGGGCCCACGTGACCCCTGTGGCAGTGGCTCTACAGGACAGGACAGGACAGGTGTGTGTGTGTGTGTGTGTGTCCCATATGGTGCAGTGGTATGTGCAGTCGATTTCCAATCGAGAGGTTGCGGGTTCAATTCCCGACGATTATTGTCGCACACGTCTTTCTTCTCTTTCTCGGTCTCTTCCTGACTTTTTTTTCATTCTCCTGGGTGGTTACCAACAGCCAGTGTATGCCGGAGTATGTGGTGTGGTGTGTGTGTGTAGAAAAAAAAAGAAAAAAGAAAAAAAAAGAAAAAAATGGAAAAATGAAAAATAGGGATTCACTGGCCAGAAAAAGTCACTTCAATCAGCTGTGTGGTGGATACCAGGCTAAAAATAGTGGCGGTCAATTCATCAGCCTTGCAAGCTGTTGAATGGTGTAATCCCAGCACAAGTTGCTATGTCTAACATAGCTGTTCGCTGTCATCGCTTCGGCGATGGGCAGGTCTGAGGTGTGTGTGTGTGTGTGTGGGTATGGGTGTGTGGGTATGGGTGTGTGGGTATGGGTGTGTGGGTATGGGTGTGTGGGTATGGGTGTGTGGGTATTGGTGTGTGTGTGGGTGTGGGTGTTTCATGTGCAGCTGACAGTTTCAATGCAGCCCACAGTAGTATCGCTAAAGAATGTGTCCTTCCTGACACTGGACAACCTCAACGTGATGCACAGTAGATCAGTGGCTGTGGAGAGTGATAGCAGTAAGTATACGTGTTTACATGCGTGTGCATGCTGTGGTGCATGCTGTGGTCTTAGCACTGCATTCATTCCTAGCTTGCTGGTACTAAGATCATCTTCGATGGGAAGTCAATGATTGTTTTCTGTCCCGGGCACGCTCTGGGTAGGTACTGCTTTTGAGGTCCAATCGCATTTTGGACCGTTCTCTGTTAACTGATGGTGGCATGGTTACTTCGTGAGGAAGACATTGTTTCATATTAATTTTGTTTCTATCTATTTTATCTATCCATCTATCTAACTCTCTCTCTCTCTCTCTCTCTCTCTTTCTCTCTATCCGACTTTTCTTTCTTGTCTCTGGTTACAGCGATGAATGTAACATTCTCTAACAGCGCAATCGTAGGTCATGGTGGAAGAGCGTTGAGAGCTGGTGGTGCAGTACAGACTCTGATACACAACATAACTGCTCACGGTATTGGATGTGCGGGACTGTCCCTGGAAGGAGGGGACCTGGTAAGTGTACATGTACCACCCTATGTACAATACACAAGGCCGTCACAGCCGGGGCGGCTGGGGCGGCAGAGGCGGCCCACTTTTTTGGGTTTTTTTTTTTTTTTTTTTTGAGCACACTGCAACAAAGATCGATGATCACGCGCAGCTCATTGCAAACGTGGCAAATTCTTGTCCCGATCGTGCAAAACAGCCTTTCATTGCAGTTACACTGAAATGGCCCCAAATGCCTGGAAATGCTTGCAATTGGCTTCAATTTTTGTCATTTTTCCCGGGGGAGGGACCGGAGGGTTATGTTTGTCCCCGATCGTAGCATCTTCAAAGTTTGTTGCAGGATCAAAAAATCTTTCATTTTAGTTACGCTGAAATGGCACCAAATGCCCGGATATGCTTGCAATTAGCTTCAATTTTTTGAATTTTTCCCGCGGGCGGACCTCCGGACCCCCCTTCCATGGCCGCCCACCTCCAAAGTCGGTGCGACGGGCCAGGTACACACATGAATATCAAAACTGGAGCGGACTATGCTGTTCCTGTTTGTTAGAACCCAGTTCTTCATGACAGTAAGCTGGGAGGAGCTACCTGTATATTCATGGTGATAAGGTGATTAATACCTTAGTTTGGCTGCTCCCACCGCTTTAGGAGCTGCATCTGCGCCTTGATCCTTGAAGGGTGGTGGCGTTCCTACGGATGCGGAAAGCCTGGCTTCCAGCCGAGTCTCACGCGAACCGTGAAACATTTTTTTGGCTGAATTGTGCCCTAGGTTCACAGAATTGCATGCTGCGTATAGTCTATACACTGCACTGTGCATGGATGTCTCTATACCTATCCCACAGAAGACCCCAGGGCATCAGCCTGCACTAGAAATCAGTCCCCGTCGTGTCCACACTCTGTAGCTAGTGATATGTCACGGAGGAGATGACGGTTGGCGTGTAGGACACTCGGCTAGCAACTGTCCACTGTGATGATGGTACATTCATACATGTATCTCTCTTGTCCGGGCAGTCCTGGACCGGGCAATGTCCAGAACTCGGAAATGTCAGTAACTCGGCATCACGTACATTTTGACGAGGATGTTCCAGAGATCTGGCGTGACGTCACTATGTCCACGAACAAGTGGCGAAAGAGTAGTAATATTTCCACTAAAGTTCACCCACAAGGTGCCTGGTAGACCGAGTGCCCGTAACTTTGAGGTCCAGATAAGAGAGATATGAGTGTATTCCCATTTTGAAATCTGTGGCAACCATAGCCAAATCCGGTCAAATGGCAAATGCAAGAGACATGCATGATGTCATTCTGCAGGACACTCCAACCAGAGACTAGACTCGGATCTTGTTTTGTGTTTTCAACGCACTGGACAACACGTCTACCTGTGTGCTAATGCATATTTCTCTCTTTCTCTCTCTCCAGCACTCACTAACACGTGCAAACTCCACAATACAGCACTGTAGCGTGTATGACTTTGCTCGCTGGAAGAGAACCTACAATCCCGGTGTTGCATTCGGTGGTGTCGGCAATGACTACCTACACAATACCATATATGGAGGTCCACACACTGCCATATTCGGAGCATGTATGTTAGTGGTATTGTATTTAGATGCTAGTACTGGTTTTCTATGTACGGTGTATTGCTAATGATGCTTACCAAGTATTGCTGGGTAAGGGTATAGGTACAGTAGAGCTGTTCTTGCCTCGATAGGGAATTGAGATTGAGTGTTGCCCCTCTACATGCTCCTGCCGTAGACATTGAAATCGGATGGGATGACCGGGGCCAGCGCCGTTACTGCTGTTAGCGCGTACATGTACTGTAGTTAACGTACACGCTGTAAAAATGGACCAACAGTGAGTGCTCTTGGCTACAAGGCCAGCTTGACTTCCCAACGACTCTCCATGTCTGCTTCAGAACTGTGTTTCTGTTGTTACTTTCATGCTTGCCTTGGACTGGGCCATCCTGCACCCATGTCTACTCCGCTGGTATAATGATTATTTCATTATTTATTTGTGTGTTGTGTGTGTTTCTACAGGCAATGATTGTCTATTTGCTTACAATAACATTTCCAACATGTGCTTTGAGTCGACTGACACCGGTGCTTTCTACACGGGCCCAGTTGGATTCGTCGTGGCAACGTGATGCATAACAATATCTTCTCTCACATACGAACAACGGAGCACACCGTTCTTGGTGCACCGTCGGTGCAGGCTATTTATCTGGATGACCAGGTAAGATCGGACGTCACCAATTTATGGACACTACCACATGTCTTGGTTGCGCTCACCTTCCCCTCCTCATGTTATTTCTACAACTTAGAACCTTCCAAGCTGGAAGGCTGTTGGAGTGCGCATCCAAGATGTGCTAGAGCTGATTGCCAGTTAGGTGTAGAACGTCAGTACCGTTGGTCAGTGTCGTGCAATGTTATCACATGAGCTGATTGTAAAGTAACTGGTGGTATTAGTGGATTAGATGTCTCTGTTTCGTGCCAAAATATCTGAGTGCGGCTCATACTTGGGAAAATACTGTATGTCTGAACCTTGCTGTTCCTCTCCATGGTGTGTATGGACTACCTGTCTGTGCAGATGAGTGGGTTTCATATCTCTCCATGGTGTGTATGGTGACCAACAGTTAGGTGTGCAGGCTGAGAGAGAGATCTCCCTGTAGCTCTGCTAGTCTATTATACCAATCGTATAGGTGTGACATGATATAGGTGTGACATGATATGAGTGGTATATGATAACGTGTGGTGCCAATGTATAACTAAGGTAACGCAATGCAACACCAGAGCATTAGTACTTGAAGGCAATACATTACACTCTGTAAACTAACACCACTACATTACCCCCTTTTTTAAAAAGAACGCAATTTTGAGTACAAACTGCAGCGTACAGCGCAACGTCGATCAGATGTTGTGTTCAAGGATTGAGCCAATGCAACTCAAGACTAGCTCTGAACCCTAGTGCTATCTCCTCACACCAGTCCCATAGCATCCTTTGCTTTCTGTGATAACTGAACGCTCCTTCCTGCACGGGTCACGATGCCTTCACGGAATACAGCCCCGCCACCGGCAGGCCCTCCAGCCACTCGGCTTCCCAGGTTGGCACGCTGACTCTCCGGAGGGTCATCCGGTCGCGCTGGTAATGCATCTGGGGCTGGTGTACTTCCACTGGCGACTCCGGTCGGACCTGCTTCTGAATGAACAGGACCGGGCTGCACAGGGTGTCCAGTTGACTTAGGCTCCTCCTGTCGTCTCGTCTGTGGCATACTTGCAGGTGGCCGATCTGGGTGAGGAATGCTCGGCTGCCGCAGATGTCGCTCCTGCAGTGTTACCTCTGGCTGCACCTGGCATCCCGGCCGGACCACTTCACGTAAGTGAACACGATTCCGCAAGAGTATTCTGCGTCCATCCGTGATTCCAACCTGTCGTCCGTACTGCTCGACGACTTTCCAAGTTTGTCTTGGGTTGCAGTAACCATCCTGCACTATAACTTGAGTGCCCGGCTTCATTGAAGGAAGCGCTCGCACTCCTCGGCGAGCGTCATGCTGCGTGGCCATGTCTGCCTTGGCTTGGATTTGGTGGGACGGATTGACAATCGTCGGAGTAATTGACGCGGGGAGCCTCGTGCGAACCAATCTACTGAACAGCGCCTCATTTGGCGCCATCCCAATCATTCGGTTGTTGCTGTTACGGACGTCGAACAATACTTGCTGCAGGCGTCGGCTGAACGGTAAATGTGGTTTAAGCCCTGCCATCCGCTCCTTCAGTAAGCGATGAAAATGCTCAACCATGCCATTAGACCGAGCGTAGCGTGGGCTCGATTTAACGTGACGGATCCCTAGGCGTTGGAGGAACGTTGCCATCTCTCTGCCAGCAAACTGGGGACCATTGTCCGAGACCAGTTGTGCTGGCAAGCCGAACCTTGCGAACGTCTCCATTAATGCACTCACAATGCTGGTGGTTGACGTGCTTTGCTGTAGGATCACCTCCGGGTAGCGCGAGCCATAGTCAATGATGGAAAGCAGTTGATGTCCTTCCACATTCACCAGGTCTACTGCGAGCTTCTCCCATACACCTTCAATCTCAGAAGGGAGAAGCTCCTGATGCGAGTTGCTATGTTTCCTATAGCACTCCGAGCAGCGCTCGGCGTACAATGTGGCATCTTTTGTGACACCGGGCCACCAAACTCGACGTCGGAGAGATTCCAGGAATGCAGCTCGACCTGGGTGCCCCTCATGTGCCAACGCCATAACTGCAGTGCGAAGCGCTTCCGGGATGACCACTCTTGCGTTGAAAAGCACGACACCTTCTGAGGCTGAGAGCTGATCGCGTACGATGAAGTATGCCTCTTCACTTGCACTCACAGCCTCCCATCTGGACGTCAGCACTCGTTGCAGAATACTATGTAGAATAGAGTCGTCCTGCGTGGCCTGTGCAACCTGCTCCAGGTCTACTGGACAGGCCTCTAGCACCATGCCAACAAACTCGGCCATAGACTTTGTCTCAGCAGTCGAAGGGGCGTGGCCGGGTAGTGGAGCCCTGGATAAAGCATCCACGCACAAGAGCTGTTTTCCTGGTACGTGCACCAACTTGTAGGTGTAGGGCATGAGAGACACCAGCCAACGCTGTAGCCGGGGAGGTACATCATCAAACGGCTTCTGCACTATGGATATCAGGGGTTGGTGGTCAGTATGCACCTCGACGTGTCGCCCGAGCACGTACTGCCGGAAGCGTTGCAGCGCAAACACGACTCCCAGCATCTCTCTCTCCATCTGCGAATATCGAGTTTCTACCTCTGTGAGAGTGCGGCTGGCACATGTCACTGGTAGCCATTGACCACTAGAATTCTGCTGCCATAGAATTGCTCCCAGGCCACAAGGCGATGCATCACAGCTTATGGCCGTTGGAACGTTTGGGTCCAAACGAAAGTAGGCCAGGTGGTCCAGTGCCTGCACCAGCTGCGTCTTAGCGTCGCTGAACGCGTTGCAGAATTCGCTATCCACAATGAAGGGCACACGCTTTGCCAACCGTCTCACCGGCTCGGAGATGGACGACATATCTGGAATGAATCTTCCGAGGTAGGTTACCATTCCGAGGAAACGTTGCACATCCTGAAGCGACTTAGGCATAGCCATGTCTGCAATGGCCTGCAGCTTGTCACCGTCGGGAGCCACACCGGTGCCCGACAGCCAGTGGCCAATGTACTTGACGCTGGACTTGCTCAACTGGCATTTGTCTGCATTGAGCCGGAGATTTGCTGCTTCCAGGCGCTGCCGGACTGCTGCGAGACGCCTGTCATGCTCTTCCTGGCTGCTTCCAATCACAAGAATGTCGTCAATGTAGACAATCACTCCTGGGAGCCCTGCCAAAATATCCGAGACCACGCGCTGGAACATTTCTGGTGCGCTGGCAATACCAAATGGCAGACGCTTGAAGCGATAAAGCCCACAATGGGCCGCGAAAGTCGTCAGTGGACGCGACTCCTGGTCAAGCTCAATTAGGTGAAATCCCGACTCTGCATCGAGGACTGAGAACACCTGCGCTCCGTCAAGCTGCGCTGTTATCTCATCCAGGGTTGGCAGGACATGTCGCTCTCGGACAACATTCTTATTCAGCTGCCTGTAGTCGATACACAAACACAGTTTGCCACTGGGTTTGCGAACTGGCACGATTGGGGAAACCCATGCCGCAGCCTCTTTCACGGGCTCGATGATGTCAGCATCGACTAACCGCTGAAGTTCTGTCTCTATCTCGTCCTTGATGCTGAAAGGGGGACGCCGAGCTGGCAGAGCGACAGGCACTGCATCTGGCTTGACGGTAATGCTGACTGGTGCAACGCTGACCACATTTCCAGACTCCACCAGGTGGGTTGGCACTAGTAGCTCGAGTTCCTTGATCACGTCCTGGCCAAATAGCACTCGGTGGGAGCCCTTTGGTACAATGAAACAGGCCACAGTGCAGCTACGACTGGCAGATGATAGGGTAACGTCTGCCATCCCCAGTGTGCTGACAACTCCCCCGTTGTAGGCACGGAGAGTTCGGTCACTGCGACGAGTAGGCTGCACTATGTCCGATGTCAAAATTGTTCTCGTTGCACCAGTATCGAGCAGGCCTTCACATGATTTTCCATCCACCTGCAGAGCTGCTGTGAACCAGTGTTTCTGATCAGTGTGCATGGTATACACAGACTCGCAAATTTCATTGGCTTCATCCTCCTCGCCAATAGTCTGGGCTCTAACTTCCTTGCTCTTGGACAGGCAGACAACTTCAAAGTGCCCGACCTTTGAGCAGTGTCTGCAGCGAACTCGCGCAGCCGGGCAATTGTCCTTGTCTGGTGGATGGGTTCCGCCACAGTACTTGCACGTGTGAGCCTTGCATCTGCCGTGCTGACGGTGTTTCACCATATTCACCGCAGCCGTATCCGGTGCTACGGCTGCGACACTTCCCGAAGGCATGTCCAGTGTCCTTCCTGCTTCCTCACTGAACAGCCTATTGTCAACCTTTGAGGCTTCTAATGCGACAGCTTTCGCGATAGCATCAGCTAGCGTTAGTCTTGACTCCATTAGAAGCTGCTTGCGTGCCTCCTGGCACTGCAGTCCGGCTATGAACTGGTCCCGAAGCTGGCCATTCACAACCGAGTCCACTGCAGTCGAGTCAAACTCGCAAAGTGCCGCCTTTTCTCAGAGCCGTCCCATGAAAGAGGTGACGGACTCATCAGACTGCTGCCTGAGTTTCCTGAATCTGTGACGCTCCGCAGTTGCATTTACCGACGGGCGAAAGTATGATTGGATTGCGGCCTTCAAGACTTGGTACGCGTCCTGGTCACCAGAGGGTTCTGCGACCTGGAGACCCTTCACAATGCGGCGAAGAGATAGGCCTGCCAGGTTTAGAAGCAGTTTCTTCTTTTCCCCTGCGCCTGCGACCTTAGCGATATCGAGATAGTCTTCGAAGTCCTCTAGCCATAGGTCGAAATCGGCTGCGATATTGGCAGAGGGGTCCACAACAAATTCGCGTGGTGGTCGACCCTTGACTGCTGCCATCCTGCCTGGCCACAATCCTGTTCACTGCGCCAATGTGGTGACCAACAGTTAGGTGTGCAGGCTGAGAGAGAGTTCTCCCTGTAGCTCTGCTAGTCTATTATACCAATCGTATAGGTGTGACATGATATAGGTGTGACATGATATAGGTGTGACATGATATAGGTGTGACATGATATGAGTGGTATATGATAACGTGTGGTGCCAATGTATAACTAAGGTAACGCAATGCAACACCAGAGCATTAGTACTTGAAGGCAATACATTACACTCTGTAAACTGACACCACTACAGTGTGTATGGACTACCTGTCTGTGCAGATGAGTGGGTTTCATATCTATAACAACACTTTCATTGACTGCCAGAAGGGGACGTTCATTGGCGGTGGACGTCGCAACCTTGTTCATGATAACTACTACGAGAACTGTGACACGGCTGTACACTTGGATGCGCGCGGTCTCAGCTGGATGAGTGCATACTGTCAAAAGGTACGTGCTCGTGGCATTATCATGTGGCTGTGTGTGTGTGTGTGTGTGTGTGTGTGTGTGTGTGTGTGTGTGTGTGCGTGTGTGTGTGTGTGCGTGTGTGTGTGTGCACAACTGAATATGTAGGTGTGTGTGTGTGTGTGTCTGTGTTTGGTGTGCGTTCATGTGCTTGGTGTTCGTGCATGTGGAATGAATTTTTCGAATCACACTGCATACTGTCGTTTCATGTGCAATGGTTGATATGCACCAGTACAACGTGGCATGGATGGCCTGTTAAGTACAGTCGTCCCTCTCTAATCCGGCACCTTTTGCAACGGCATTTTCTGCTGGATAAAAAAGGGTGCTGGATTATCAAATCCTGCCCTCCAACCCGGCCCACATGTTATCATGCATGTTTGTGTTGTACGTCAAAACGTAGGGATTTTCTGTGTCAAACCAAGTACTTTGTGGAATGCATGTCTATAACATACACTTAGGAATATCCTATGTCCTGGCATGGGATATTCCCAAGTGTATGTTGCATGTGTTGTGTATGTTACAATGGTCCCTGACAGTCTGCGATGTACAACTGCTGGATTAGAAAATCGAATTGTGTACAGTTTGAGTGATTTGTTGTAGACAATCACTGCTGGAGGCGGAATTCAAGTGCCGGATTAAAGCGTAGAAAATGAACTGAACAAATCCGTTTTGCCAGAAAGTGTGCTGGTTTGCAAGGGTGCTGGATAAACAAGTGCCGGATTAGAGAGGGACGACTGTAATAATTATGTGCTGTGGTATGTTGTGCTGCCCATGGAGCATTGTTCTTGTTTGGCCTATGCACAGAATGGTTCCTTTCTGGCAGAAATGGAGTCGGTGCACTACGACAAGCCACCCTGGTCCACGCATTACCCAGAACTTCTGACCATATTCAGTGAATATCCTTGCTATCCAGCATTCTCCAGCTTCACTAACAACACCTACTGCAAATGCAAGGAATTTGCCGACGCGTCCACGGCCCAGATTAGCAAGTGGTATGCGTCCTCTTCAGGCAATGTGGAAAAGTGCCCCTAGGTATTTTATACAGTCACGCAGTGTGTGCTGGTCAGGTGGCCGCCAGTAACAGTTACAAGCGGATCAGGTGAACAGTACATGTAGATGTGCAGTGCCTGTGTTCTGTGCTTGCAAGGTCACTGATCTCCAATAGAGAATCATACTGGTCAAAACATGTGCCATGTAGATGCTACAAGGCACTCAATCCAGTGACTAAAAAGTGCCCATGGGACTATGGCAAATTTCGAGATTGCTACATTCTTGAAACTATTTACTATGATTAAACTCGTAGTTCCTTATCTGTGCAGAGTCACAGTTCTCAATGCCAATGGTGGCAGTGCATTTCCCACAATAATAGGGAACCTCTTGCTGATGATTGCTTTTGGCAGGAGACTTGACGTAGCAGCAACATTCGTGATTTTGTCCTTGTTCTTGTGTAGTAAGGCTCACAAATTTCACATGTCTCAGTATCCTCTAAATGAGCTGTTGGATCGTGTGACTATAGACAAACATGAACCATCGCAGTACGTGACTAGATCCTGCTATTCACTGGTTTGAGGGCTATGGAAGGGGTTGAAAGGACAAGGTGCTCTGTTGGTAGTTGACACCTCATGTACTTTACCTGTATGACATAGGTACACATATCCATACTACCCGCACTGTCTGCGTATTGTACAGTGACTTGTGTCTGCTACCATAGGTTACTCGGGGTAACTGATCTGTCCATTCAACTTCATTGTAATCTAGATGGGAGATATCATGCATGGCTGTCATAGTAACATCCAGCACATGCATATACTCCCACCTGTACATATTGGTGCAACCGCAGTGCACGTGACATCACCATGCTGCATACCCTATGGACCGCTACTTTTATGTTGCTTTAAAACAAAAGTAGCTGTAAGCCATGCATGCAGGTGGTGTGTCAGTTATGTATCTGTTGCAGTGTGTGCTGCCGTGCACTTCCAGTTCAGCCGTGACTTTAGTTGAAACCATTCACTGGCCTCCCCCCCCCCCCACACACACACGTCTCTCTGTCTATCCCGGCTGTCCTTTTCTCCTCTCCTCTTCTCTTCTCTCTCTCTCTCCCTCCCTCTCCTCTCCTCTCCTCTCCTCTCCTCTCCTCTCCTCTCTCTCTCTCTCTCTCTCTCTCTCTCTCTCTCTCTCTCTCTCTCTCTCTCTCTCTCTCTCCTCGCACACCTGAACACCAGTGAACTCGCTTAAGGATTCGTTTTCTCTCCTTATGTAGCAGTGCATGCCACTGTAATCGTCACCATGGGCTATAAGTGCAGTATGAGAAACGTCTTCTCATGAATGGGATACTGTATGGCTGTGAAGTACATGTATGATTAGCTACAAAGTAAACCAAGCTAGATGTCAAGCCGTATGTCATATTCTGTCACCGAGATGACTGCAGGTGTCAACTGAAATTGGTCGTCAGATGCTGTCAGGTGATCGTCACATTGCTGCTACTCCACATGACTGAGCACCGGTGCTCTCTTTCTCCGACTTACACACACTGCTGCGAGCTCATTATTTCTCTGTATAAACGCTACAGTGGTGATGTGTGGAAGATTGAGACCGGTCCAGCCCCAAACCTTTGACACACTCCGCCTGTATGCGATACTTCTCCTTCAATCAATCAACACTGTGACCTGCATGAATATCAGGACAGCACTGGGTTTGCATTGCCTACAACTTACACTACATTGTGACATTGAACCAGGGGAGTGCAGGTAGCTCTGCTGTATCCCAGGAGAAGATTTTGAGTTTGAACAATGCAGTGGTGCGTGGTTCTAGCTGCTGCTAGCTTCCTGCTGGCATCAGCACGTGGTAGATCTGTAGAGGTTCAGAGAGGAATGTCAGAGAGTGCTACTGGTTCTGCTGCTGCTGCTGCTGCAACACAGTACTATGTCTCAAGTAAGTTGCTGATGCTAAGAGCTGTGTCACTTGTTGCTGCTGCTGCTTCTGCTTGGCCTGCTTAGCCTGCCTACACTATACTGTCACAGGAAACTGTAGTAGATAGCCAAACCACACAACTATAGTGTAACCGTCTTTGACAGGATAATTGTGTTATAGTCATGATATGCAGCAACATACTCACAATCAGCGGCAATAGCTCATGTACGGTGTGCTGCTTGCTGCTGCTGCTGCTGCTGCTGCTGGGTATATCTAGGTCCACAGTCCTAGTGTCATGGTGACTTTCGCTGATTGGTGGCTGGTGGCTGTTGTAAACATTACCAATTACTATATTAGTATGCCCCCCCCCCACTACACACACACGCACACGCTATTCCATCCACCCAAGCATCTGTTGTTGGTTTTCAGTTTGTGATTGTACTTGCCTCTCTGTTCTTATTCACTACCTACTGAACAGCCAGTGGCAGTGACAGCGGTGATGGAAGTCAGGCACATCCATTCCGTACCATGACACGTGCACAGACGGCAGTGCAGGCACTGAAGAAAGCACACAACGGTCATGTGCCTGCTCCAGGTGTTGTTGTAAATGTGGCCAGCGGTACTTATGACTTCTCAGACGCACCGCTGCAGTTCACTAGTGAGGACTCCGGAGAAGCTGGAGCTATTGTAACGTGAGTAGTACACAGTTGAAAGTGTCTCTGAATTGGTCCATGTGCTCGGCTGCAAGTTAGTTCAATAATTATGTGTATGTGTGTGTGTGTGTGTGTGTGTGTGTGTGTGTGTGTGTGTGTGTGTGTGTGTGTGTGTGCGTGTGTGTGTGTGTGTGTGTGTGTGTGTGTGTGTGTGTGTGTGTGTGGCTGTGACTCTATCTCTCCTTACAGTTACCGGGGTTTGGATACTGGTGCTGTAGTGCTGTCCGGTGGCAAGGCAATCCCCACATCTAGCTGGCAGTTCCACTCCACTGTATCAGTACAGGCTAATGCTGATAGTGCTGATAGTGCTAGTGATGACAGTGTGCATGGCAAACAACAGCATGCTGACCAGCATACACACAACGATGGCTACCACCACCATCACAAGGATGACAATGATGCACGGTCTATCATGGAGGTGATGGGCATACCTGACCAAGCATCCACGCCGGAGAGGACGGAGAAGAGTGCTCCTCACCGGGTCTCTAAGAGGCACACAGGTGCTGGCAGCCTGACTGTGGACATAATGAAGGTAGGGGTCAACGGCCAAGTCCCTCCACACTTATTTAATTTTTTTTACGAGAAACCACGAACCTCACTTCACTGTCCTTTTGCATAAGCGTGCATGCGTAGAAGGAGAAAGACCACTCGTTCCGGAAAGCTTCAACACTGGTACATAATAGAAATGGAAAGGGAGACCCGGTCCGGTTGGTCGGGCTACGGCGGGAGCAACGTTTTGCCCATCGACTTGTGTTTACTGCTGGTTTGGTCATGTGTAGTCACCATCACACACAAATTATGACAGGCCCGGGTATGGCCAGACCAATCAAAAACTCATTCCGCGGGGCCTGAAAGGGAGGGTAATCCAAAACTAAGCCGGGTGAGAAATCTGGCAATAGGTGGTGCGCATGTGGCATGTACGGTTGCTAGGTGGCATGTACGGTTGCTAGGTGGCATGTACGGTTGCTAGGTGGCATGTACGGTTGCTAGGTGGCATGTACGGTTGCTAGGTGGCATGTACGGTTGCTAGGTGGCATGTACGGTTGCTAGGTGGCATGTATGGTTGCTAGGTGGCACACATGGTGAGGTATAGCGCATAAGCTAGTGTGAACCGTTACCCCCCCCCCCCCCCCCCCCGGCGCACACACACACACACACCCTGCTGTCCAGAAGTCAAAAGGCCGAAAAAGAAACAAAACCAATGACGGTTGAAGAAAGCAAATCACAATTCTGAATATCAAAATGAAAGCCAATGTGTCTGTCTGTCTGTCTGTCTGTCTGTCTGTCTGTCTGTCTGTCTGTCTGTCTGTCTGTCTGTCTGTCTGTCTATGGTGTGCATGGGTATGCAGGTGAACCTGAAGAAGCTCAACATTACCAATTATGGAGATCTTGGGTCTGGTCAGTTGGGTAATTGTGCTAATAACAAACTGGAGGCATTCTATGCTGGAAAGGTGAGCCGTTATAGTGACAGTGATGCCTAATCGATGTTAATAATCGTACAAGGTATCGGTCACTGTCCAAAAAGTATCCTCTGTCCGAAAACTGACCTGAGAGAGGAACCCTCCACTTTTGAGAGAAACCCCAGAGTTATGCTGTTTTCCAGTATTTAGCTTTCCGTTCTCCGTATGTCGATGGTTCACTCAGAACCAGCCCAACTTCCCAGGGCGCTAGCAATGAAAGCGGGAAGTTAGGCTAATTCTCTGGAACTTGGTAACGCCTGCCGGGATCGCCTATGTGTTTTCCTTTGTGCCTTATGCTCATGCGATATGTTCTGCGACAGCCTCTCGTCCTGGCGCGTTATCCCAACATTGGTAGCGATGGGAAGCCGCAGTTCATGAATATTGCCAAGGTTATCAACAGCAACACTGAGTTCCAGTACAAAGACTCCAGGTAAGAAATGTCCATTGGGAAATGTGCTCTTAAAGGTATATGAGCAGGGATGAATTTATCCGGTATCGCATCGCAGTTTGCGATTCAAAATCGATCGAGTGCAACTCAAAAATCGCAGCGACTCGCAGGAAACTGCGATGCATAAACGGCACTGCATACTAGCTCGCGCAGTCAGTAAAAGACTTAGTGATCCTGTGACTGTGTCGTACACTCACTACACCTGTACAGTCAGTGCACGGACCCCGCTTTTTTCTCGGGAAGGTGTGATTTCTAGTACATGTACCTGTGAACTGTGGCTGGCTCCGCGTGCACATACTGACTGTACTACTGGTGTCCAACTTGAACTACACGTACCACTTTGCGCGGCTTTCATTCAGTATTACAGTAAGTTCAGTAAGTTCATGTACATGTACTTTCCGTACTGACAAGCATCATCTTTCCTCCACGATCCCGGCGGAGGTCTTGTTGTTTGTTTTCTTCTTTCTGGTTCACTTACCTCTTTTCGTGATATTATAGCTTTCTGCTTGTAGCCAGTCGGTCTTTCTGGTCGTGAGGAACTTTTGGAATCACGTTCGTCCTTCTCTCTGACAATTGTCCAAGCTGTAGTTTTTGTCTAGTCTGGTTCTGCCTCCAACATGTCTGTACGACAGAGTACCTTTGAGAAGTGGGTGGCAGAGGTCGATGTCCAGAAGAAATGGCTTGGTTCTGAGAAAGCTACAGGTGCAGCGGTGACGCTAATTTTCTGCCAGCTATGCAGACAGCACGAGTACTCCCTCCGTGGACTGAGAAATTTTAGTCGATCTTCGTGGAAGAAAAAGTGCTAATCAAAAATCAAGGACTGCTACGCATTTTGGCGTTTGCGTCGCGAAAACTGCTATGCAAAAAAATTACAGTAAATTCATCCCTGTATGAGTGTGCACATGTGTGTCTGTCTGTGTTGGTCTCTGTGTATCTATGTCCTGCACTTGACGGTGCACTCTAAATCATGTTCGAGCCCCCCTACACGGGTATTTTAGTGTTGCAGTGCTGACAGATCATCTGATGTGTCACTGTCCAAGCGAAAATTCACCTTCTCTCCAAAACCTTTCCGGAAACCCTACCAATATAGACTGAAACCCAAAGAGTTCACTGTGTATAAGCACCAGCATTGTGATGGTGCTGAACCCATGCACATGTAAGCCCATGTCCCATTTCTGCATGAGGAATTGAACATCTATGATTGGGTATCTGGAGGTGTCCGATTTTGGGTGAAATTTATTTGACAACACTGCTATTTCAATGTGTTATCTGTACTATACTGCTATAGGCTATCTGCAGTGAAGAATGCTAGTTCAATGTGGCTACACGGCTACTGGGGGCAAGACTGGGCCGATAACTACGTACGTGTTGTCAAACTCGACGGCGCCGCATCCACTGTCACCACGGATACCAAGACACCACCAGTGTATGGTAAGGTTGAGGGTGCATTATGGGTGTGAGGGGGGGGGGGGGGAGGGGGTGCATGACATTGTGTTGTATGTGTGTCCCTTTGTGGTGTGTGTGTGTCCCATGTTGTCCATAGTTTAGTAATACCCTTTGGCACAGTCCCAGATTCAAACCACAGTCGAACATTCCACTGTTATTTGTGCACGAATGCCCAATGGTTGAGTACCCTTTTAAACAGAAGGGAGATTGTGCTGTGAATCTGTGTTGCAATGTCTCGGTCAACATGCATGCAACTTTTGCTCTTATATTACTAAGAACTTTGACTTTAATCCCGTAGCTATGCAGAAGACGTTACTTTAGTAACGTCTGGCGCTAGCCAGGGTCCACACAGCTTTAATTTGGTGTTTGTGTGTTTGTGTCACGCCTGGCGCTATCCCGTATCTGTCCCGTACCGTACCGTACCATCAAACACAGCTGGCCACATACAGCTGGCCGCAATATTCAAATCGGGCTTTCAAACGCAAGATCATAACGTGAAGCAACTTGGTAGAATGAGTATGAATGCGAAGTGTATGGGGGAATGCATGTAGGGCGATAGTGCGGGTTCTAATCCCAGGTTATGCTAAAAAAAATAGGAGAATTGAAAAATTTATAACATCTCTATGCTTTTTTGCCTAGGTCATCAAGGCGGTAGACGGTGTCGTATTACCCTCGACCGTACCTGTCCCGTACCTGTCCCGTACCGTGCTATCAAAGACGGCTGGCCACAATGCATATTCAAATAGGGCTTTCAAATGCAAGATCATAACGTGAAGCAACTTGGAAGAATTAGTTTGTATGCGAAGTGTATCGGGGGATGCATGGACGGCGATAGTGCGGGTTCGAATCCCAGGTTATGTCTTTAAAAAAAGGAAAAATTTATATGAATTTATAACATCCGTATGCTTTTTTTGTCTAGGTCATCAAGGCAAAAAAGCATAGCGTAGGGCCCTGAGCTTCCAAGCTCTCTCATTTGATAACAAACTGGGCGTCGGACTCGGAATGAAGAATTCGAAAAACGCAAGCAAAGAAGGCAATGGTGACAAATCCAGTTAAGTACATTTTGTAGATAGGAAAATCAAATCAAATAAATAGGAAAATCAAATTACATGTAGAAAAAATCAAGTCAACTAGGGAATACCAAAACAAAGAGTAAACCCGCATCCGCAAACACCATCCAAGCAGCACCGTTTACCCAATTCATCCAACAACCCAGACAAGAGAAAAACCAGATAAGGTAAACAAAGAAAATGAGTAAGTCAACCATGAAATCATGACCAACATATAATAGCAAAATTGCTACAACAAAAATACAGACAATATCATGAAACAGTTAGGTCAGGCTAAACAGCCAGGTGAGCACGGACTCTGCACTCAACCACAAAACCGCCATGACCGGCACCCATGAGCCTTCTGCGGTACGAGTGTCGTGACCCCCGCAGGCAAGTAATTTGCCAGCGAATCAGGCACACACTGATCCGGGCACGAAGCTGGCGCATGATCAGTGAGTAGGGGAGATCACGGTTCCTCTCACTGATTCGAGCTGCTAACGACTTCAGGAATGTCGACGCCTCCAGCGCACACTGCCCATTGGTGGCGAAAACCAACGGCGTGAACGAGCCGCGGTCGACGTTGTTGATCCGGCTCGAGTACTGGCGCTTCTTCTGCCTCTCGCTGTCATACAACTGGCTTGCTACTCCCGAACGGGACAGCAAAGACGGCCTTGGGTGGGTAACCCGAACATCAAAAAGGCGTTTTGCTGTCGCGTCCAGAAACCGCGAGCCCGTATATCTGCACGAGCGGCATCAGCTCTAATACCCGAGACCGTCTCACCATCGAGAGGCAGCAGAACAGGCTCCAACTCGACATCATACGCCACCTCGGACATGGCACTAGCCAGCAGGTTCTGAACCTCGTTGTGACGTTGCGTTGGGTACCCACCACAGGAGCATGTCATAGCGTGGTGGCTTGTCATGTCTTTGCCACACACGCATGATGTTGGCAAACCTTCCAAGGGAAGGCCATATCGTAGACCCACCGCATCACGGAAATCCGTCTTGCTGAAAACGGTCCCAGGCATTGTAGTTGCAGGTGGAGTCGTCAACCAACTTGAGACGCCATCTTCACCTGCGAGCTCTACCAGTAGCCGTGGCATGGGCGGAAGGCCGGATCGGATCTCCTCCGCCAAGTTCCGCTACTGAACACGGCGCGCCGCCCGAGCACCTACAGCCAATGTCCTGCATGCTGTTACCACAGCCAACACCTCATGCGTGGAGGTGCCACCGACTACCAACTCCACCATGGGTGCAATGGCGTCTCGGCACAAGGTGCGCTCAGCGGCCGCCCGTGACACATTGCTGCGCACCGCAAGACCACCAAGCTTCGCTGGAAGGGAAAGCAGTGCTCACAAACCTCCCTCAACCGGCACAGAATGGCCCGTGAATGCAGGCAGCAGCTGATCATTTAGGACGCGATCCAGGGGTGCGTAGAGTGCCCTGTCAGCATTAGCAACGTGCTGCAAGTACGACCACCGAGACTGAATTGCAGAGATGAATAAGTGGTAAGCCGCGTGGGGCTGGGTCTCTGCAACACTCGCCAGCCTCTTGGTTAAAGCACACCAGTCACCCACACGGCTTCCCACAAACCCATCACAGAACTCAGTGCTGCCGATGACTCCACCCAGATACCGGACGCCATCAGAGCAAATCCGGATGCCAGTGCCAGCAAATACCTGCTCTGCGTCTGACACCAGGTGGCTCTTGACGAGGAGCACGGTCTTGGCAGCATTAGGCTTGTAGCCATACTTGGGGCCCTCAGCCGTGATGCAGTTCCAGTACTCGCTGAGTGCCACAACGCGGTCCACAGCGGCATCGTCGTCAGCATACCACACCTGCATGGAACCACTGCATGTTGTGGACAGATGCTTGGCCAGAGGGACGGTAGCTAAAGCATAAAATGCCATGGCCAGTGGATCTCCTTGGCACGTGCCCTCTCTTGAGTAGAGTGTCTCGCCACCATCCAGGTACAGGGGACATCTGCTTGGTACGCGTTCACAAATACCTGACCTGCAGCTGGGCACACGCGTGGTATGTTGTGCAGTGCAGCTGCCCGGTTCACTGAATTAGATGCGTTAGTGGCGTCGACGAGGAGTATTGCCTCCGACTCCTCCTTGGCAAATACCGATGACAGCACCTGCACAGTCACTTCACATGCTGATGGTATCCCAACGCACAGCTGGGTCGGCGCCGTTGCAATCACCACATCCTTCTCAATCGCCGTCATGATTGCCTTGCCAACTGCACGCCGAAACACCTCACCTACAGCGATTGGCGTACGCCAGGTCGCTTATCCGGTGGTATCAGTCGTGCTGCCAGAAACGGGCGCAGATGTTTGCTCTTATATTAGTAGCATATGATGCAAAAACAACATGGCAGTGGATGGCTTAGTTCGCCCGCACAGTTGCATCATTCCGACAAAGGAACACGACTTCAAAGTATGTTGCGACGTGTGTGTGTGTGGGGGGGGGGGGCTTAATTAGCTGCTTTATCGGCCCATCACATCTGATGATACTCCTTTGTTTGTTTCGTTGGATGCAGGATATCACAAGCCGGCACGGTTCTACGCATTAAACATCCTCGAGTTTCTTGATTCACCTGGCGAGGTGAGATCGTCTTTCTAGGATTCATTGAAAATGCATGAAATGCATACATGTACATGTATATGTATGTCAGGCTTGGCTTGCTATGTGGTGTACTCGTTGGTTGCGAGAATTTGACTTTTGTGAAGGGCGCTGCAGTGTTTGCCAGCCTGTGTGTGCATGCATGCCGTAGGTACACATACTGCTGCTCCATTTTGGCATGTTTGTTTGTGTTGCAGGGGAGGTGGGGGAGCTGAGCTGTGCATTGTTCCCCGGTTCCAATGAGACCGTGCTAGGGCTGTGTATACTATATCTGTCCTCTATCATGTCTATGTGCAGTACTATCTTGACCGCGACACTGGAATCCTCTACTTCACATTACCATCAGATGCACGTGAGGATGGAGAGGTTAGTGATCACTTATAGAGAGGCTAGTCATTGCTTATGGAGAGGTTGGTGACTGCTTATGGAGAGGTTGTGGGCTGCTTATGGAGAGGTTGCGGGCTGCTCATGGAGGGGTTGCGGACTGCTTATGGAGAGGTTGCGGACTGCTTATGGAGAGGTTGATGACTGCTTATGGAGATGTTAGTGACTGCCTATGGAGAGGTTGGTGACTGCTTATGGAGAGGTTCGTGACTGCTTATGGAGAGGTTGGTGACTGCTTATGGAGAGGTTGTGGACTGCTTTTGGAGAGGTTGCGGGCTGCTCATGGAGGGGTTGCGGACTGCTTATGGAGAGGTCTCTCTCTCTCTCTCTCTCTCTCTCTCTCTCTCTCTCTCTCTCTCTGTCGGACTGTCAGGGACCTACGTAAGCTGAAGCTTGATCAATCTATAATTATTCCCGTAGCTATGCAGAAGACGTTACTTCAGTAACGTCTGGCGCTAGCCAGGGTCCACACAGCTTTAATTTGGTATTTGTTTGTTTGTGTGTTTGTTTGTTTGTTTGTGTCACGCCTGGCGCTATCCCGTATCTGTCCCGTATCTGTCCCGTATCTGTGACTACAAAGGCTCTACAGGATTGTACATAACAGCTGTCCACAATTTTTGCGGGCTCCTGTATCTGTCCCGTACCGTACCAATATTCGTCGTATTATGTATACGACTCCCTGATGTAGAGGGAGATTTGGAATGAAATAGGGAGACGAGGAGGAAATTAAATTAGAATAGACGCCGAATAGGTGATAGGATGCGTCAGCACAAACAGCGTCAGCATAAACATACATGTACTTTGGAAGAGAGATCGCGTCGTCTCCAAAATAAGCGTGAACGAGCGATTCAGCGCCGGTCACAGGAAACGTCGGAAGAGAGATCCCGTCGACTCCAGAACGCCCGTAATCGGCAGAGTCCGCCGGTCCCAGGCAACGTCAGGACAGACATCCCGTTGAGTCCAGAACGCCAGTGATCGGCAGAGTCTAAGCCGGTCCCAGGAAACGTCAGGACAGACATCCTGTCGAGTCCAGAACGCCCGTGTTCGGCAGAGTCAGCGCCGGTCCCAGTGAACGTCAGGACAGACATCCCGTCGACGCGCAGAAAAACTAAATCTGCAGCCTCTTTTGCCGTCGGACAGGATACGTATTATAGGAGACTGTAAAGTTATGTAATGTCCAAATTTCCACGTGAGCAGCAGGTCACTCGCGTTGATTTTTCGACGTGCGAGCCAAATAACGCGAGCTGAACTTTCGCGTCGCAGACATCCCGTCGACGCGCAGAAAAACTAAATCTGCAGACTCTTTTGCCGTCGGACAGGATACGTATTTTAGGAGACTGCTAAGTTATGTAATGTGCTCCACAGGCAACCATGCATTCGGCGTCGTCATTGGCTCAACAGGTCAATGTACATGTCTTACTACAAAAAGGCCAGAAAATCCGATTACTGTATTAAAGTCAACTAATTTTCGCTGGCGATTTCATTTCGCTGATTTCGCCGCTTGGTACCAACCGGCCAAAGTAAATCACAGGCCAAAGTTTGTCATATAGGAAATTGATGCATTATTGAGCAATGGATGCATGTGAGAGCAAAAATACCTATCGATTTCAAATTTGACGTAAAATTGCGCGTCACGTCGGAAATAACGTGCATCTTAACCTCTGTAATAGAGAGGTTTCTAATTTTCTCATCAGCCAAAATTTGTTGATTTACAGTGTAAGGAGATAAAAAGAAAAGAAGGAGCAAACCAAAAGAAGATAATTATTAGAGAAATAACAATCCACAATAAATTCTGCAAATACTTTTGCCTCAGTTCTTATAACATGTACGATGAGCTAGGCAAAAAAGCATAAAAGCATAGCGTAGGGCCCTGAGCTTCCAAGCTCTCTCGTTATTTGCTTCTTTTTATCTTCTCTTTCTCATTTCTGTTGCATTTTCAGATGCTCTCATAAGGCCATCGTTCATAGTATGCCCATTGGCCCGCACAGTCCATGTTGATTCCGAGACCGGAATGGTGGGAGGAGTGCACTACGCCTGACCAGCACAGCTCTTGTAGCACCTACTACTCCTTTGCTGTCTTTGTATTTTGTCTTTGTCTCTTTTATTACCCCTATTACTTTGTAGGGATGTGCACATAGTATTTTAAAAATAAAAAAAGTTGGTGATTGGCTGATTGCTTATGGAGATGATGCGGGCTGCTCATGGAGGGGTTGCGGACTGCTTATGGTGAGGTTGCGGACCTCTTATCGCGAGGCTGGGGACTGCTTATGGAAATGTTGAGTACAAACAGGACGAATACTCCCCAAGACACAACAATGGACAGCGGGAACATTTAGGTGGAACAACATTTACTATAGACGAAGAGACGGAGACCAAAACGAACGAAACGACTACATTGTGGAAGAGAGAGACAAGGAGAGAGAGAACAAGTGATGGCGGCAAGATAAAGGGCCTGAGTAGCTATGGCAAATATGGGCGCACAAGTAGCTACCCAGGCCAACGGAACAAAAGGTGACAAAAGGAGACAAAAAGTGAGTACGAGGGTGCATGCAGGCCAGCTTGGAAAAGGTTGTACAACGTACGAGAGGAGGTACCTAACATAAAGGTTGATGGCTGCTTATGGAGAGGTTGGTGACTGCTTATGGAGAGGTTGGTGACTGCTTTTGGAAAGGTTGGTGACTGCTCATTGCGAGGCTGGTGATTGTTTATGGAGAGGCTGGTGACTGTTTATGGTGAGGTTGCAGACTACTTATGAAGAGGCTGCGGACTGTTTATCGCGAGGCTGGTGACTGCTTATGGAGAGGTTGGTGACTGCTTATGGAGAGGTTGGTGACTGCTTATGGAGAGGTTGGTGACTGCTTATGAAGAGGTTGCGGACTGCTTATGGAGATATTGCGGACTGCTTATGGATAGGTTGAGGACTGCTTATGGAGAGGTTGTTGCAGTCTGCTAATGGAGAGGTTGCGGACTGCTTATGGAGAGGTTGATGACTGCTTATGGAGAGGTTGGTGACTGCTTTTGAAGAGGTTGTGGACTGCTTATGGAGAGGTTGCGGACTACTTATGGATATGTTGCGAACTGCTTATGGAGAGGTTGTTGCAGACTGCTTTTGGAGAGGTTGCGGACTGCTTTTGGAGAGGTTGATGACTGCTTTTGGAGAGGTTGGTGATCGCTTATGGGGAGGTTGGTGACTGCTTATGGAGATGTTGCGGACTGCTTATGGAGACGTTGCGGACTGCTTATGGAGAGTCTCCGGACTGCTTATGGAGAGTCTCCGGACTGCTTATGGGGAGGCTGCAGACTGCTTATGGAGAGTCTCCGGACTGCTTATGGGGAGGCTGCAGACTGCTTATGGAGAGGGTAGTGACTGCTTACGGGAGGTTGCGGACTGATTATGGAGGGATTGCGGACTGACTATGAAGGGATTGCGGACTGCTTATGGAGAGGCTGTGGACTGCTTATGGGGAGGTTGCGGACTACTTATGGAGAGGTTAGTGACAACATATGAAAAGTTAAGGGGTTGCTTATGAAGAGGGAAGTAACTGCTTGTGGCGAAGTTGGTGACTGCCTTTGGCGAAGTTAGTGACTGCTTACAGAGAGATTGATAACTGCTTATGGAGAGGTTGATGACTGTTCGTGAGAGGTTGGTGACTGCTTTTGGAGAGGTTAGTTATTGCTCATGCGGAGGGTGGCCACTGATTCATGCTGTCGCTCCGGCCCGTAGTTCGCCGACTCTTATCATTCGAGAATTTCAAGCTACAGTCCAGAATGTGTAATGGAACATGCACAATGCTTCAGTGACTGCGCTCACTCCTGGCAGCGACGTGGAGGTCTAGCTTGATTCAAGTGTTCCAATTGCCAGACCAGCCCCGTGGCAAGAGACGTTCACGAAATTGGTAAAATTGAGGCTAGCCACAACTACCAAGTTGGAACGTCCCCATTGCTATAAACTCTGTGAAGTCCATTGAATTGCATAAGCCTCTTTCCACTCACGAATATAATAGACTAGTTGCACACTGTTATTGTTATATCTTTCGCACACATTGGGCTTATGAAAAGAGGGCTTCCCAGATATGCAACTGTGCACACACGCACACCCATTCCGTCCTACATTCCTGGTTTACGCCCATTTCATCATTGTGTCCAACAGGTATGCACAGCCAGTCTGGTCTCTTGCTATCACGTGTGAGTGTGTGTGTGTGTGTGTGTGTGTGTGTGTGTGTGTGTGTGTGTGTGTGTGTGTGTGTGTGACAGAAACACTGTGTGTAGAACGGTCCCCTTTCACCTCAATTTCTCTCCTTGTTTTTTTCTTTTCCTTTCTCGCTGTTGTCTCCCACTTCTGGGAGCCACGTGGCCATGTTGTGGCAGTTGTGCATAGTAGTAGTAGTAGTAGTAGTAGTGTGTGTGTGTGTGTGTGTGTGTGTGTGTGTGTGTGTGTGTGTGTGTGTGTGTGTGTGTGTTTCATGTACAGCTGACAGTTTCCATACAGCCCACTGTGGTATCTCTAAAGAATGTGTCCTTCCTGACACTGGACAACCTCAACGTTATGCACAGTAGATCACTGGCTGTGGAGAGTGATAGCAGTAAGATTGCTCTTGCGCACGTGTGTGTGTGTGTGTGTGTGTGTGTGTGTGTGTGGGTACGTGCGTGCGTGCACATGTGTGTATGTGTGGGTGGGTGTGGGTGTGGGTGCGGGCACCCAGGCAAACACAGACGTGCTTGTGTCCTGTGTCTTTTACAAAATTGCACTCACTCCTAGCTAACAAAGGTAATCATCGGCTCTTTTATTATCTGTCACCATGGTCACCTCTGGACAAAGAAATACCAAAAAGTAATATAATTGTTAAGTATCCTACCCAATTGGTAAGCGTTTTGAAAGGACACATCATTTTCTGCTGACTGGTGCCGACCTAGCTGGTGACTATGGAAGCAATAGTTTCATACTTTTCGTGTGTGTGTGTGTGTGTGTGTCTCTCTCTCTCTCTCTCTCTCTCTCTCTCTCTCTCTCTCTCTCTCTCTCTCTCTCTCTCTCTCTCTCTCTCTCTCTCTCTCTCTCTCTCTGTCTGAGTGTCTCTCTCTCTGTCTCTCTGTCTCTCTCTCTCTCTCTCTCTCTCTCTCTCTCTCTCTCTCTCTCTCTCTCTCTCTCTCTCTCTCTCTCTCTCTCTCTCTCTGTCTCTCTGTCTCTCTGTCTCTCTGTCTCTCTCTCCCTCTCACTCTCTCTTTCTCTCTCTTCTTTCTTGTCTCTGGTTACAGCTGTAAACGTGACATTCTCTAACACTGCTATCGTAGGCCATGGTGGAAGAGCGTTGAGCGCTAGTGGTGCAGTACAGACACTGATACACAACATAACTGCTCACGGTATCGGATGTGCGGGACTGTCACTGGAAGGAGGGGACCTGGTAAGCTGCTGCACATGGAGCTTTTATATTGCTGTAGCTAGATGTGTATGTTGTAATTGTAACACCATGTTGTAAGTGTAACATTACTTCTCCATCAGCTCAACCGCCACCACTGGACTGCCTTTTTACACTCTTTTTATTGTAACAAGCAGGACCACGGAAAACGACTACATCTTGACAAGACGACAGACCAAAGACCAGCTCACACAGTCTTGCGCATGCACCACCACCAACCAATGACGCGTGTGCACAGCAACCAAGACGAAACAAACACGTGACACAAAATCTACGACACTGTCCCGACCAAAAAAAAACACATACCGTCCTCGGTATGACCAAATAAAACACAATACGCAGAGAGACGCAACCGCAAACAGCAAAAGTAGCCACAGGACCAACGCATGTAGCTCCCCAGAAAAAAAAACAGGGCAACCAAAGCCAGAAGAAAGAAAGAGAGGTGAATGTTAAAGAGAAGAGAAGAAACACTGCATTGCTGTCTAGCCACGCACACACACAAAAAAACACGGGCTAAACCTAAGCCTAAAACCGATGAGCCATGCCCTTCCACACAACGCCAGCCAATCCCATGATTGTCACCGAAAAAACAAAAATAAATAAAATATATACATGACAACGACAAACAAGCAGCGAGTCTAGCTCCCAGCAATGAACCGGGGCTCACCCTGATCGGGCGTTCGTTGCCTTTGATGTGGACTGCCACAAGGAGAACCGACCGTGGTTCACCATGATCAGACGCCAGTTCCCAAGCCAAGTAGCAATTCAAACAAACTCTCGCATGCACGCAAACATGCACACACACAAACACTCACCGGAAAAACAAAGAAAAGAAGAGAGATATGGAGAGAAGAAAGGCGGCACATTCCCAGCCAGCACACGTCTGCAGAGCAGCAGGATGCCGACGGCGAAGCTGATACTCTACTCGTATCAGGACGACGAAACGGCGGACGCACAGCGACAACAAAGCTCAGCGGAGCGCGTCAGCTTGAGTAGAGGACGACGACGGGACACCGGACAACGACACAGTTGACTCAAGCGGATGGCGACACAGCTCCACGACGAACACGGACAGGGGTGACGAATAAACAAGGACAGTCCAGCAGTGACGGAAGCAACACTACTCGTAAATCACATCTCAGGGTCGTGAGCTGCGGAGGCAGAACTCCGCGTCAAGTAAAGTCGGGTGCCAAATGTTGTAATTGTCACACCATGTTGTAAGTGTAACATTACTTCTCCATCAGCTCAACCGCCACCACTGGACTGCCTTTTTACACTCTTTTTATTGTAACAAGCAGGACCACGGAAAACGACTACATCTTGACAAGACGACAGACCAAAGACCAGCTCACACAGTCTTGCGCATGCGCACAACACCACCAACCAATGACGCGTGTGCACAGCGACCAAGACGAAACAAACACGTGACACAAAATCTACCACACTGTGCGTGCGCACACTCACTCAAACATACACACACACAGATGCACACATGCCGTACACACACACACACACACACACAGATGCACACATGCCGTACACACACACACACACACACACACACACACACACACACACACACATGACTTTAAAAATGCTTCAACTCACTGCCATTTACATCGCCACGTCTACATTGTACCCATTGCTGCAAAGCTCTATTACTTCTGTCATGACTCACATGCACCACGTTCCTTCACAACGACTGGACTAGAAGCTGGCGAATAGAATTGCAGCGAGGTATGTCGGCATGGCGATGCCTGTAGCGACTAGCAAGTAGCAACCAACGCTATCGTCCCCGGTTACGTACTTTGCTAAATGGTGATGTCACCCCTCTTTTCCTTCTACTTCTCTCTCCAGCACTCACTGACACGTGGAAACTCCACAATGCAGTACTGTACCGTGTATGACTTTGCTCGCTGGAAGAGAACCTACAATCCCGGTGTTTCATTCGGTGGTGTCGGCAATGACTACCTACACAACACTATCCATGGAGGCCCACATTCTGCCATGCTTGGATCGTGTAAGCCATTGCTCTAGACGGATCCGTGTTGGTGTAGTGACTGTACAGTTGATCAGGGGTACGGCTACGGATATCAGAGAGTGGGAGACATAGAATGATCCAACTGGAACCTTTTGGTTGGAGTGCGCATGGCATAATGTCATACCTGCAGAGCACGATGCCACACGTGCATGGCATGATGCCATGCATGCAGAGCTCATTTTTGTCTTGCACTTCTTGTCCTCTCTGGCATTCTGTGTGTTTCTACAGGCAATGACTGTCTATTCGCTTACAATAACATTTCCAACATGTGTTTTGAGTCGACTGACACCGGTGCTTTCTACACGGGACGTAGTTGGATTCGTCGTGGCAACGTGATGCATAACAATATCTTCTCTCACATACGAACAACGGAGCACACCGTTCTTGGTGCGCCGTCTGTGCAGGCTATCTACCTGGATGACCAGGTAATGTGTCCCTATCTGCAATATGGTATTATATGATACACTGAGTTACGGCCATCCTGAATTGTTATTATTGTTGTTGTGTGGTTGTTGTTGTAGTCGTCATCATTGCTGTGGTCCCCACCGCTCTTGTGCCACCAATGCATACAGATGAGTGGCTATCATATCTATAATAACACATTCATCGACTGCCAGAAGGGGACGTTTATTGGCGGTGGCCGTCGCAACCTTGTTCACGATAACTACTATGAGAATTGTGATGCGGCTGTACATATGGATGCCCGCGGTCTCGGCTGGCAAAAGACTAGTTGTCAGAAGGTGAGCATATTCTGTGCATGCACAGACATAACAGTTATACATCTGTGGGTGGTATGTGTCTGCTGTGTCTGGGAAATTGCGTAGTTAAAAAGCTATGATTGTGTCACTTGTGTTCTTGTGGTGACTGCCCAGCAAAATATGGGTACAGTCATGTACTTATTACGGCACATGCACAGAGGGCGCTTGAGCAGTAAAGCTGGTACTTCACAAAAGAATCCTTCGACACCTTCGTTTGGCGAATTGGGACCTTCGTGTCACCGCTTGAACTTGCCACACATTTTAAGCATTCTGATCCTTTTTTCTTTGTCTGTTCACAGAGCGGATCCTTCTTCCAAGAGATGGAGTCAGTGCATTACGACCAGCCACCTTGGTCTACTCATTATCCAGAGCTGCTTACTATCTTCAGTGAACACCCCTGCTATCCAGCATTCTCTGCTTTTACCAATAATGACTACTGCAAGTGCAAAAAATTCGCTGATGTCTCCACCGAGCAAATCAGCAAGTGGTTCGGGACGTCTTCCAACAATGTGGAGAAATGCCGCTGAGCATTGAAAACATCCTTTCCGCTACTGCTGCTATGCATGCGCATGTGTGCATGGAGACAGCTCCACTGTCTGCCGCCTGGTTTGCATATTGCTGCAGCCTCTCGTGCATTATTGAAGTATATGACTCGTCTTCACATAAGCTGCTGATTGTGGCATGTGTTCTGAACTTCTGATACAGCGTTCACAACTGCTCATAGTGTGAATAATCATGAACGTTTTTGCTGTAGATGTACAGTGCAATCCCATCATTGTGAACACATGTATTCACTTTAATATTTGAAATTGTTCCGGAGCCGTTCCCTTCAAGAATCTGCGGTCACACATTCCGCGGTTTACCTAGGTTTCTGCGAATCTATGGAAACCTGGCGATTTTCTTCATTTTTCAATGATTTTCAGCGGATCTATGAGCCTGCCCGGCTGGAAGGCTGTATTATACCGATACAGTGCCCGGCCGGAAGGCTGTATTATACCGATACAGTGCCCGGCCGGAAGGCTGTATTATACCGAGATACAGTGCCCGCATTCTGTGCACGTACACAACAGTGAACCTCACCATTGTCACCATTGTAAGGCGCAAACCGGTGGCTGGATGTCGTGCATGGTCGACAATATCGTGCCCGTGAACTGTTTTTTTGTCTCAAGGACTGAACTTTGATTCACGCAGCTACATGTACAGTCGAATGTCACTTATCCGGTCGCCAGTTATCCGAGCACGTCGGTTATCCGACAAGCCCGGGAGTGGTAATTTTATGACTCTCAACGGTAAAATTCTAAAAAAAATTGTTTTGTTTGTATATTATACGGTGTAATATGCATTTACTTGAAGTAGATGTGGTCAAGTATGCTAACATCAAGAGTCCATAAACAAGAGTATGCAACTGTGATCTCTTTTCTATGGGCCAGATGCACGGCGCGCTGCCTTCATTACATCATTCAGCTGCAGTCCGCGCACTGCGGAAAATCAAACACCGCACTTTCCCTCTGGTTTGAAATGAACTTTCGTACGTAACTGGAGTTCAAGCGCCAGAATTCAGAGATCGCGTAGGTACTGGAACGAATCGAGCAAGAACGGATGGGCTCGTACGAGAAATTGTGAGTTTGAATGAATGCTTTCAGAGCGTGATGAAGGCAAGTTACGTAATGAAGGCAGCGCGCCGCGCACTGGGCCAAAACCACAGTTGCATACTCTTGTTTATGCACTCTTGCTAACATGTATGTGTACATGGAGCAATCATGAATATGCATGAATATACTTCGAAGTATTTGGGTATTGTGTACATAAATCAGTGAAATCCAGCCATATATGCACATAAAAAATGATATCAGTTATCCAACATGCCTGATTCCCGAAGTGGTCGGATAAGTGACATTCGACTGTACATGTATTTGATTAAAAACAGTATACTGTATAATCCCATGGGCTGGATACTCGATCAGAATTTTTTTCAGTGAATCTATGAGGTAAGAAAAAACAAAGATCAAAAATAAAACAGTTGCGAAGATTGTGATTTTTTCCTTGAAGATTGTACAGTGCTGCTCAATGAAATCCGATCGAGTGAGTCAACGCCCTGTACCAGTGACCAGTATTCGTAGGTCTAGGGCTGCATAGCGCCCGGCCCGGTGCACACTTGACTCAAGCATTCGGATTTCCTTGAGCAACACCGTACTTGTAGTAGTCTAAGTCAGCAGGAATGATAATTAAAATATTTTTTTACGAACGTAACGAACTGGTGGTACATGTCATATTTCATGGCCATGCAACAGTCGGAGTTAACATTGCGCTTGCTTGAAAGTCTGCGATGGTATGCTCTTGGGCCTGAAGCTCGCACCTGCGAACCCCCGCACTGTCTCTTGGCAGGTAGCAGTTACCAAAGTCAAAGCGTGTGTGCGCGCGTATATTGCAGATGTTATGTGTGCAGTGTAGGTCCTGCTGACCTAGCATGTTATCTAAAAATCAAGAGTAGGTATTCCCACATATACGGGGCTGGAACAAAAGCTACAAAAACACAGCGAATGGTAAAAAGAAGATACAAAATTGTAAAAAATCGATGCCCACATAAACCACACCATATCTCAAGCCTATGTAGAGCGTACAATGTTTACCGAGCATGGCAAGCATCTACAGAATTCCAAGCCTCAAGGGCACGCGTGCTATGTACCTGCATACAACGTTATCTGGAGCAGAGCCCTGTCTACTGCAGCCGTCAGCGTGAAGGCAGTTCCCTGCCACAACACAAAGCATGCAAGAACAACAATACAAAGATAAGCAGCACCCCAAATTGGGAAATATACAGTATTAAATAGGCGGAGGGCATTGCAAATCCGCACAGGACTTTAAAAGATCCCAAGTACCAAGCCGATGGTTTCAGCAGCCATGGGCCACAGTCAGTCATCTACGTAGACACACACAATGTACAGCAGATAAGAACGTCTGAAGGACCAATAACACAATTATGCCAGGACCAGGATATGCCACACGTACTGTAAAATACGGCCGGCCAGGGTGGCATACTGATTACACACGTCATGCATGTTATCTCAGTGTAAGCTTGAGAGATACACGTGTACACTGTAGAGTTCTACCTGCCACACACACACACACACACACACACACACACACACACACACACACCACACACCATCACACACACACACACACACAACACATGTACACTGTTGAGTTCTACTCGTCATACACGTAGCACACACACAACACAATGTCATGTAGGAAATAGGAATCGCACAACAGTGCTTGTGGACAGAATCTACAGCGTGATGCAGCCACCGGGTGCTGAATTCACGAGCTCACAACACATCAGCACAGGTACAGCGTGTACATGTACATGTACTTACCTTGGTCACATGACCAGCACGTCACAAGTCCGCATTCAGGTACTGATTGAAGAAGATAAAGTAGACATTGGGCTTGCAGTCTTGCCCATTCATCAGCTTGCTCAAGTACGCTGTGCCACTGTAGGACAGCAGGAGAAGCTCGTCGTCGTCAAGAAAGTGACAGCGGAACGGCCCAGGTTCCGACATGGTGAACTTCTTGTAGCTGTAGAGAGCGGCCGGCACTCTTGCTAGTGCTCCCGCTGCTGCTGCTAGAACGCCGCTCTGGTTGTTTGACTGCTCAGCTATGTCAAAAACATGAAACGTGCCTTTGTCACTTGCCACCACCAGTAAAGACGACATCGGGTTGAACCCTAGGTAAAATATGGTGGCAGGCTCAGTGCCACGCCTGTACTCATGCACTTGATCAAGACTAAGCACGCTGAAGATTCTGACGAGGGTGCCGTGTGTTGACGCTGTAGCTAGCATACTCGCAGAGGAGTTGAATGCTGCAATGGCAACTTCATGCTTAGCCACCATCAACTTCCTGACCGGTTGGCTGCTGCTGCTGCTACCCGCAGTCCTGTGACCATGTGAGTAGGCAGGCTGAAGACGTTGACTGATATCAACAATTTGGAGGCAACCTGGAGCTTCACTCCTATGCGGAAGGGCCAACATGTCCTTTTCGAGTGCACACACACTCATCGGATTATCTCTTGTTGGAATTTCACACAGTTGGCGCACTGGACAGTCCACTGAGAACAAATAGATCCTGTCGCGAAGCATAACGACTACGCACTCGTGTTGTACTTTCATATTCAAGATTCTTCCAGGCAGCTCCTGCTTGTAAGCGACTGTATTATCAGCACACTTTAGGAAAGCTATTACGCCATCACTCTCAAATAATGGGGTTCGGCCGCCACCAACTATTACCAGCAGCCCGCTTGGATGGACCATATCCACCATTTTGACAGTGCCAGCAACCGTTTCGGGAATGGTTGACACGCATTTCGCCGATCTCGCACAGTAAACGCGAACGCCGTGATCCTGTGTCGAGCACAAAAAGAAGTCTTGGCTAACCCGAAGATCAGCAATACCGTAATTCACTGAAGCCGCAGCCATATTCCTGGTTTTCAACACGATGGGTCGATGGCCACTACAAGCCTTCAAATAGAAATAGCAGTAGAAACTGGCAAATTAGCTTTCACTGGCATAATTCGCAGTCAAGAGATCAAACTGATGCTCGATTCGCACGCACAGTGCAAGCGGTGACAACTGCACTGCCTTCCTCTAAAAGCCATTCTCCTCATCTTGCTGAAATTTTATTACAGTACGAGCGTAGTAAAGGAAATAGTGTTCATCACTCTTCATCACGATCACTCAATTCAATCATAATCAATACCGGTATCTTCACTGACTGCGCAAATGGCAAAATGATCATTCCACACGCGTCACGTCACGCAGCATGTGCTGTGACGTCGTTATGAGTCATGATCTACGTACATGTATAAAAAAAGAAGTTTCGCGAATTCGACTTTTTGTTTTGGGCGCTGCACAACTCGAGCTTTTGCTCGCAATTTTTCCAAGCAGATTTTGAAGTGTGATTTCAATAAAAGCAAAGATCGAAAAGGAAGGATGGCGTTTGCAGCTCCTTCACCAAGTTTCTTTAAAGATTCTAGACCTAGCCCTTTGTGGAGTGGTGGGCCTGCTCCAGGTTGTCTTCATGAGTTTCCCATGAGAACTGCGGCCGACCAGGGTCGACAACATACGACGTGAGTGTTTTGCGGCTTACACTGTTTGTAATTCTATCAACTCCACACAATCACTTGAGTCTTGAGTATCTTATTGGAGGTGTAGTGGTCTTCTTGGCACGTAGGTGTACATGGCATTATGTCCAAGGCATTCAGGCCCAGGGAATAGGCCCACTCTAATTTTGTTGTTACTAGTTTCTGGACTTGACCAGGAACACGCTTGGTTTCGATCTGTGATTGCTATGCACACTGTTCCTCTGGGGCACACGGCGTAACATACACTAGTATAGGGATAGTTGTATGCTAGAATAGCACATGTTGGTGTGCTGTGATGTGTATGCATTGCACTGAATGATCTCGTCCTTGCAGCCAATAGACAATAGGGAGGTTTCGCTCTACGTATTTACGTATGAACATCTGTATGCCGTGCGCGCCGGGGAGCGAGGTCAACTTTCATACGTAAATCTCTCTACGGATTTCCGTAGGAAAGCGCTTTCCTACGTTCGGTCCTCCGTAGGACTTTTTTAAATGTGTTTGCCGGTTTCCGGCTTTACCTGTATCCATGGCACAGTTCAAGTCGCGCGAAATACAAGGTCCACAGCACGTGGACAACTACTGTACTAGTAGTACTGTCACCGTGCCTGTAGGGTAAGCCTTACAGCATGTTTGGGTGTGTTCCTGGCACTCGAGCTGAACCTTTGAACCTTTCAGTTGAACCATGGTGTGAAAGTTGTAGCCTGCAGGCACGGTGACCAGGTGATTGGGATACGCATGAGCACATGACCGCTTATTCAACCATGTTCGATTGGGAATAAGGGCCGAACGCTGCATCGCAGCCTTCTCGGACCAAAACCAGTCGACTCCGCTTCCGAAAGACTACAAAATATGGGCCAATCGCGGTCATCCGTGCTTTTATATAAGAACGAAATGGCGCGTTTAGTAACATTTTGCATACAAATCCCCATCTAGTAGGGAGCAGTCACCCAGTTTTGGTGGAAGTGGCGAGTTCGATTGGGAATAAAGGAGGAAGGGAGCGTCTCAGCTTCCTCGGACTAAGACCATTCGACTCAGCACCCCGAAGACTACAACTGGTGAAAATTTGATTTTATATTATCTTCCCCTTTAACCTGAGCTATAGTTGGTGTTACTCTCCACTGGCTGCGCTCAGGCATAGAGAATAAATCTGTTTCATACATGTAAGCTCATCCTGGCAGAGCCTGGGCTTGTGTAGCTCGGTGTTGTGGTTTTTTTTCCTCCTTTGCCGTATCATTCATGCATCATTCATGCTTCTCTCTTACTAGTGGGTTCTGCTCGTTACTACTGTTTGTATTATTGTCTTGTTTTGCAATTTGCAGTCAGCCCATCACAACAGGAACGTCAGTGCTCGGCATACGGTTCAATGGTGGTGTGATGATAGCTGCAGACACCTTGGGTAGGTAGACTGTAGCTGCATGCGGCCGTCACTTCTCTCTGGTAAATATTACGGTATACATTGCAGCACTAAGCATTACTGCTTTCCTGATCCTGTGGTTGTGTGCTTAGATATACCGTGTAACGGTGTAAGCCAAGCCTCTCGATGAGGAGATTGCACACAAAATGAAATGAAGTTTGTTTCTGTCTTTTCACCTCCCTCAAACTGATGAAATTTGTAAATTCTGGACATCATGCCGGGTGTGACGAAAGAATGTACTTGTACGAAGAGTAGAAGATTGGTGAAAACGCAGCAGGAACGAATTTCTGGTGATTGCTGTCTGTGTGCCGCCTTACACGATGGTATCTGTTCTCTTTGCTCTGCCCAGGTTCCTATGGCAGTCTGTCAAGGTTCCGCAGTGTGTCGCGTGTGATCCCGCTCACCAAGGAGTGTGTCATGGGTTGCAGCGGTGACATTGCCGACATGCAGGAGCTGAAGAGCGTCCTCGAGTCCTGGATGTAAGCGTTTTTTTCTTTTCTCACATTGAACTGCTGTTACATGCGCTTTGCGGACATGTTGTGGAAAGTGTTGCCAAGAAGCGCACACACGGAAAAGCTTGAGTTGGGATTGCATGTACATGTTACGTACTGTCTGGTGCCGAAGAACTGGAGGCTCAGCCACGTAGCCTAGGTCGTTTTTATTTTCATGTACTATGGTCTATGCACAGTTGAGTCGCCGTGTATACATTGGTATGCTGTGCTTGGTGGAATCCTAGCCTGGCCGTTCTTCTGCACTCGACAGTACTGTAGTCTGATGCATGACTTCTACAGCGGGCGATGAACTGCCCGTCCTGCTGTTATCGTGTGCGGCTGGCGTTAGTACTGTATGCATACAGTGTTGCGCCATAGTATGCTTGTCTCTCGGAATTGTGTTATGCCAACTACTAAGTCTGCCTTCTATTAGTGTTCAGGACATAGTTCTGGCGCTCTGGTATGGGTGCCACCATACCTTGGCATTTTCCTTGTGCTGAACTTCTGATCTGGCCAGGCTGTTCGTCTGGGATTTGCCAGAATCTGCTCCCACACTCGTAGAGATTATCTTGCTCTCGCTCGTAATCTGCGTGCATGCATGCGTGTGTCGTGTCTGTTTGTGGTTGTGTAGTATTTTGGATGAGTCGATGCAGTATCCGTACAAGGACAGTGCCCACGGTCTCTTCTCCGTTCTCACCCGCGTCATGTACCACAGGTATGTTTTCGTACACATGGAGAGAAGTACGAACACACATACAATGTAGCCTGTACAACTGGGTTCTTACAAGCTGGATATGTGTGTGGATGGTTGTGATGGTCACACACGTGTGTTCGTACGAAGTAGGCGTGCGTGTGTATGGGAAGGGATATATGCGCATGTGTGTGTGTGTGTGTGTGCGTGCGTGTGTGTGTGTGTGGTACTTTGCGCTACAGTATCATTGATGGTAACTATGATACCGACATTCCACATTTTGTCATATTCCCGTAGTGTGACTTTTCCTGGCGCCCCACCAGATAGTGTGCCTGCTCATATGCATGTGTGTGTGTGTGTGTGTGTGTGTGTGTGTGTGTGCGTGCACGCGCGCGCATGTGTGCGTGCGTGTGCGTATGCGTGGTGTTGGTATTGCATCACAGGCGGTCTCAGATGAACCCCTACTGGAACCATCTTGTGATTGCTGGTGTCGATGATGGTGAATTGTAAGTGCTTGAGTACAGTACTAGTAACCAAGTTCACTGTCCCAGCCTTCCAGCTCATCTGGCTATGCTTCAGTTTGCAATTCTGGCTGTGTTCGAGTAGAAAGAAACATGCTACACTATTATGGATGGATTATAATGTGGAGGGCATGCAGAAAGTCCAATTTTCTGTTGCTGCACAGACCCAAGTTGTGCCAAGAGAAGGCTAGGTTTTTTCCACACTGTGTTTTGCAAGAAAGAGCCTAGCTGGATGGACTAGAATTCTTCTTCCTGATTTCCATGGTTTTCCCCCGTGGATATGCCTAACACACAAAGACTGCGCAGCTGCCTTCTGCATGTGCTGTGTTTTTAATTTTGTATGTACCACTCCTGTTGCTGCTGGTGTTCTTGCTGCTGCTGCTATTGCTCTCTCGCTGATTGAACCCAGTCTACTTGGAGTGGTGGACAAGCTGGGAGTAGCGTATCAAGCACCGGTAGTTGGTACTGGCTATGGAGCTCACTTGGCACTGGTAAGCCACACACATGCAGCTGCTGGGAGTAGTACACTCCACAGTAACTTACCAGGCGGAAGGCAGCCAGCCAATGATCATACAGTGCAACTCCACAGTGTCACATACCCTGGATATAGCATGGCTGTGCTCAACTATCGCAGTATGCAGTCTCTGGCATTGCTGCTGCTCACCGATGACGTGTGTATCCTTTGCATCGGATACTGGTATAACATACGGAATACTACTGATGTTTACGTGCTATGCTGGCGTTTCACTGTGCATATGAATTCTCCTGACGGCATTTCACAGACATGACGAACTAGACTGCCGACTGTAAACCTGTGTTTCTCTGGCTGGAGCATCACAGTATGTGTGCCGTTTCATACCCTGGGTAGGATAGGGCATGAGGCCTGCACCTGGTGCGGTGAAATAGCCAAAATGGACATGCTAGATTCACTTGATAGTAACAGTGAAGCTTGTGGACAAAAGGAATCTGCTAGTGATGACCATGACAGTGTGTGGCATTTGTGTCTGGCGAGGCCGTCCTGATCTTGACCCAGCCCGCCCTGCGGCATGCAGGAAGACGTGTGTACGTGCAGTCGTGCACACCTAGGCCATAGTATCTTTGAATGCTACTGGTGGTGTAGCTTAGCCTCAAAATGATCTGTATCTTTCTTTCATGCTTATCACACGTGCATGTGCATGTCCTGTGCTGCTGGCTGTTGTGCAATGCATAGCCTCTCATGAGATCTGAACTCGAGAAGACTCCAGGTGGTCTCAGCAAAGAGCAGGCTCGTAACTTGCTGGTGCGCTGCATGCGACTTCTCTTCTATCGTGACTGCCGGGCATCCAGCAAGGTGAGAAGTGAAAAGTGAAAACATGTTTCACACCAGGGGAGTATTGTACTACTCCCTGGTTCACACAAGTTTTAAAAGCACCTCTAGCTGTTTCCGCCCTCATACTGTTCGTGTGTTCTTACTATGTTCAGAGAATGTTGAATTGTATGACAAGTCGGCGTGGACTTCAATTGACACAATCTTCTTCTCGTGGCATCCATTCTCAGATTGCAATCATCTGCTTGTGTTTTGATGTGCATTTGACATGTTGGTGATCGTGTTGACCTTCTGGGCCAATGTGTGTGCGTGCGGCTTGTGTATCTTCATGTGTACAATACATGTAAATACATGTAATATGATAATAAATTATCTGCATGTGCCTTTTACATTGGCAGTTTGAGATTGCCACAGTCACTGCAGAGGGTCAAGAGATTGAGGGACCGCTAACGCTGGACACGGATTGGTCTATTGCACATATGGTCCAGTAAGTTGTCTGTAAAGATTTTAATTTTTTTATTTTATTTCACCGTCCAATGGCAAAATTTCAAATTTGACTCTCTTCCAGGTCAGTTACTTACAGCTGTAGGGTTGGTAACCGTGTTAGGTGTTTGACTGCTGGAGATTGTACAGATGTCTCTCAGTGCGTGGACCTCCCCTCCCTTTCACATCTCTCCTGGCCTGCTCCAATATGGTACCATGTAGGAAGGGCAATGCCAGTGAGAATGGTCCTGTTAAAAAATTACAATCTGCAATTGTAGACAATGGAGATTTTTTTAATTTCATATCCTTTCAAAGATGTCACCATACATTGGAGGTAAAGAAATCTGCTCTCCTTGAGTTCCAATCCAGAGCTATAATGCTGCTCAAGTATAGGACATTGTGCAAGTTGTGTCTTATTCTCTTTCCTCTCTTTCTCTCTCTCTCTCTCTCTCTCTCTCTCTCTCTCTCTCTCTCTCTCTCTCTCTCTCTCTCTCTCTCTCTCTCTCTCTCTCTCTCTCTCTCTCTCTCTCTCTCTCTCTCTCTCTCTCTATCTCTCCCTCTCTCCTTTCTTTCGTTTCTCCTTGTGCTTGAACTTTCAGGGGATTCGAATAAAGAAAGTTGCGTGTACGGTGCTGCTGCCTCTTGTTTTTTAATTGCATTGCTGCTGATGATGATGATGATGATGCTATTTTTTTGTCATGACCAATCCTATATTCAAACTGTTTGCACAAACTTTACTGTACATAGTCTATGGTTGCTGTGTTCTTTCCAGTTCATTGCTCAGTTTTAAAACTCCTTTCTTCACATTCCCACACGCACACATACTTTATGTGCATGCTAGCGCATTCATCTGAGAATGTTCATTATAATGGCCAACATTGCACCTAGTCCTGTATAGACGCCACGTCATGCGTTCTGGAGACAAATGAATATTGATTCCAATGTTGTCATTCCTTCACTCCGCGTGTGCATTGCTACTCCGTAGCCAAGTGGTAACAGGCTGTCGAAAGATTGCCTTAATACTACCTCTCCTGATCACCACTACATGGTGACTCGACTTGTTTACAGTGGACGCACCCCAAGCCTATGGGGGGGGGGGGGGGACAGTGAAGCGTACCAGCTGTGCTACGAGGCACCCGTGTGTGAGCCAGTACAGACCGAGGAGTGATGTATTTCCTAAGCGGCCAAGCTATATGCTCCGGGCCTGCATGTAATCGGTCATTTTCCTCAGTGAAACATATAAGTTTTCGAAATTCAAAGAGATTCACGATGCTATGGTTGTTTCAAAATAATCCGAAAGTAGAGGATTAGCATGAGAAATGCAGTCAAAGTGCAATCATACTCTCCAGCGAGTCATTCGGAGGGGGGTACAAACTGGACATTCACGTGTACCTTCACGTGTACCTTGCTGGCACATGAAATACAAGCAGAAGAGTTAGCGGTGGTGAAGACATTATGGTGTCCTGATAAAAGAAATCCTGAGCAAGCCAAAGACGAGCACATACATTATGTACAAGACAGCTGTGTCCATCAACTCCTAGCGCTTTTACTGCGCAAGGTACCAAATCCAACAGGCAATTGCACGATCCCGTGAGGAACATTTGAAATTTGTAAAAAATACTACAAAGCTGAGAAAGTTATGTACAAAGTCGATGACAGGGGTATTATTCTACAGACGTTTCATGAGACATCGCTCAGATAGATCTAAGCAGCGCCTGCTGCTATGTGCAAATGGTGTGCGGGTTACCTAAATCCTCAAATTAACAGAAATGAGAATGTGCAAAAAAGGACAACAAAAGAAGAATGTACTATACTACATATAGTAAGGCCGATAGCTCTGTTGCGATAGCTCTGTCGCAGTATTTTATTGTGAAGAATATACTATCACAACAAATCCACATACTGTGCAGAGTTTCAGAGTTTCATGTCCAGATGGCTATGTCAAGTCTCAGCTCAGCTGTTACTTCGCTATCACTGTGAGAAAGAGGACAAACGTGATCGAGCTGGCAACGACCGAATAAACAAACTTGGCCAGCAATTGCATCCACACGTCATCGGTGAGCAGCAGCAATGCCAGAGACTGCATACTGCGATAGTTGAGCACAGCCATCAGTACAACGACGAGTGGCAGGAAGCGCTTTTTCAAGTCCGTACGCATCCACAGCCACACCAGGCCGGCACGCGTAAGATGCTGAATCAGTCCGATATTGCTGTCCAATGCTGTCTGCACATTAGCCCAGGTAAATTCTGTACCTCTTGCTTGTACCCACAGAGGTAACAACTGAGTACATAGAAGCTCAGCACAGCCCCAGCCCAGGCCAACAGCTAATATTTTCAGCTCTCCTTGACCCGTCACACGTAGACGCTGCATGATCACGTACAGACCCAAAAAATCTAGCAAATCCATGGTACCCTTCATAACTTCCACGTTAAAATCAATTTTACTGTTGCCATTTACACCTTCCGATGATGCAAAGAATGTGGCCAGTACTACCATTTTCACTGCTTGAGTTGCTAGATAAGCAAGTCCCGCTCGCAGACATTTCCAGAAGGCGTTATACTCTGGTAGAGAGGAGTACCGGTATGCAATGAAGTATGGAGCATACGAAAGCGCCAGGCAATTGCCAAAATGGAAGAGAGTCATTGTCGAATGATGGACAATCTACAAAGGGCACTTTTCAGTAGACGATTAATTTTGAGTTGAGGCTGGGTTGGACTGAATAAAATGGAAGAAGCTAGCAGGTACTAGGTATTCACTTTGTCGATTATACAGGACTTCGAAACACACCACCTGCATATGGATCTCAGATTCTCTAACTCCCTGATTGTGAAAACAAGAAGCTGGACTCACAAAATCACAAAATCAGACATGCAAAAAAAGCGCACAGTCGAGAATACCGTGTACGAGAAAATGCATGTGCGCATGCATGATCTGATTGTACATGACATTGTGTGTGTCACTTGTACAACAAGCTTGTGTTGTGAAGCTCCTCTTTTGTAGCTGGCTGTCCTTGGTGACCTGGTGACAGGATGGAAATGAGTCGTCAAGTGATTTGTATCGCCATTTTTGCCATGGAAACACATGAGAGTCACGTGCGCGGCAAATTATTATTTACCCCATTTGATGTACAACAACAAAAAATAAACAAAAAGGGAAAAGAACGGGGAACCGTACAAAAATCCAAGGCAGGTTGTATCTGGCACGCGGTACGCGACTAAGCGCGCCGATATCGTAGATTCAGCGCGCACGGTCGGGCCAGGCCAGGCCAGGCGAGCTGACCCACATAAACCAGGTTTCCCTGATTATGGTGTTGAGAATACACATTCTCTTGGTTCCTCAATGCCAATGGATTTGAGGTGGCGTAAGAAAAGCAATGCCTCCGAAACAAGCGAAGCAGGTGTTGCTAGCTTCTGCTCTCGCCTTCTCTGTTTTGGGAGTCCACTTCTACATTGACTTCGCACGTAAGAAGATTCGAGAGTCTGTTGCCTATGCTGATCCGGATCAAAAGAGAGAGTAATTTCCGAAGTAATTGCAGGTACGGTAATTACAATACCTCGTGTGCCTACATTCATTTTGGTTAGGCCCTATCTTAGTGTCAATAGACTCAATATGTTATCTACACGAACATTATCCTCTCCCTACGACTACACAAAGCATTTATAGACCCTATCTCGATGTCAAAGTCTCGAATAGATGCCTCTTGAACACTGATGATGATGCTTCTCAAGAAAGAACATTCTCAACTATTTCTTGATTTCATTTATTTTGTTGTGTTTCCAAACACGATTGTAAAGCCGGTGGTACCGTGCATGTGCGAACTTTGCTCTTTACTAGCTCAGTGATTAGAACATCGCTGGCCTATGGCGAAGGTCCCTGGTTCGAGTCCTGCTGGCGACGGTCAATTTTTCCCCTGTTCATTCCCTAAACTCATGGATGTTCACTCTTTTTCTTTTTTCTTTCTTTTAAATTTAGTCGTTCCCCCAAGCCAGTTGAGAATGGCTGAGCCCAGGTTAGCAGGTCAGCAGCAGCCCGTAGCCACATCTGGAGCAACATTTGCACCAATGGTAACAACAGCTTCGCTCCCAGACCAGCCCGTAGCTAATCCAATGACGGCGGTATCTAAAGCTGTGAGTTGTGTTTCCAAAAGTGTCCAGCATTTCTTATCACAAGTACTTGTACATGACTTATACAGTCATGTAAAAGGATTTGGGCATTTCAAAAATATTTTAGTAAGTAACGCTATGAAAGAATTACCGTAACTCTGCCGTCATGTCCACACACCCACTCACTCATGCATACACGCACACACACACACACACACAAAACAACATAGTCAAGTTTGAATCCAGAGCTTTTTCTTGTGACTGTCTTCAGTGGAAAGTCGTCACTGATTGGTAATATTCAATAACATGGGATTATGTATACCATCAGGTACTAACTATACAACCAATGAGAAAACTAAAGGGATGTGACAAATTATATAATCTGCTGTGAGGTGCTGTGAGGTGTGCAAGAATTACAGTAGTACATTTTTCTGGATTTGCAGTACCTTTCCGCCCCATATGACTCCGCTACCCCATGGGCAGACATCAGATTTAGCTCAGTGGTGAGTATGGATCAGATCCACCAACCATAGGCCGAAATCCCAGCTGCTGCATGCATGTAGCCAGCGCTCCATAACCAACAGCGTGCAACTGTGATCTCTCTCCTATGGGCCAGCTGCATGGTGGGTTGCCTTGGTTACATCGTACAGCTTCACCAGAGCAGTGTGGAAGATCAAACCGCCCTTTCCCTGTGGTTTAAAACTCAAGTTTTGGATACACCTTAACAAGTGTTACTGTTGCTGCCGCTGCTCCTGGTGGTTGTGGTGGTGCTGCTTCTGCTGTTGCTGTTCCCTCTGGTCTTGCTGCTGATATGTGCACAGTCTGTGGAGAGCGACATTCGCTATGCAGTCGACTTGTTAGGTGGCCAAGCACAGTCTGGAATCAAACCTCCAGAGGTGAGTGATATTTGTCTCAGCTAACTGGTTCCTCCTCGTGTGAATGCTGTATTACGTGTGAATGCTGTATTACGTGTGTTCATTTGAAGGCAGTACAGTACTACCAAGAGTAGATAAACAAGAGTGTGCAACTCCCGGATGGGTAGGCCCACGGCGGAATTTTTTGTTGATCTAATCTTTTCGACGATGCACGCGCTGCGAGTCTTTCGGAAAGTTTTCCCTCGTGCTCTTGGCCGGGCTTTACAGTACAAAGGTCGGTGCCCAGCACGTGCTCTCACACTGCTCTGCGGCAAAATGCGCGTTTCTCTGAAAAAAGGTGACGTCAACAAAAAATTCCGGCGGGGGTATCTGCAGATTGTGCAGGAGAGATCCGGAGTTGCACACTCTTGTTTATCTACTCTTGGTACTACTGTAAGGCATGTTATTATAACGGGTTGCGAAATTAGCAATTGTCCAAAATGCATTGGTTAACGAGAAGATATGTTAGCGATCTTGCAGTCTTCAGCCATATCCGGACGTAACACATTGTTGCATAACAGCCTCAACAGAACTTATTATAACGGAGAAATGTCACCCGTTAAAACGTTAGATTTACTTCCTCGTCATTAGGGGTGTGCACAGGTAGTCGGGTACCAGTGCTACCCGTGAGGACCTCGGGTAGTCAGGTACAGAATAGTACCCGAAAACCTGAAGTCGCAGATGACATAATTATGACATTCCAGGGCACGCGTACAAATTCATGTAATACTCTGCATGTCTCCCCAGTGTGTAAGGGAAGGGATGCATTGTGGTGTTACCATGGATACATTAGACACCCTTAGCAAACAACGGTAACGCTATTTTTTACGGTACCTTGATCACCCAAATAGCGTTGAAGCTGCAGCATATAAACGTTACGGGGGCTGATTTATCGTTTTGACCAACGGTACGTGTTTTGGCCAAATATTGCATAGTCCGTACGCATTTCACCTTGTATCGCGTATATGGTGACAAAAATGGTTGTACCGCGCGAAATCAAAGCTATTCTCGTGGCAACAGCGTACTAAAAATAGCGTGCATCTTGCTAAAGGTCGAACCCAAAGCACGGTATTTTCCCCCTTACGATAATACCGTTACAACCGTTTTTTGCTAAGGGTGTCTATTACCCGATCGGGCACCTGTGCTACCCGTGGAAAACTACCCGAACCCGATACCCCGAGAAAATGCTACCCGACTCGGCACTACTCGTTATATATACATGTCTTGCAGTATTGATTTCTGCACTCATGTCACTGACTCACGTTCAATTTGGTCTGTGTTGTACTTTGTAGGGGCAGCGTCGTAGTGGTTGGCAGAAAGGCCGTAGTCGTCGGGAAGACCGGGATGAGAATGCACCGCGACCGCCCCTCACCGGCTACATTCGTTTCCTGAACGAACAGCGGGAAGTTCTGCGGAAGGAGCAGCCTGACATTCCGTTCACTGAAGCCACTCGTATCCTTGGTACGCGGTGGACGGACATGCCGCAAGCAGAGAAAGATGTGAGTCCTGTTCGGGGCATCCTTACCACTGTAGGCAAGGACCACTGCAAGCATGCTGCTGTAGCCATGTTGAGCATCGTTGCTTTACCAGCAAGGACCCATGTGAACTTGTTGCTCTAGTCATATGGGCTCTACTGCATTTGCCTGCAGGCTGTCACTTGTCTTCCTAGTTATAATAGCTCTACTATATCTGAATCAATGAACTTTTCTTCTTTGCTGCTGCCCTGTACAGCGCTATCGCTCTGAGGCTCAACACGACAAAATTGCGTACTCGCGAGAGCTCGCAAACTACAAGCAAACCGAGGCATACAGTGCGTTTGTGCAGAAGAAAGCGCTCGTTCAAAAGCAGCAGAATGGTGAGTAGCAGCCTGCAGGTCTCTGGCTCCTGGCTGCTGTGCAGTGAGTGGGTCGTCTTGACTCTTGCTGTGGGGCAATTAGTAGTGCACTACAGAGAAACTACCTGGTACAGTATGTTTCAGTTGTTGTTTTTGCGAGCAATTCCACATGGGAACTGCTCTGAACATGGCACTGTGTGTGTGTGTGTGTGTGTGTGTGTGTGTGTGTGTGTGTGTGTGTGTGTGTGTGTGTGTGTGTGTGTGTGTGTGTGTGTGTGTGTGTGTGTGTGTGTGTGTGTGTGTGTGTGTGTGTGTGTGTGTGTGTGTGTGTGTGTGTGTGTGTGTGTGTGTGTGTGTGTGTGTGTGTGTGTGTGTGTGTGTGTGTGTGTGTGTGTGTGTGTGTGTGTGTGTGTGTGTGTGTGTGTGTGTGTGTGTGTGTGTGTGTGTGTGTGTGTGTGTGTGTGTGTGTGTGTGTGTGTGTGTGTGTGTGTGTGTGTGTGTGTGTGTGTGTGTGTGTGTGTGTGTGTGTGTGTGTGTGTGTGTGTGTGTGTGTGTGTGTGTGTGTGTGTGTGTGTGTGTGTGTGTGTGTGTGTAAAGGCCACAGGACTTGCAACGCCATGCCAAATATTGTTGACTTTGCGATTTCTCTCTCTTCTCTTCTCTCTTCTTGTCGTTGTCTCCCGCTTCTGGGAGCGGCGTGGCCCGATAGGGTAGCTGTACATAGTAGTAGTAGTAGTAGTGTGTCTGTGTGTCTGTGTGTGTGTGTGTCTGTGTGTGTCTGTGTGTGTCTGTGTCTGTGTGTGTGTCTGTGTGTGTATGTGTGTGTGTGTGTACAGAGTATGTAGGGAACAGAGTGAAGATCACATGTTGGCAACTCTTCAAAAGAAGACCAGTGCTTTCTGGCCGGACTCTGAAGTGAATGTAGTTGTGAGATAACATGTGCATGTAGTATTCAGTATACACATTTGCTGTTGTCATCACTCTAATGCGTTGTGTGTGTGTGTGTTTCTCTCTCTCTCCTCTTCTTTGCTCATGGGTGCTGCGTGTTCCTGATAAACAGAGGTTAGTGGTGTGTGTGTGCTCGCTATGCCTATTCGTCTTACCATGTATGAGTGGACATGTACGATTACATGGTGGTGCTGATCAATCCTGGCCTGTTAGATCGTGTTGCGATATCTCCATTGATTATTCGCAACTTGTAAATATCGCACCTTATTACCTGCTGTAGGTATTTCTCGAAGTTGTTTGCTTCGCACACCAATGCAGGATGGCCTGTATGTGGTTGTGCACTGCTGAAGTTTTAGTTACAGCAGAGCTGTACATGTACTGGACATGCAGTGCCACACTGCGCGATATAGCACTGAACCACCGATGTGGCATTCTCACGGGGGTTTTGTCATGGATGCCAGTGATGCATCTACACTCTATGGCCTGGATGTTGCACATACAGTTGCGCTCTGTGAAATTCGACCCAGTGCACATTTGGCGCCCTGTTTTTGCACGGCCCCTGACGCCCTGGAAGTGGCACGAATGCTGCTGAACGTACACATGTACAGATACGATGATGTAATCAAAACTGGTACAGGGCGCCAGTTTTGCACTTTGGGTCGGATTTCACCGAGCGCAACTGTAGTCTGTGCAGTGTATCTGTTAGCCATTCACTGGTTGACCTGCTATCGTCCACAGCTGTCTCTTGCTTGGTGTGATCACACTGCATTGCGACTGGCACGCGTGATCTTCTTGTCTTCACCTCTGTGTGCATAGTCTAGTGGGCCCAAGTCCTGTTCTCTTTCAGTCATAGCCCAGTAGTGGTAGTGTGTCAGTTGTAACTTGAAATGCCTTTATGCCATTGCCTGCCTTCTCTCTTTGCTGGCGTGTTGATGCAGGGTAAGATTGAAGCACCTGGATTCAACTTACCGATTTTCACCGACGAGTTCCTGGACTATAACAAAGGTGGGTCTGTGTCTCGCTGGCGACAAGTTAACCAGTATCTAGTCATGTATGCTGTGCTGTGTCTGTGTGTATGCTGTGCTGTGTTGGTGTATGCTGTGCTGTGTCGATGTATGCTGTGCTGTGTTGATGTATGCTTTGCTGTGTTGATGTATGCTGTGCTGTGTTGATGTATGCTGTGCTGTGTTGATGTATGCTGTGCTGTATCAATGTGTATGCTTTGCTGTGTCGATGTATGCTGTGCTGTGTCGATGTATGCTGTTTTGTTTCGATGTATGCTGTGCTGTGTCGATGTATGCTGTGCTGTGTCAATGTATGCTGTGCCCGTTGCCCCTTCTCTGCACCTTCATTGCTGTGTGCTGTATAGTCATATTTGATAGCTGTTGTTTCTGCACACTACCCATATCTACGGTGAAACAGTTCAGTATATCATGTACGCAATAGCCATAATTATAATCTGTACTCAGTACTTTGTAACCGAGGTACTGTTGTGGACATTGACATCTGCTGGAATGACCAGGGCCGGCGCCTTTACTGCCTTAGCGCGTACACGCACACACCCACTGCGGAAAGGACCAGCAGTGCTCATGGCTGCGAGGCCAGCATCCGTGGCCACTTGACTTTCTCAACGCATTTCAATGTCCACAACATTACAATCATGTACTCTATATCCAAGGTCAAATGGCTTGTTAGTAATGTTTCAATGCAGGGTGGTCAAAAATAGCATTTCTTATGCCATAGTGTGTTACACCCAGGGTACTTTATATTGAATTGTTTCGCTGTTTCCCTGTGCTCTACTCTACTCTGTTCAGGAAAAGATTTAGAACTGCAAGCACTCCGGCGTGCGAATGCCGAAGCTGAAGAGAAGAACAGCGTCCTGAGCAATCACATTCAGCAACTGAAGGTGCGTGTGCGGGCGTGTGTGACGGGCATGTATGGTGGCGGTGGTTTTTGTGTGTGTGTGTGTGTGTGTGTGTGTGTGTGTGTGTGTGTGTGTGTGTGTGTGTGTGTGTGTGTGTGTGTGTGTGTGTGTGTGTGTGTGTGTGTGTGTGACCATTGACCATTGACCATTGACCATTGACCATCTGGCTTGGTTTGGGATTGCTCAGGATCGGTCTGCCTGGCGGGTGTCTGCCGTTGAGCCGAGCCTCGCCGGTCCTTCCCATGACTGTCTTATCTGCCACCGTTCGTTTCGTCGGCCAGGTGACAAAGCAAGACACAAGTGTAGCGCAGAGCGAAGTCTCCCCATCCAGGATCAGCGTGGTGCTGTGTAGTGTGGTACATGCAGGAGGTGGTTTCACTCTCGTGGTGGCTTGCGTGTACATCATTGTTTACCATTGGAAGCCTCCGCGCCGGCATCACCTGTTCCGCTCAACGTCCCAGCTTCTCTCTTGTGTGTGACATGCAATCGGCAATTCAAGTCAGTGCCTGGTTTCAGACGTCACAAGTGCGACCGTGGCCATCGAGCAACCGAGTCTGATAGAGCGTCATATGGTGTTCGCTGTTCTCGCTGCAGCTGTCAGTTCCGTCGACAGAGTGACCTGAGTCGTCATCTCCGTTTCTGCTCCTGACAATGACTCTGGCTCCTTTCGGAGTGGTGTGGCCCTTGTCGCAACCAAGCTACAGTAGTAGTAGTAGTAGTAGTGTGTGTGTGTGTGTGTGTGTGTGTGTGTGTGTGTGTGTGTGTGTGTGTGTGTGTGTGTGTGTGTGTGTGTGTGTGTGTGTGTGTGTGTGTGTGTGTGTGTCCCATATGGTGCAGTGGTATGTGCAGCGATTTCCAATCGATAGATTGCGGGTTCGATTCCCGACGATTATGGTCACACACGTCTTTCTTCTCTTTCTCAGACTCTTCCTGACTTTTCTTTCATTCTCCTGGGTGGTTACCAACAGCCAGTGCATGCCGGAGTATGTGGTGTGATGTGTGTGCGGGGAAAAAAAGAAAAAAATTAGGGATGAAACGAGTACACCGATTACTCGGAACTTACTCGTTATCTCTGTGATCGCTACTCGTTATGCTGTTATCGAGTATGCACGACTTGTACATGTGCAGTGTACATGTGCATAGTACTAGCTAAGTCACACTGTCTGCATAGTCAACTCCAGCACGCGTCATCCAAGGTGACAAAATTCACACCTTTTTCTAGGCACCTTCGCATTTTGGGATCCGGTGTGTCATGCACATATTCCCCGGAGACCAGTAAAATTTATTTGTCATACAAATTCAGCATACTCATTTTATGATAACTCGATCGTTAATAATAAACGGTACTCGATAAGAAGAAATGGATGATCGTTTCATCCCTAAAAAAAATGAAGAAAAAAAATGAAAAAAGACCAAAAAAAGGGATTCACTGGCCAGAAAATGTCACTCCAAATAGCTGTATGGTGTAGACCAGGCTGAATAGTGACGGTCAATTCTTCAGCCTTGCAAGCTGTTGAATGGTGTAATCCCAGCACAAGTTGCTATGGCTTCTGCCGTAGCATTGCTATCATCGCCTCCGGCGATGGGCGTCAAAGGTCAAAGGTCAAAGGTGTGTGTGTGCAGTGCATCTAGTGTCTGCTTCTATCAAAGCAGCGTGCTGTCTATACTGGTTACCCCAGCAAGTGTAGGGTGTGCATAGGTAACTGTCTTGGCCGTTTTATGCCGATGTACTCTGTGTGGTGTAGACCAGGTGTGCATTGGTGGTCGATTCACATGGCTTCGCCAGTTGTGTGGATTAGACAGTTATCTGGCGCAAGTCTTGATCTGTCTCATCAAGAGTCCATAACTCCCCAGAGTGTGCAACTCGTGATCCTTCTCAGCACAAACAGTGCCGCAACGAAATCCAAACTTCATACGTCATGTAGTGAGTAGCTATGACGAAATGGGAAGTTTGGCCCGGACCTACTTCGCCCGTTTGCCCAATTTGGGGTCTTTCTTTACGAATCCACGGCCACGTAACACGCCTGAAAGGCTCAAGTACGTTAAGTACACAAAGAATTATTTTAGAGTTGTCGAACAGTTTTCTCTTTTGAGTGTCTCTCCGATAAGAGAAGAACAATGGCCACTGTTGAACCTAAAGCAAAGCGCTCCCCATTGTCGCCGGAGTGCAGTGTCTCTGTGGACGATATTCGTCAGTTTTTGCTCGATCTGGGCTCCTCATTTTCTTCTCTCGATTGTCGAGTGTTGGAAATTGTACCAAAATGGGACTGAGGAGCAGGTTGAAGCACATCTACTTCGAAATCGATCGGGTCTTCATGCCGTGTGCCAAGAGCTACATGTATTTCCATCAAATCTTGTAAATCTATATCCATGCCTATTCTTGCTATCCCGGAGTCACGAACTCTCCCAATACAAGCTTTTCAGACAACGAGCAGAGAAACTCTCTTCAAATAAAAAAATTCTGTGACTGTGAAATCAAAGCCGTTCTGCTGACACTGCTGTAATGCATAGCCCGTGGAGCAAACGTTTTACGTGACACTTCCGTGGCTTGCTTCAACTTTGTACTTGGAACCCCCGCCCGATGTACCAGATATGCACATGGCCCCATCCGCCCATGCTTGCCCGGGGACCGGATGACGCAATGTTTGGATTTCGTTGCGCCAGACCCCAACCTGGAGTTGCACACTCTGGGGGGTTATGGACTCTTGGTCTCATTCAGATCTTGTTCGCTATCGTTGCGATAAGAGAAAATCTGTGGGTGCACATCCAGTGCATTTGCAGATTTGTGTGCTTCTCTTGTGACGGACGTATACATGGTACATGATGTGTGTGTGCGTGCGCGCGCGTGTGTGTGTGTGAAGACCGGATTATCTATTCTCTGACCAAGATAATCTTTGGAGTAAGGAAGATCGTATTTTACATCTAGCTTGACGCTCTCATCGTGGTATGTCAATGTGTACTTTCCTGTTGGGATATGTTGCATTGAAGATCAGCAATGCAGTACAGGATTTTCTAGTTTTCTGCTCTTGTCTGTCTGTGTATGTGTGTGTGTGTGTGTGTGTCTCTCTCTCTCTCTCTCTCTCTCTCTCTCTCTCTCTCTCTCTCTCTCTCTCTCTCTCTCTCTCTCTCTCTCCACTGTTGCTGACTTCCAGAAAATTGTCAGCCATCTTGACCAAGAAGCTGAACAGCGGCAAACAGCTAACGTACTCCTTGAGAAGAAGCTGAACCTATTGCGAACGACGATCATTACGAAATTTGAAAATGTAAGCATTAGGTTTGACAGCATGAAGGAGCTTGTACATGTCACCCAGATCTGGGTAGCTACAGTGCTGCTCAATGAAATCTGATTAGGTGAGTGCAGTTTGCCCGTGCACCAGTGCACAGCCCACTATTCACAGGCCTGAGACTACACAGCGCCCGGCGTGACATTGCTGGCATTGACTCGCATGATCAGATTTATTTCAGCAGCACTGTAGAAGACCGATGTTTGTTGGGGTTCTGCTTCTTGGTTTATGTTAGTATGTGCAATGTGTAAACTTGCCAGAGATTCTCGAGAGTACAGTGTTGGCAGGACTGGTGTTGCACCCCCCCCCCCCCTTCTCACACACACACACACACATTCTATCTTTTTGTCTTTATCTCTCTCTCACTCTCTCTCTATCTCACACTCACTCTCTCTCTCTATCTCTCTCTCGTCTGCAGGTATCGTTACCTGACTCTGGACTTGTAGCTGTTCCAACCTCCGTTGATATGTACATGAAGAAGTTACACAGCATGCTAGTGGACCCGGCTCAGGCCAGTAGCAATGAAGGATTTCTGCTCAAGGTCAAGGAGATTATGGCAAGCATTGACCTTGAAGGGTGAGTTTCCCTGAGTAGCACACACACTCACACTGTTTGAATTTATCATGTAATCTTCGGATATCTAGAACTCGGGGAATTGGATTTGTTCATGTACTTCATTAGGGGCCATCCCGCATTATCAGTTGTAGTCTTCGAGGTGCTGAGTCGGATGGTCTTGGTCCGAGGAAGCTGAGATGCTCCCTTCCTCCTTTATTCCCAATCGAACTCGCCACTTCCACTGAAATTGGGTGACTGCGCCCTACTAGATGGGGATTTGTATGCAACATGTCACTAAAAGCGCCATTTCGCTCTTATAAAGTACGGACGACCGCGATTGGCCCATAGTAAAATTCCGTAAATAAGCCCACCCTAAATAACGCCCATGTCCGATAAGGCCACACGTTTTTATATCTATGTTTCTCGTCACCCGCGCGCATACGATTCAGGAGTCTGGAGGAAAAAAGAAAAAAAAAGTGCTGCACTGACTGTGCATGTGGGGACCAGCACACTCATGCACATGTACATAATGTGGCCTGGCCTACGCGACACATGATGCGAGGTCACCAATTATTGTGCGCAATCTAGCTGCACATGCACAGATTGTGACAGAAGCTCCTACCACATACTAGTTGCAAACTGTGCATGGTGTATTGCATGGTGTATTGGTGGATTTTAGTGTGAACAAAGGTCTAATAAGCTTTTTTTATTTTTCGGTCATTTTTTATTTTTTTTCCACCTCTCGCATACGTTTTTAGATTTTCAGGTGACGAGAAACATAGAAATAAAAACGTGTGGCCTAATAAGCCCAGTGTTAGGCGGTGTACACTTCAAGTCCGTTTTAGCGCCCATGCTCGAAATAAGCCCAGGGCGTAAAGTGGACTCAAAATGACCAGCGCGCGAGCGTGCGTTCGCGTACAAACTAATTTCAGGGTCATCTAGTTTTCTGCCTTACCTGCTTCAGCGTCACGACGTTTTCAACCATGCCGGTACCTGTTGTGCCTTGTACTTACCATAGCAAGTGGTTTACCTATCAAATCTGTAATTTATCGCTACATTCTTGGTTACGACCAAATTTCCAGCTATGGTTTTATGTACCTGTACCGCGCTCAGTGTGAATGGTGGTTCACTGAAACTAGTGGGTTGCTGATTGATTGATCTTCTGCATATTGCGTCCGAAATAACGCCCATGCCCTAATATACGCCCGGTTTGACGCTCTGCAAAGTATACGCTCGGGGCTTATTAACGGAATTTTACGGTATGTAGTAGTCTTTTGGAGTCGACTGGTTTTGGTCCGAAAAGGCTGCGATGCAGCGTCGGCCCTTATTCCTAATCGAACACGGTTGAGTAAGCGGTCACGTGCTCATGCGTACACCAGTCGCCTGGTCACCGTGCCTGCAGGCTACAACTTTCACACGAAGGTTCAACTCGAGTGAGGCTAGGGTGATCAGGTGACTGGTGTATGCACGAGCACCTGACCACTACGGTATATTGACTAGACAGCAGCTAGAATCGATGGATTTTTCAGCTATCATTAAAAAAACGAAACTCTCCTCAACCCAGTGAGAAGTAACCCACCCGTAACATAATTATGTCAGTGTGTGTGTGTGTGTGTGTGTGTGTGTGTGTGTGTGTGTGTGTGTGTGTGTGTGTGTGTGTGTGTGTATGCGTGTGTGTATGCGTGTGTGTGTGTGTATGTATGATTGTGCGTGTGTGTGTGCCAGCTAGTTCGGTTGGTGGGTACACTTATGCCTGATTGTGTTGGGCCTGTTGCCAACAGGCTCGGCTGTATGATGGTGTATTGTTGTATCTGCCACCTTTGTTGGTTTCAGGGTTCATATACTTTCTATTTGAAGTATACATACCTGTTAACCATGGACTGCTTCTGGCTAGATTAACTCTTGTGTAATCAATGCTGCTAGTGACGCTTATATCAGATCCACTCTGATTTAGCCACCCACACTAGTAGCAAGTATTACCTTCACTGGGGGCAGGGGTAACTGCAGTTGGATCCCGGGACGGATACCCTGATGCCGTCAATCATTTTTTCTGCACCTTGTCCTCACCCACTTACTGAGGTGTGGTGAGCCCATAAGTGGGATCATTTTCACCCAGAGTTTTGGGGATTTCAGGGGATGTCGGCCGTCGGGTGGTTCAATAGCCAATTGAGTCATCTTTCCAAGATTCCTTTTGAGTCTCTCTCCCCTCTCCCGGGGAGACCAACGTGACCAGTTTTGGCAGTGAGCAACAAGTACAAGTGTGTGTGTGCGTGTGTGTGTATGATCGTGTGTGTGTGTGCGTGTCCATCCTCGTGGGTGAACCTCTTTGCTTCTTTACAGAATGTTTAGTGGAGTTAGCCAAGAACAGCTTGCAGCCGCTTCAAAGCCGTAATGCTAGTCTTGGCACCCGTATCTGCCTATGCAGATGCCCTTCCTGTTGCTACCCACTTAATCTTGTAGCGCTACTTTCAGAGTACATGTTTGAGTTTGCCGTGAGTATGGTACAATTCAATATCCGTGACCCTTGTATCTTGTTTTTATCCAGGCCCTCTACCCTCTCTCCCTCCACTGTGTTTTAAGCCACCTTTTATTATCTATTTTTTACTTCTTTTGTTTTAGACTGTGTTTGGTGCATGCTCCTGCTGTGATGTCTCCACATTATCTAGTTTTACTTTGAAAGTGTAATGGTAACCTGTACTTAAACACACTAAACACACAGCCGTCACTCTTCGTAGGACTACTATTACCTAGGTCCAGGGGCACTGCACTTTGCCACTACCCCTACACTCTGCTACTATGAACAGTGCTATTATGCCGCCATGAGTTACAACACCACAACACACACGCACTTTGAATTATATATTTACACATGATTGTTTTGCAACCTTTCTGCTGTGACTATTATGTCAATGGTGATTATGTCAATGGTTAGGTTTTTTTTAGTTTTTGTAATCCAAGTGATTGATTGCCTTGCAGCAACAAGTTTAGCAGCTACACATTGGCTCACTCACTCTCACTCTCTCACACACACACGCATACATTCTCAATTACTTGCTCAGCAATATGTACAGGCTACATGTGATGAGGTTGATATGCACTTGTACTCGTAGATGGTCACATAACAGCAGAAGATACTACATACTACTACTTACTGCTAACTACTGTGCTTAAGATTTTCATATAACCATACTACATCTACCGTGTGTACTTGAAAAAGGGATTCTGGCACAACTGTTGTTCATCAAGTCTGTTCAAAGTGTTCATAGTACTAGTAGTACTGTCTTGGTTGCTTGTGGGAAATACCAGTGCTGGTAATTAGTATGGTAGCCTTCCTGGTGTTGGTTAGTAACCGCTGTGCAGGTAGATGGGGTGTTCTCTCGCCTTGGCAGCTGCACGCTCGATCACCAGCCGTCTTCGGAGAACAGATCAGCCTTCCTTGCCTGATACATCTGCTCAAAGTCTTCTCCCAAGCGCTTTACATCGCCATCATCTCGCAGCACGCCCTGTAATGGCGAAGAGCAGACACAAATATAATTTACAGTAGAGTCATAGTGATTACATGACTGTATATGACTGTAGTAGCAAGAGTACATAAGCCGTACTCTTGCTAGTACTTGAATACAGCACGTCAATGCATGCGAATATTCTTAGAAGCAGAAACACGATCTGCGCTGGATCCCTATTTTCCTGTACTGTCACTGTACCGTCAGACTTCTTGCACCATTCATAATTACACCAAGACCATGCAGAGGCGATGACCAGTCATGCACACAGGTACACCATGCTGCCAACACTACAACGCACCTCATTGGCCTCACAGCACACAACAACGCACCTCACAGCCCACTACAACGCACCTCACAGCACTCAACAAAGATTGGTCCAATACAGCTTTCACTATGAACATGTAAGTTACTTGCTTGAGGCCGAGCCAAAGCTGGAAGCCTGTGCACGAGGATGGAATGTGTTACTATGGTAACCTTTGTGAACATGCATGTCAAAGCAATTTGATTGGGTGCGAGGGCCATGGATAGGGCTTGAAAGTGCTACGTCACAGCATAGCAACAATTTCAAAAATTCAAAAACTGGATACACTTGGATCCAGTTTTTGTACGGATCCAAGCACATTTCAAGCCGTCTTACTCACCGCAAGGTGTTGTAGCCAGTGAAACTGACTGGTTTGGCTACTGGGGGCGGGGTTACAACTGGTGGCGAAGTAAAAGTCACCCCTGCATACAACATGAGTGGGTTGCTATGCACCCACATACTTAGGCAATAGCAAAGTCACACCTTAGTGGATCCAAAATAGAAATCTGATGTTAACGTCATAACTTTCAAGCCCTATTACGCCAGGGCTCAAATCACATTCTACATGTCTCACCTTCGGAAGATATCCAAGGAGTTTGGACGCATGCTCCTGCAGCAGTTTCTGTCTCTCCTCCTCCACTATACGCTGAATGTTAGCCTGGTGTTCTTGTTCGGCAAGCAGTCTCTCCTGCTCAGCAACCTGCAACAGAGACAGACAGACAGACAGACAGACAGACAGACAGACAGACAGACAGACAGACAGACAGACAGACAGGCAGAGATGTGATGAATATTTGGGAAGAATATCAATTATAAGTGGATAAGAATTCATGAAACAAACAAGTGACAATTGTCCACTGCATTCCATCCGGCAATCAGCACACCTGCTATACCAGTACGTGAGATCTGGAACGCCGTATGTTGATGAATGCATATGCACACACACACGCGCACACACACACACACACACACACACACACACACACACACACACACACACACACACACACACAGCACAACCATGCATGCACACACACACACACACACGCCGCGTGACCACTTGTGCTGGGATTGCACCATTCAACAGCTTGCAAGGCTGAAGAATTGACCGTCACTATTCAGCCTGGTCTACACCATACGGCTATTTTGAAGTGACTTTTTTCTGGCCAGTGAATCCCTATTTTGGTCTTTTTTTTCCCGCACACACATCACACCACATACTCCGGCATGCACTGGCTGTTGGTAACCACCCAGGAGAATGAAAGAAAAGTCAGGAAGAGTCCGAGAAAGAGAAGAAAGACGTGTGTGACCATAATCGTCGGGAATCGAACCCGCAACCTATCGATTGGAAATCGCTGCACATACCACTGCACCATATGGGACACACACACACACACACACACACACACACGCACACACACACACATGCATGCACACACACATGCATGCACACACACACATGCATGCACACACACACATGCATGCACACACACACATGCATGCACCCACACACACATGCATGCACACAAACACACACACACACACACACACACACACACAGTGCACGCACACTGCAAAACGCATGCACACTGCACAGCAGCACATGTAGCCTTTGCAGCAAGCCTACCTTGTCACGAGCAAGCTGTTCTTGTCTGTCTTCGATCATCTTCTGCACAGCTCTGGTATGTTCCTGCTGTCTCATGCGTCTCCTCTGCGCTGACATCTGCTCAATACGATCATCTTCAGCCAATTTAGCCATCATCTGAACATGGTATGCGGCATGGCATGATGCAGCATGATACGGCATGGTACAGAATGACACAGCAAGGTACAGCATGGCACGGCATGGTACATCTTCCATCTTCGTTGCCATTATCGTGCCTCACACTCAGAATCCGTCAAGGCGAAAAGACATGTATTTCCTACGCATGCACAATATGAATGATGACAGTGAAAGGAGTCGTAATATTACTACTTGTAGACATAGCACCAACCTGTCGACGGAACTCGTCCTCCTCTTCCCTCATGGCCTGCTTCTGCTGGTCCCTCCAGGCCAACTGGTTGCTGTGAGCTCGTTGCAGGTCAAGACGCTGACGAATACGAGCCTCCAGGTCACTCTGAGACCCCAACATGAGACAAAGCAGCACCGAAACTTGATACGACCAGAGGACATTGGATTTGGGCAGCATGATAGAGCATAATGAAAGCATGCTGTTTGGAACTACACTGATCACATGCCGCTCGGTTCTGAGCCGATAGTCTTGGATACTGGAGAGATGGGAACTGCACATGCTGTATTCATTCCCGGTTAGCTATCCGGCAACCATGCAAGATGTCAATAGTCATTTTAACACTTTGAAATGTGAGTTTACGGCCGAAGATTGCAAAGTGACTCTGACACTCTCTTACCCTCTCCTTGTGCCGGTCACGTTCTTCTTGCTCTTCCAAGTCCAGTTCCAATCGAATTCTGGAGCATAGAAGTGCACACATGAACACACAGTCATACACACAGTCACAGAGAGAGAGAGAGAGAGAGAGAGAGAGAGAGAGAGAGAGAGAGAGAGAGAGAGAGAGAGAGAGAGAGAGAGAGAGAGAGAGAGAGAGAGAGAGAGAGAGAGAGAGAGAGAGAGAGAGAGAGAGAGAGAAAGTGAGAGAGAGAGAGAGAAAGTGAGAGAGAGAGAGAGCCTAGAGAGAGAGAGAGAAAGAGAGAGACAGAGACAGACAGAGAGAGAGAGAGAGAGATAGAGGGAGGGGGGGGGGGGTAAACAAAGAAAACAGAGAGATACACCTCTTTGAAACCATACGTGGAATGATACTTCTCCGTGCTTGATACTATGCACTGTAATAGCAGACTGGTAGTGGGAATATAATAATTATTATGACCGGTTGTCTCTAACAAACCCTCACCTTTCCAGCTCCTCCGCTTCTTGTTGCTTGAGAGCCACACCACTTGCAATCTGTTGTATCACGCAATGTACAACAGCAAAGTGACCAAAACCAGCAATATTGCTCACTCTGCTCAAGCTGCCCAGGTTGTGCGGCTCTCGTCCCCGGATGCGCAGAATACCGTTTCAAACCCAGTTTGTTGGAAGATCGCAGCCGTGTGTCTAGACCGTCAGAACAGTGGACGCGTGTATATGTGCGGCCTCCGAGGGCCTGGGTTTGATTGACTCAGGGCATAGGCACAGCACTAGAAGTCACAACACTCTTGACTGGCCAGGACTAGGAGTGTCCGTCAAGGCACACCAATGCTGGTAGATCACACGCAAACCGGCATTGATGCAAGATGCTGTGACCATACGTTCTAGACACAGTAACTTGCATCGCCATACTCAACTTACATCATACCAACCACCGCAGCTAACACCAAATAGATTCAACCTGTATCAATGGTATGCTGCATGTAGCTAGCTATTGTCATTGGCGCATGCCTCAAATCCACAGCACACCTGTACGCCAATCAGGATGCATGCGTCAGACTTACGTCCATCTGAACCTTAGCCATCGCCTCCTCTCTTTCACGCTGTCTGTCTTGACGCGCCCGCTCGCGCGTCTGCTGCTGGTTGGCAAACTCCAAGATTTTGCGGTTCTCTTCTTCCATGCGCTGCTTCTCCATCTCACGCCACTATGTGTCGGGTAGAACAAGGGACAACAGAGCAGATCTGATGCTATCAGCATACATTGAATGTCACTGCCTTTGGACAATCCTTTAAAAAAATAGATATCAAATCAATCAATCAATCAACCTCAAGTCCTATTGTGATCCCTGACAGCGTACTAGCAGCTAGTGTACCTAACACCCACCCACCCATAAAGTAAGTAACCTTGAAGAAATTTTAGAATGCAATGCATAATAATTATTTGCACACTGTGTTTTACCGCTAAATACCCTAAGCTAGACATCCACAGTCACTGAGCAGATGCCGTAGTATTGAAAGTATTGCCGGAACGTACAGTGAAATCTGTCTTAGACGCCCTCTCAAGGGACCTTCAAAACGTGGTCTCTGTTACCAGGTGGTCAGGCTCCTTATCCAGGGTCATTTGACTGGAATTAGCATCGCCATATTTGGTCATGGTTGCAGTGGTCTTCAGGGACAGGTGGTTGCCTTATCCGAGTGGTCACCCGAGCTGACAGGATTTACTGTACACGTAAGTGACCAACTCACCTCGTCACGTTTCTCAAGGAAGTCGCGCACATACTGCTGCGTTGCTTGCTTCTTCTCCATATCACGTTGCCGCTCCCTGCATCACGGCCAGAGCAACAGAGTAACTGAGTACCCACACAATGTCAGTTGTTGCTACAGTACAGCCTCGGACTACGACCTGGGTGCACATTAGAGTATGGGGCTGGCATGGTGAACAGTGCCCGGCAGACAGTGAGCCAGCTAAAAGAAATCTTTGACAATCTTTTCATCGAGCCTACCTGTCCTTGATAGTTTTATCTTATTAGCTGATTCACTTTGCTGATGCAGCACTGGGTTTGTGTATTGAAGCCACTACTTCCACAGACAGTGCCCCCCCCCCCCAACATTGCCCCTGGACCCTTGACGGAAAAGACTCGCGGCACCGTGAGTGGGAGACCGACTAGTTTAATAGAATTAGCCCTGACACAGCAGTCAATTACAGTACATGTACCTCTGGTCTTCCTCGTAGATCTTGCGTACGATCTCATCAATCATCAACTTCTCCTTCAAGAACTCCTCATACGCCTCCTGGCGCTTTTGCTCCTACACAAACACACATACGTATACACAGAACAACAAGGACAAGCAAGGCTAGTTCGTCGCTACTCAGAGTTTCATGCTTACATTGTAGTTACTGCTTACGCAATCATTAGGAAATAATCAGACATACGTAATACACATGGGCACCTGTTGCTATCATGGTCAATGCCACCCAATCCGGGGCTCAACATTGCGAACAGTCCTGATTGAATCATGGGTCGCCCAGCACACCTAGGATGGGCATCGTTGACACGGTCAACAAATCACCATCCCGCGGCGGCCATGTACAGCACAAATGGGGGTGCAGTACTAGAGTACAAAATAGTGGTAGCGACTTCGGTGATGATTTGTTAGGAAAGGGTTTGCTCCCCACACTACATATACTAGCGTTCACCACTCCTGCTTATTCAGTGTCACAATAACAAACACCAAAGCAGCGTGTAAAATGACATACTCACGTCATGAGTGAGATCACTATAATTATAATGTACGATTTTAAAAGCATCCACCTGGATCTTGATAGAATGATTCAGATCCTATACATATAAATACAGCAGACTATCACACATGTCTGGTTAGAGACTCTCGGCACATAGTAACGTTATTATACCAGTGGCTGACTGGCCGTACCTGCTCATCCAGCTGTTTCTCCAAGTCCTGTTGATAGCGCACAGATTCCTCCCAACCCTCCTTCTCTGCCTGCCTGGCGCGCTCTTCAGCCATCTCATATTCCTCACGCAGAATCCGAGAGGTTTCATCTTCCAAACGCTTAGCAGAGAAGAACCAAAACCAAGCAGAGAAAATCAAACCAAGCAGAGACCAGAGACCAGTCAATGAGAGTACACTGCATTGAATCAGCAGGCACGGCAACACTGACCATGACAGGCATCAACATAGACTACATGGGACTTGTGTAGGCACACCCGCCGCCTCACTTACGATTTCCCGGTTTCAATGTTACCTGGCCTACAAAGCCGCAGTGCGTACAACACCTCTTCTCGACTACGGTTATACCTTTTCTTCTTGTAGCAGTCGCTGTCTTTCAGCAAGCTGGGCAGCCCGCTCCTTGCTAGTGTACGCAGCTTTCAGCTTGCTCTCCAGTTCCCGCAATTCCAGGCTAGACGCCCCGGCAAGCATGAACGAGAAAACCGGAAAACACATGCACCCACATAGCAAATGAAAAGTAGCAACAGGTTGTGGAGTAGTGCTCAACTTGAAATGCCGTGGTTGGATGCAAAGCAGTCGCACACACAGGAGACAAAAGCTCGGGATTTATTAGTTGTCACTCAAAGTTTCATGTCTATGCCCCCCCCCCCCCCCCAACCCCCTCCAACTCTGAGTAGCGAATACTCCTGAGCATTTTTTTTGTCTTCTACATGTCTGAAGAGCTCGTGAGTGGACAACTGACTAAAAGCTAATGACGTGCATGTTAACAAGTCTACCATCAAGGAAATGGGACGTTCGACATTCCGAGCACAACAATGGACGCTGGCCGGACTCAGACTGTCACAATCAAACTGCTCAAATGATTTATAACTCCATGTACAATGCCCGGTTTTTACAGGATCAAGTCCTCAGAATCTAGATGCATCCGAACAGGTATATGAACCTACATGTCACATGATCTACTAATGGGCATGCTTCTGTACATGATCGCTGTGACCTCCACCATGCATCCTGGCATACTGTGTAACATTACCTGGTGTCCCGGATCTGCTGCCTAAGACGAACGTCCCTCTCCTTCTCCCACTTGATGCGCTTCATTTCCTGTCATGCACGCGGCAATATACAGAGGCACACCAACAGAAAACCAATGGCAGCAGCAGCATGTGCAGTCAAACTATTACAGGCAGCAGGACAAAAAGCAGTGTACAGATCTGTCAACCCATAACTAACATATAACATAACACCCACATCCACATATTCCAAAGGGGAAACGTATGCCATTCAACACCACAGCAAAACGCCGGTGGCTTTTATAGACCCTCCTTCCCCAGTACAGGGGTGTCGGACACGCCACGGCCACTACGGTATTGACCGTATCGCTTTTTGCCCCAGGTACCCCATGAATCAAAAAAATGCGCTGATTTGGGCTCTAAACGTTGATGTTTCTCAGAGGAACCACCCTAACCACACAAGTAAATTGTACTTCAGGTGGTTGACCGTACCAACCTAAAATACCTTCCGACGCCCCTGCAGTAGAATATAAACCATCCACAATGTGACCAAGCCAGGCCGTCGGTAGGGAGTTGCCGGTCCTAGAGTGTTGACTGACCATAGACCTAAACTAATGCTAAGGTGTACAGGTACTGGCGCTGGGGCTCAGTGAAACGACAAGCTCTTTCAGCCGACGGAACGCATCCTGCTGCGGCAAGTCCCAGAATCAATCAGTGTCGGCGTGCAGACCAACTTACCTCAGCCAGCCTCTCCTCCTGGTCTTGTTGCTGGTGATGTAACTGCCTCTGCTGCTCAGCCTGCAGTACACGCACCGTACACATACGCATGCACGCACACACATGCAGCACCGGCACACCATTTACCACACACACACACACACACACACACACACACACACACACACACACACACACACACACACACACACACACACACACACACACATGCACACACACATGCACACACACACGCACACACACACGCACACACACACACACACACACACACACACACACACACACAGGAAGCCAGGGACACTGTATTACTAAAATACCTGACCTGTATGGTATCCCAGTCCCTGTGTTGCTAACTCTACAATGCATTTGTTGTGCCTTGCCTGTCCCTGCCCAGAGGCCGCTGTGCAGCTATGGATCCTACGATTGCTTGTTCAATTGTTCTTACCAAGACTTGTTATGTATTAATAAGCTATTTTACTCTTGCCAGAGGCTATCCGTGGACCCTTGGTCTTACCATTTCCAGTCGTCTGTTCATTTCCACTTCACGTGTCTGCTGGGCCATGAAGCGGTCCAAGCGCTTCGCTTCCACACGGTCATCGCTCAGCGCATTCGCTGCCAACACGCGCTCCTGGGCCAGCATTCTCGTGTGAGCGGTACGCTCGTATTCCTTCTTCCTGTCCTCCGTACGTCGCTTGTCTTCCATACTGCGATTCCATTGAGTTCGTCTTGTCAGCGCCTACATTACAAACACGTAGTACAGGCCAAGTACATGTAAGTTAGGAGGATAGACCACAGTTAAAAAATAAGTTCTTTCATCTGCTTACCATTTTGTTCAGCTACTCTAAACGAAACGTGCAATGCAGTGGTGCTGCTAGCGGCCGTTGTGTCCTTTCCAGCTTGCACAGCCGCTCCTGTACGGCGATGCTGCCGGTTTGAAGACAAGACCTAGCGAGTAATGTTCCAAGAAACGAGAAGAGCCGCAGAAAATGAAGGTCGGACGGTCATGCATTTGTAGGTGATGATAGTCGCGCTTCTGACGTTCTGTGTGTCAGACCACAGACAGTCGATTCATGCGATTGGAGAAGTAAAGAGAAAAGCGAGGAGAAGAGCTAGCTGTTGAGTACAGTCCCAGTGTTGTGTTCGGTCGCGGTAGCAGCGTTTGAACGTCGCTCCTGACAACAAGCAGGCCAAGCAACGACGCAAGTCTGTGATGAGTGATGCGAAAGTAGAGTAAGTATTTTACTACTTGAGCTGCATGCGCATAATATGCATGATAATTTTTTATAGTGCGGTACGGTACTTGTACGGGGCGGAAAGCTACGTCAGCGCTGATCGAATGCACCTGCAAAGACGTGAACTGTGAAGTCAACAACGCAACGAAGCCAAGCTTCAAGAGATTTTTTTGTATCTGGATGTTTCCGAACACACGTCAATCGTGGCAACCCAACCTTTCTTGTCTTTTGCATTTTCAGCTGGCAGGGCTGACAACGGATAGAGAAGGCTCGGGGCAAAAAGAATGTTCTGAGACTCAGTCTAGGCCACGATTTCACTTGCTGTGTTGTTGAAGACTGTTCACGTCTCCTAATTTTTGTGGCAACACAAGTATCAATATGAGTGCAGAATCTTCCGACGATGAATTTTTTGATGCTGAGTCAGATCCAGCATCTGAAACTGATAGGTAAAGAGGAGGTGTGAAGCTTTTGTTTTCGCCTTCCCAGAAGTCATGGGTATTTGCTTCTCTGTGTGATTTTGCTTGCAGCAAGCCAGGGCCTGACCTTGCACTTTGCTCTGATAAGGTACAAATTGGCGTAGCATTTTTTGTTGTATGCTTGTGAACATTACATACAGGACTTTGTGGATAGGGGTGTGTTGGATTGATTGTTTCTGTAAGATGGACAAGTAGAGGTAATAGTAATGAATGGGGACGATGGTCTGTTATGACTGTTCTCCTTCGGACAAGAGCTACCGGCAGGATTCAAAGTTCTCAATATTTCTTTTATTTCTAAAAGAAAGTCGCAGGTTTCATGAGTCGCTCGACAACTTGTACTGTCGTTAGTTGTGGTGTTGTTCCGTGTGTATATTTGGCTTTGGAATGATAAATTGGTGAGCAAGAATATAAAACATGTATAGGGACATGTGGGGAAATTCCACTACAGCTCTGAAGCCAGCTCACGGTGTTTGGAGACCTATTTATTTTTGTCTTTTTGGAATCCTGTTGAAAAGGAGTGCTCAGCCAACTGCTTCTTGTTTTTCTCCATGGCATAGTAAATTGGAGATACATGTATGTGGCATGAGTACAATGAGTCAACCATGAGCTACGACATGGTGTCTGTATTTTTTATTGTAATATTTAAACTACCGCAATGTCGCGTATAAAAGAAACCAGGCCTCTGTACGAGACAGGCTTCTATACAAGATACTACATTATGTGAATTAGCTGGGGTCGATAAGTGTGGAATGCAAGGTCATGTGACATTAGGCACTGCACTTTGCTGGCCTCTTCCAACAAGACGGTGTACCATCTGTAGCACACGTGTGCATAAGTACTGCTGTAGTGGTGGTTGCGTTTCACTAGTTGCAAAAGTCTGTTTTCCTAAGCATGTGTGCAGTGCAGCTCCTGGCCAGGCAGGGTACAGGGGCAATTACTATGACTGCGGTGGTTTTAACTTAAACTGTCTACAATGTATACGTAATAACTGCATGACTGATATTTCCTTGCATTGAGAGATGATTCTAGTATGGGCACAGATTCCACTCGTGCCTTACCTGTGATTGTACAGTAAACAACAGAACAAAACATTTACCGTATGTTGTAGAACAAAACGGTACTGTTGTCATCCATGGTGTTTGTTGAGTAAACATGTCAGTATTCGGCTACTACCGCGGTAATAGATTGCCTGCCTTTGGAGGCTATTTTACATCAACTACCACTTGAATGCCTTTGGATGCCGGTCAATTAATTACTGATCCAACTTCACATTCCTAAAAAGGCTGATTTTGCACTGAGCAAGGTTGATCATAAGACAGGTTTTGAGAGCAAATCCCATATATGGGAGACCGCTTAGTTCCATTTCCTGTAGGCTGTACTGTTATTTTGGCAATCTCTGTAGAGAAACCATGCACCTAAAATTGGACTATCCCTGAAAGGGGAGATGGGAGATGCCAGGCACTTGATTCTAGGTTACACCTCAAGTCCCTCAGGCTTCTGACAATGACGTTTTGTTATGCCTAGCCCTAGAACCACATGTTATACAGTACATGTAGATTGAAAGACCACTGGAGGGCCTAATTCAGATATGGCTGGTTTTTGGAGGTGAAAGCACTCACACATGGGAAGATTTTGTTCTCATGACGATTGTTGAAATCCATTAGTACATACAGTGATGAGTGTTTTTGAACACGAAACTCGGAGTAATGAGAAAGCTTTTTGGTCTCTGTTGTTCTGCCTTGTGTACATACAGTACATATACATGTGCTCAATCTACTGTAAAACCGGAAAGTCTAACGAGTCACAAAGTCTAACGTTTTAACGACCAATTATTTTTCGTTATTTGAAAAACACGTTATCGTTAGATGTCTGTGTAAAGATGCGCATACAGATGGATGGCCAGGTAGCCATTGCTAAACTTTCTGCACGTATTAAATCATGCCAAAATTACAAAAAAACGTTTAAATTTGTGGTCGTTAGACTTTCCGGTTTTCCAGTACATGTTTGTTTAGTGTAAACGTTATGTACAAATAACATTTAGCACTGGCAAGTTGCCAGAGTACTGTGCATGTAATGGTATAATGTGTGTGAATTCGCATTTGGTGATCTAAAGATGCAGTGAAGTCGGTTCCTCCACAAACTCCACGGTCAGAGCCATGTGCGGCCACGTGTTGGTCAACAGCATTCCAGGATCCAAGATGATAAACGTCTTGTGAACACCTATTTAGTATTTACGTCCTAGTCCGAAGCGTCCCTGGTATGATAAACTCCATGTATTAAAGCAGGACCCAACGGGTACACAACTACAGTGCACTGGTATGATGTACAGTACAGGACATACTGCAGGTGCTAGTCTATACCTTGCATTGTACTGTGGTAGTGTACTGCACTGCCCAATGAGTGCTGTACTGTACTGCACTGCACTGCACTGCCAAGTGAGTGCTGTACTATTGTTATCCCCATCTCTCAGCACACCATGCATTGGAGATCAGAAATACTACAGCATTTAACATTGAATTATATCGGCACTGTATGATCAATGTTGCTTGTTGGCTGCAGACAGCAGATGGGAAGGCAGTAGTCGGTGGTGAAGTGACTGCAGTCGCTGAAGCCAGTGCAGATGCAACCTGCAGCACCAGTAGTGCTAGTGATGATGGAGCAGTAGTCGCCGCAGCTGCACAGCCACTGCCCGTTGTGAATGCATCCGGTACACCGGCCGCTGCTGCTACCATCAGTAATGCAGCTGAGGAGCCTGCTGAGGAGACTTCAGCTAGAGCAAGCACAGCATCAAGTAAGCCGCATGACGATGCTACTGCTCCTGCTACCGCTGCTACTACTCCTGCTGCTGCTGGCAGTGATCAAGTTGATGGTGCCGTGATGAGCTCGGTGCGAGGACTTGTTGCACCGTCTTCGCCGAAAACACAAGAAGCGGCACAAGTCAAGCCCGTGGACTCTCCTCCTGACACAGCCACAGGACAGACTGCGAAGAACACCGCTGCTCCCGGACTCACCGCTGCAACATGTGCCTCTTCCGTGCCAGCATGCGGCTCACCAGCTGCCAGCGGTCCACGTAGACCTCCGCCTCCGAAGATAGCACCGTACCGTGGGACTAGGTCAGGCTCCTTGAAGTCCGACACTGGCATCACCACCAGCACCACACAGGTATGGGATGTGCATGTTGGGGTGCACACTGTTAGTCTAGGGGTGGAGGCTAGTCCAATGTCTGTATGGTATGTGATGGCTTGATGAGAGTGTGTACCCCCCTCACACACGCACATTCAGAGTGTTCAAGTCGGCATTGGGTTGAGTCGCAGCGAAATTCAAACCTCCAAAGGCAGCCAGCTACTAACAAGATGTAGTGGGCTGTACAGCTTTGCAGGCGGATTCTTAACTGTTCTGTATGCCAAGCGTTGATCATGCAGACTTGTGTACCACCATGTAGTCATGTACTACTGACGTAGGATGTATCAATGTCGCTGTGCAACGTGCCCCAATGCCGAAGTTGTTAGTCGCACACTCTGGGGATCATGTACTCTTGTTTCTAAGTGTTTAATGGGTGTATGTGCGTGTGTGCATGTGTATGTGTGTGCGCATGTGTGTGTGTGTATGTGTATGTGTATCTGTGCAATACAGGGTACACACACAGAGGCTACGAATGGCTCTGCTGGTAGTGGTGACATTGGAATGACGGAGGTGGCCACATCGAGTGCTGCCGGCATCACAACACAAGGCGAAGCCACCCAGTCGCAAAACACGCACCAAGAAGAAGACTTTGTCAGTCGGTACGCTGCGGGTGTGAACACCACGTCCTCTAATCACTTCAATTTCGTTGCTGCGGAGGATAAAGCGCCGGGTGTGGTCACACCTGTCACCAGTGTGACCAAGCTGGATGATCCCATCTCGGATACGGTAAGAGGAGAGTTTGATTCAGTGTGTGTGTGCATGCGTGTGTGTGTGTGGATCCCGGGACGGATACCTGATGCCGTCAATCCTTTTTCTGCACCTTGTCCTCGCCCACTTACTGAGGTGTGGTGAGCCCAAAAGTGGGATCATTTTCAAGTCCACCCAGAGTTTTGGGGATTTCAGGGGGTGTCGGCCGTTGGGCGGTTCAATAACCAATTGAGTCATCTTTCTAAGATTCCTTTTGAGTCTCTCTCCCCTCTCCCGGGGGGACTCACGTGACCAATTTTGGCAGTGAGCAACAAGTACAGTAAGTGTGTGTGTCTATGCCTCTCTCTCTCTTTCTCTCTCTTTCTTTCTTTCACAATATTGTCTGCATGTTTTTTTGTGCAGGAAATTTTGGAAGGCACCCTTGTGAAGAACTTGGACACTGGTGAATCTATTCCACTGAGTGAGGCCGAGAAGTGCATACCAAACGGTGTGAATCCTCTAGCCTTGCACATCATGAGATTAACATCAGAGTTTGTTGGGTAAGTAAATGTCAAAGTGATTTTGACATGGTCTGAAGAAGAGTAGGCCTGCTGTAATGCCCTGGTGTCTTCTGCTATGTGGACGGTTGATAGGTATGCTGACTACGGCTCGGTTTGTGATTTGCTGTCTATGTCTATGGCCCTGTTTAATCTTGATGTGCCACAGTGTATAGCATAGGCACATCATGTGGCTGGGCAAGAGCGCTTTAATGGTGACCTGACCCAGGCTATGTCCGTGTTCTGTATATGTTGTGTGCACAGCGCTGAACCGGAGAGTGAGGATCCAAACAGTCGCGAATCAACGGCGACTGTAGCTGCGGCACAAGCTGAAGCAGCTGCAAAAATAGTCAAGCAGAAGGGGTAAGGCGACCGTCGTATGCTAGCAGTCACCCCCAGGACCACAATTGAAACAAACCTCTCTCTCTCTCTCTCTCTCTCTCTCTCTCTCCAGGAAACTGGCGTTCAAAGCATTTAAGGGCAAGGTGAAGTCGGTCAAGAAGGCTCTCGAAGGTAATGTACCGTAACTCACCAGTCTCACTGTCACTATAAACTGTGTGGTGGTCAGGTGTGTTTGCTTGCACTGTGTTAATGACTCTACTCTGGATACACCTGCCGTAACAATCCCACCAGAGCTCCCCACCTCTCCAGAGCCTAAGGGCATGCAGTGATTTTGATGGTGTGTATCTGTGTCCATTGCCTTCACAGCTCACGGTGACAATGATGCGGATCCTGATTCAGAGAACAATGACTCTGTGCGCGTAAGTCTTGTGTGCCTGCTAGTGTGTATAGCATAATTATAGTAGCACCACCTGCGTCTGACTGTGCACACACTCTTGCTGTGTGCTGCAAGTATCCACTGTGTAGAGTGTTATCCATTGATCATTGTTGGTTGAGCTGAGCTGTGGGTTACTACTGCTGCTTTAGAAGAAAATTTGCATTCTCGCCGCACTGCAATCTGCTCATCCGCACAGCTAGTCTTATTCTGCATTACTGATGCTGTCTGATGCTCTTCTATTTTGTTGTGCAGTTCAAGGCGTCCAGTAGTCATCGCGGTCCACCGTTCGAGTATGACAATCTGACACTGCGGCAAGATTTGAGCAATGAACATACGGTGCGTATAAACTACGGAATAACACCAGAGACTATTAAATGAGATTTTTAGGGAGATAAAGCTATGAATTTGAACCCATAGTAATGTCAGTACTACTTGTAGTACCGTGATCCAAAGCTGATGCATATCAACTGCGTCTTGCGGACGAGTCTGCCCCTGCCACCACCTTCATACCCGGGTTCCGACATTAGCACTGTTCTCGTTGCTAACTGCTGTCCTAGGGCCTTGTTTCTGTATATCGTGTGCATGTATGCTGTATTCTTCTTCAAAGTTGTTGTATAACAGCGTGCTTGTTTTGCCTCGGTGTGTGCGTGTGTGTGTGTGTGTTTGTGGGATGTGTGTGTGTGTGCATGTGTGTGTATGTGGGATGGGTGTGTGTGTGTATGTGGGATGGGTGTGTGTATGTGGGATGGGTGTGTGTCTGTGTGTGTACATGGTGTGTCTGTGGGATGTGCGTATATAGGGCCCTGTGTGGACCATTCGCTTTTCGACAGATGGACGACTCATGGTAAGCGTGCTACTTCAGTTCACCTGTGTGATCGTGTGGCAAGTTGGATGTACATGTATGTCAATGTCCAGTACAGTAGTAGCGGCAGTAGCAGGGACTATGCGAGAACTGTCAACACGTCCGTATTTACAATTCACATTCTCAGTAATGGACTACTGTCTATGTTGCAGGTGTTAGTGGCCAGACGGTGCTACTATTTTGTCTGAAACTCCAATGTTTTCATATCACTATCACAGGAACAGATTTATTTGGTGACCCCGAAACTGTTTTTGTACATTCAGAATCAGCATGCAGTTTCTTGTTTGTCTACCGGTAACAATCTCTTTTAGGCTGCGTTTACACGACAACGCACGGCCAGTTTTCCGTTTTCAGTCCCGCATTTCTTTTTTCGTTTTCGTACGTTTACACGATCAAAGCCGATCCGAGGTGGTCTCCGTTTGTACCGTTTTCAAGCGTCTACACGAGAGCAAAGGATCCGCCAAAGTTCGTCATGTGCCAAGTGTTGCCGTGGAAGCACCAATCACACTCAAGTAATGGTTGAAAACAGGCACACGACAACACACGTCACATGACGAAAATTGTAAAAACAATTTTTTGAATTGTCGGATCCGTGTAAACGGCCGAAAACGAAACAAACGTGACGGAAAACGAGGCCAGCACACCGTTTCGACTGTTTACACACCCAAATTTATCCGGCAGAACATTTCCGTTTTCAAATTCTTCCACCTTGGCCAGCGTTTTGGTTTTCTTCCGTTTTGGTGTACAACTTTAACGTTTTGCTCCGCGTACCGTGTAAATGAACCATGGATCCGAAAGGATTTCGTTGCGTTTTCGCCCCCAGCGTTGTCGTGTAAACGCAGCCTTAGAAATGAAAATTGGTGAGAATGACAATGGGCCGTTTTGTACTGTTGTTCTTTTTATATCTGACAGGCATCAGCTGGACAAGATTTGATTGTGGTAAGCCTATAGATCCAGTATTGGGTTGCTTGTTTAAACAGATGATTTCATTATTCTCCATCATGGCTCTCTTCTTGCCATGCTGTTAACATCTCTCTGCATAGTTGATTGTTCTGTGCTGCTGTACACTTTGCATGCCGTATGAGACTTTTTGAACTAACTTATGTTGCCTGTTGCCTTTCGTCTGCCTTCTGCAGAGAGTCTGGGTTCTGAAGAAAGCCAAGGGAACGTTTGACGACATGCGTAACAAGTACTCATCTAAAGACGGTAAGGGTATGTGTGTACTTATTAGAAGTGTGTGTGGTGGTGGTGCGCGCGTGTGTGTGTGGGGGGGGGGGGGGGGGGGGGGTGGGGGGGTATTCCAGTGTCTGTGATGTGACAGTATTTTTTTTCCAACATGAGTACAATAGCCAGTCTTCCTCTGTCGGGGAAATGAGAGAGTTTATGCTTGTAGGCCCTCGCTTTGCCATGTCTCCAGCAGGCAGTGCTTGTACATGCAAGCAACCAGTCAACCCACCATGTATATTTAGATACGCACAAAAGGCTGCTGGACCCTAGCTCTGCCAGACCTACTAATTCTGTCAAAGCTCGGAAATCAAGGATCTCAGATCATTGTGTGTTTTTGTTTCATTTTTTGTTGGTAACGGCGGTTGTAGGCAGTGACAACAGCGACTCCTCACCAAGAGCAACTCCGGTATGTGTACACAGTAACCCTCTGCCCGCTCAATCCTGTCCTCGCCCTGGTGGAATTGCTTTCAGATCCTTCTCTTGCGTTCTCCCTTTCTACTTTGTCTGTGATCTTTCACACTCTGATCGTAGGTGTTGTGGGTCTGAGATGTCTCTGTGTTGTTGTGATTGCGCAGGCTGATGATGATTCTCTATTCGACTCCAAGCCATTCTGTGCGTATTCCGGTCACACGGCTGATATTCTGGATCTGGCGTGGTCAAAGGTAGGGTGTGTGTGCATAGGTAGGGGGGGGGGGGGTGCATAGCAAGAGAAGACTGTCCCTGTGTTTCTGGTGTTTTCTTGTTGTCGGTGCTGTCAGTGCTCTGCTGTTGTCGGTGGTGTCCGTGCTCTGCTGTTGTCGGTACTGTCAGTGCTCTGCTGTTGTCGGTACTGTCAGTGCTCTGCTGTTGTCGGTACTGTCAGTGCTCTGCTGTTGTTTGTGTTTGTCTTGTGTTTTAATTTGGAATTCTTCATTCGTCTGACGATAAAGACTGTGTGGACATCCTTCTCTGACTGACACTAATCTTGTGTCTGTGTGTGTGTGTGTGTGTGTGTGTGTATGTGAACGCATGTGTGTATGTCATGCCTGTTTGTTGTAGAATTACTTTCTTCTGTCAGCGTCCTTTGATAAGACGGTCCGGTAAGAGTGCCGCCTAAACTTGCACATCACTCTATCATGCTCTTATACACACACTGTTATGCTCACTTCCAGCAGCTCTCGCATGTCCAATCTAAAAGAAATTTTAATGTTTCCTTCTTACTCTCCTTTGCTCTGTGAACACAGTCCTTGTGTTTTATCTTGTTGATGATTTCACTTGTGTGTGTGTGTTTGTGTCTTCATTCAGGCTTTGGCATGTATCACGTCAGGAATGTCTGGCTTGCTTTCAGCACACCGAGTTCGTCACTGGAATTGCCTTCCATCCGCGGGTGAGCCAATACTACTGCTATCTTGCTTTTGAGCAAGCTTGCGTCTCAGTCACCGGTGCATTGTGTATGTATTCGTTAACCTGGACAAGACATTATGTCATAATGGATACTTGGCACGGTTGTTGTCACACCATGTAAGCAGCTGTGTGCATACTTCTGCTGATGGCCTGTGTTTTTGTATGCCTGTGTCTATTCACTACCCGTCTGTTCAGGATGATCGTTATTTCCTTAGCGGATCGCTCGACGCTCGCTTGCGCCTCTGGAATATTCCGGACAAGAAAGTTGCGCTGTGGAATGAAGTGGAGGGCTCAGGTATGTAGTTTGGCAGCCTGTGCTGCTCCTAGACCCAAAGAAAAAAAATCAGTTGTGGTCTGGATGCTCCATGGACGACAGAGCCAGCCCGGTCTAAGCTGCACCAATTGTTTTGCTCCTCAGTCACCTACGTATTGATATTTACTGGAGTTCGAAAACATTTTTATCGTGCAATGGTGACCCATGCCCTCGCAGGGTAAAAAAATAACGTTTGAGGTCCCCTCTACTACGCCCTTTGGGCGAAGTCGGGCCGATCGAAAATAGCTACTAACGGCCATGTGCTTGTTGTTGTTGTTGTTGTGTGTGTGTGTGTGTGTGTGTGTGTGTGTGTGTGTGTGTGTGTGTGTGTGTGTGTGTGTGTGTGTGTACATGTCATATCATGTGTGGTGCTGTTAACCTGCAGGCAATCGTCTCATCACTGCTGCTAACTTTGTCCAGAATGGCAAGTATGCAGCGGCCGGTACGTATGATGGCCGATGTCTGCTCTATGAAACCGAGTACCTCAAGTACCACACACAGATCCATGTACGGTCATCTCGAGGCAAGAACGCCAAGGGTCGCAAGATCACTGGTATTGTACCAATGCCCGGTGAAGATAAGGTACGGGCAAAGCTTTCTGTGTTGTTTCTTCAATCGTAGAGAGTTTGTTTTGCAGTGTCTCCTTTACCATGGTGTTGTCCTCACTCTGTGAACCAGTGATCCTGTCCTGTGCAGACTCAGTTTATTCTCCCTTTCTCTCTGTCTCTCTCTGTCTCTCTCTCTCTCTCTCTCTCTCTCCTTTGCTTTGGAGATGAACATTGACTTATTCTGCGCACTTTTTCTTCTCCTTTTTGGTCACTGTCTTCTCTTTGTCTTTAGATCTTGATCTCATCGAATGACTCTCGTGTTCGCCTGTACGATCTGAAGGATCTGTCCATGGTATGCAAGTACAAGGGTGCCGTAAACCGCTCCAGTCAGATTGAGGCGTCCTTCAGGTTAGCTATGCACTGCCTTCTTACACGTGTGTTGTGCACGGCGCTGCTGTCTCCCTTTCTCACATCACCAGCCTGCCAGTGATCTCTCATTTCACTACACTGTACTCTTTCTCTGCCCCCCCCCCCCCCAATGCCACACGTCAACGCACAGGCAACAGAACAGTATGTGTGATACGAGACTATTTGCTTACCATCTGTCAGTTACAGTATCTTGTTGCTGGCTGTGGTAGTTACAGACTTACACAGTGCTGTACCATTATTGGGCAGAACTGACCGGGCATGTAACACATGTACATCCTGATGTGTCGTGCATAATGTATGTACATAACGTCATGAAGACTGATTGGCCTGATTTCAAACTCTTCCAGAGATGTTTGCTTTTCAACTTCCATTTCTGTGGTTGCACCCCTCTGTGCGTATGCGGCTACTATGCGCTCATGCGCGCACATGCGTGCGTGTATATGTGTGTGTGTATGTGTGTGTGTGCACGTGTGTTATGCAGTGCTGATGGCTCTCACATTATTACTGGCTCTGAGAACGGGTTTGTGTACCTGTGGCGCACGTTCCATGACTTCTCACGCTCTGCTGCTGCTCGCCTCAACGACTTCTATGAGAGCTTTGCTGGTCAGTGTTGTGTTAGCTTTGCTGGTCAGTGTTGTGTTGTACTGTTAGTAGGGTGGTCAGCGCATCACACATGTTTCTCTGAACTAGTTTGTACAGGATCAAAATGAGGAAATTGTTCACCACATGTCTGGGATACTTCTGATAATACGCGAAAAATGTGCATTGCATTTATAAATTGACGTCAACTTTAAGACGGTGGATTTCCTTTACTTTTCATGAGTTTCTGGCATCTACTCATATTGCTGCTGCTGCTGCTGCTGCTGCTGCTGTTGTTGTTGTTGTTGTTGTTGTTGTTTTTAATTCTTTATTCTCACGCTGTTGTTGTTGTTGTCACAGCCCCTGTCAGTACACAGAGTGGTGATCAAGTGACTGCGGCTGTGTTTGCACCGGTTCCCGGCCTGTTTGCCGACGAAGGTATCTCCGAGAACAGTGATGTGCTTGTGGCAGCCGACTACAACGGCTGTATACACGTTTATTCTAAGCCACGCTGAGCTAAGCATTTGCTGCCGTTGTTGCAGCTGCTGCTGCCACCGCTCCTACTGTTGCTGCTGCTGGCACTGCTTGCTAGCAGCCTAGGTGTGATGTACCCATTGCAACACGTGCTCAGTTATATATTGTTTAGAAACGAGCATGCTGCTACCTGTAAATTATTCCATTGCCAGACCACTGACTGAGCCGTGCGATAACTACTGAAGTAGTACTGCCAGGTACAGCATACATTGCTGCAGCCTCTACGCCTCTCCACCAGGCCTGCACTGAGTTTGTCTTTGTCCTGTCAGTGTACATTGCTGCAGCCTCTACGCCTCTCTGTCAGGCCTGCACTGAGTTTGTCTTTGTCCCGTCAGTGTACACTGCTGCAGCCTCTACGCCTCTCTGTCAGGCTTGCACTGAGTTTGTCTTTGTCCCGTCCGTATAATGCAAGAGCTATTACCAAATTGTTGACCAAGCTCTCACCAGTATTTTCAATTTTCACCCCACCGCCCGTACACCTATATTCTCTACCTCTACTCTAGTGCAAGAAGACAACACTACTGAAGTACGTAAAACGTGTTCTAAGAGTACTTTTAACTTTAATTCTTTCTTATCGTTGGCAAGTGTTTGGTAACTTTGGTTGCCGGTTGAAGGCACGTGTTTGTTTGCTGTTGTATTCTAACCTATTGAGTCTTGGCATGATGTCACCCGTGGGCGGATAGGAGTTTTTGTTGTTGCTGTTTGTTATTGTTATGTGCCGTCGTCATTGTTGTCGATAGTGGCATCAATGTCCATCAGGCTAATTCCTGTTATGCCATGTGAGTGAATCCTATCTTTGCAGAAACATGTGTTTGCCGTGGTTCTACTTTTGTCAGTTGTGCCCACCAAAAATGTACCTTGCGGTGGAAGAAATTGTCAACATATTCAAAGTACATGTACCTTGTGGTGGAAGAAATTGTCAGTATTCTAGTTAGTATTCTAGTTAGTGCATGATTGTGTTATAGTGAATGAGGACACACATGCCATTACGGCATGCTGTGATTTGGAGAGACTGATCGTTGAACTGACCATGCACAGGAGATGAAGTGAACAAAACATTCGAATTGGCATTGGTATAGCTTTACAGATTACGCAGAACTCTAATCAAGCGGATACTCTGCGGAAGCATACTTACTGATGCAGGGTACAAGAATACATTAAATGCTCCTCAATGTCCATCCTGTACCCTGCATCAGTGCACTGCATGCGTCCAGTGTTCACACCCACAACCCACAGCCACGGGTGTGGCACTGCATGGCACTACTACCAGGTGCAGTGTGACATTGATGCCTTGCATGATCAGATCTCATTGAGCAGCACCATAGCTTTCGCTTGCCACGAACAGGCAGTAACACGAAGAGTACATGTACTCTTGGTAACACTGGTAAGAGATCAGATATAAGAGTACACGCTGCGTGAGTATCGATGCCGCAGCAAGACCACATAAGAAACTCTACACTGATGCCAATAACGTTACTGCAATAGGCGGTACACATGGTACATGTACTGTAAGAGTCATTCTGACTACAGTCAGTTGACGGAACATCTTGTAGCTCCAAGGAAATGCATGGCATTTGTCGAGGCCAGTTCTTTCGGGGAAAAAAGCAGCAGCACGTGTACGAGTACTGTCGTAGAATAGATACGGCTACATGGAGGTCAGGAATTAGGCTGGACACAAGAAGGTGTTGTTGTTAGGAGTTTAAAAACAAATAGAGAGAGATAGAGATAGATAAAGAGAGATGGTGAGGGGGACGAAGCAAGGAGCAAAGACAGAGAATCAGTCAGACCTGTCCAGAGCAAGTTTGCCGGTCATAACACAGTGCAGCAGAGACCCATGCTACGACTGAGGTCAGTAGTACTGTAGTGCCGGGCAGCACATGACGCTACCTACATCATACACGCATACTGCTACGTCACACACACGCAACCCGGTCTGCAAACGACCACGTGTGCAGCAACATGCGTGGGTATTCAGACCACGCCACAGCATATACACCACTGCGACCAGGCAGCAGAGGATGACAAGTTAAACCAAAAAGACAAAGGCAACCTATCACCAAAGCACAAGACAGCAGAAGTGATGACTGAGAAAGTGTACAAACGAAGAATAAATTTACAACGCACACGCACGCACGCACGCACACCCACACACGCACAGTAGCATTGGTGGCCAAGAGGAAGTCCACACGACAAAGTGGAACTTGCTTAGCACAGGGAACAACGCTGGCTTGCCCCTAATGACGTAGTGTCAGACGGTGATAACGGAGAACACTGTCTGCTGTTCTGGGCCAGCTCTGCAGTAGTGACCAAACCGTTAAGAATTGCTTACGTTCACCATTACTCAGTGACGGGTAGCAAGGAGCTGGAGCGATGGCTTACGGAGCGATGCCAAACGAATGGCACCAGGATCTCAACATGTTCAACGGAGTACTCTTGTCTGCGTTACGTCTTCTTGCGGCGAACGGCTCGTCTGAATGGTCTAGGTGCAGCACCCGTGTTGCCTGTGCTGCCAGGACCGGCACTAAACTGAACAGTGCCAGCAGCAGCGGCATTGCCAGCACTGCCCATTGTTGCACCACCAAACTGAGGTGCCGGTGTTGAGCCCATTCCAGTATTGCTGGCGCCAGAGAATTGGAACATACCAGTGCCAGATGCAGCTGCAACACCACCCGTAGCAGCACTGGACCCCGCACCAAACTGGAAGGGTTGAGCGCCGCCAGGCGCAGCGACGGCAGCAGGAGCGATACAAGCGCCACCGTTTGCTCCAAACTGGAATGGTGACGCTCCGGTGCCCGCTGCAGTGTTATTAGTAGCCGCCACGGGTGTAAAGTTGAACGGAGCAGGAGCAGCAGCAGCAGCAGCAGGACCAACATTGCCCGCAGCAGAAGCAGCAAAGTTCAATCCAGCAGAAGACGTGCCAGCACCAGTGCTGCCACCTGCACCAGAGAAATTGAAAAGACCAGAACCAGTGGTGGTGGCAGCGGTAGCACCGCTATTACCGTTTGCACCAGCACCACCAATACCAGCAAATATACTTGTGTTGGTGGCACCAGAGTTTGGTGCAGGCGGGTTGAAGTTGGGAAGTCCAGTTGATTGGCCAGCAGTTGCACCAGTAGCTGCTGAGGATCCAGCACCTGCGGCGAAGGCAAACATGCTACTGCTGCTGGCAGCGGCCGGAGCAGCAGCAGTGCCTAGTGGGTTTGTAACTGCACCAGTACCAACACCTGCAAATAAACTGCTTGTGGCAGCAGCAGCAGCAGCGGGTGTGTTTGATGAACCTGCTGTGCTGGCACTAGCGCCAAACTTGAAGAGACCGCTTGCACCTCCACCAGCGCCACCGGCAGTACCTCCTGCAGCAGCATTGATGGCACTGCCTGTGCCTGCAGCTGTCACTGCCGTTGATGCTGCAATGCCACTGCTTGACGCTCCACCAAACTGGAATAGACCACTACCACCAGCACCAGCAGCAACATTGCTTGCATCGGATGAAGATGCCGTGGCCGACGCGCCTGGCATTTGAAACATGGTCGAAGTGCCACTAGTAGCAGTGCCTTGGGCAGCCGTGAAGTTAAATCCTACTCCGCTTGCCGAGGAAGAGGAGGCCGGTTTCGTGCCAGTGCCAGCGGAAAACTGGAGAAGACTGCTAGCAGCTGCAGCACTAGCATCAGAGGCAGCTGCAGCAGTTGTGGCTGCTGGCTTGGAAGTGGCACCGCCAAACTTGAACATGTCCGTCGTTGTTGTCGTCGCTGCGCCTGGGGCCGGGGAAGAGGACGAGGATGAAGCTGCAGACGCATTGCTACTGGCACCCCCAAACTTGAAAAGACCATTGCCAGCAGTAGCAGCAGCAGCTGGAGCTGTACTTGCACTGCTAGCTGCAGCAGTTGTACCCGCTGAGAACATGGTGCTGGATGAAGACCCTGCATCAAGCAGTGCTGTAGTAACGGATGGCTTTCCTGCCGCCAACTCTTCTTTAGCACCAAATTTGGCTGTAGTGCCGCCGGTGATAAACGACGGTACAGCTGGCACAGCAGCAGCACTGCTACTGGCTTCAGAGAACGTGGATGATGACGATCCTGCACCGAACTTGAACAACGACGTTCCTGTCGTTGTGGACTCTTTTTCCTGAAAAAAAAGCAGAGTAAAGGAAACAGAGAATATGTCTATTTCCAACAACGAATTAAATTTACATGCAAAAATCAAAGAACATTGACAACGGGCCAGGAGATCAGATTCTACACTCAACACTGGTACATACAACAGGAGAGAGAGAGAGAGAGAGAGAGAGAGAGAGAGAGAGAGAGAGAGAGAGAGAGAGAGAGAGAGGGAGAGAGAGAGGGAGAGAGAGAGAGAGAGAGAGAGAGAGAGAGAGAGAGAGAGAGAGAGAGAGAGAGAGAGAGAGAGAGAGAGAGAGAGAGAGAGAGAGAGAGAGAGAGAGAGAGAGAGAGAGAGGAGAGAGAGAGAGAGAGAGAGAGAGAGAGTTTTAGCTTTCCTCCCCTGCAGGAATTCAACTTTACATCCAGCCAGGGATCGCCCATGCGATGCAAGACATTAGCGTCAGTGCATAAAGCTACTTGTAGTAAAGCCAGAACTGTGGTTCTTAGTAATGGCTAGTCCAGTTACACTAAGAAAGGATGTTCCACTCTGCACTAAACATGCACCAACAATGAGCAAAGTGCAGTGCATAGTGGACAGTCAGGGCCGCTAAGCAAGTAGCTAAGTCCGCCCAGGAACCAGAGTATCAAACAAAGTCACGGTTCGTGTGAGTTAGACTGAGTTTCCCGCATCTGTAGTAACGCCAGCATACAGAAGGCCAGCATCCAGACCAGCATCCAGACCAGCATCCAGACCAGCATCCAGAACAGCATCCAGAACAGCATCCAGAAGGATGAAGGCGCAGATGCAGCTCCTAAAGTAGTGGGAGGTGAGTAGATCAGACCCACCACCAAAGTGGCCTTTGACCATAGCATCAAGAGTATATTTACTGTAACGTAATAAGCAGAACTATTCGGTCACTGTTGAGCTTCAAACTCTACACAATTTACCTCAGCTGTTGAGTCACTGGCTGCAGCTGCTGCTGTACCTAGCTTCAGACCAGCTGGCAGGGAGAAACCTCCACTTGCTGCTGATGTACTGGATGGCATGGACGGCATGGATGGGAATGTTAATTTCGTAGCCCCGCTGTCAGTGCTTGCTGCCTGTAGTAAGAGGGGAGGCAGAGACAACGAGAAAAGCATCCTGGTTGAGTACAGTATTTTCCGGAGTATAAGCTACACTTTACACACCACTAAGTCACTCAAAAAAGTCGATGTGGCTTATAGGGGATTCACACTCACGAGGAAACCCGAGGTCAAGGTAAACGTTCAGACCTTTGGTCAACGGAGTGGGGCAGTTCACACCCGTGGTCAGTTTTCCCTTGGCCATGAACTTTTGGCGGGGCAATTAAAAAAATAATCTGTACTGCATTTTGTACATTCTGTACTATATGGGCCACAACCAGCTAAAACATGTCTTAGAGTGAAATTTTTCAAATTTTGTTTTCCTCCAGAAAACAGTTCTTGGTACCTTACTTGACCTCTTGAAGGTGATACAGGGCAGAAAAGTAGTCTATAAGTGCCCCAAACACCGTTTTCAAAATATGTACTTTGAAATAGAAAATGACAGTTTTCGCACAGTCTGACACAAAGAGACAAACTATCACTTAGTGGCTTTTGTGGCGGAGCACAATACAACGGAACTAAAGATGTTGACACCGACTTGAGCATGTCAACGACATCAGTTCAAAGGCATGGCCCAAGTTCTTCCTGGAAAGCAACACGATGCTCTGGGTGGCGTTGCACTTGCATACTCTTTCGATTCTGGCAGTGACACTTTCGATCGTCGCCTGCGTTTCCGAGACTGCGTCAGACGCCTCATGAGAGCTGAACGCAAGTAACGTCGTAGCAGCCGGTTCGCCGCCTAAATGATTATGTACTAGCCCACAACTTGTGCCTCTTCGCTACTGGAGACGACGGGGACGATTCAGCTTCGCTGTCGACATCAACATCACTGAGATCCCAACAAATTGTCAGCGTCGCTCTGCAGACCCGCCGCCACGGACTTGCAGACACCTGAACAAACCTGGGCCATGCACAGCGATCGTCTGGCCCTGCGAGCTGCTCTAGTATCACTAGATGCGGACATTGTCAGTCTTTGCTCGCCAGCTACTTGAAGTAGACCTCCAAACAATTGTTTGGACAAAATTTGAGAAGATGATCGCCACATCATGGATCATTTGAATGAAGTGCAGATCTGCAGAGTGAACGCGCTCCAAAAAAACATTTTTTTCATTTCGTCATTTCCCAACTTTTTTACGAAACCCCAAAGACATGTTTTAGCTGATCGCGGCCCATATTTTGAATTCGCCATGCACGATTTTCCGATGGGCACTGTCTGAAAATGCAGGTTGCGATGCACTCGTACAACTAGGGTTCAGAGTTCTCGCCAAAGACAAGATCTACGCATGCGCGTCTTATAGCCATGTGATTTTCCCCTTGACAAACGCCCTGAGACCCACGGCCACGGCTTTGCCAGTTTTTTCCCGAGAGGTTCTTCCTTTCCCCCAGTACCATAGTCTCCACAACAACTTTCCCATAACCGTGGTTTTACCCGTGTGTGTGAATCCCCTATTATGCTATGATGGTAAAGGGTTAACGGTGATAAATAGGCTAGATGTCTGTATTTTAAAAATCCAGGTGCGGATTCTACCCCGGAAAATATGGTACATGCCAGAGTTAAACTTTGCAGAAGGAAACTCAGACACAAAGTCCTGGTTTACAGTGCTGATGGTGCGTGAGCTCAAACTCAAAGGCGTATGGACTGACGGCAACATTGCATGAAGAGGCTTCACAGAGGAGGTAACTAAATACTACTTGGATGCTGAACAACCATAACAACATAGCCCCTTGCCCCATCATACACGCACAGACAGACAGACACACACACACACAGAACACCACGGATACACTTACATCAGTTTTAGCTGTATCAGAGCTTCCAAGCCCTGCACCACCCAATTTCAGACCACCACTTGTACCAAGTTGCAAACCACCACTAGCACCCAGTTTGAGACCACCCGAAGCACCAAGTGTCAGTCCTCCGGAGGCCCCCAGAGTCATACCACCAGTTGCTCCCGTCGACGATGCTGCTGCTGGTTTCGCTGCACCTGGCTTGGCAGTACCGCATGCCACACATGCAGCCTTGCTACTATCGTTGCCAACCATACACGTGTCACAATTCCATTCACCAGACTTCTTAGCAAACATTGCTGAAAGAGATGGCTGGCTGCTTGTTGCCTGTGAACACAAAACAGAGAGAACAAAGAATGATGAAGCTAACCTGACAACACAAGACACAACAATGACAGCACAGAGTGCGTACCTCAGTTTTGCTGCTCGACTCCTCACTGGCTGTGCTAGCAGCCATGCCCAGTTTCAGACCACTAGGTAGCTTGAAACCACTGGAACCACTTGACAAAGCAGATCCAATACCTGCTGCAGATGATGCTGCTGGTTTTGCTGCACCTGGCTTGGCAGTACCGCATGCCACACAGGCAGCCTTGCTACTATCGTTGCCAACCATACATATGTCACAATTCCATTCACCAGACTTCTTAGCAAACATTGCTGAAAGAGATGGCTGGTTGCTTGTTGCCTGTGAACACAAAACAGAGAGAACAGAAAGAACGATGAAGCTAACTAATTTACACTCAAGCTCTCCATACTTGGCCTACGCACTCTCCATACTTGGCCTACGCAGGACCTGACCCCGGCCGTGACTAGGAGCTGTCTGCAAACATTCTAGTTATATTGCCAGGGCTCGTTCGGACAAGAACAACACACTGCAGTCAAATACAGCACACCACACGACCCTGAGACTGTCTGGTCTGTGGGACAGTGTGGACAAGGGAAGTCTGAGTATGCACCATAAGTGCATGTCAAACACGCACACGCATACCGTATTTTCCCAAATAGAAGTCGCACCTGTTTTCATTAAACTTCAAGGGCAAAGAAGGGGATGCGACTTACAATCGAGTATAACTTCCTACTTATGTGGATATATCCAAACAATATGGCTCAGAGCTGAAAGTGGGGGTGCCACTCATAACCAGGGAAACACGGTACGTGTGTACTACAGTAGCAGAGAAGTAAACACGTACACACTACTTCCATGTCAACCTATCGTGTACTCACACAACACTATTGGCAATACAAACTCTACACGTTCAAATTTGGACTTCACGGAGAATGTCAAAGTATTAGGAATTTAGAGGCCACAGTCCCGGTGGTGTGACTGATGATTTTTTCTTTCTTTCGTATCTGGCTTGCAAGTGTTGAGTTTCGGAGAGAAAAAGAGCAGTACGAGGCATGTGGTCTCTAAATTCACAAACTCAACAAGTTCAAAAAAAACTAGCTGGGCGGTAGCATGTGTTCAGACTTTGCACTCTACAGAGCTCTACACTCAGGGCTGAAATAAATAGGAGTGAAACAAATATTAGAACGTTCCACTAGGTTCGCTCCAAATGGGAGTTGAAGAGAATTTGATTCGCTACTGCAAGGTGTCGACCGTTCGTCAATTTATGCGAAAGTACATGCAGTCCCATGCTTGTACTGCAAATAACAAAGTACATGTTTATCGCGCAGAGCTCAGCCAGCCACCCTTGGCCCCGGGTCCCCATTACAGATAACAGCAGCTATTCAAAAAAGAAAGGGATTGCAGATTGTCCATATCTTGGTTGTTTTACAAATGTGATGGAGCGCGTGTGTTGACATAATTATGTGTGTGTGTGTGTGGGGTATTTGTTCAGAATAGTCTGTGAGTTTGTCAAACAAAGCGTACAGTTCACCAGAAAGTTCCGTTCTCCTCCATTGGGGTTCGTTACAGGCCTAGAAATGAGAGAGCTTGGAAGCTCAGGGCCCTACGCTATGCTTTTTTGCCTTGATGACCTAGACAAAAAAAGCATAGGGATGTTATAAATTCTTATAAATTTCTACTTTTTGTTTTTAGACATAACCTGGGATTCGAACCCGCACTATCGCCCTGCATCAAGAGTACATAACCCCCCAGAGTGTGCAACGCCTGATCCAGCTCTGCATAGGGTCTTGGTCGAGCGGAATCGGATCTTTGCGTCATAATACCGTACACATCCAAGGGGAACCCGGGAAGTCGCGGGTACTCTTGGATCAAAAACAATGGTGCCCTGCCTCGAGACCGGCCTTGCGCTGGTGTGAAGTGTACGCATGACATCAGAAGATCCGATTCCGCTCGACCAAGACCCTACACAGAGCTGGATCGGCGTTGCACACTCTGGGGAGTTATGTACTCTTGCCTGCATGCATCCCCCGATACACTTCGCATACATACTAATTCTTCCAAGTTGCTTCACGTTATGATCTTGTATTTGAAAGCCCTATTTGAATATGCATTGTGGCCAGCCGTCTTTGATTCTACGGTACGGTACGGGACAGGTACGGTCGAGGGTAATACGACACCATCTACCGCCTTGATGACGGCAAAAAAAGAATAGGGATGTTATAAATTTTTCAATTTTCCTATTTTTTCAGGCATTATCTGGGATTCGAACCCGCACTATCGTCCTACATGCATTCCCCCATACACTTCGCATTCATACTCATTCTTCCAAGTTGCTTCAAGTTATGATCTTGGGTTTGAAAGCCCTATTTGAATAGTGTGGCCAGCTGTATGTGGCCAGCTGTGTTTGATGGTACGGTACGGGACAGATACGGGATAGCGCCAGGCGTGACACAAACACACACCAAATTAAAGCTGTGTGGACCCTGGCTAGCGCCAGACATTACTGAAGTAACGTCTTCTGCATAGCTACGGGAATAAACATCATTCACGAGCACCGTGACGCAAAAAGAGGCCCGATGGCGCTGAAAATTTCCAAACTTCCATTGAACGCTGTAGGAAAGCCGGAGAAAAGCGGTATATGGCCGATGTTGTGTTGCACTGAACACACCGCAAGGACAGCAAAACGTACGTACCTCCGTTTTGCTGCTCGACTCCTCACTGGCCGTACTAGCAGCCATGCCCAGTTTCAGACCACTAGGTAGCTTGAAACCACTGGAACCACTTGACAAAGCAGATCCAATACCTGCTGCAGATGATGCTGCTGGTTTTGCTGCACCTGGCTTGGCAGTACCGCATGCCACACAGGCAGCCTTGCTACTATCGTTGCCAACCATACATATGTCACAATTCCATTCACCAGACTTCTTAGCAAACATTGCTGAAAGAGATGGCTGGCTGCTTGTTGCCTGTTGACGAGCGGGAACAAGAGAACACACACACACACACACACACACACACACACACACACACACACACACACACACACACACACACACACACACACACACACACACTATCAGCCACAACATAAGAACAGCTGACCAAGACTTGCACAGTCATGGTGACACACTCTCTGACAGATGCAGGCACTACACATGAATAACTAGCCACGGATCTACATGAACACATTTCAGTCCTCAAACACACACACACACACACGCGCGCGCGCACACACACACACAAGATTACGGTCCAAGGTGCACTGCGTAACACATAGCCGTACCTGACCACTGCTAGCCGATGTCAACGACAAAGCAGTAGCAACCGATGGAGTTGACTTTGCCACTGCGTTACTTCCAGGCTTTGCCGAGGCACACGCAAGACATTTCTCCTTGTCGGCCGGGTTGGATGACATACACGTGTCGCATGTCCACTCATTGGAGCGTTTCGCTGCAAACATGGCCGCCAGAGATGGCTGTGAGGATGAAGAGGTCGTCTAAGCACAGCAGCACAAACCGAGAGTGCAGATGGGAACACATTAGTTACTCATTCAGCTGGGGGGGGGGGGGGGGCAAGCACGAACTAACAACCCAACTCCGAACAAAGGACTAGTAAAAGCTGTGTATCTCTACCTCTGGAGTCTTTCGTCTTAACCCTTTCACGGTCTCAGAATCCAGTCAAAATGAGGCTATTTACAGAATTCAACAATTTCGTACCTTGATTCATCCATAACTTCAGTTTCCCTTCGCTGATTTTCATGATCTTGGGCTCTCTGGAAAGCTCTGGACACGAGCAACACGCCGAGCTACAATTCGACACCAAGCGTGCCGTGGATCCAGCGCTGCAGCGCAGCGACATCGCCCCAGTGCTTGATTCACGACGAGAAACAAGATTCAACAGCCATTTCCCTCTCCTTGCTCACATCGAGCTCACATTTTTTGTGAGGAGTGCTGCGAGTCCATACTCTCATTTGAATCCGTGTCTCTATGGCGACAGCTAGCTGCAAAGGGAAAAACCCGTCCTCAAGACCCAGCTCGCCCACTCGAATCGCAAATGAGCCGTGACGCAGATCGCGAGCTTCGTAGCATCGCAGCCGTTCACTCTATCGCTTCGGCGATTGTTCCTACGGATAGCCTGGAGCTTTCTCTTCAACCTAGATATTTAGATGTTCGAATTTGCTCAAAAATTGACTGAGTTACGATAGTTTGAAAAAATCGATCACCGGTGATCGATTTTCAAATGTGAGACCGTAAAAGGGTTAAAGGGGAAGTGCATCGATTTTTCGAGTAGGGTCCAGAAGAAAGACAATTTGATATCGGTTCGAATGGCATATCTCTCGCTTCCATACGATAAGCCAAACTTGCCAAATCGCCAATTGTATGCTCATGTTGCCATAGCGACCAGCGCAGTGATGACGTACGAAAGGCTTAGCTCCTCCACAGAGAAGGTCGATCACTGCAGGAATTGGTCATTTTCAATTGTCTTATTGTATTCACGATGTGAAAGAAGTGCTGTGTTCAATGCTGTGAGTGCCGTGAACTATTTGTCGCCCTTCTCATGCATTTCCCTAGGCTGACTGTGCCTAGGAAATGGTTTCCTCCAGGACAAGATGCTTTGAATTCGCCGTCTCTCCTGAGACATTTTCAGCAAACTTTCAAACCTACGACATTATTTCATTCGTCAATCTCCACCACCCGTCGTCTCACCTGGCTTCAGAAGATGTTACGAGAGATAGGAGAGTCGCCAGGAAGCATCACATTCATCTTCAGGAAGTGGAAAGAGCAAACGGCATGGTCCTTGGTTGGGGGAAATGCTGAACGTCTGATTTGTCCCAACCAAGATTTCAGCATTTTGTTCGTCACTATTTTCGCTTGTCTGCTGGTGTCTCCGCGCTCCAGCTTTCTCCTGTCGGTGTCACGTCCCAGTACACAACCGAGAGGACTACTAACAAACAGTTCACTGCACTTACAGCATTGAACACAGCCCTTCTTTCACTTCGTGAATACAATAAACCAATTGAAAATGACCAATTCCTGCAGTGATCGACCTTCTCTGTGGTGGAGCTAAGCCTTTCGTACGTCATCACTGCGCTGGTCGCTATGGCAACGTGAGTATACAATTGGCGATTTGGCAAGTTTGGCTTATCGTATGGAAGCGAGAGATATGCCATTCGAACCGATATCAAATTGTCTTTCTTCTGGACCATACTCGAAAAATCGATGCACTTCCCCTTTAAAGGAGCATGAATCCATACGAACATCTTTGCCCACATAAGCGAGTATAGTACAGCATTCAAAAATAGTAGAAGGCAGCTTCACATCATGGAAACCTTTTTTAAGTTTAAAGATCACATGCCGGTACAGGATTCAGTGGAGAAGGTTATTCAGTTTATGGGGGGAACAGTTCTTCTATATCACATGTTTACACCCACCCACCCACCCACACTTGTACTTGCTCACTGCCAAAACTGGTCAAGTGGGTCTCCGCGGGCCAGGGGGGAGAGAGATTCAAAGCAATCTTGGAAAGATGACTCAATAGGTTATTGAACCGCCCAACGGCCGACACCCCCTGAAATCCCCAAACTCTGGCCGGACTTGGAAATGACCCCACTTATGGGCTTACCACATCTCAGTAAGTTGGTGAGGACAAGGTGCAGAAAAAAGATTGACGACATCAGGGTATCCATCCCGGGATCCAACTGCATTTACCCATGCCCCCATTGAAGGCAATACTTGCTACTAGTGTGGATGGCTAAATCAGAGTGGATCACACACACACACACACACACACGCACGCATGCACACACACTACCTTGTCCTCTTTGCTTTGGGTCTTGGCACCGGAATCCAGAGATGGAGATCCTGCCGAGAGTGCATCCACAACTGACCTGCAAACGAAAAAGAGTTCACAGAGACACACACACTCAGTATATCCAGCAACAGCTGTCACTCTCTCCCACCCTCAGAGACACAACTAAGCCACCTGTATATACAGGTAAAACTTGCTCCAAAGACCACCCGGACTCAGCGATCACCTGCTGTGGACGACCGTATTTATCTGGCACCGTCCGTTTCACGTACATCCTGACTAGCATTCAGCGAGCACTCGCTCGACGCGACCAGCGACCGGCTTACAACTGGTACCGATCGCCAGTTCAACGACCACTTCACGACTTCAGTACTCGATCTGAAAATCGTTTTCCGAAGTTTTGCGACCACGCCGTTTTTTCTGTTGTACGGTGCATGTACAAAGTACAAAGGTCAAATCGCAGGCTACCAGTATGCCTAAACATCTGTGAGTGACACGTGCACCACTGCGCGTACACATTTGCGCGGGAGTGCATCGGCTGTCGAAACTTGCTTTGGTCGAGTTGGAAGTCTTTTTGTTCTCATGTAGTGTTTCTCCGAAACGTTGGAAGTCAATTCTTACCTGTAGCATTATGGCTCCGCCACGAGCGAAACGTACAATCCTCACTCTCGCCCAGCGAGTGAAAGTCATTGAAATGTCTGACAGAGGAAAGTCTGCTAGGAAGATTGCGGAGGAATTCGGCGTTGGCAAAACGCAGGTTCAAGCCATCATCCGCGATCGTGGCACTGTAATGAAGGACATAGCCGCCGGGGTTCCATCGAACAGCCAGCGAGGTAGGAGGAGAACAGGTTTGGAAGACGTGAATGAAGTTGTCTGGGAGTGGTTCCAAGTCACTAGATCCAAGCGGATCCCGCTCTCCGGACCATTGCTCCAGCAGAAAGCGCGCAAGTTTGCTGTTCAGCTGGGACAGGAGAAGTTTACTGCCTCTAATGGTTGGCTGGAAGCGTTCCGGAAAAGATATGGAATCTCCTTCTTGGCAATCTGCGGCGAGAGCGCTGATGTTGCAGGTGATGTCGTAGGTAGCTGACTGGAAATCACGTCTGCCGACGATCTGCACTGGCTACAAAGCGGAAGACATCTTCAATATGGACGAGTCTGGATTTTTCTTTCGTGCTTTGCCAGGGAAGACGCTGGCCCTGAAAGGGGAGACAGACGTGTAGCGGTGGAAAGACTGACTGCTGTGTTTGCTGCTCGTTGACGGGAGAGAAGCTCAAGTCGCTGGTTGTATGGAAGTTTGCTGGTTGTATGGAAGTCGGCCAAGCCCAGGTGCTTTAAGAATTTGGATCTGGCCAAACTTGGAGTCACCTGGTGCTTCAACACGAAAGACTAGATGAACAGCTCTCTGTTTGAAGAGTGGGTGGTAGGTGTGGATACACAGATGCAGCGTCAAAAACGCAATATTTTGCCGTTCCTTGACAATGCGCCGTGCCATCCCAACTTGAAAGAGAAGCTGCAGGATGTTCGCTTGCAGTTCTATCCTCCCAACACGGCATCTTGCCTCCAGCCTCTTGATCAGGGCATAATTCGTCACATCAAGTCCCTTTACCGGCAAAGGCTTCTGAAGCATGTGATATGCCACATGCATGACGCTGACTCTGCAGCTGGTGTTTCGAAGGCAGTGAATGTCCTGCATGCGGTGCAGTGGATAGCTGCAGCCTGGAAGGACACAAAACCATCGGTCATCACATCCTGCTTTCGGCATGCTGGATATGACGCGCCTGGAGAGGTAGAAGAACCTGCCGAGAACGGAGCTGAGGCAGAATTGGAGACCCTTGTGCAGCAAGCAGTTCCAGGTGCTTCTGCTGCTGACTTCCTGGCAATCGATAAAAGCTTGCTCACGTTTGAAACTCTCACTGCCGACTATGAGAGGATGCTTATTGAGCGTGCAAAGAACGGAGGACAGCAGGAGGAACTCGATGAGGATGGCGAAGATGTAGAAGATGAGCACACTGTTGAGGAGCATGAACCAGCTCTCAAGACGTACCTTGATGCCCTTGGCCATCTTTCACACTTGGAGGATTTCACCAAGTCACAAGTTGGCGGCGACGAGTTGTATTCGCTCATTTGTCAGGCAAGCAGAAATCCATCTTGGATTTCTTCAATCCTGCCTCCAAGTCTGAGTCCCCGGCTGTTGCTGCTGTGCGTGCTGACAAGTCCGAGGCTCCAGTGCTGGCGACTTCGTCACAGAATGCAAGTGTTGTCCCTGTGTGCATCGACTTGGCAGATCCAGCTGTTGCTACCGTGCATGCTGACAAGTCTGAGGCTACAGTGCTGGCGACTTCGTCACAGAAGGCAAGTGTTGTCCCTGTGTGCATCGACTTGGCAGATCCAGCTGTTGCTACCGTGCATGCTGACAAGTCTGAGGCTCCAGTGCTGGTGCCTTCGCCACACGAGCCAGGTGTTGCACCTGCGTGCATGGATATGGCAGATCTAGTGTGCTTGAAGTGCGGGACTGGTGCTCCCCCCCATGTTGCGTCCATGCAAGGTCTGCAGGCGTTCCTATCATCACATGTGTCAGCATCTAGATGAGTCTGGCACAGGCCGTGTCTGTGATGCGTGTTTTTTAGTTGCAGAGGGTAATTAACACGTGGATAGTGTGTGACAAGCTCTCTTTCCTTTATTATTTGCCATGCCCCCCCCCCCCAAGTCCAAGAACTGGCAGGGCAAGGGTGGGCTTTTTTGTACCTTACTTAGCTGTATGGTCTCTCGAATTCAAATAAACAACAACAACAACGTACAGCTTCTCTCTGGTTCTGGTTTCTTGTGCTGTCTCTCAGTGCCACCACACACTTGTACACTACAAGCAGTACAGTGCACTAGTGATGTACATGTATCAGTACTTCAGTATATTACTCCCACTTTAAGTTATGCACTTCACCAATGCACAGCATGCAGTGCGAGGAGTCATTTGATACCAATATCACCATATAGGGAGATCACCTGCTTTGAAAGACCACCTGTTTATAAGACCACTTTGGGCTGGAACCATGCGTGGTCGCTGAAACCAGGTTTCACCTGTACATGCACTCCGTTCATCAGCGTCGACAGGCATTCTTACCGGGTAGACATGGTCTTGCTCGGCGATGGGGTGCTGAACTCAAACTTTACCTAAGGACAAATAAAGCAAAATGAAAGAGTCAAAGCAGCAGTGACTACTGTTGTTAGGAACCAGCAGTCACGGACAGTGTAACAGTGACATGTGCTTAACAGTACAGCTACCCTCAGCTACCCTCAGCTCTCATACAGATCTGCTGCCCAATCACAGTGACATACCACAATGGTTGTATAAATTAGTCGTGTCATGACTGGTGGGAACTTTGAATGAACATTCTCTGGAATATTGCCCCGGCGTCCGGCGAACAACTGAATATTCTACTGATATATTCTTCTCCTGTACTGTACTGCCGCTCATTCATTTCACTCATATAGATATCATATACATGGCACAAACAGGCTAGGCTGCATGCGCATCACCATGGCGAAAACAGGCCGTATGCATATTGCACAACCACTCATGAAGAGCAGATATGAACAAAAAGCAGCTGCAGCGTTCCCAGCCCCAAAGCTGCCACCCTGTAACCCTCAACATGGCTCAGAAAATCGAGGCTGATGCCAGGCAGTACAATTGTACAGTACAACTGTTTGAATAATCGAACATTTGAGTGTGTTCGCTTGCATTCGAAAGTTTAAATTATTCGAATGTACGCATATCCGACATATCAATCAGATAAATATGGTTACATGCCAAGTAGTCAGCATACCAGGGTGGGATGGGATGGTGCGTGACGCTTACCTGCGAGTCTACAGTCTTGCTTTTAGGACGGGCACTTGTCAACGCCTTGGCGGCAGGAGCAGCAAACTGGAATCCTAAATCAGATGTGCCAGGCGCTGCTGATGATGAGGACGCCGACGGTACGTTGCTAGACAAATTTGATTTCTTGGCAGGTGGTGGCGACGAAGACGACAAGTTTGACGTTGCTGGTAGGCTGGTTTTGTGCGTGTGGCGGGCAAGTGGTGGACTGCTACCAAGACACTGCAGGAACAAATAAAACACGCATGGGCATGCACGTTAGCTAAATAAATAAATAAATAAGCTCAACACGTAAACCGCACTCTGTCTGTCTGTACCTGTCTCTCTCTCTCTGTGTACCTGTCTCTGTCTCTCTCTCTAAAACAGAACATACAAGTGAAATCTGTGCAGCAAAGAAGTGTATGTCGCGGTCGTGTGCAATGTATATGCATGTGTTTTACCAAGGCTAAACAAACACTGCGAAAATGTTCATGTGTGGTCGATGCCCTTCTGATCTACCAATGATGCAGTTGGGTTTTGATAACCGTGACTGGGTGGCTGGGGTGTGCATTGTCAGCTAGATTATTACAGTCAGACCTCGCTTATCCGGTCCTCGTTTATCCGGATCCCTTGCCATCCGGAAGAAAATCGCTAGTTACCGATGTGCAGCATACGTTATGCATACACCATAACCGGACCTCGCGATCCGCATACCGGTGCATGATTTCGTGTACAAACTGGTTAAAATGTGTACAAAAAGCTTCGTCGTATCCGATTGCATGTGGCTTGCAGAAGCTAGAATCAGGGAGTTGTACAAGCAAAATGAGGTCCTTGACCTGCTGGGTGCATGCAGACAGCACTCAGTTGCATGCACTTGTCATTTTTCTCGCTTGTTTTACATACTGTGCACGCTGGTTGTACCGCGCAGGACCCGTCTAGTCTACATGTACATGTACATTGTACATGTATGTACGATGTCACTGCTTTTGACATGCCACATGCATGTACAGTATGTGTGTTCAGTTATCCGGTTCCCTCGCCTATCCGGATATTTGTGTGGAAAACAGATGTGTGCGGTTAAGCGAGGTCTGACTGTATTTGTGTTTTCTGGTGGGTCACATAATGAAGAGATGGCGGTACATCAGCGATGCCTAAGAAACTGTACCCTCCAGGAACAAAGCTTCATCCTGTTCTGTAACAAATATTCGGCCCATGTTTATTTTTCGCCTATTTTCGGCCTGGTCATGTTTGGCCGAAAATTCGTTTTGCAAGGTTCAGTGTGACAGTGTATACAGGCGGCAGCAGTACAGGCCGTATATTTGATGCGGCCGAAATGGGTTTTAGCCCTGGAAGGCCGAAAATTGAATGGGCCGAAATTTTGTAGACTTACAGTTTGCATGAGCACTCTGGAGACCCATACTAGTACCGTAAAGTACCGCCAGAGCGCCCCACCTTGATTTTACAGCCAAGGAAAGGAAAGTCGCATGGCAGAGTGCAACGAAGTTTGTACGGCGTGAGAACCTTAATAAAAGGTCACGCTTGGCCGGTTTTTGTGTGGAGCTCGTGTCTGCTTGAAGGCAAATTGAGTAAGGATTGACTGCAGAATGTGTAATCTGTGTACAAGGTTCGTGTCGTATGACCTACAGGTAGGAGATCACCTCCACAATACGACCACGAAAGGACGAGATGGTGGGGCGCTCTGGCGGTACTTTACGGTACATGTACACAGAAACAAGACACAAACTCACCATAGTAGCATCCGAGTGTGATGATTGAGAACTACTGCTTGCCGACAACTTCGAGGACAGCGATGAAGATTTAGATGAGACGCCAGAGCTGGATTCATGTCGCCCACTCTCATCCATGGCAGAGGTGGTTCTGAGCGAGGAAGACTGCGGAGCTGGGGTAGAGGTCTGCGCACCAGAGAAAGGGAAACGAGTAAAACACACAGTCAGTCCTGTCTAATCCGCTGGCTGCTTTCCTCCAGACGCGTAGTCTTTGCAGCTGTTTTGGCACTGCTGCATGTGTTGTGTGAAGAGTGTAATCTGAGCAGGGGCCAAGGGCCCAGGTGAGAGTGGGCATAGTTGCCAACACATGTACAGTCAAATCTGTCGTAAGCGACCGCCCCTTGGTGCAAGAATAAGCGGTCTCTTACGGCAGATGGTCTCTTACGGCAGATGTATGGTAAATCCGGCAAAACGGGCATGCATAATAATATGCTTCCATGTACTCAAATCGACGAGAATAATGTGATTCGTAATATCATTTTATTGGATAGTCAATAAAATATAGGGGTGCACAAACCCAAGAATAGTGCACATACCAGGGCTAATCTTGAGAGCTACAGCGCAGCCTCAGTACAGGCCAGGGCCAGTCGATCGCACTTGCAAGACAGCGCATTTTCACACCTTGCAGTTGACAGCGCACAGGCAAGTACAGTTTCGTACCTGACTGAACCTGGGTCGCGGTCGCTTGCAGCAGATTTGAATGCAGCCATCGTGCATGAAATCGCGGTCGCTGGTCGCGCACAGCAGATGGTCGCTCTGGACAGATCAGTTTGTATGTGAAACCGTCGGTGCACTAAAAATCGGTCGCTAACGGTAGATGGTCGCCTACAGCAGAGGTCGCTAACGGCAGATTTGACTGTACTTGTAATGTAATCAAGCATTTACAACCCATCTCCCGTGGAGCTTTTCCGGACACACCCCGTCAGGCAAGTGCACATTGAGCTCGTGAATCCGGCACACATGCTTACCGGTATGAGCTAAACACAGGTAGAGTACGGGCTACAGTGAACGCATGCTGTCTGCGCACAGCATTGCTACATACGCTACCGTCAACATCCAAACTTCACACAGGCTGACATTGCAAAGTAAGTACAGTACAAATCAATCAATGTACTTGTATATTCCACGAGGCCTGCACCCAACCAAATCTTATCTGACAGAAAGAGAGCGAAAATGCACATGATTTTGATACGCATGTTGCCATTACGGGAGAATACTGTAAAACACGATATTTTCGGTGTAACTTTAATTTCGGTGATTTCGATAGTGAAAACCAGCACCTAAATTTAGATTACACCTATATAAAAAGGCACCAGAGTATACACTGTATGTGATGGGAATGCTGGTCACCTAATTCTACATTACACCTGAAACCTGGCAGGTCCCTGACACCGAAATTTTAAAACACCTAAAATTACATGTTTTACAGTATTTGCCAATCCGGCAAACTTCAGATCACTACTGCACATACACCATTACATGTACTGTTTCATTTCATACGTCGAAAGATCTTACATTTCGTAATCCCAACGAGCCGGCCTGTGTCAGGCCCAACCTACAACGAACACAGCACAAAGTAAATACGTAAAAAATGTCAACAACATAACACTGTGTGGACACCAATGATAGTCAAAAAATTCACAGAAATCGGCAAGAAACCAAAAAAGCTAGCACATCCCCACCACCCAATAGACATGCACATGCACATGCACACACACACGCACGCACACACACACACACAAACAGTCACATGATTGTAACAAAATTGATATAGCTCTCAGCAATGACAGAAAATAACCAAAGTCCTCATACAGCCAGACATGGACAGGACACAGTGAGCATGAACGACAAACACACAACTACATACAAACCGAATTCTCCGGCGATGAACTTAAAACTTACGAGAATGACTGATCGGCAAAACGAACTGCCTTTGGGTCAGCTGCAGTATCCTGCAATGAAAACGCAAATGTAAACAGCATAGACAAGTAGAGTAGTTATAAACAACGCCTATGATGACAAACAAATTGAAACAATGTATCGAAGTCAGCTACAAAGTAGATCTCTGCTCTTTGCCTCAACACTGCATTTCTGGCAAGGAAAACTCAACTTCTTGGCCAAAAAGCCCCCCCCCCCCCCCCACACACACACACACAAACCGTTGTCATCAGCTAACAGGCATCACATTTTCACGTAGACATGAACTACTGACCGATGCAATTGCAGAATAGTTGGCGTCACGCAAGCGCGCACTAGGTGTCTCCGCATCCATTGCAGCAGCAGCAGCTGTGTAGCTACCGGTGGTGGCTTGTGGACGTCCGGCTGGCACGGCAAAGTGCAGACTGCTAACCGGTGGTCCAGGCATAGACTGCTTGACCAGACCAATGGACTTAGTGGGCACACCACTGATACTTGCATCACTGCGTGTGCCAGGTTTCTGCATACACAGGACACACCGCGTAAACATGTCAGTAACAGATACTCATTAACGGGGCTGAGAACACCAGCAGGCCAAATCATCTTACAGTAATACACAGATGGATTCGCAAATAGACGCAATTTAAAAAACAAAACAAAAAACCAAACCGTAAGGGAAGACGTCTAATTATGTGTATAAGTATCCGGACGCTCTAAATTTCTAAATTGTCCAAACATGCACCCACAACACAAGATTTGTGTCAAAATGCCCATGCAGTGTTACACAGAGTTACAACGTGCAGTACCGGCAGCAGGGGACTGCTGTGCACTACTCTGCAGTGGCCAGGACAGGCAGGCGTTTGCACAGACGGAACTGACCAGCGCAGTGTATAGTGAACTGCGTATGACCAGCAGGAGAACTTGTGAGAACTTACAAATCATTTATCCACACAAGAAGATGCTTGTAACAATGTATGTTCATTTCGGCAAAGTAAAATAAAATACAGCAACCAAGCAAGAAAATCCGTAAGACACTGCATAGCCTCAACAGACCATGCAAACTACAGTACATGTTACCGGTAACACCAAGCGTTCTACTAACTCACAGAAAAGGAGAGCGGCGAACGGCTCGATATCGCTGACTGCACTTGCATCGGTGACTGCACACACGTGCGAGCATGCACGCAAGAACACACGCACATGCGAACACGTGCACACACACACACACACACACACACACACACACACACACAGTGAATGTACAAACAGTAAGAAATAGCCGGTGGGAGCACAGAGGTACCCGTGTCTGCGCAGGCAGTCTTTGTAGGCAGCGTAGGAGACCCTCAAACGGATGGAGTTGTGTGCAATCGAATGCACCCAATATAGGATACATCACAACGGTCAACGGGTTAATGAGTTGTCTTACCTGGCTAGCTGAGGTCTTGTCCAGTGCACTCAATATACGCTTAGCCGTCGCACTGGCTACAGCCGATGAGCTACCAGCTGCACACAGAGAACAAGCAGAGTGACAACATCAGACCGCCGGCCGTCAAGACATAAAGTGTTTCAGCGAAAATCTGTGACTTGTCGTGATGACCAGCAGATAGAAGCACAGGTTAATACTAGCAAGTAAGTCGGTTGTTCGTCCTCGAGATTCGCATATGGATGCCATCAACCCAAAGCAAGTCTTCAGGATACTGTATGTGCAGTGTACATCAGAACCTTTCCACTAGTTGGGACGGGATCAAACCACACCAAACAGTAGAGTTTACCAACAGGTAGTTTCTACTTCTACATGTAGGGCATTGCAAAATCCAACTGCACTGTACAGTAAGCTGGGTGCTGGTGCAGCAGGGGATTCTACACGTGACATACACAGCAGAACAAAGTCTGGTGCAGCAGGGGATTCTACACGTGACATACACAGCAGAACAAAGTCTGGTGCAGCAGGGGATTCTACACGTGACATATACAGCATAACAAAGTCTGGTGCAGCAGGGGATTCTACAAGTGACATACACAGCAGAACAAAGTCTGGTGCAGCAGGGGATTCTACACGTGACATACACAGCAGAACAAAGTCTGGTGCAGCAGGGGATTCTACACGTGACATACACAGCAGAACAAAGTCTGGTGCAGCAGGGGATTCTACACGTGACATACACAGCAGAACAAAGTCTGGTGCAGCAGGGGATTCTACACGTGACATACACAGCAGAACAAAGTCTGGTGCAGCAGGGGATTCTACACGTGACATACACAGCATAACAAAGTCTGGTGCAGCAGGGGATTCTACACGTGACATACACAGCAGAACAAAGTCTGGTGCAGCAGGGGATTCTACACGTGACATACACAGCAGAACAAAGTCTGGTGCAGCAGGGGATTCTACACGTGACATACACAGCAGAACAAAGTCTGGTGCAGCAGGGGATTCTACACGTGACATACACAGCAGAACAAAGTCTGGTGCAGCAGGGGATTCTACACGTGACATACACAGCAGAACAAAGTCTGGTGCAGCAGGGGATTCTACACGTGACATACACAGCAGCACAAAGTCTGGTGCAGCAGGGGATTCTACACGTGACATACACAGCATAACAAAGTCTGGTGCACCAGGGGATTCTACACGTGACATACACAGCATAATAAAGTCTGGTGCACCAGGGGATTCTACACGTGACATACACAGCATAATAAAGGCTGGTGCACCAGGGGATTCTACACGTGACATACACAGCAGAACAAAGTCTGGTGCAGCAGGGGATTCTACACGTGACATACACAGCATAACAAAGTCTGGTGCACCAGGGGATTCTACACGTGACATACACAGCATAACAAAGTCTTACAAGCTTCACGAGCACGGAACGACTGCTTCGAGGGAGGCAGCAACTGCAGACAACGAAACATAAACACAGTGAACACACACACACACACACACACACACACACACACACACACACCACATACTGACTGTTCTCACAGGATATTGCACAACGTTCAAAATGAAAACGGATTAAAGAGACGAAACTTTAAATACACACAGCTAGGTGGCTAGTTTCATCTTTCAGTCAACTCAGAACATTTCCAAATGCGTTTCGACCCATTCTACTCAGTGGATACATGGGAATGAAGTGCAGAAATTCAAACTACGAGACTCGAATGCAATATACAGTATAGAAAGGCGCGTAGCAAGATTTAGCGCTACCCGCTAGTACCAAGAACCTATCACTCAACATGAGCACCTCAAGGAACAGCCAGCATGTATCCCAGAGCAAAAACAATGACCACTTCAGCATTATCACCTCAGCGCGCAATTGGGAGATGTTCTACATCTGCAGCTGAACACTAGTGCCGTATGTGGGCAGAAGCAGCACATAATGGTACTGAAACGCTTCACCTTACATAACAAAGTGATGTGACTACCAAATCAGAACTGCGTCTGCTGTACTCAAACTGGCACTATTTCTCTATCCCTTGTACTTTATGATGTACTGCAACTTACAAGAGATAGGTTATTGACTTCTCGCAATCTCGTTGCTAGCCGCTAGCTCTAAATCTCACAGGTACGCGCCTTTCTACCTAAGTATACATTACATAGTGTGACCTACAGTACATCACCCCCATGTGTCCATAGGTGAGGAAGGGTTGAACAGCTTTCGTAACATGTTCTGAGGTGACTGGAGTGGTGAAAATGGCAACCTTGCTGGTATGGGTAGGTTTTTGACTATTTGACATACCTACTGAAGATGGCATCAACAAAATTAAATCTTGCTGCTATGTGTGACTAAATCCACTCTGACCAAGTACACCAGATATCCACCCACCCTAATCGGTGCATTCGACTGAGTGTTTCAATTGATCTGGGTCAGCTAAGCCTGATGCTAATCAATTGTTCCCGGCAGCTTAACTAATGGGAAACACTGCAATCACCATGTCTCCGGAGTAGTACTCCGATGGCCAGCAGAACTTAGCTTCGGGAAGTTATGCCTGCTCAGGTGTATATATGCATGCACGCGCGCACACCCACACCCACACTAAGACACAAACACAGACACAAACACACAGACAGACACACACACAAACACACACACATCACTACGTACGGTGGGTGACGTTGGTGATGTCAAAGATGTATGCTGCCGCTTCTTGGCAACAAAAGGCTTCTAAAGGGTGCAAACAGACACACAAACACACACACACACACACACATATATAAGGAAAGGCAGAAAGCCAGCCAGTCAGACAGACAGATGGACACACACACACGCGCACACACACGCACACGCGCACACACACACCTTTGGCCTTTGACGCCCATCGCCGGAGGCGATGATAGCAATGCTACGGCAGAAGCCATAGCAACTTGTGCACACACACACACACAAGCGCACACACACACCAAGAGGTGAGCAGCCTCGGGTGAGGAGTGAACACAGACATACCGCTACATCGCTGATAGAAAAGGGCCAACAAAATAGATGTAGTGCACAACCAGGCAGTTCACAAGCAGAACTGGTAAGAAGAAACATTGATGATTCCCTGCACTGTGGGACCTGCCTACACGGTACCGTCTCTCACCTGGAACGACGAGTTGCCACCAAAAGTTGTCCTGCCTGCGTAGAATGGAGATACAAAGTCTCGGCGTTGGTTGTAAGGTGCCAATGGTTCACTCGGCTGTCAACACAAGATCACATGTAGAACAAAACAAAAAAACCACATGACATTGAACAAAGATAACGGCGAGTTCTGAAAGAGAGGAGTGACTCACCCACACAACCCTGGTCACCAAACTATGTGTACTCACCAGATTCATGTGTGTCATGGTGGGTGACGAGAAAGAGAAAGGTTCTGAATAGGACGGCAGAGGAGTAGTGCGCGACGTCGTTCTCGATCTCATGCCCACGGCCGGGGTGAACGAGTAGGGGTCCGGTCGGTTCTCGTCCGACCTCTTTCGGCCGGCTCCGGCGCTACGCTCTGCAGCCAGTACACTGGAGAGCAAAGCACTCTCCTCGGCATGCTGCTCCTGGGATACAGGCACAGGGGCATCGGCCACTGCTGACTGTGCTTGACGTGTGTCAGTGTTCTCCTGGATGCCATAACACACAAACACACCGAGCCAAACACAGCTGTGACCTAAGACGATTTCATACAGCCTGTGCTTCTAATTCGCATGCCTAATCAGACACCTGGATGAACTTCAATCGAAGACTGGCTCAGTGAGACTTTGCCCATGGCTTGCCGAGATGTGGTGCATATACTCGTACCACATTCGGATGCCGGACTTTCTATCTATTTCTTTCCAGTTCAATGCAGTCGTATATTGATCATTCAAGGGCCATCCAATTTTGAATTTTGAATTCTGCCCCAGAACATAATATCCGAGATACAGTGTTCCAGATTACAGTCTACTCGCGATAAGTCACGCACAGTGTCCTGGAATAGAAAATGCGCGACTTACCGCGAGTGCGCGACTTACATTATGCACCACGTCATGCATATGTACAGCCGTCATTTTTTCTTCTGCATAATTATGGACATGTGTGCTGAACACGCGTACAAGCACTGAGCTGCATGCGCACGGTACACTGTACTGTCTGTAGTCTACACTGACTGTACACTGTACACGAGACGTAGATCTACCACAGCGTGAAGCCATGATCGATATGAAGGCATGATCGAGAAAGACAAGTAACGACGTTCCGTTACTCTTTTGCCGTTTTGGTAGGGATTTGACGAGACGCACTTCTGTTTCCGTCGTGTAAACACTTCGTTTCCCGCTGGCTTGACGATGCCTTCTCATAAGAAAACGAAAGAACAGCAAACAGTGGCTGATCGACTGCGTTTGGTTCGTCTCTATCGTGAGAGTGGAAAAACCTCCGCTCGAAAATGTCCGAAGTTGAACAATGTTCCGGAGGCGATGTTCCGCGGCTGGCTGAGGGATGCTGAAGCTGGCAAACTCGTCGATGCTAATCCGTCTGGTCCACAGGGAGTCCGCAACAGAAGTTCCCAGTTCGGGAAAATTGAGGAGCGGCTAGTGAAGTATATTTTGCTTCGAAGGGAGAAGTTTGTGACTGACAAACTTGGATTGTCGTGGGTGATCCTGAGGGAGAAGGCTCTCATACAATATGCACATAATAATTATATTCTTACCTTTACAGTATTCAAGCTCCATCATTGAAAACCACATCATTCGCAAATATTCACGAAATCCACAAAATCCCGAAAAATAAAAAAATTCTTGAGATGGGTGTCCTGGATGAAAAAGTGCGTGACTTATCGCGAGTGCGTGACTTAAAAGTGCGTGACTTATCGCGAGTAGACTGTACCGGTATATCGTAGTGCTATTGAAGTAAAAAAAATTTAAGCAACAAAACAAGTCACAATACGAAGGATCACTTCCTACTCTGTCTCACCACACCAAACCAATGATATGTACTGCACACAGCCAATCAGTTTCCACCTACCTGTACCTGTGGCTGTTGTGACGCTCCATTCTGAGGCACAGCCTGCTCATCTACATGCTCATTGCTGGCCTCAATTCCTTGTTCGGCTGTTTCATCGCCTTCCACACCGTTTGTGGTGCTGTCTGACTCTCCGCCAAGCCATGTGGGAAGATATCCTTTGACTTTGGACAAAAGTCCCTATACCAAGACACAATAATGTGCAGAAAACACCCAAAGATATCGTCCACGCCCGGAAAATAATTACAATCATACAAACAAGTGTTGAGAAAGAAGGAAATAACCTTACCTGTCTTTCATACGGTTTGGAACGATTTCTGCGAGAGGCTCTTGACCTCAACGACCTTGCATCGCTCGGCAACTGCTGTTGCTCTGAGTTCTCCATGAAGAAGAAGCTGCCTGCACCGTTCCTCAGGAACTCAAGGCCATCTAAAACTAGTTCCGAATTCCCTCTTCCCTCAGGTATACGGTTTACCCACTTCAACGGCAAAATGCCCAACAAACAAAACAAAAGAAGAACAAGCTTTTTTTGCACGCCGGCCGTGCATGCAAAAATCCAAAACACTTGAAAAAGATCCGCGCCGCGCGCTGCGTCATGCATGCATGCAAGCAGTGAGTTTTTTGAATCTCAGCTCAGTCGATCGAGTCACGTCACGTCGTTGCCATAACGAATCTTGTACGTACATTTTGTGAAAGCTGGGGGTGATGACGTACTAGTAAACGAGGATGCATACTAATCGAAATGCATGCATTCATACGTAGATCTACACCATATATCATGTAGAGGGGACGGCTCGATACCGGGACGTTTTGACAGCCAAATTTGTATAGACCCAAACCGATCATCAGCGTTGATTTTTCACTCGAAATATGTTTGTGGAAGGAAACTGGCATGTTGAAGTTTGCTCTGGGGCCAGAGTCAATCGAACTGAGCCACTCCTTTGTGTTGACCCATTGCCTCCAAGTTGCCCAATTTTTCGCTTCAAAAAAGTTCAAATCAGAGGTGGCTCCAAACCGGACACGTTTTAGAGTGCACATCAAATTCACTCTGGGTCTGAAATTAGGTAATTGCTATCGCTCCACGACGGCCAGTACAGAGTAACAATAAGCCTTGTGTGTGCTTCCATTAGTTTTGATTGGTATGCGGTGCTTTATTGGCGAGAGGCGAGCCGCTGTTTACGTGCGACAAGAAGTTGATTTTTCGAAAGTCGTAAAACTCAAGTCGCAGTGCGAAGCAACACGTCAAAAACTCACCTGCTTGATATGGCGCTTCTGGTCATCGCAGAGCCATGAAATTTTGGCTCGGAGTATAACACATCGTAGTCTCACTGTGACATATGTTTTCTAATCAAAATACCAAGAGAGAAAGTGAATATTGAGTCCGTTCCGGTTTGCAACCTATGTCCTATTTGAAACCGTCCCCTCTACACATGGGGAAAAGAACAGCGGTATTTCGACCACAAGTAAACCGTCCTTGTTTGTTCATGTTCCTGCCCTTGGCCTTGGGTATTTCAGCCTGGCCAGCCTTTGTCAACACCACTACCATCACAATGTTTGCCAACTAGTATTGACTGTCTTGCCCCAAATCAAGGACTAAACCAAGCACCTACCCGTGGAGAAGTAGCGTATTGCTTGCGCCTCGTACAAGTTCTGTAGTCATCTGGTAGTTGAGGACTTCCGGAAGCCGAACTGAGACCACCGAGTCCTGAGAGCATAGCAATGTGGTCATCTATTCGAGCATTGCTGTCCTTGGCGTGGCAAGAGCATTTCAAGCGAGCCACCGTAACACTGTTCATCCTATGTTTCTTCTGCGGACACGTCGTACCTACAGGAGTACTGTTAGTTCTGTTGGTAACACCACTGGCACCTATTGTTGTCATCTATTTCTCATGGATTCTAGTATTTGACTGGAAGTCACCTTCAATGAGCTGGCTATGGCCCGTATCAGTCAGGAGAAGCAACTATCTCAGGAATGCTCGCTTCTTCCACTTCTTCCGCGACTTCTTCCCAGTGAAGCTGGTGAAAACAGCAGAACTGGACCCAAGCAGGAACTACGTGTTTGCGTATCATCCGCATGGAGTGTTTGCAGTGGGTGTGTTTGCGAACTTCGCAACAGAAGCTACAGGCTTCAGTGCTACATTTCCAGGCATCACCGTATGGCCGATGACCGTGCCGATCGTCTTCTCTGCACCAGTGCTCAGAGAGTGGCTAATGTTGCTGGGTGCCCGTAGTGTCACAACGTCAGGTTGCAGAGGAATCTTGGCAAGTGGGCCTGGCAACGCTGTTGCCATAGTGCCGGGCGGAACACGTGAGATACTGGAAGCACGACCGAAAGAGTCCAAACTGGCCATTCGTAAGCGTAAAGGATTCATCCGGATAGCCCTGGAGACCGGGTGAGAGCATGCTGTTGATCGTGCTATCCAGTGGCACACCACACACACACACACACACACACACACACACACACACACACACACACACACACACACACACACACACACACACCATTGACCATTTGCTATTTTGACGCCCATCACCAGAGGCGATGATAGCGATGCTACAGCAGAAGCCATAGCGCTTGCTCGCTGCCAGAAACTGGTCACCTGTGCCTCCCTGGGGGAGAAGGGATTCAGAAGGAATCTTGAAGAGTTGATTGGCAACCTGCCCTAAATCCCCAGCCCAGTTTCTGGGTGGCGTTGGAGATCATCCCACTTCAATGCCATGAATTGTGGGTTCACCACAGTAAATAGTTCAGGACAAGATGCAGAAAAGGATTGGGGGGCATTGGGTATCTACCATCCATCTCAGGATCCAACTGCATCTACCCTGAATATCCCCAGTGAATGTAACACTTGAATGTCTGGGACAGTGGTGTGGGCTGATACGCTTCAATACAGAACCTTTGATTACACAAGAGTTAGTCTAACCAGACATAGTTTACGGGTCGAAACAAAGTGCAGAGTATGTTTGTATAATTCGCATACTGGTAGAACGTACAGTAAAACCTGTCAAGGCTGTCCCAGGGGACCACTACAACCAGGACCAAGGGATGCTATCTCCTGTCAAATGACTCTGGGTAAGAAGACCACCTGTAGTACAGTACACAGCAACGACATTTCGAAGGTCTCTTGAGCGGTCGCCCTAAACAGGTTCCACTGTATACATATACTTCGAAGTACGTATCCTGAAGCCAACACAGGAGAACACAGGTGACAATATACGGTATACCTTCAAGTAACTAAGCTAAGTGGTAACAGAGTCACTGGTCCAATAATTACATTATGATAATGTTTCGGTACTTCGGCTGGTGGGTACACTTATAGTAAAGTTATACCAAACATATGAGATGTCTGGTATAAGTGCACCCACCAACTAAACTACAGTCTAGCTGCTACATGTCCATGTGCACACACATACACGTCATGGTATTGCATGTACATGTACATGCATGTGAAATATTCTGCTGGTGTGTGTGTGTGTGCGTATGTGTGTGTGTGTGTGTGTGTGCGCGCGTATGTGTACGCGTACTTGGTTGCATCGGTCTCTGCAGGTCCCCGGTAGTGCCCGTGTATGGGTTTGGAGAAAATGATCTCTTTGACCAGCCCAAGAGCAAGTATATTCTATCATTCCAGCGCTACTGCACCGAGAGGTTTGGTCTTAGTCTGCCATTCTTCCAAGGCAATGAACTTGCCAGAATGTTGCCACATCGTCGTCCTGTCACTACTGTTGGTAAGCCTAGCTAGCATAGGCGTGTAGTGTCCTAGTCCTGAATGAGCCTCGCACAGGTTGCCAACTTCAATTACTAGTCCATGTATACACTGTATGTGCATATCTGTGCCTCTGCCCCGGGAGGACATCGTACCTTTGTACTGCATAAACTGTAGGGACTCAGGCCTGTGCTGCGCTTTCCCCGCTCCCCCCCCCCCCTCTCTCTCTCTCACACACACACACACACACACACACCTTGGACACGCTGCCATATTCTGGCTATGCGGACCCCATGGGGGGTTGAGCAGGTTCGGAACAGTAGGGGCGATGACGGGATACACACACACACACACACACCTGTTATAACCATGTTGGCCAGAGAGGGAAGACATGTACAATGTTGAGTTGAAATTACGTGACACGACGTCCTAGCCACTCGCAACATTTCCTCTAGTCTATACCAGCACGGATCCAGTATTATGTCATGTTCTGTTTTTTTCTTGTGCCTTCTGCTGCAGTTGGTGAACCAATGGTAGTTCCACAGGTTGAGAAGCCCACTGCGGAAATAGTTGACCATTGGCACGCAATGTACCTTGAAAAATTGTCCAACCTCTTTGACATGCACAAGGAAAAGTACGGCTATGAACCTGAAAAGAAACTGGAGTTTATATAGCTGGACGTTGAGTGAACATGATCCGTATGGATCACAGAACCTTTTTACTACTTTAGACCATCAACATGACCTGTGAATCACCTAGACCATTACTATCAACGTTTCAATCCAATTTTCAAATGTGACATCAGACCAGCATTCACAAAATGTCATCTATAGTGTACTATCATAGTATGTAGTATGTGATAAGTATGACTATGTGTGTCTGTAGTATGTGTGCTCCACTTGCTACATGTGTGACCGTTGCACATTTCCAACGGCTATTGATAATAATATTATAAAGCGATATTATCACTTTGCTTCCAGAGCGTCACCATCGTCCTGCCCATCTTCACATTTCTTTCCTCTCTCTCTCTTCTCTCTCTCTCTCTCTCTCTCTCTCTCTCTCTCTCTCTCTCTCTCTCTCTCTCTCATGAAACCATTCAATGATGCAAACTAACCTGCTGCTTCAAACAAATGATCTGTAAGACTATACTTTTTGTGTCTTCTCTCTTTTTAAAGTTATTTTTGAACAGCTGCCCATGATCAGACTTGGTGCTTGCGCCCTCTGCTGTCTTCTTTTTACAATGCTCTTCTCAGTTTGGCCTTAGACAATGCCGAGAGTAATGCTGTCTCCAGCTTTACCGTTTCTTCAAACTTCTCCCGCCTCACACTTCTATTTCAACTCCAGTTGGCTAGCATGTTGTCTTCTTGCTCGACCAACTCTGTTTCGAGCAATGCTATCGAATGCATTGTGCTGCGCAATAACCGTATAGCTTTGATGTTGTTGCTAATAAATATGTATGCAAGCATACACGCTTGTATGCATTTTTCCCTCGAGCTGGTGTCTGTCTGAATGTCAAACCCCATGGCTTTATAACTGAGACTGGCTTTACAATCGAATATACCTCCATGACTTTAAAGGTGCGGACATATGGTATGATATTTTTTGCAACACGTGGTTCCGCTACTGTTCGTCCGCTAAAGATCGCCCGCACGCATGCTATGCCGCGTGAATACAGCCTCTCCAAGCTGCTCGATCCTGGACCATGATGGAGAGTTCGTCAAAATGGTACACATACATGTAGCTTTAGTGTATCAGGGGCCCAGACTTGGCGAATGCACTATAGTTGAACATTGTTTGGCTCCTCTCCTGGCCACACAAGCAAACAGACATTGCTTTTTCTTCTTCTTGTGCAGCAGGCCTGCACACACCGCATGTATGTAGTTATTGTGCTTGGTTGTGGCTCAGTATGTTGATGCACGTGCAAATAATTTGAAGCTGAGAAGCGCTATAGTTGAACATTGTTTGGCTTCTCTACCGGGCACACAAGCAAACAGACAATAGCATGTGTTCTGGTTATGTCTTTCTTTGAACCTCTTGCGTTGTGGTGATCATACCGGGTAATAGTAATGGCACCAGGCCATCTTCGGAAAAATAATCATGAATAATCATGAATTGGGTGTCAAAATTGACTACTAAAATACGTAGTACGTCCCAAAGGAGAATAAGTAATGGTACAGTGTACATAAAGTTAACTTCCATCTGATTTTAAATCCATACTAGCTGTTGTGTAGGGAGTGCACCAATCTCGAGTAGGTGCCCTCTCACCGCGGCCTCAATTTCCTAACGGTGTATACACCGGAACACACTACGGTCTACGTCAGTGCGTTGCAGCTGCATGATGATACGCCGCACCAGCACACCGAAGCTGTGGCTCTGAGCAGGGTAGGCTAGCCTCACATCAAGCAGACTGTGGCTTGCCACCACGTTGTTCCCAGTACTTATCAACTTCCTTCTGCTCCCAGTGCGGCGACGAGAGCTTGTCGAATATTTCTTTCCTGACGTGCTCCATCGCGGCTTTCTCATCTTCGGTGAGCACAGCAGTAACAGCAGCCAGGTTGCGGCGCAGGTTGGCAATGCTTGATGTGCTGACGAGGGTCGTACTGATCGTTGTGTGCGCCAGCGAGAACGCCATTGCCAGCTTTGCAATGTCAATGCCACGCTCGCTACAGTACTCGGCTGCTGCTTTACAAGCGACCTGTGTAACAGGACAATTGCCAACAATACGCGAGAGCACACCCACCCAAAGAATGCCACAGTTTAGATTGTAGTCAATGGGTACAACGCTTGATCTGGGATGAACAAATCCATGAAATCCATACTTCAAAGTAGCAGCTATCATAGTATTGTATGAGCTTCCGGCACAAGTGGCTTTTCGGGACAGAGAATGCCATGAAGCAGAAGGGACCCATGCACTGGATCAACCACTAAATTTCTACTTCTGTAGGCCAGTTACATCCCCAGAGTATTTAGTGGCACACGTCAAACCTAGCGGAAACCCGTGACCTGGCACGAGGGTAACACGCGAATGCAGTGAATGACTGATTTTCAGTCATTGACCACATTGCCTTGGCTTACAGCCGGCTAGCCGCTGAAAGGAAAACCGTATACAGCCGGGCATACCTAATAAGGACATACACTGTAAGAGCTAGAGTGTGCAATGGTCACATATAACACTACACCAGCTCATTGTTCCTGTGTCACGACGGATGACATTCTCCACCGCCAAAAAATAGTTGTGCGACTGTCGGCCGCTCATATTTTCACCAACTGACATTATGTCACGAAGAAGAGGTTGTGAATCCGGTAATAGATGATGTCTCAATTCAAGTCGGCTATCATCTGAGCCATGAGACCAAGACTTCTATATGCCCTGTACAGTATATACGCTACCAATCCCACCCAACTCTATGATCTAAACCTACAAAGCTCTCTCCAGCGCTAGTTGATTGTACTGCTGTATAGCCACACACGCACGGGCGCGCGCTCGCACACACACAGTGGCGTCAACAACAGCTTACCCTTATTTCCTCAGTTGCAGGATGCCACTCTGGTGGTCCACGGTTGGAAAGCAGGCCCATTGAGATTGGCGAGGCATTGACAATGCCAATACCACGCTCCACCAGGAAGTCCAGCAAGCCCAACAGGGATGTGTCGTTCAGGCTGTATCGGCAGTATGTGAGGATGGAGTCGATCGGCACTTTGCTCTTCTCGATCACGTTACGGAAGTTGTCCATTGGATAGCCGGTGATGCCAATGAACTTGCACTTGCCCGCCGCCTTGATGGCAGCTACGGCCGGTAAACTCTCATTCAACACAATATCCAAGCTGGGAGCAAACTCCATGTCATGAACCTGTGCCGAGTGTAGACCAAAACAGAACGTGTGACACACATCTTCCGTGTACACTGTGTTTCAGTAACGATGCTGTACTGATCATTGATGCCATGAACAACTACTACCGTACTGGCAATATATATGGTCGCAGTGAGGCCATGAAGCGTTACATTGGCACATGTTTACCGCACGCAGGGTGTTACATGCAAAGTCGCACAGGAGCCGTTACACAGGTTTCTATATTGCCGCAGTCCTTTTTTTGCTATTGCAGGACTTCCTGCTGTGTCCAGTTTTGAACTTTTCACCACGCGGTACACATGCTTTCACAGTTTTCAGCCTTTTTTGCAATGAAAAGATCGCCGCACCCCGCCGGACGCGCGTTACGAACGCAACGAAAATTTGTCGCACTAGCCTGGTCGCGCGTTACGCCGCACCCCCCTGCGTTACGCGTTACGCGGCAACATATATTGCCAGTACGGTAGTACTCCATTACTGCACATCTGACATGAATAGACAATGCCCCGGATGGGAAGGTGATTACAGGCGTGTAGCAACGTCGTTGGCGGTACTGTAAAAGCAGAAATTTTCGGTGGTGTTTTATTTTCGGTAACTTCGGTGCCGACAATTTTTACCGAAAAAACGCACCGAAATTTTCGGTACAACCGATACTGTAGAAAATTTCGCTCCACCGAACTGCCAATTTTTGAGAATACCGAAAATATTACACCACCGAAAATTCTATTCTGCTTTTACAGTAGTACGGGCGGAGGGAGGGTGGGGGGTTGGGGGTCTCCCCGGGAAATGTTTTGAAATTAGGGTGCAAAATCTTGCATTCTGGTTGTGGTCGGGCGAAAAAGTGGTCCGGCCAAAACTGGACCGGCTGCTACGCTCCTGTAATTATGAACGAGTGCGCACAGAGGTGTATGTAGGCATGCATATCCTTTGAAATGCATGTAGAAAGCGTTGTTCATGACGCTGAACAACAGTTCGAACCTCGTGTATCCAGACTGCCCTCGTCCAGGTATGTTCACCAAAGGAACACTGAGCCTATGCATGGGTCACATGCTACGGTGTGCGTGACTGTACAGCTCCTGAGTCTGTGTAGCTACCACCATCATGGGTATGGTATGGGACTATGCGTATCATGGGTATGCTAGAGTCAATACATGTACCGAGTCGGCCTGAGAGTAGAGACTACCAAGGGGAATTTGATTGCAACGATGTACAGTTGCACTGGATGAAATCCAACCCTTCGCCGTGTAGAGCTTGTGCCCTTCGCCCGGCTCCCCACTATACTGACCCAATGCATACATGTGTACTCATTACTAGCACGCATGCCAGGCGCATACGATCTGAATCAGGGAGTACTAGTACTCCTGGGTCTGAATGGATGTGTAGCGCCAACTGGAAAGGGCTGCCCAGCAACATTCATACAACAGTTCCAAACAAGGGCTGCATGCGCAAGAAAAGAGTGCCAGATGTGCAATTCAGGTCGGCTCATTTCACATAGCACAACTGAAGCACTCTCCGAACATAATGCGCGTGCATAACATCATGTGCTGCGGCGTCACACACGGTACGACCATGGTCGTACCACTTTTTGTTCAGGATGGTCTGCCCAGAGCGCTAAAACGTGCCATGTTGGCCGAAAAATGCGATCTCCCCCCCCCCCCCCCCCCCCCCAGGGACACCCTCGGACCCCGGTCGTACCACTCCCACTGCCCTGTGACACCCCTGGTGTATCTGAACAGAATGCGCCTGCATCACACGGCATGTGTGTACGTATCCATACCTGCATTACATCATGCGTGTATCCATACCTGCATTACATCATGCGTGTACGTATCCATACCTGCATTACATCATGTGTGTACGTATCCATACCTGCATTACATCATGCGTGTACGTATCCATACCTGCATTACATCATGTGTGTACGTATCCATACCTGCATTACATCATGCGTGTACGTATCCATACCTGCAATATGTCAATGCAGTCCACATTCAAGCGGGCAAGGCTCTCATCAACACTCTTCACTGCACGCTCATAGGAGAAGTCGAACATGTCCTCGGGTGTCGCCCCATAGCGGCACACCTTAGTTGTCAGGTAGTACGCCTGGCGAGGGATGACCTTCAGTGCCTTTCCCAGCACGGTCTCAGCCTTGGTTTGCCCGTAGAAAGGTGCCACGTCGATGTAGTTGATACCGGAGCGCACCGCCTCCTTGACCAGCTCAATACACTCCTCCTCGTTGGTTGCGTGAAACACGCTACCCAGCGAGGACGCACCTAGGCTGATGATGGATACACTCAGACCAGTTTTACCCAGGACACGGTATGGCATACGAAGCACTGCCTCCTTGTCATGAAACCCCTCCACGTACGTTGCTGGTAGCTCACCCATCGCGTGTAGTGACTGAGTGCGCTGCTCCGACAGCGCTATGTCTGAATAACCGGATTAGTCTCTCAGCTCAGCGATGGGCAACAAACAAACGACGTTACGCTCTTTTCCACAGATTTGTCTTGGAAGTATCGAGTCGGTGGGATGCCAGTCTAGTCTGCCAACTACTTTGAACCGCTACAGGCACAAGGATCGTGGGGGCATGTCCGTAGAAGCTTTGATCCGCGCTCGTTGTCTGTGCTGTAACTGCACAAATAGATGAAACTCGAGGGACTTGGTGGAGCATTGGTCACGAGGTTACGCATAGCTGACTATACCGGGCAGCTGATCTGCTGGCCTAAACAGCTGACTGACAATTCCAACCAATGACAATGACTATTTTTTCGTCATGTGACGGAGCTCGAGTCAAACGGCGCCACATTGAGCTGTGCTGGCTGAGAGTGCAAAAAGTGAACAGACATTGTTGAAGGGACTTCAGTCTGCATGCAGGACGAAAGACTTCCAAGTGTCGACCGACTCGACTGCCGACTGTCATCATCCGACCGAAGCGTGAGGGCTGAGAGTGAGATCGGTAACAACCCTGATAGATACGATCTGTCCGCCACAAACGCAAAAAAAAACTACAACACACCGAGTGATGACTGATAATTATCATGATGTAGCGGTACCGGTACGGCCCACGGTGTAGTACTAGCGGTACGCGTAGACAAAAAGGTTTTCGACGAGAAAATCAGTGAATCACGTCAAACAGACAGTATACGCGCATACGTCATCGCCACGTCATCTTGCAGCTTGATATGAGCTTCATTCAATTATTTTAAAATTTTGTCCACGTTTCGCAAAAAAATAGAAGAAGAAAAATTAATGAGTTTTGTTGTTGACTCGACTCGATTGTCACTTTTACCATGTATTTCAGTGCTCGTGTTCAAGCCTTTGCAGCTTTGGTGAGAGTTTCTTTTGATAGAAGACTTGATCGTGCACAGAAGCGATCGTTGTAGTAGTAGTGCCGTGTTTTTGATCATTGGTAAGGACCTGGGAGCTTTGCTATGAGAGATGGCGAGGGCGAAGAAGCCACCCCAAGGAGCGAAAGCTAAGAAGAAATCTGTCAAGGTGCAGATTCGTGGGATTGAACGGCTTCTGAAGAAGGTAAGGCTGAATTCCTGCTGTGTTGTGTCACCGAAATGATAGTGGGTGGTTCTACTCTTGGTTGCTGCACAATCGTTGCTTCAGCATTAGTACAATATTGAACAGAACTTTACCATCGGAATGTGTTTTTGGCTATGTAAATCCACGATAGGGCTAAAATTAATAGTATCTGGGCTACAGAATACTAGTATGCTCGTGTACGCTGTACATTATGTTAAGCCAGACATACTAATTATGCGATACAGATGCCATGGCAACAGTGTTACACAACATACGTTTGTCATGCTGTGGTACCCAAATCAAGCTATCAGCCAATGTAGTTGATCCAAGTATCCATCCAGCCCCGCACGGTCACCTTGACGAGAGTTAGAGGAGGGAAGTAGACTTGTTCTTGCTCAAAGAGAGATCTCAGTGAGGAAGGTTGATGGTATCAATACAGACATTACAGCTACAGTATGCCAACTGTGCATAATTGACAAGGAGCAATGGCCGCCGGGAAAACTAACCAATCAGCAGCAGGAGCAGAATATAATGGCCGCTCAAAAAATGTAGAGAGCTGTCAAGATTTGACCAATGAGCGAACAGAGAGACAGGAGTAAGAAAGACAAACATAGAGAGAATCTTATTAGACTACCTGTTACTGGTACAATACTGTACAGTACTGTCGGTCGCCGAAGAACTGGGGGTCAGCCTCCTAGCCTAGACCGTTCTTATGTTCATGTATTACAGTCTATGCACGGTTGAGTCACCCCGTATACATTGGGATGCTGTGCTTGGTAAAATTCTAGCCTGATCGTTCTTCGGCGCTCCGTTCTTCGGCGCTCCGTTCTTCGGCGCCTGACAGTACTGTATACAAATTAACACTATAGCACTAATCCGACATTCAAGTAACAACATATTCACATTCAAAGTAGCGCACCGTGACGTCTTACAATGCACCCAGATAGCAGAACATTACAGCCTACCGCCCGTACGTGGGGATCACGTTCACCCAGCCTATCAAGTTGCTGCCGTAGTCGGAGAAAGTGTCAGCTGCCGATCCCGATACGGACACGTATAGTTCAAGTTTCCAGGACAATTTATTTATCCCCTACGTTGCAGCTGGAGAATGCTAGGACAGTGGAAAAAACTTTGTGTAGAAGTACATGATAGCTGAGTGGTTAGTGCATTGCTGCACATTTGCCCGGAAGTGACCCATTCCATTACAGTTGAGGCACACTTTGTTGATCGCTGGACACGGCGATTTCGTGTGCGCTGTGCGTCCGCAGTTACGGCACTTATCACGAGCAGAAGTGTGCTTCGCCTCAACTGGGGGCTGTGAAGCTGACTTCGTGCGCTGATAAGACGACTTCCTGGCAGCATTGACTTGGCCGGCGGTAGGGATGTGGTGGCTGGTCTGTGTGGCTGCCTCTTCTGCACGACACACCTTGACTGTCGCCTCCAATGTCAGGTCGGAGGTGGACAACAGTTTGTGACGGGTGGTGTCGTCCAGGATACCGATCACAATGCGGTCTCGCATCATGTCCGCGTGGACCCGTGCGAGATTAGTCTTGCACGTAGAACAGGCACGTGCCGAACAGGCAGAACAGAGCTCGTGTTCCACAAAATCACACGTGTTAAACAACTCCTTCAGGGAAGTGTGGAATCCGTCGAACAATTCCCCTTTCTGTTGTGTTCGCTTATAAAATTCAATACGGTCAAGTATTGGGTTTCTTTGTCGGCGAAGAAACTGCTTGACCGCCTCCAAGACATCACACGCATCAGGATTGGTCGCGATGACAATGGTGCCCTCCCTGATAAAACGTCTGAGGTCTTCATCAAGGCACTGACGGATGGCAGATACCCTGGTTTCCTTCGACTGTGCTGTCAGGTGCTGGCACCGAGAAAAGTCTTCCCACAGTTCCTGCCAGGCAGCAAACTCTGACAGGGACGCGGAGGACAGCAGCATGGGTCGCTCCGCCGCGACAGGCTTTGGAGCTGGCGACGAGCGAGGCTGACTCTGTTGAGTAAGACCAGTGATGATTGCATCGAGACGCTTCCCTCGTTCATTGGCTGCCTCCATCTGCTTTTTGAAGAGATCGGCAAGAGCAGCGATATCTGCGCTCGGCACACTTGGTGCAGCTGCATCTGACATTTCGGAAGACGGTCACGACTAGAGAAATAAATAAAAAATTTAAATTGGACCTGCAGGCCTCGTGCGAACACAACCGGGATGCACCACGGGCAAGAAAAACACAGGTACGAAACTTCACTGCGCCATGTTATGTTCTCATGCACACCACTACTACTAGACAACAGGAACTAGTTTGGTGACAAGATAATATAAACTAATTATTTACATTCTCAAGTGAGGAAGAAGAGCAAGGAGAAGAACACATGACTCCAGAATATGGATGCGTGCATGCGTCCAATAGAGACATGACGTAATCACGTGAAGCAAGGCGTATAATGTAACAATACGCATTATACCAAGAGTACATAACCCCCCAGAGTGTGCAACGCCTGATCCAGCTCTGGATAGGGTCTTGGTCGAGCGGAATCGGATCTTTGCGTCATAATACCATACACATCTGAGGGGAACCCGGGGAGTCGCGGGTACTCTCGGATCAAAAACACTGGTGCCCTGCCTCGAGACCGGCCTTGCGCTGGTGTGGAGTGTACGCATGACATCAGAAGATCCGATTCCGCTCGACCAAGACCCTATACAGAGCTGGATCAGGCGTTTCACACTCTGGGGGGTTATGTACTCTTGATTATACGGGTGATAGCAACTTGAAGTACATGCGCAATACATGAGTAGCTAACATGATACATCAGTAACAGTCATTTCTCTTCTGATTTGTAAAGAGTAAAGGACCTTTGAGTTACTAGTTTTGACTAACAGTCCACTAAGGTAACGAGATATATACAGTCAGATAGTGATAATATACAGTCAGATAGTGCGACAACGAGGCACAAAACTGACAAGGATATTGAGATATTCGACATTCTTCATATTGTTTCCTTTTGCTTGAAAAGAGTAGACGCTACGTTACTGCTGCTCACGAGATGAAAATGAACTGTCTTGATGTCTTGAAGGCAAAACAAAAGACTTACATGTACACGTGCAGACTGAAAACCCCGGAACCAAGCTGCATGGCATATGAAACTGCTCCTGGGCTAGACGTAGGGTAACGTAAAGCATTTCAATACATGTACATGTAGCTTTTCAGTTGAACCAGTGCTGATTATGTGTAATCTGTATACGAATTACAAGGCTTGCGTAAGGGTCAGCCACACTAACGTTTCCACAACTGTAGGAATGCCACCACCCTGGCTATTGAGTATTGTGATTGTATGCCAATACTGCAATCTAAGTCTTTATTTGCATGTTGGGTGTGTAGGATGATTTGCCAGCGCCAGTTCGTGAGTCGCAGGAGAGAATGCTGGCTATGCTGCGTGGCGACCAGCAGGATCATCAGCGGCAGATTGTAGAGCAACGTATGCAAAAGAAGTATCGGATGGTGCGCTTCTTCGGTGGGTCTACGTGTATATATGCCAAATTGGTGCCTTCCATTCTGTGTGTCTTCCTGTCCCTGTTCTCTCCCTCTATCTTTCGGTTTTTCTCTCTTCGTCCTCTCTCTCTCTCTCTCTCTCTCTCTCTCTCTCTCTCTCTCTCTCTCTCTCTCTCTCTCTCTGCTTTTGAATGAACATAACGTTATATGTCAAATGAGCAGCTCTATTTTGTTGCTGCTGCTTATGTCACTCATTGTTTGGCATATGTGGCATAATTATGTGCTGGCGTTGCTGCTTGTGCAGAAAAGAGGAAGCTTATGAGGAAAATTCAGCAGTGTAACAAGAAGTTGGGATCGGCTTCAAAAAGTGACAGGTGAGCATGGTTTAGGAGATGGCTGTTAGTGCAGTTTATTACTTTATGCATGTGCTGTTTTGGTAATGCATTAATTTGTAGTTTTTGTGCTTTATGTTCATTTTATGTTCATTTCTCGGATTGTAATTTTGTGTGCTTGGCTGTGTACTGTACGGGTGTTATCAGGCGGCTGCTGGAGGAGCGTCTCGCTGACCTTCATAAAGACTTCAATTACATAGAGGTACGTGTTTGTCCCTACTGCTGGTGTCACTTGTACGTTGCTGACATTGTGCAGTCTTCTCTTAGCGTGATCAAGAGTACTGTAAATATACAAATTTTCGGCAGCTATTTAATTTCGGCTATATTCGGCACCGACCCAAAACGCCTAAATTAAAACGCCGATGAAATTTTTCACAGCATCTGTCGCACTATACCGTGCCCTCTACCCCACGCCGAAAATAAATCGCCGCCGAAATGTCAAAAATCGTGAAGTGCCGAAATTTTGCAGCGCCGAAATTTTGTATATTTACAGTATGTGAACAGTAAGTGTGCAGCTCGAATGGATTACTATCACGTTTAAATTCCTCAAGGCTGATTCATCTATGGGCCACATGATGTCAGCCATGATTGTTCCACTTTCCACATGCCATGATCACTGTCTACACAAATTTAGTCGCATGACAAAGGTGTGAAACCACACGTTATGCACTGAGGGTATGTCTTGTGTTTTGTTCATGCAGTACTTTCCCAAGGCAAAGAAGTATATCTCGTTATTTGCCGAGGACCAAGCCGAGAAAAGTCTGCAAGAGAAAGGTAAGGTGCTGAGCACCAAGCCGTCTTTAAGTTTTTTTTTTTATATCCTTCTTCCCACGAGTGGAAGTTGAAGTGCTGTTTTCAGGTCACTGTCATGTTGTTGTTTACGCAGTAGAGCGCTTCCGTTGTTCACAGAGTGCTCAATGTCTGGTGGCTGAGTGTCTCTACAGTACATAGTAGAAGTACAGTTGTGGCCGAAAAAATCCGACCCACGAGTCAACACTGAACAGTATCGCCACGTTTCCATTTCACTTACATCATGTATGCTCCAAAAACTGATCTGCGGGCCGCATGAGCCTTGGCCCTTGGCGCTGGTTTCTGCACTTGGGTTGGATTTCTTTGGGCACGGCTGTACATGCAGCAAACAGACAAAAATCAGCTTGTGCCAGCAGTCATCATGTCGATGATGCGGTGCACTATAGATATGGTGACTTTGACTGCAATGAGCATCAGTACTTCAACAGCAGGAGGGATTGCGTAGAATACCGTACGCGCGCGAATACAAGCCCCCCTTCGAATAGAGCCCGTCCCTCAGAGGCATTCGAAGTAATACAGCCCTGTCTCGAATAAAAGCCCGGGGCTCTAATCGAGCGCCCACAGTTCGTACGTTGTAGTGCAGTACATGAACCATGTGCGGTATGCACGATCAACACAGTGTGCTTTGCGGATCACTAGATCCATATTGGAGGTACGGGATCACTCTGGCCCTCTGGGGTCAACGTAGAGACATGCAAAAATGGGAACACGCTGCGCCAGAAACGATCATCTTGAAAGGTGTGAAAAATTGATGTTTCTATTGAAAAAATAAAGCCCCCTCTCGAATAGAGCCCCCCCCCCCCCCCTGGGTGTCTTCTGGAAAAATAGAGCCCCGGGGCTTCTATTCGCGCCTATACGGTAATCGTATTCTTGACATCACAAAGCTAAAGTTGCCGTTGTCTTACAAAAGTCCTCAACCCACATCATGTTGTTCCTATGTGTCCCCTTGGGTGGCGGGTGGTTGTGGATCTCTCTCCTCCTTTGCCCTTGAGTTTTAGTATTATTAATTTATATGTAGGGTAGTTCCAGGTGTGTCAGACCTGTCCACCCACTTGTGTGCCTAGGAGCCTGTGTCAGTGTATGCTCTTCCTTGTGGAGATAAGTGCAGTGATAAGAGAGGACCTTTGCCACTTGTCTGTAATGACCATCCAGGAAAAACTGGCTGTTAGCCAGAGTTCCCAAGATAAGAGAGGTCCAGGAATGATAAGGAGATGAAAGCATGTACGTGTATGTGTGTACTTCAATCAGCTGTGTGGTGTAGACAGGGCTAAAATTAGTGGCGGTCAATTCATCAGAAGCTGTTGAATGGTGTAATCCTAGCACAAGTTGCTATATCTAACATAGCTGTTTGCTACCATCGCTTCTGCGATGGGCAGGTCTGAGGTCTGAGGTGTGTGTGTGTAACTGCTATATTTTATACTGTAAACTATGATGATTGAGTGGCCTGGCCTGGCGTAGTACAGTTGTGGCAAGTGAAATCCGACACTTGGCATAAGGGACTGCACCATGCAGTCTGCAGCCCCTGCAGCCCTGCATACGTACAGTACATGTGTTACATACAACTTTATCTGTCTGATGACAAAACTCGTACTCATCACAGTCAAGGTTCAAAGGTGCTGGCAAAAATGAATGGGGATTGGATACCAATACTCCTTGTGTGTACCATATTTTGTGAACTGTGTGTATCTATGCTGTGACCTTTCAATCTGTTTGGGATGCATACGGCTCTATAGTACAAATTAGGTGCAGTGCATTACATCATTGGTGTCCATTTGTGGCGCAGTCCCCTATGCCAAGTGTCGGATTTCACTTGCCACAACTGTAGTATGTGCAATGCACGTGGCACGAAGTCTGACTCTGGGTCCTTCCTTGACAAAATACTCTCCCTTCCCTTCTCTCTCTCTCTCTCTCTCTCTCTCTCTCTCTCTCTCTCTCTCTCTCTCTCTCTCTCTCTCTCTCTCTCTCTCTCTCTCTCTCTCTCTCTCTCTCTCTCTCTCTCTCTCTCTCTCTCTCTCTCTCTCTCTCTCTCTCTCTCTCTCTCTCTCTCTCCCTCCCTCTCGCTCTCCGTCTGTCTGTCTTTTGGCATTCATGGTGCTGCAGGGCGTCTTCGTGAGGGCATTGCGAAGCAAGTGTCGGCCGGTGCATTGCGCAATGCAGCAAACCGGCTAGGCGGAGGCGATATCGATATCGGTGATGATGAGGAGTCTTAGCATAACATTAGATAAATCTTTTTTTCCCATGAAAATGAATGATACAAAAGCGTGATCTCGCAACATGTTCTACCTCATGCAACAAACAAACCATGATACTATAATTACCCAGACGTATCTTATTTCCACGTAATTATGCTCGTAGTACTTCGTATGTGCTAGAATGTGATGATCATGTGGCCCATGCTTCTTAGGACTTTCTACTTGATCGTGTTCTGTCATGTTTTAAATACCAACACATATGATACGTATGATGTGGATGATCTGAACGTGTTAGGCTGTAGTACAGTCATGTACACGTGCAATCAAAGAGTACATGAAAACCAGAGTGTGCAGCTTGGGTCTTTTTCTACTACTGTAAGACATGTATATTATAACGAGGAAGCAAATCTAACATTTTAACGGATGACATTTCTTCGTTATAATAAGATCCGTTGAGGCCGTACTGCTTCATGTATGCTGTGTGTGGATATGGCAGAATAGTGCAAGATCGTTAACATAATCTTCTCGTTAACCTATGAATTTTGGACAATCGTTAAATTTGCGACTCGTTATAATAACATGTCTTACAGTACACGTATACGGGTGTCTGTCACGGCGGAATTCCGTGATTATAATCATATTTGGCGCAGATCTGAGGTGGGAAATGGCGCAGTGCGTACGACTGAGCTGCAGTTGTGCAGAAAGAGAACCTGTTTGAATCCTGCTTGTATGCACCACATCACTAAAATGATGTAATCACGGAATTGCGCCGTGACAGCAACCCAACCAAGCTGCACACTCTGGTTTTCATGTACTCTTGGTGGAATGTATGTACCGGTCGTTCAGTTCATTTTAGCAACACCCAAGTGCTCAGCATGATGCCTTGCAGACCTACTGTCTTAGACTTGGAAGAATGTGCGTGCTCCGCCGCTAGTCTGTTGCCGCAAGCAACTACTTCAAGTAGCTGTATAACGCGCGGGATTTTACGGTATACTACGATGGCAGTGGAGTATGCACTGTATATATATATGGGCTATAATAATTATTACACCTGAAACCTGGCAGGTCCCCGACACTGAAAGTTTACTACACTGAAAATTACATGTTATACAGTAGCCGTACGAATAATATCAAGAGTTACAACGCTACTCTAGGAAACTTGAGCACGCACACACACACACTCACCAATTCAGGGTGAAAGGTTTACTTGAAGTAAGCACAACACGAGTTTGGAGGCCACAGTTTTTTTCCAACCGTAATCCAATACCGAGTACATGGCCTCACAAGCTGCATTGATTATCATGGTGTACAGTCAAACCTCTTTAGGGTGAACACCAGGGAGACGGGTCAATTCCCTGATGAGCACCAAGGGACTGATATTGCTCGCAATAACAACTGTACTATTCGACCAAACAATCACCATCCACAGTGTGAGTAACAGCAACTCTTGGTAATGGTCATTGCTTTGATACCAGACACAGTTTTGATCAATACCGGTATCGAAGTACGGAAAACCAAGAATAGGGTGCACATGTGCTGACACATTCACTCACTCAGTCACACACACTGGGATAGATGGACATTGACAAGATATAAATACACAGGTAGACCATGCATAATGAATGTTATGTACATATGCCACATGTGTGACGCATTCGTCGCAGCTAGGGCTGCTACCTTTGGGAAATACTCTAAAAACATGTGCTGCATGCCGCCTTAAAACACCGGGTAGAAGCAACGTATAGTGAGAGGGCTCATCATGATCAAAATACACGCCGATCCATGGAGACTGAAGAGCTCCAAGCAAAAAAACGTAGTGAGTTGTTACAAAGCAGAACAGTGGCTAACGGTGAAAACTTGAAAGAACAGCAGACACAACCCAGCCAGAAATAATGAATCTAGGACATCACACGGGAGAGCTCGGGGGAGTATGTACATGTGAATGTAGTAGCAAGTTGCACCAGGGGCATACCAAGTTACAAAACAGATACAAGCAGCGGTTTTGTTGCCGCACAACAAACAATCACGGTCAAATGAGAAGGCAACATGTATTTCATGAGGCAATTTCATGAGAGTACAATGTAGTAGGTTTTATGCCATAGACCAGACCGAGACACAGCCACTGTTACATGTATATAGATATTGGGGGGAGGGGGAGGAGAAAGGACTGAATTTATGAACGAGTGGAGCATACATGCAGCAGAAGCAAGTTGTACGGCGGACATAAAAGCCTAAGTAGTGTGTGTATTTCGTGTGGAGGTAATGAAACCGTCCAGATTTCATACGTGTGCACAAATAATCTTATTAAAAGCCAGAGGCAAACACATGGTATCACCGTCACATGGGAAACATAAGCATTTTCAAGTGTCTGAAACAGTTTACGGTGATGCAGTAGCTCTAAGTATGGCACAAGGCAATCGCCGATACACACTCACAGTTTGAGCTCGTTCGTCAGCTTGGTGGCAATGTGCTTGAATGTGAGCGAGTTCCCTGATAGTCGCTTGATTCGTACACCGTTGACGGAGAGCCTTGGCAGTTTACAAACTTCCATCTCCCACTGCACCATGCTATCTTCTGAATCCCCATAGGAACACACTAACAAGAATGTATCGCGCTCATCATACGCACACAAGTTGGCTTCCAGTACGTTCCGGATCTCGCGCATGATGTCCATGGCATCCATCGTACTCGTCGTCTTCATGTTCCACGTGAAGCGTAGTGAACGTGGTTTAGACGACTCTTCGTTGACATTCCTGAATACAGCAACAACATAATTATACAGACATGTTCGAGAACTTGTAAGAGATGATTCCAGCACTATGCACAACATACAGCTAAGCGTGTAGACACAGAACGAGTACAGCTCTAGAACTGAGGCGTTCAAGACTATTCCAGGTGCAGTTCACACATAAGCCTTACGGTATTGCCTATTGGCCATGGCTGCCAAGAAAAATCCAACTAAACTAAATGTGAACGCAGGCTGACTTACTTTTTGCTGAATTTCGATGTCAGCTTGCGGAAAAGGCCGCCGCCTGCTGGCACCTGGTCATGGTCATCGTAACCTGGGTCGTCCGGTGCTATTCCGTTGTGATGCGTATGTCGGCGTTCCCGGTTCTGTCCAAGGTGGAATGTGGCACGCGCCGTCGTGCCTCGCTGTAGCGGACCAGAGTGCTCCGGTGTAGACGGCGATGGGGCACCGGAGGTTAAGCTTGGCGTTGTCGTGACACTTGTCTGCCGGCCGATAGGAGCGGTGCTAGAGTAGAGAAGACCAAGAACACCAAGAGACACGGATAGTCAGCATAGGAGGACAAATCCTAGATAAAAACTACAGTGAAATTTTAGGTTGCAGCAGCCTTACAGCAGACTTTCAAGGGGCACCACGCACCCTGTGCATACTAAGTAAGAGTGAAACAGTAAGTATCCAGTGAGTCCCAGTGGACCCAAATAAGGGGTGGACAAAGGTGTCAAACGTGCGTCATTTTCAATTCGAACGAAGGTCAAGACACATATACTGCATGCATGCACTGATCTTCACTGAATACATGCATACATGTATTGTACTGTTGTCTGTACAGTCAACTAGTCGTGTTCCTTTTGGCTTCCATATTAGGTGCAACTTGGCCTCCGGCAAGTGCCACTGCAAATGCCTCGGACTTCGTTTGAATGGGCGCCCGTCATGGCCACGGTGTGCAGAAGTAGCCTTGGGGATGCAAACTGCGCAGAGCAAAAGTTACGGTTGTGTCACATGTAGTGACTGCACGACAAATATGGGTACAGTCGTGTACTTAGCAGGGTGCATGCACAGAGTGCGCTTGGACGGGAACTGTGAACTGATAAAAAAGAATCCTTCGACACCTTTGCTAGTTTGATGAAGAAAGTTCGCTTGGTAAATTGAGACCATCATTTCACCCCGAACCCAAATGCTGCTATATTGCCCAATGTGCGAACCCCAATATCACAGGACACGGGAAGCCCTGTACTTTATTGCAGGCTAAGAATCAGAATGCTACTCTCCCATATCCCATTGACAATGAACAAAATTACTACAAAAATGAAAAATTGGTGAAACGTGAGTAAACAGGGCCATAGATCTGGGCTTTTGGTGTTGACTTTGAGTGAAGAGACAGAGAAGTTTAATGTATGTATGTGACACACACCTGGGCCTGAATTCATCACCGCCACTTGGCGTATATGCTGCTGACGAGGACTGCAAGCGCCTCATGGCTTGTGCAGAGGATGGTGAAGGTGATGTGGACTGTTCGTATGGTGTTGGGGATGGCGATGACGGACTTGATTGTGGCAATGGCAGCAGGCAAGGAGACAAGGATGAGAGAAGAGGAATGGACAAATGTTTGCAATGGCATGATACACTAACGGCACAAACAAACTACAGTGCTGCGCAATGAAATCCAATCGCATGAGTCAGGCTTGATCCCTGCATAAGGTCACATCCTAGTACTCGTAGGTATAGGGCTGCACTGCACCCAGCCGCCAGCGCGTACTTGCCTCATGTGATCAGATTTCATTGAGCATCACTGCAGTCCCCCCATACTATGCAGGGAAAGGTGTGTGCGCGAGCGCGCGTGCGTGTGTATGTGTGTATGTATGTGTGTGTGTTCACAATCTACACTGCAGTACTTCATCTCAACACCTGTACAAGGTCAAGCCTCAAGGGACAGTTTTCACCCGGATCATTGCTGCAAACAACACCGGGACTGAATGTGAGGTCAGCTGTGGAGATGATCTCATCCTGCTGCTATCGCAAGCTGTTCCCCAATGGACATGCCGCACGAATGATTTCCCAGGAGACCGGCACAAACCCAGGTATAATCAAGAAGGGTACCAGTATTGCACAGCCACTACATGCTATGGGTTGATACTCCACAAAAGTAGAGTACTGCAATGCTAAAGCAGGGCACAATCAAATGGATGCAAGTGTGCCACAAGCACAGGATCCCACCCAAAACAAGCGACCTCGTCCACATGCAAATGGTACAAACGGGATAAACATGTCACCTGCAGACATGCGAGTTATCAGACAACATAACATCCATGTACATGTAGCATACCTTGCATCGCCCTCATTTCCATACAGACTCCTCCGGTGCTGACTCTGAAACAGCAAAGATGACAAAACACATTCCACGGTTTACTGCCTGATACGGGTGTGTGTGTGTGTGTGTGAGGGGTGGGGGAGAGAGAGATGAGAGCGAAAACAATCACCAAAACTATGTAGCACCCCAACACAAGGCAGCTACAGTATAACTACTAGTCACAGTGTAAACAAAAGGACTGACTGATACGAGGGCACGGATATTTATTTATTCTTATTTTATTTTTATGCTTATTTTACTAGGGAATTCCCAACAGGCGTCATCGCCTTCTTACAGGGAACCCTAATGGATATTGTGCTGAGCTGTGCCAAAGAAAGCCCCTACCATGCCAAGTACATGCATTATTGAGGTACAAAAATAGAGTTGACCAGCAGCTCACCTTTGGCAATTTGAAAGATCTGGCGTACGATGCCCCTCGGCGAGGTATTTCAGACTTGTTTGGATTGTTTGCAGAGCCACTGGCGAATGTAGAATCGACAGAATGGGGTGCCTTCACCGTTGCCGACGCACTACCAGTGGACGACAGCGGCGACGGCCTCCCCCTTTCCGAGTCTGCACGCACACCGCCTAACGATTTACTGGTGGGAGACGTTACATTTGCCACGCCAGATGCACTGCCACTGCTAGCTGCTGCACCTTCAGTGATCGTCGACGGGTAGAGATGATCACGACGATGCCGCATACTGCGCGACACTTGTGTTTGTCGCCCGGGTATGCTATTCTGCGCCAGGAAGTTTGTGGCGCCGGACGGAGTGCCACCAGGGCTTGTGGTAGTGCTGGCGCTGCCGCTATTTACGTGAGTTGTAGCACCGTGTCGAGCAGGCGAGGTGAAGGCCGGTACGGCCTGCCTCTCACCACCAGTAACTGCTGCACTATGGCGTCGTTGTGCGGCTGAGTGAGTGCGACTAGATGCATCAAGACTACTCGGAGCTGCCGAAGTGGACGCTGTTCCCGATGTCGACGCTGCGGAGGCACCATTGCTACGACTGCTCGGTTGGCGAACTGATGACGGTCGATCAGACGATACTGCGCTCGCACCACTAGAGCGATGGTTGGACGCAGGAACGATTTCACTGGTCCGACGATGAGAACTGCTGTGTGAGCTGGAGGCACCCGACGTACTGGAGCTAGCAGCACCAGATGAAGCTGTGGAGTCAGAAAGCGACCGATCCACCTACACCAACAAACACAAGCCAGCATACAAACTTCAATCCCATGTTATCCAAACAGGCAGAGCAATGCCCATTTCGCAACAAGTCAAGAAGTGAAATCATCAAAATTTCTCTCTCTCTCTAGGATGTTGCAGATGCGCTCCAAGAGAAAATCATGTGACCCGAAGCACTGGAGAACAGGCTAGGAGATGTATAACTTTTCAAGTTTACTTCTGTGGCTACTTTGCCAGTCATGCATGCATTGCTAAATTTTAACAACGCTATGCTGTTCTCCAGCCCAAGAGTGCCAAGTTATGATGGCTACATGGCACGCTCTTCAAGCGGTTTAGAAATCAACACAGGCAGATTAGGTGAAAACTTACAGATCCTGTGGGAACGATATCCTTCCGGCCAAGGAGGAGGTATGTGGCCATTACGTCATCATAGCGCCCTTCCTTAGCAGACAAGTCCAGCTGTTCACGTTTGTGACCGAGTCTTTCCAGAACAGCTACACACAAACAAGCACACGGGCACACAAACACATATAAGCACGTGCCAAGCAAGGACTCGCAGAACACGCAACGACTACACAAAGCTGTATGTAAAGCATATTCTCCTAACCGAACAAAAGACAGATCCTTGCATACACGCGATGCCAGAAGGAAAAGTATAAGGCAGAATGGACAGAAGGATTTTCGCAATGCAACATGATGGCTTCAAACCCAGGGAAATAATTGCAACTTTCACAAAGCAACGCAGACTTTAATTTGGCAACAAAAGTTGTACACATGTACATGGTGCAAGAGCAGTTTGTGGATTCGTACAAATTATATGCAGCTACAAGTACCCGAATGCCAAGGAGCCGTACACTCTCGTGCTGTGTTCAGAGAAAACCACTAAGTGACATCACTTCGCTCACTTCTCCTGCAAATTGTATCACCTGTAGCATCACTTGCGCATCGAGTGAGCATTTCATTGTAAATCCTGCTTTAGAGTTTAGACCATTCGATTTTCTCTTGAACACTACAGGACATTACTTCAGTGTATGTATGGCCTCAAGGTAGCCTTACCGATACGCTCTGGATCAGAGAAGTCTGGGATAGGTTCGACGTAAGGCCGAAGCTCATCACCATCCTCATACCCCACATTCATCCACCGATCTGTCATTATCACCTGAAGGTTACAAACACACACAAGCAAACCAAGGTTCGAGATCACCAACAAACTGGCCATATGTACACCGGCCATCTCACACTCCAAGCTGCAGTACTACAGCTGCACATCCACAGATCATCGTCAAGCACACCCAGGCACATAATGGCCACTGCACTCAGCTTACCTCGAGAGACGAGCGCTTCGCTGGGTTGAGAACTAAAAATCGTTTCAAGAGGTTCTCGCAGTCTGCGACAACAAAGCAGACCAGAAAAAACACTCAGGGATGATTTAGCAGGCAAGAGAATAGTTTTACAGTATTCCCTGCAGAAAATGGGACAGAATCTCCAAGTGCCGGATCCAGACTGCACACAACTATGACAAACATGTGCCTGCAGCGGAGGTGTGTTGCATGACGCAAATTCTCGCAAAACACTGCCCATGAAGAGTTGCAAATTCTTGAGGAGTTGACGATGACTAGAAACTCTTAAAGTAGTACTGTAGACACATGTATGACGAGGACAGCATGCTATCAAGCAAGGCTTGCATATACCATGTAGACACATGTAGACAAGACAACTCTACCAAAATCCTCCAAACACCCTGTACAGTTATGGTCACCGGCACTATTTTTAGACTCCAAAGCAAATTTGTAGCGAAGAGGGTTCCTCGGAAGCACTCACCAGTTGACATGTAAAATGGTATTCTGTACTTCCCCCGGAGCACACGTTCTCTCAGTTCCTGCACACCACAACACAACACAGCGCCACCAACAACAGTTGGGACATGACGGTACCATTAGAATGCTGGAGCTCTAGACCAACGTTGTAATGTACAAGTCACCAACATCTGTTCATAGTCCACTTGCAGGCAAACTTAGCCGTGGTTGGCTATAAAAACCCTGCAATCGCCACGCAAAGTGGTCATTGAATAAAATAAAAAATAAAATAAACTCATATTCCCACAGTAAAGACAAACTGCGCAACATGGAGTGGTCGCTAAACACAAGTAGGACAGACTGTGGTACATCTACCCCAGCCGCAGCAGGGAGAATGAAGAAAAGCAAGGAAACTGACCTTCAAGTTTTGTCCATCAAATGGCAAAGAGCCACTGACAAGAGTGTATAGGATTACACCAAGAGACCAGATATCCACCTCGGGGCCGTCGTATTTCTTGCCCTGAAAGAGCTCGGGTGCAGCGTACGGTGGACTGCCGCAGAACGTGTCAAGCTTGCTACCAATTGTAAACTCGTTACTAAATCCAAAGTCGGCAATTTTAATGTGCATGTTACTGTCAAGTAGAAGATTCTCAGCCTGCAGTCAGATTACATAGATACAAATGCAGACAAGAATGAAAAAAGACACCTCCACCACAGAAGTGAACACAGAGGCTTCTAGGAAAGTAGTACTGCCACAAGGATATGAGAACAAATCATACTCAACAGAACAAGACAAATTGACAAGCTTTGAGAAGCTTGATGCTCACCTTAAGATCTCGATGAATTACATGTTTTTGATGACAATACTGTACTGCAGAAACGATCTGTACAAAGAACAAAACATCACATTTGACATGACTGTCTACATTGAAAGCCATAGTCACAGAACACTAGAGAAACGCATCTCCAGGATGTGCTGCATCACCACTCGCACACCATGCACACACATACAGAGAACGGGAAATGCAATCCATAAAGTCTACGTACCTCACGGAACTTGGCCCTTGCTTCCTTCTCCTTCATACGGCCATGAGCGACAAGGTAGTCAAACACCTCACCTGTTCAAGACAAAGACACAAACCGAAATGAGCTGAGCCTCTCACTGGCTTCTGAACACAATGTACTACTAACACACTGCAACGTGGCGGTGAGCACATACAACGGTACATATACAATGATACATACAAACCAGTCCTTTCCGCAAGAGTGAACTTTCAGCATTGGTTTTTGGAGGTCCTAGAATGGAAGTTCTGCTTTCCTTTGTAATTTTTGACTTTGCGGCACCGCCACTTCCAAAGTGCATGTGCAATCAGGACCTTGAGCCCTGGTCACACTGTATCTTCAGCCCCCCCCCCCCCTTCTCTCATGCAGAACTTCCTAAGTTGGTTGAGCTAACTTTACTTTCTACGCAGCACAAAGTGGTATGTGTCACAGCGACGAGCACAATGAATAAGATATGATACAGTATATCCGTGTTAAAGATCCGGGGAAACTCAAACGCGGCCGTTGAGTGCCTGGAGACGTGCCCTCGCGAGATTCTGAACCATACTCCGGTCATCACATGTACGTGATGTTAAAACCTAAAATGTAGAGTTCATGCCGCGAAGACGCGGTGCGACCAGGGATGTACACATGAAAACAGGGAAAAACAGAGCACCCATGCATTGCACTATGCTGTTCGGAGAGGGGATGCTTCCCGGAACTGCATTGAGGTGTGAATGGTAGGTATTCGTATAGATAGATTATACCACGAGTACGAGGGGTAGATAACCGGATATTTTCACGAGTGCGTAGCACTAGGCAAAATATGAGGGACACGATAGAGCACGAATGGTATAATCCATTTATCCTATGGTACGTTCCAAAATACAGAGCGTGACCAACACTAAAAAGCTCCCCTACTTACTCTAGACGTGACCCACGTGAACAGACTGAGATATATCTTTGAACTCAACTCTCGGAACATATCGCTGAGCCCAGAACAGCCGCTTGCTGGCTAATATCGCCCAAATCGTACCGTACTATGGGATAAAGTGTAATTCAGCCCTTTCACAAAGCCCCTTTAAAACTGCGCAGGTGATTAGTTAGCGCTTACCGCCACTGGCGTACTCCATTGCCAAGTACAGGGTGGTCTCAGTGTCGATGACTTCAAACAATTTTACTGCAACAAAAAAAAGAAAAGAAATTAGAGATCATGCTTATTCCTTCACCAGCACAGTACTCATAATGCAGACTACATATTTGCTATTATGTATCAATATTTATAGATCGCCTTACACCAAGCTCTACTACACACCATTTCAAAAATATAGACGCATGGTATTTTTCAAATATTTCAAATTTTTCGATAATTGTTCTCGGAATATTGCTCAGGTCCTTCCCCCGATTACTCTCATAGATGTAATAAGCGATCGGATAGCAATCGGCCGATTCCGAAATTTGCACACAGATTTGATGTGGTATAGATGCCGGCATAACGGTTTTTTGAAATCACGCGTCTATATTTTTGAAACGCACTGTAATTACAATTACACTAGAGTTGAAAATGGGACGCGCCTAGTTGTCGACAACGCAAAGTAATAGAAGTCTTGCTACAATGAAATCAGTTTAGCTATGCCAGGAATAATGGAAATCCTGTAGCGCGACAAACTAAAAAATCACGATCAACAACAAAATGCCTGAGGAGCAAGATCGGCGTGCTGGGCGGGCCATCAACCCCCCCCCCCCCCTCCCGACATTGCTAAACAAGGTGTTGAATGGGATTTCCAAATGATGGGAAGGCTAAGTTCACTATTCCACCTTCTTTTCCTCTTTTTTTTTATACTGCACATTGTTTCCACATATTGACTTGAGTAAAGTAGCCACATGTCCGTTCAACTAAGTTACTTGTTCTCTTGATTGCGATTTTAAAATTCCCATCTAAAATTTTACAGGTTCGTACTCATTCAAGATTAGGAATGAATGAAGGCTTCCCGGCGTACATAACAGTATAAAATAAACCTACCAATATTGGGATGATCAACCATTTTCATGATGCGAACTTCGCGATACATCTGTGCAGCAAAACAACAACATTTACAAGATGGTCAAGACAAATACTGGACACGATGGAAGTCATCAGGTGTGTCTATTTCTACAAGGCCCAAAAAAATGCTGTGCACAGCTGGGTGACCATGCCCACAGGAAATGCACACACATACTACTGCTTCCACATACACAGCACAACAGCTACAGGACTCAGGAGGCAGAGGAATCTACCTCAAACCACAGCTGATGCTAATAAGTAATAATTATGCAGTACTATTACTCCAACTACCCCCAGCCACTTTACATACAGTCTACCAAAGCACTCTCAGACTCAGAGGCACCCACGAGAACATCACAGAGAAAGGACGACACGACACAGCGGTAACTACCAAAAAGTGTTACACCTCCCCATATCCATGTCAACCTATTACTCGGAACATCGCTCCCCAGAAGCCTAACTATGCATCTGACATCAACGTGACCAAATCCACGACGCGTACAACTTCGATCATTCGTCACGGCGTACAAGACAACATTTATCTTCAACTCAAGTCATAAGTTCAAAAGAAAGAGCACGGTCAACATGCATCGATTTACAGCTACAAAATGAGCCTCACCTTTTGTAAGCTGCTTGCGTTCAGTTGCGTCTTGTCGATGATCTTGATTGCAACCTGAGGCCGGCGAGGGAAGCAACATGGTAGGGGTTCGGTCGTCACTGAAAAATGGCTAGAACCCTAAATTGCTCTCAACAAAAAACTACACCCAAACCACGTACCTCTTTGTTTGTTGGTAAGTGTCGTGCCAGTTTGACTTTGGCGAAGTTGCCTTTGCCAATAGTCTTGAGAAGTTTATAGTTGCCAACGATGGTGTCCTCCGCAGCAGCACTGCGTTTTGAATGTCTCGAGCCATGCTGAAACAACGAGTGACCATAAAATTGTTGTCAGCTCCAGTCAGCAGGGTATCCACTAAACATTTTCTTTCACTACTCAGCACGATTTTGACAAATCACGAGCAAACAGAAACACAGGTCTATGGAGAACGTATGTACATGCATTACCTTCTGGGAATGGCCACTACTAGAGCTGGATTGGTGATGCTGCAAGAACACAGAGAGGCGATGTTCGTGTTCAACGCCATCATGACCACACTGCTGTCTCCAGTTCAATCCTCACGGGTCACACTCCGCACAGATCTTACCCCTTTACTGTCACTCATCCTTCCGCAACTCCAACGGCAGCACTAAACCGACTGCACCAGCATTTACTGAAATCTGTCCTCGAGGCAGCAGTACTAGGAGGAATTCTCCACCTTGACAGTACAAAGGGTAGCTCCTGAGCCGGCGACGTACTACTCACTTCTCACATCTGATCGACGATCCAATACACCTTGCCCTCACAACCTGGAGTATCTCTATCCACCTCCCTGTCCACACCAGAAACTTGAGAGGCAGAGAAATAAGGTGTGATGGGAGAAGAGGGCTTTTCGGCCATCCAACAGCCAACTACAACATCAGTAGTAACCGTAAAATTCGAGTTGGGCAAGCTTCGAGTTCAGCTTGCAATGCTTTCTATGCCCACCCAGATGGTAGGTTCTGTACGAGTTGGCCTACGAGTACGAGTCAGTTCAGCGAGCTATGTCTGTGCAAGCGGTGCGTTGGCCGGAGCACAACGATCGCAGTGATGCGATGTCGCATTCTTCCATGGATCCAAGCGTTAGCAGTTATGCGCATGCTCATGTCCTGACTAAATGGCGCTAAAGCGGCTCCTCTCTAGCTTTGAGCATCGCGCGCTAGCGATGCATCTCCAAAACGTAGTTTTTGTGATTCAGCGACACAAAAAAAGACTGGAACGTAAGCTGCTGTACCGGTATACCCCGCGCTGCATGTGGCCACGCGATCACTTCGTTTTCAAAATATTTTGAAAAGTTGCGATGATTTTCGTTTTCTGTCGTGATTGTCATGGCATGGCAGAGCTAGAGAACAATGTCTTGTTTCGCAGCTCTCAACCAGTTTTGCACGCGTACTTCTTCTCTTCACGGTACCAGACGTTGCATGTTAGGGGGGAGGAGTACTTTCCTGCCAGTTGCTACTTTTCTTCGAAACAAGGGCTATTCAGTGAACCTTCCACAGAACATAAAATTCCAATGGGATTTTTCAATTACCACCGAAAATCGTTTAGTCAAGGTAACTAACTTTAGTGGTGTGTAAATGTCCCAAAAGCTGCTATGTAGCAACATCTTTCACCCGCGTGCTTTTTGTGTTGACTTAGGAGCTGCCTTTCGGAGAGCTCTATCACTGGCAGCAGAAAAACAACACATCAGGGGAAGACTTCATTCTGCATGATGGTCCCCCATATGCCAATGGTTCTCCTCACATGGGTCATGCCTTCAACAAGGTATGAGCAGAGGAGAGAGAGAGAGAGCGTAGTAATTTCTTCCCAGTTTTCTGCAATTACCACTATTATTTAGGGGTGAAACGACTGCCCTAAATTCCTTATCGACTAGATTCAATCTATCAACTGACATTGCCCTCACACATGAACACACGTACAGCATATTTACGCGTACACACATGGTCATACACCCATGTACAAGCAAACAGAAGCGAAATATGAGCACATTGACCATTGTAGATTTCAACAAAGCACAATATGAGCACATTGTAGGTTTCAACGTTCCAACGGACCCATGCGGCTTAAAGGGGAAGTTAAGGCAAAAATTAAAATTTCACCAGTTGTAGTCTTCGGGGTGCTGAGTCGAATGGTCGTGGTCCGAGGAAGCTGAGACGCTCCCTTCCTACTTGAATCCCAATCGAACTCGCGCACTTCCACCGAAACTGGGTGACTGCGCCCTACTAGATGGGGATTTGTATGGAAAAAGTCAATAAAAACACCGTTTCGTTCTTATAAAAGCGAGGATGACCGCGATTAGCCCATATGTTGTACTGTAAGACATGTATAATATATAACGAGGAAGCAAATCTAACGTTTTAACGGATGACATTTCTTCGTGATAATAAGATCCGTTGAGGCCGTACTGCTTCATATATGCTGTGTGTGGATATGGCAGAATACTGCAAGATCGTTAACATATCTTCTCGTTAACCTATGAATTTTGGACAATCGTTAAATTTGCGACTCGTTATAATAACATGTCTTACAGTAGTCTTTTGGCCGCTGAGTCAACTGGCTTTGGTCCGAAAAGGCTGCGGTGCAGCGTTCGGCCCTTATTCCCAATCGAACACGGTTGAGTAAGCGGTCACGTGCTCATTTACAGCCTGTTTGGGCCCGTGTATGTCACTAGAGTTGAACCTTTGAACCAGGGAGTCGTAAAAGCCTCTTATGAATGACTCCCTGCTTTGAACCTTTGAGTTGAACCTTGATGTGAAAATTGTAGCCTGCAGGCACGGTGACCAGGCGACTGGTGTACGCATGAGCACGTGACCGCTTACTCAACCGTGTTCGATTGGGAATAAGGGCCGAACGCTGCATCGCAGCCTTTTCGGACCAAAACCAGTCAACTCAGCGGCCAAAAGACTACAACATTTGGACCAATCGCGGTCATCCGTGCTTTTATAAGAGCGAAACGGCGTTTTAATGGAAGTTTCCGGAAGAGGAAGGAGGAAACTGTAGTTATCACCAACCCTCACCGCGCCCAGCTCACGCCGCTACGGCGTGCGACCTGAGCTGGGCGCCCTGCCGTGCAGTATGGAACTGTCCTCAAGCCAGTCACGTATTTGGCAGCCCAGTGAGCTGTCTACCGGATCGCAGCGTTTAGAAGCGCCAAATGCGGCAGGGCCAGTCTCAGGCTGGTCGCGTAGGCGGCAGGCTGGCGGGCGACCGGCAAGGCTGCATTCGCATTTGGATCACCGAAGTGATACAGGTGCTTCGACGGCACCCCGTGGCGCATCAGGGAGGCATCTGGGGCCCAGGCAGCCCGCCCGTAAGCGCACCACCGTATCAGGTATGCGCAGGTGGAGCAGCAGAGCAAGATGTATGCCGGACACTCACCATCATCCGGTCGACTGCATGGTTGTGCGACTTTACACAGCCGGCACTCATTACTTGCTATTGCTTGCAGAAGGCCAGAATTTTTTTTTGCTCTCGTTTGCTCTAAAGCTAGTTGGTTTACATGATTTGTACCCGTACCTAGTACCTGAGCATGGATCCTACTCAGCAGCGGATCGCGGGTATTCCTCGTTTGAGACCGCGGCGACGGCAGCGTCGGCCCTGACCAACAAGCCTCGGGCGATGAGCATGCCGGCCGAAAATGCAGGCATGGACACTGTCGTGCATGACCAGTTTAGTTGAGTTCCTTGGAGGCGCTATGATGCCGGCCGGGGCGGCGCATGTGTTGGCGCAAGGGAGACGATTAGGACAATACGGCGTGCGGAATACTTCGAGCTGGCCACAATGCTTCCTTCCTGTCCTGCCCACACGCAGCCAGCAGCCAAACGTGTTAGAATCGATCAATCCGATGGCAGTCACTGAGTGAAATTGTCATTGGCGGCTCCTCTTCTGGCAAGAGAAAAACTGAATCTCTAATCTACTGGGTCGAGGCCTGGCAGACTTTCAGAACCATCGCGCCTTGCAACACGAGCTTACGCCCTCTGGGGCCCTAAGTAGTCCGACAAGAAATTCATACTGCACGGCGACAAAAAGGCAGTTGGAGCAGTCTGAAATCCGGGACTTGCCGAAATCCAACCGTGACGGAACTAGCCCACAGCCCCCGCATGGTAGCAGAACACAAGGCTTTATCTCGCTGACTACCCATATTACGGCCACGGACAACTCCGCCGCGGACGCTCTTTCACGTGGACGATTAGTCCATTTCCTCTCATCGGCTCCCTAATCCAGCTGCTGGACTCGGCTTAGTCCCGAACTCATGCTATGCGGGAGCAACTAATCATGGCAGCAAACCGGCTGAACTTCTTCTCAACCAATGCGTGCCTCCTTTTTCATTCGCTGCGTAGTCTATCTCTCTCAGCACACGTGGGTAAGCACGCAAGCACACCCACACGCACACGCATACACGCAGTCACCCAGTTTCGGTGGAAGTGCGCGAGTTCGATTGGGAATAAAGGAGGAATGGAGCGTCTCAGCGTCCTCGGACCAAGACCATTCGACTCAGCACCCCGAAGACTACAACTGGTGAAAATTTGATTTTAGGGTATACTTCCCCTATAAGGGTTTCCTTTTATCGACTCAATCTTATCGACTGGCCAGTCGACTTATCGATTCAGTCGTTTCACCCCTACTACTAGTATTATTTGCAGACGAACGGCGAGGAGACAGCAATTTTTAAAGGGGAAGTTAAGGCAAAAATTAAAATTTCACCAGCTGTAGTCTTCGGGGTGCTGAGTCGAATGGTCTTGGTCCGAGAAAGCTGAGACGCTCCCTTCCTACTTGAATCCCAATCGAACTCGCGCACTTCCACCGAAACTGGGTGACTGCGCCCTACTAGATGGGGACTTGTATGCAAAATGTCACTAAAAGCGCCATTTCGGTCTTATAAAAGCACGGATGACCGCGATTGGCCCATATGTTGTAGTCTTTTGGACGCTGAGTCGACTGGTTTTGGTCCGAAAAGGCTGCGATGCAGCGTTCCTCCTTTATTTCCAATCGAACATGGTTGAACAAGCGGTCACGTGCTCCTGCGTACACCAGTCACCTGGTCACCGTGCCTGCAGGGTACAACTTACTAGCCTGTTTGACCTTTTTTGGGTGCAGTCCTGTCACTCGAGTTGAACTCGAGTTGAACCTTGGTGTGAAAGTTGTCACCTGCTGGCGTGGTGACCAGGTTATTTGGGCACCCAGAAGCACGTGACCACTTGTTCAACCATGTTCGATTGGGAATAAAGGAGGAACGCTGCATCGCAGCCTTTTCGGACCAAAGCCAGTCGACTCAGCGTCCAAAAGACTACAACATATGGGCCAATCGCGGTCATCCGTGCTTATATAAGAACGAAATGGCGCTTTTAGTGACATTTTGCATACAAATCCCCATCTAGTAGGGTGCAGTCACCCAGTTTCGGTGGAAGTGCGCGAGTTCGATTGGGATTCAAGTAGGAAGGGAGCGTCTCAGCTTTCTCGGACCAAGACCATTCGACTCAGCACCCCGAAGACTACAACTGGTGAAATTTTAATTTTTGCCTTAACTTCCCCTTTAACCGCAATCAGTAAGGCGAGCTGAATCGACATGTGCATACCGGATTTATTCGTGCAGTGTCAAACGATCGTTTTACTGCACATTGTTTCCATCGTTTGACACCGCACGAATACGGTATGCACATGTTGATTCGGCTCGTCTTATTGGTCGCGGTTTTAAAATTACTTTCGGAGCTCATCTTTATTTATCTACCCAAGATTGCTGAAACTTGTAGCGAAAAATGCACTGATTACGATGGTTGCAGGTTGACCGGAGCAGCCATACCCAAGTTATAACAGCTAGAAGTTTTCACTAAATTGAAATGCTAATCTTGAACTGCAGCAGCAGACGCATGCAGACATGAAGCGTGCCGGTGGTGGTGGTGAGGTCTGGAAGTCTACACAGTACTGCCGGGCGCAGCCAGTGCTTCCTGCGTAAAGTAAGAAAGGGCACGTTTTTACGCAATTAGCTTTTTGCGATAAGACACGGCTTAGTTTATGGTGCAAGTACATGTAAGTAGAGTCGGTTTGTGCTGGCCAAACATATTCTTGCATGACTCTGCTGTGCTCTCAGGTTGTCAAAGACTTTGCGGCCAGGTACCAAATGCTACGCGGCAAGCGTGTGCACTTCCGGCCGGGATGGGATTGCCACGGCATGCCGATCGAAGTTCAGGTGAGTAGCAACGTTGAGCCACATGCATTCCTCCTGTAGGCAAATTATTTGCGCAGGCTTAAGTTACTGCAACAGAGGAACCAAGCATCACGAGTGAAGAAAGAAGCCAGGAATTTGGCAGCTAACATATGCTGAGAAAGAAAATGCTGCCGGATAGATCCAAAAGATTTACCTCCAACACAAAATTGACCTCACTTCGAAGTACATTCTATTCTTTTAGAAGCTGTCAGGTTTTGATAGTATACCAGTACGGTAGTACGTTTTATAATGCCTTTGAAGGTGCAAGCTGCTGTTGCTACTGTTTGCTTTGGTAGGTAGCCCAAAAGATAGAGAAGTCGGGGAGATCGCTTCAGGACGTGTCACCTCTAGAAATCCGCAAGTTGGGTGAGTTGAATGCTGTGCATGCCTTTGTGCAGATCTGTGCTACCAAGAGTAGATATACAAGAGTGTGCAACTCCGTGATGGGTTGGCCCGCAGCGGAATTTTTTGTTGACGTAATCTTTTCGACGATGCACGCGCTGCGAGTATTTTGGAAAGTTTTGCCTCGTCCACTTGGCCGGGCTTTACATTACAAAGTCGGTGCCCAGCACGTGCTCTCACACTGCTTTGGGGTAAAATGCGCGTTCTTCTGAAAAAGGTGACGTCAACAAAAAATTCCGCCGCGGGCGGGGGTATCTGCAGATTGTGCAGAAGAGATCCGGAGTTGCACACTCTTGTTTATCTACTCTTGGTACTACTGCTCACAGTGTGATGCTGCTGAGCGTTGTGATTGTCCGTCTCGGAGCACTGAGATGTGCTAACAAAGTATATCACATGTATTACGTGTGTGGAAATAAGTCGCTAAGCCGATCGTTATGATATCAGCTGAGCAACTAAGGAAATATCCCAATCGTTTCAGCCCTACTAACAATGGAATAGGCCTGTCATTGTCCTGAGTGTTGACAATGGGAGTAAAGTTACCTGTGCTCAGTGATATTCAGTTACTGTAGAAGCAGAAATATTCGTCTGGAATTTAATTTCGTCTTTTTCGTCCAAAGAGCTTGTGGACTAAATTAAATGCCGGACTAATGTCGATTTGCCCAGCTTTTCAATACACTCTTGTGATCCATGGATGAAATTTACAACCGGACGAACTCCCTTTCTTTGGAGTTGGACGAAATTATTGACCGACGAAATTTTCTGCCTGTACAGTATTCGTGAATGGTTGCATCATTGACATGACACTGATGAAATCTTATTTCACTTTGAAGACAGCTCTGTAAACACCGCGCTGCTTCCACGTGAGCACCTTGGTTTGTTTGCAGCTGTACCCAGTCACAGAACATCTTTATCAGATTTTACTTGTTGTCATGGCGTACATCCCATTTAGCATCCTTGTTACTGTCGGGTGATGCGAATGTTTAGCTTCATTGTTTTGCCAAATGTATCCAGCCGGCCTTGCGCTCTGGTATTGCCGTAAGACGTTGTTGGTCTTCTATTGATGTGCATGCAGCCCGTCAGCATGCCCTGGACTTTGTCGATAAGCAGCGCGACATCATGAAGAGGTGGACAATCATGGCGGATTGGTAAGTTACCGACAGCTATTACTGTGAGTCTCTCAGCAGGATACTATAATTTCAGAAGTTTTAGGTATTCAAAAATTTTGGTATGAGGGCAAAGGACCAGGTTAGGTGAACAGAGATTTTAGGTACAACGAGGCAGTCGCCTATTGGAAGATGTGTGTTTAAAATAGTGTTTGTTTGGCTGTTGAATTTTTGGTACGAAAACGATGCACCGAAAGTACCGAAAATAAAAGGACACCGAAAATTTGTGAAATTACAGTGCAGGTACTTGTTAGGTCACTCTGACACCGACAGGCACAGTTGCCAGGGTTCTAATAATATTAATAATAAAACAATGCGATAA